AACATATATTACTCAGCACTTGCCGTTGTAAAAATTAAAATTAATACACACAACCAAGAAACACACAAGAAAAAAATTTACTTTACAATAGTTGCAACACGACAAGGACAAGACCAGACTGGACAATTTGAGAATGTGGTTGAAACTCCGAAACTAGTTATCCACTAAAATTAAGTTAATATTTAAATATTATTTCACATAATACCTTGTGATACACACGTTAATACCTTGTTCCTTACGAGCACTGTGTTTATACACTCATTATGTACATTAGACCGTCTATTCAAGGACGTTAGGCTCTATCCAGGACTGTGCTTCAGGCTAGTCATTATCTGTGCATACATGTGTATTTGTCTAAAATCACCTTAGATATGGTACGCAGGGACGCCGATCGTAATTGTATTAGTTTTCTCTGGTAAAAAAAACCTGCCCAGCTATCCCATGCCGCAGTGGACATGTCCATGTGAATGTATAATAGTCACCTGTGCAGTGTGGCAATTGTCACACACTACACCTGTGGCCTCCATAGTGTTAGTATAGAGACGTCCATATATGGCTATACCTCACACATCTCACTTTACTTGGAGTTGACATTTACACTCTGAACGATGTGGCAAAGAAATGTGGTCGAGTGCAGGAGATAACGTTAAAATCTAGCTAAACTAAGATGTAAATAAAAACATGAACTAGGTTTTCGCGCTCGATGTCGGACATTTTTTTCCTTTTTCGTTGTCAATTGGGTTTCCAGATCAAATTCTCTGCTGATGTTTTGCCCTTATTTTGTGTGTGACATTAGTAGCTGAACAGAGACTACGCGTGGGTATTTAGTATGGTGACGTGGTTGACGCCGAAGTCTTGTTGAGAAAACAGATTTGTTCACTACATGCCCCTACAAATCCGGAGCATACAATACTGTTGAGATTTTAATAAACGAACAGATTCTATTTATTTTAATGAACTCATTTTATTGGAAATGTAAACACAAAACAAAACTGTAAAATCAAAACATAAACAATCATGATCAGCTGGTATAGGAATATAATGATTAGCTGATCACCTGGTTTAGCAAATACTCTTAACTACAGAATGTAGCGAGGACGAAGATAAGGCTGTTACGACAATAAGCCGATACAGAACTGTACGTCCTCTCTGATATGAGCTGGTATCAATATGGCCTCCAGCTGTTATGATAACTTCGGAGATTTGGGAAGGTAAATAGTATACTACTATTGCATATACATATCAGTCGTATTGTTTCTTGAAACATAAAATTTTAGGTTTTGATTTTAAGTTGTTACTCGGCTGTTGTCACCTTCCATTGCAACTACTTATTGCTCATCAGTTTTCATCTGCTACGATGTTACTTAGCTGCTAGCTGTTAGCGTATATTAGAACTTCAATGGGAAGTCAGGTGTATGTGTTGTTTGGTTGTTAGGCGCTTCCATTGCTGTGATTGTAGTGGCAAAATGTTAAGTAAATGGGCGTTGCATTTGACGTTACAAATGACGTAATTTGTGACGCATCAATTACGTCATTAAATAATGACGTTGAACCGTTGTAAGACAATCGCTAACAGATTTTCTTTTAATTGTCTGCTGTTGACCATTACAATAATGGCAATCCCAAAATATTTAATTACTCAGATTCGCACTCCAAAATTTAAGTTTTTGTCAAACTTAATTAGAACGAGTATTAGTAGGCCCGACAGGTTAACCCCGGAATAATAGCATAATGTTAAATCAAATATAATTTGATTTCATTACAATAATTTACCTCATTATTTTTTTCTAAAATAGACCAATCGTACGAATTGTTGTGAACTTCAAGTGGAGAAGAATTTGGCAAAGCAGAACTCGCATCATACACTTGAGTTGAAGCCAGAGTTGGGGGAAACATAGTGATGGTCTAAAACTGCTCGTTCTGTTGACAGTTTGCGGCGAACATTTATAAACGTACGATTCAAATAGATGTACAGTATTTGGAGACATGTGCCTATAATTGGTATCTAAACAATTATTTTACCGATGTTATGTTAGCTAGAGTTTTGTGTTTGAAAATGAGTTAATTGGTAGCATACAAACAAGTCAGAAAAGTTGACTGAGTTAAATATAGCGCTACAATAACCATCGATCTATCATAACGCACCGACGCCTATCCTTATGAACGTTATGATAGGCGTCTATCATAACGTGACGCCTATCCGTTCGACCTCCTAAAAGATATCTATTTATAAACAAGTAGGTTTGCCTTGTACGATACCAACTGGAAAATAAAAGGGGTATATGGTGTAGGCTTTCTAATCTTAGTGTTTCTTAGTATTTTGTTATATAGGCCTGTTCTTTTCTTTTTTATTCCATCAGTACAATGTTTAAATTACCTAAATAGTTTATCGAACACTATTTTGTCCGTAATGCATTGTAATGTCTTTTCTATATACCTGAAACCCTATATTTTGACCAATAGATGTTATATTTTGCATTTTTGTCACGCAATGAATCTACAATATTTGCGAAATTTTGCATGGTTGCCATTTTAATGAAAAGTATTAACATTATTTAAGAAACAAGTAAATATATTGACTGATGACACGGGATACATAGCCTATATAAATCATCCAGAAGTGGGAACCCAAGGCTACAAATTGTATGACATGTTTTTCACTCTATTGTTCATAATTATTGCTGAGATATACTAATAAATTCTAGTTTAGTTTCGTTCTAGCCTACGTCCGTATGTTGGATGTCAATCTAAAATAGTTAACACAGTCGTAAAACGAGCTCCTGTGATCTCGCAGCTTCCGTTAGTGTTAGTTGTACTGTTAGAAACTCAGTATTTCGTTCAAATCAGGGAGTGGTTTTCCATCCTGTAAACAATGATTCTTGTTGATATTTTTAATCAGGTTTCTTTCGATTTGCAGTATCAGTTATGTTGACATTGTTGCATAACCATACAACTTATATTTTCATGCATACATGATACTGTAGTAGGGCCTACTAGTTTTGCCAGTTTATAACTTGTTTCGTAAGGGTCTAAATTTTGTCTATCCATCTATGGTGATAATTCAGCAACTCTTTAAGATCCATTTGGGCTTATTGCAGCTTACTTTTTTCGTTGTACAATTAATATACACTTCGTTTAACCTGTTGATAAACCGCACTAATACGGTCTTTTATTCAGATTTTTTTTCACACACTGTACAACTGTAGTACTACCTCTATTACTACCTGGTGTGGATCAACTTCCGCACTAGTAAATACTACGACTATCCGCAGAACTATCCCGATAGTTAGAACAATTCGTTAATTACAAGGCAAAAATGTGGTTCGGATTCCACTGTACTGTGGGTCCCTAAGTTGCCATTGGCTGTATGGGCTTTTAATTAACAGCTGTGTCTAAGGAATATGCCGGTCTTAGTCACTAACAAGACTACAAGATCGCGCCACTCATCCTACACTCATCTTCATTCATTGGCTTAACATGCCGCATTCGTATGGTCGCCATTTCAAAGTTGAGTTTTAATCCTCTTGGGAGTAACCCTCAATTAAGTAGTCTGACGAAAAAACTTCTTGATCATCACTCACGCCCTACTACCGTGGTTGGCAGTCGACTATTTTTCTCTTGATCTTGACAAATATTTATTGAACATACCGGTACATCGAATGCAATTTCTACTGTACAATTTCGTGCGGTCTATTTATCCTGCTGCATTATACACCCAGCTAATTGTTTAATATCTGCGATCAGCTGATTAGTGTCGTCTGTGCGGGTGTTCTGGTCACAGGAAAGCTTACATCACCGAGCGGTTATTTCCGTACATCGGCTATCGGGCATCACACGGCTCACACACCACACAGTCATAGTCACATTCACAGTAGTCAGTCTCAGTCAGTGTATGCTGTGGTCTGTGGTGTACTGTGTTCTGTGAGGTGTGTGGTGTTTTGTGGTGCGTTCAGTGATAGTGGAAATTCGGTGTCGGGGATTTGAGCGTTTCTGTGGTTATCGTGTTGTGTGTTTCTTACTTGGTTAATCCGACGATAGCATTGTTTTAGACCAGTAAAAATATTACTAGAAATTTTTTCAGTCACTTGAAAAACAATAACCTTACAATAATAAGTCTGAGGGGAAATTGTGGGTTTTAGTAGCTGTGCAATATTTTCCGCATGGCATACTTGCGTAGACATATTTTTTTCAAGGGGAGCAGTTTCTAAATATATGATTTTTCTATCACTGTTCAAATGTGTTATTACAACGCATCTGCTCTAAGGCACCAGATCTATTGGTTTGCGACTTTTCTTATGGGGGTTGTTTATTAAAATTCCAGAGCTTACGTTTGCAAAAACAATTTCTCAACCAACTAAATAATGTAAAATCGCTGGTGCTCCGTATACAACGTTTGACAAAACACATGCAGATTTATTTTTATTTATTTTTTAATGTATCCTTAATTAATGGTGTCCTTCAAAAGTAAAATTCTGAAATTAAGTAATTTTATAAAAATCTTTACTGTGAACTAATTAGTTTTATGAATGAAATAACTCAATTTAATAACAATCTAAAATAATTTGTTCTTTACACAAGTCTTTAGGCCTACAATTTTAAAATGTAAACAAATTAAAAACTTCTTCGATGAAATAAATTTCAATTAACACCCTAACAGCCACAGTAGGCCTACAAATCTTTATAGTTGTTTTTTATTGCGAATTTCTGTATAAAATTTAAGTCATTATCCATGTAGTGGCGAGTGGCGGCATGGTGACGGTGACATTCAATGTTAAAAGTTAACTGAGAGACAGTTCTTGATAGGCTGTCGCTCTTGTTGTCATGGCAACCAAGCTGTCCATTGAAATTGAGATGTTCTTAGATTATCTGGCTGATATCACTGCCATGACTATAGAGCCACGTAAATTGTGCTTCCGATTAAAATAACTGTAAAATAATTCAGTTACGTAAATTAATTAAAAATAAACTTTAAAAGACATATTCAAGAACTACATTTTTAAACAAATTTGATATTATGTGTAGATCTACTCACTTGTTTTAGTTTGACACTAATCATTTAAAAATTTGAAACATTAACACAACTGTTGCATGAATTTTGCCATCTTATAACATTGTATCCATTTTTGTAAACTGGTGCAAACCGTTGGGAAATAAAGAAATAAATAAATAAATAAGGTATGATAGCCCCCAGATTACCGATAAATTTTGAAAATCGTGTAAATCCCTTTCATTTGTCTATGATAGTAGTTTATGGATCACACTTATCAACTAATTTCACTTTAAGCAAACTACAGTATTACTGAACAATTACCTTTAGCCTTTGTTCTTGCAGTTGTGTTAGATTCCCACTATTTCTGCAAGAACAAAGACTAAAGGTAACAATAGTTCTTCAATAATTAGATTTTCAAGTTCTTTCCACTGGTAAAATATGTAAAATCATCTAAACAATCTAGTTGGCAAGTAGTCCTACAGGATCCTTGTACTACCGTAAGCTACATAAAAACCATTGGCTGGCTGTTAGAAATGGTATGAGTTTGAAGCCTGTTTGCTTCTCTAAGAGGTACCATGGGATATTTAGCAAATTTAAAGTTAGGTACAAACATCTAGGCACATAGTAAGTTTACGTCAAAAAATAATACGTTTTCTCTCAAGCATGTAAAAATATTTTTTCCTAAAACTATTAATAGGCTTTCAAAGTTTTCAATTTAAAATAAGGTTTAATTTACAATAATGTGTTTCAATTATATTCCTTCACAAAATAGTTGGTGTTTTCACTGTGGGCTTACACATTAAACATAATCTGTTGACAATGTTGAAACTCCAGCCAAACAGAATGTTGATAAGGATGGTTGACCTGACTGATAGTGGCTAGCTAATGTTGAACAGACAGATAAAAATGTCTATATGGATATTGTAGCTTGTGTTTAGTCATTGTCTTCAAAGCTTGACTATATTTTACGTAAACGTTATCAATAATAGACCAATAATAGAACAACACTACTGATGTCCGGGTGGACCGATGGTTCTAGTAGGTGTCGAGATTGCTTCCGCAAAAAACTGAAACAAACAAACCGGATATAAATGAATGTAACATTTTTAATCGCGTGCCGACATAACATAATTGTGGATATTTATAGGCATGCACTGTGGATGCGATGCTCCCTGGATTATCATCCGCACTAGTAGCACTTGTACTACGACTCTCCGCAGTAGTAACCTGATAATTAGACCAATTCGTTAATTACAAGGCAAAAATGTGATTTGGATTCCACTATAAACTGTAGGTCCCTTAGTTGCCATTGGCTGTATAGGCTATTAACAGCTGTGTCTAAGGAATATGCCGGCCTTAGTCACTAATAAGACTACAAGATCGCGCTACTTCATTCATATTTGGGTTAAAATACGCACATAGTTGTGTCCTGTCTTAAATAATTGATTGATTTAATAGCTAATTGTTGAGTTAAATTACTTTTTGGAGTAGTTTCTGTTGTCTTTGGCCAACTTAAAAATTCTTACTTCGATACACCACTATTTGGATCAGTCATATCCTTGCGATATTTTAAGACCATTAATGATTATCTCTTTTTTAAACACTTTAGTAAATGTTTGTTATAATTTTACTTTATACTCAGAGATTCTTCTTACATTGTGGGTATGTTTTCAAAGACTTTTTTTAAGCAAAATGAGATATTGTGTGTGAATACAAGCTGGTTACATATAGGGTCAGTTGTCAGCAACTCAACTGGAAATGAGGAATAACAACCCACTATCAATTGTTATCAATAATGTGATAGCCATGTCCGGGAAGGGAAACCAACCAACCAATACATCAACTGGCCTGGCAGAACTATGTTGTATACAAATGATTGCAATTGTTTACTTACTTTGAAACTTACTTAATGAGATGTAGGTAAAGAGGCCTTACCAAAATCAAAGCATTTGTGTAATTTGTATCTCTTATGTGGCATTAATATTACAATACTATTTTTGTCAATTACAGCAACCTAAGCTGTAAGATCCCTTTTACCTAATAACTTCAAATATTAATAATTTTTAAAGTAAAAACACTTTTAAGTAAGCGTAGCGTATCTTTTATATCTTGGGAGGTAGCTAAATACGTTTTCACCACCTCAGTTAACAAAAACAGACTTTTCCAAAAATTAGCTGTACAATTGAAATTTAATGCTAATTAAATGGTGGATGTGAAACCATTTCATACACAAATTTCAATGAACCAATATTTTCTCTTTCGCAACACCCACTCATTTTTTTTCTAACAATACCTAAGCTTGGGTCGAAAAGAGTCGCTTTACTCCCAAGTGATGAAATACACTATTTTGACCAGTTAGACCTATATCTATATACCTCTTCAAACACCATGCTAAACCAATCTTGGCGCTTTTAGATCTGTTTATTTTTCAGATAAAACTCAACACTGTCAGTCTACTGTCTTTTAAAAATTATCTATTATATGATTTTCTAGGGGTGATTGACGATAATGAGCATTTGATTCATTCCCAAAAAATAAAATAAACCTGTCCAATTGTACAAAATTGTAAGATATTAGGCACAGTGTCAGTGACCTGGTTTAGCAAGGGGGAGGCAGTTGCTGTATCAGCATTACAGTGAAAGTGTAACCCGTTGCCAATCCACCCCCTTCCCCTTCTTCTTCAGTCATTATTCACCCCCCTTCAGTCACTGACTTGCCCTACAGTGTCCTTGTTAATGTTTTAAACTCCCCCTCAACCTGCCTCCTGTTTCACTTTCATTCATGGTGGTGTTTTTAGCTTCCTTAACTTTGAATATGCAATACAATCATATCCAATGTCTCGCTTGGTAAACCCTGCGGATTAAATTTTGAAATTATGAGGAAAGTTTATGGGGAAATCAAACTTTGTTTGATTACTACATTAAAGGTTTTACTATTTTGCTATATTTTTTTACATTACCTCGTTTACACCTTATTTTTAGAAGGTGTCAGTTTTATTTTGGAAAGTAAACAAAAGGGTATATTTAATGAGATTAACTTGAAGGGGTTCAGGAGATTTTACTTGAATTTTACATACTATTATTTGTTGTCAATAAAAATGGATGAGTTGTTTTTCCTAATTTGACCTCCAATTTCAATATGCAACTGAATTCAAAAATTGAAACAACTAATTTATTTAATATTTTTCTTGTTCCAATTTGATCAAATAATCATTTTCCAGTCAACAGTTCCCTCAGTATTTTTCTTTCTTTATAAAAAATAGTTTAAAATGGGTTGTGGCTATATTTGGAAAATGGTTGATATTTTGTTGAATGACATATTTTTAAGAGCAGAGAATATTTTAATACTTAATTTTATGAAATTATATATTTTTTTTACACTCTCGGATATCTCAGATTGATTGTTAAATTAAGATTTGTCGCATTGCAAGCTATCATCAAAGTAAATTCAGTAGGCCTAAACATCGCAATTGTGTTCGTTCAATTTAATAATGTTTTGCTACACTTTTCAATACCACACAACTTAGTTAAATAAAAATTGGTAAAATCTTCCTTCATGAAATTGAGATAGCAGCCTTTTTAAGACTGAAAGATTGCAAGATGGAATTTTTAATACTTTTGGGATTTAGGCTTACAACCCCAAGTCTAAGACAGGTGTCAGAAATGCCCTTCGAGCCTCAATGTTAGCAGCAGTGTAACTCATTCCATTGGAATTCTTGTTTTTCAAAATGTTGCCCAAAAGCTTTACCTTATTTTTACAAAACTGATATAGAAATAGAACTTAAATTAGAGTATTTAATCTAATGATAATCGCTCAACAAATTTCATGATATTTGGTTGTTAATCTCAGATAATGACTGTACAGAACTATTTATCAAGGGGACTCTAATTAAATTATCTATCTATTGGGTATTTTGTAAAGAGTTAACAAAAACAATATTAATATTTAATTACTGAGTCTGGGAATTTTCAGAACCTGCTGATTTGCTTGATGAATGTTCCAATGTAAAATACCCCCGCCGCAGCAAACCTGCTGTCTAAGCGAATTTCCATTTGGCTGAATTGATTCTCAATCGATCTATTAAAAAAACATTAGGTTTAACGAGTGGGTACCTAGGTTTGCTGCAACAAGGAAACCAATAAAGTGTGTGTTTTAAGTAAAATAATTATTGCTTAGTAGAAAATGAATATATTTGCCAAGTTTGAACAAAAGATATCCATAAACAAGCAAACTACAACATTTTACAATATTCTCCATAAGAATAACATGGGAATTTTAAATTTACAATTTTTTTAGTTTTCTCCGTAACCAATAACTGTACAAAAACACTTTGATATACTGAATTGTTTGTTTTTTTAAGCTCTTTAAGAAGGTTTAGAGAAAAATTGGGAAATTTTGTGTTTTCAGGGTCAAAAGTGAGAAAAACCCATTTTTACCCCATAAAACCCCCCATAAAACCCTGTTCCCATGGTCCGATCATGCTGGATCGCGAACTCATTCAAGTTTATCCCGCCTTACACCTTCAAACCAAATTTCATCAAAATCGGATAAAAATTACTCAAGTTATCGTGTTCACGGACACATATATATATAAATCTATATACATACCTATATATATATATATATATATATATACATATATAAAAATTTGAACGAATGGTGTTTTTGGCCTCTGGGGACATCAAAATGAAATAGTAAATCGGTCCCGGGCCTAAGTCTTACCATGAGACCTACGGTAATAGCTACTTCCCTATAGGGAAATTCGCTAAAATGTGGTATCTAAGTGTCAATCTGTTTATTGTGAGCGCTAATTTATACAATGAGAACAAATAAAAAGGATCTTTCACTGCAAACAATTCAGTGTTTAAATGTATACCAAACAAGTCAATATTTTATCAGCTATTCTTTTACCACTCACAAAAATTTAGTATAACTATGAATATTTTTGCTAGTACTAAATTCCCATTTATCATTTTGGTTTGCTTCCTTTTGTGTTATGAATTCCATCCAAGTTCTTATTTTGCATTTTTCCCAGTTTTCAATACTGTATGTATAAACAGGCGGACATTTATACACGTGTGCAGGGGATATGTGTTCAATAAGCTGTCTACATACCCTTGAAACGTGTATTTGATAATACCGTAACTTTAAACCCCCAAACTACCTTTGAATTGCGATCCAATTCATACAGGGAATTTTTTTGGAACATGTTGCTTTTTATGCTAAGTTTAAATCAGTTGATGAGATCTGGTGTGATGGATGTTGTCAGCAGTCAGATGATGGCTGTCTTTGTCGAGTGTTTTGAGAGTCAATGTTAGCTCAAGCGGAGGCCAGTCGGTCTCTCTGACGCAGAATCTTGGCAGAATGTCACACTATTTCTGTCACTCGCATCTGCGTCAAGTTCATTCTAACTGTGTGTCCCTTTATTTGCAAACTTTTCATTCGTCTAAGGATAAGATTCGATCAATTAGCGCTGAGTATTCAGAACTATGTTTTTTTAGTTTGTAATGCAAGTTGTATTTAAATATCCAAACCCTTTAAGTCCTAACCAGGTTCATTGGTTTGATTGTGACCAATTTTATCATTATTTTCCGCTTTTTGTGAAAAAATAAATTCTTTTTGAAAATTTTTTTAATGTCAGACATTGTAAGAAAAAGTAAGAATTAGCTAAATTCTCGATTTGACGTTGACTCTAGTCTATGGAATCTACCCAGCCTGTCAACTTCCGAACACTATCCACATTTATATAGGTTGTTTAATTTGTTTTAAAAATACATTTCGCCTAAGGATCATTAATACAAGTTGTATCATTGTACGCGTTTTATTAAATTGACAATAACAATCACAGCAATTAATTATCCCAATGTCATTTTGTAGTTTACAGAAAATATAATTGTATAACCATTGTTTTGATTTAACAGCTTCATCGGATTGTTTTATGAGTTAAAAGTGACTTTTTGCATTGTCATGAAGCAACACAACAAAACAATGGGCTGTAGGCCCCTTGTCTCACAATGATAAGACCCCCTTCCCTCTACATGGCTATTTGCATTTTTAAATCCCTCACATTCAGTTTCCTGTTAGAGAATAGTAAATGTGAAGAGTGTTTTTCGCAAAGAGAGTTAATTTTACTTTCTCCCCCTATACCATAGTATATGGAGAAAGTATTGTTTTCGTCAAAATTTTCGAGTTTGAGTTTTGAGTGGATATATTCGTTTTGGGTCCCCCTGGACCCAAAAAAGTGGTTTTCGAAGTGATGTCTGTGTGTGTGTGTGTGTGTGTGTCTGTGTGTCTGTGTGTCTGTGTGTCTGGATGTGTACAGAGCTAGAGACTACACCTGTGGTCCGATTTCGATGAAATTTGGTATGTAGGTTCTAATCCATGGTATCTCCAGGTGTTTTTTTCATTTTTTTGAAATTTTGATTTTTAATGGGGATTTCCCCATAAAAACCCATAAAAAACTGGAAAAATTGGATTTTCTCAAAAATGGCTCGAACGATTTTGATAAAAATTTAGTATGTTATAGCCCTTTAAATTCTGAACAAAATGGTACAAATCCCATTTCTGTAAAAATTACGGTTCAAAAGTTATAGTAAATTATGTTATTTTCCCATAAAAACCCCATAAAAAACAAAAAATGGAATTTTAGACAAAAATCCGGTTTTGATTTAACATAGGAAAGTTTTTTTTTATTTTTTAGAAATTTTGATTTTTAATGGAGATTTTCCCATAAAACCCCATAAAATAACGGAAAAATAGTATTTTCCCTAAAATGGTTCGAACGATTTTGATAAAAATTTAGTATGTTATAGTCCTTTATATTCTGAACAAAATGGTACAAATCTTATCTCTGTAAAAATTACGTTTCAAAAGTTATTGTAAATTATGTTATTTTCCCATAAAACCCCATAAAATAACGGTAAATCAGATTTTCCCAAAATTGGCTCGAACGATTTTGATAAAAATTTAGTATGTTATAGTCCTTTAAATTCTGAAGAAAATTGTACAAATTCCATTTCCGTTTATTTAATCTCACCGCTTACGCATGATAAAGGTTGTTGACAAACTTATGGGAGAAAGTATGTGTCAGAATGCTGATACCGTTTATTTTAAAGAATTATCATACATTTTTTAATTAATTTAGTAAATAACATTTTGTTGTGACATCCTTTATTGTTGCATATTTCAGAGAAGTTTTTCTAGTTTATTGATCAATATCCCTTTGACAGTTACAAAAAAAGGCCTCATTTCCATTTTCCAGTCATAGAGCTTTTGCCTACTCCATAATAAGCTTAGCAATCAAGCAAATTTTGCGTGAGAATGGTAATTTATTGATTTTTATACTTTGAATCCCAAAGGCTTATGGACTGTGAAAGAATATCATTGATAGACATTTCATTTAGCATTGAAATGCTACAACAATCACTTTGGATTGTTACATTTATAACAAACTATCTATGTAAGCATAATTCAACAAATCTGTTGACACACATACCTGAAATGCATTTCAACATAAAAATCAACCAGAACATACTTGTACTGCGAGTTTACCAGTTTTATTATTGTTGTGGGCCAATAGGCTTGAGAGGTTGGCAACCCTGTTAGGCACAGCACTGATGGTAGATCAAGGGTTTAAACACTGTCCAGGCAAGTCAGCGTGTAACCTATGAGTTCACCAGTCTGGCTGGCAGAGCTTGTTGGGAAAGGCCCGCCTAAAATAAACTGTGGAAGGCTCAAGTAGAATTTGGCAGTAGGGGTGAATTCTTTGAGTTGCACCTCAAATCTACCATTTTGCTACCTTAACCATAGTGATTATTACTAGTACTTTCTTACTTACTTACTGATGTAGCCACTAGTACCCTAAATGACACTTGGCCTCCTGAACACACTGTCTCCATACATCTCTTCATCTTACCCTTCTTCCCAGTTTTCTTATGTCCTTTTCTACTTGGTCCCACCATCTCAGTTTCGGTCTACCAAGGGGTCTCTTATTCCTTCTGGGTTGTTCTCCAGTACTTTCTTTGGTAAAGAGTTGTTCTTTGCCCATCTCATACTTCTACCCCATACCTCAGTGACAATGTCCTGATCTTTAAATAATTCTCTCAATTGACAAATTATGCTTTCATCAGGTTAATGTAGGCATAACTAAATCAATAAAAGCCAGGACCTCAAAGGGTTGATGGGATGTGTTAATTTCACTTTCAATTATGGTAAATATTAATCTATAATAATTTTATCTGAATAAAAATTGCCAACAGGCCAGTGTGGATTCACACTCACAGGTTATTAAGGTTGTTCCAAGTTATATAAACGTCATCATTAATATAATTTATAGATGTCATGATAATGCAATTGCTTTGATAAAAAGTTGATTAAATACAAGAAACTATAAAATACTGAACTTGTAAATAAACTTAACCCCAAAGTAAACTATCCGAGGAACACAGTGATGGATTGGAGGTAGTAAACAGTGTAGTGTCGTGTGAAGTGTGCGCGATGGAGAATACTCTAGTGTTCAAGAACGGTGGAGTGTTTGGGCCGTCAATGCCCACCATCAACTGCCAAACTTGCCGGGCTCGACGGCTGAAAAGACTGATGACGGCGTCGTTCCCGCAACATCATTCTGACACCTGGTTCGTACTGAGACTATGTCTTAAAGTTAAATAACTCATTAATCATCATGCTTTTTGTTTTAAGTATTATTTACATTTGTTTTCTGCAAATTAAGTCTCCAGTCTAAGGATCATAACATCAAAAATGGATAAACGTTAGATAATTTAGAGGTTTTGCTTACCATCTGTAGCTAAGATAGGAGGTAAATGGTAGAAGATTTAAGTTTAATTTTTGTGAGCTAATCAATGTTAATAGTACAGCAAAAATTAAATATTTTTCTTCCAATTTACAAAAAGAAAATACAGTAAAACCTCGATAGTTCGACACTTTGTGGACTTAAGGGATGTCGAACTATAGGGAGTAAATGGAGTTTAATATACAGGAAAGTAAGAACAATATAGAAATCATTCAAATTTATTAAATACTAAAAAGCTTAACAATTTCCCTGTTCATTAGTTAAGTCTCAAGTCAACAATAAATGACAAATTAATGTTCAAGTCAGCTTACACCATTATATTAACCATTAAATATCACTTGACGAAATAGCTGAGCCCGTGTCGAACTTCAGTAAGTGTCGGGAACTATCGAGAGTCGAACTATCGAAGGTTTACTGTATTATATTTTTCTTTAAATTAACATGAACTGCCATTTACAAAACCAACACATAAAATCCAAGACCCACAATAGTCTAACATACACACTTTGTGTAAAATAAAAATTGGTAATTTCAAAGTTATACTAACAAGTATCTTACAGTATAAATATTGTCTATCAATTCAAATTTTGTTGTACATTTTTTACAGAATTAACATTACAGTGTTTAAAACCAACCTACACTGTAAGATTCATTAATAACATAAAGTATACATACAGAGCAAGTAAATAATTAAGATGTGTACTTTGTATAAAGAAGAGACAAGAAGTTTACATAAAAAATCATTAGTACATTAAATCACACTTTAGCATTTGTATTTAGTCAGTTTTATGTATTTAGACATAAAGTCATTTATACAATTACATTGATTATTCCCCTCATATAAGCAGAAAGTTGCTTTTGTTCCTTTGTTTCAATTTTTATAATTATAATTGTTGGGCAAAATCTGTATTTATCCCACATTTTTATTAGTAACAAACAACAAATAAGAACATGTAAACATATAAGATTGAATGATGTATGTGTGGAAAATGTGAACCAGAGAGAAACAGTCGTGAATAGGGAATCACCAAGACGTCATTAAGCTGTGTAGTTGACAGGGAAGTCATCTAGTCATCAACCAAGTTGTTTTGAAAACTCTGATTCTCTCTTGCTTTCAATACACCAACTGTAATCTTCCATTAAATGTATTTTATCCCTGTATTACAATGTATCATATTGTCATCTACAGTGATAAAAGTGTTGGATCTTAATAAAAAATATGCTTGATTAACCATGGATCAAACTATGCACAATGTTGATCACTGAGAAAGTTTAGACATTTACAAACAATTTTATTGCCAGATTTGTTATCCCCTATGTGCATTAATATAGCATAACCATCGCTCAGAAGATTTTAATTTGATTTAGATAAACTAAGGCCCCTTCAAGTACCCGTAATGTGTAGCTTCGGTATCGGTACATAAGATATTTAACAAGGTATGATTGAAATTTGTACTGACAATACAAGTTAAAGCCGGGTTTTCCTAGGTGCGGAAGCGGAGAGCGGAGAGAGGAACGCGGAGAGCGGAGAGAGGAACGCGGAGAGCGGACTCCACTTGTCTTAATTTAATGTTAGGCCTACTGTTTTCCTAGAAGCGGAGCGGTACACCATGTTAATCTCTTTTCCGCGTTCCTCTCACCGCTCTCCGCTTCCGCCCCTAGGAAAACCCAGCTTTAGGCATGTGTCCCAAGTTCAGCTGAATATAAACTTATATTCAACTAAGAGAGAAGAATCAATCACCACTAGCAGGAACTTTTGCAACAAGCTCTGCTAGACTTGTGTTAAATGTAATCCTCTTTGGTTTAAAACACTTGTTAGCAAACTTTGGTATTCATACAAGCAACCATTCCCTCTGATAATTGTTGTTATATAGTTTCCATTTTGTTTCAGTGAGCTCAAAAAATTATCGGAAGAGAGTCTCACAAGACAACCGGAAGAGGTGTTTGATATTATCTGTAAATTAGGAGAAGGGTAAGTGAAATTATTTTCTATATCTTAAATTATATTTCATTTAAAATGTGTACCGAACTGTATCCATGAAAAAATCAAATAATTTATTATTTTGAACCATGAAACAACAAATAAAAATATGTACAAGAGAAAAACAATTTGAGTTCAAAAATGTTTAAAAGTTTCATGTTATATTTGTGGCTATTGATACTCTACTGTTAACTAAATGCTCTATTCTTATATGAAAGCTATAAGTGTTTTAGATTTTTAAAAGAAAAAAATTCACTACGCCAATGACACAGTGTGCTGCTTTCAAATACCATAATATTTCTGTTATACACACTTTGTTTAACAATGCTATTTATGGTAACTCCTAATTATCATACTAACATGAAAAAATGAGTAGAATTTAAATCAAACAGACTTCAGAAAATTATTCATCACTTTGCTTTTTGAGGTAAAGAAAACAAACCTGCCTTTAGCTTGTTTAAAAAAATATGGGATGTCTATCTTAATGTCCAGAGAGTTACAATAAATTGTAACAGAGGTTCATCCTACAAGTACTAATTTGATTCCATGTCAAACTGGCTGAAGTAAAATTACTTATGATTTGAATGACACTTTTGATCACTACATAATAATGCCTCTTTCTGTTTGCAGTTAGATAGTTCAACAATGAAAACAGCTTGTTTAAATTATAAACATTAAATTGTAAGGCAGCACTAGTGTGTGTAATAGGCAAATGGGGAACTGATTGAGAGCAAGAGAAAATCAGCTGATAGTTTTCCCTTGCTCTAAATTTCAGCTTGATAAACCAATTATTTTCTTTGTCATCAGCTGTCATTGAAAATAGCTAATATCTGTCCCGGTTATGAAAATACCTTAGTTGTCTGCACTTTCAAATTGTTAACTTGGTGTAAACAATTATAACTTTGTACTTAGATGTATGAAAAAGTAAACCTTGAAACACACCAATTGAAAATACACCAAGTCAACAGTTCAAACACATAAGACTGTGACACTTACATTATTGACATTGAGCATCAAAATGCAACTTTGGGTCTAAAATTAATCCATACAGTTTATTGAACTGTTGTGTGCAGATCATATGGCAGTGTGTACAAAGCCCTTCATAAGGAGTCGGGCCAGGTATTGGCCATCAAACAGGTGCCTGTGGACACTGACCTGCAGGAGATTATAAAGGAGATCTCCATCATGCAGCAGTGTGACAGTCCGTATGTTGTCAAGTACTATGGCTCCTACTTCAAAAACACTGATCTCTGGGTGAGTTAGTGAAATTGTTGTATGTAAAAGATATAAGGAACATGTCGGCCTTAGTCAGTAACAAGATCTTTGTATGGTCGCCATTTATGTTAAAAGTATTCAAGTATGCTTTTGTCCATGTATGGATATTGTTGTTTGTGAGGAGTTATCCAGTTCAAGGAAGGTTCCCTCTTTATTACAGTATACATATAATTTTGATTTTCTTTCTGAACAGATGGACACAGATTAGATGGGCTCTGAATTTCCAGGTCTTTTCATTATCTATATAAATAAAATTAGAGTTTTGTCTGTACATTGCTTAGAATAATGAACTTTTTGGTTATTTTTACATTTCATAGGTCAGAGAAACCGAATCAAACCTTATCTCAATTTCTGTCTGTCTGTCTGTCTGTCTGTCTGTCTGTCTATCTGTCATTCTCTTGGTAACGCTAAAATACGCACTTTATTACAACTACTCCTCAATAACTATAGCACTGTCCCGCCTGAAACTTATTTTCCAAATACTATACATATATGAGATGGTTTTAGACGTATTTCATCGAATATGAGACAGTTAGATATTTAACAGTAAACCCTTGAAAATCAAGTTTTTGTCGATTTTTGACGTGGAATTTCTGGAAGCCCATGTTAACCTTATGAGAAATGAAATTATTGAATCTTAACAGCTGTTTCAATTAAACAAGTTGGTTCTGTTCTGTGATGTTCAATAGCATTAAAGTTACAAGGATTACCAACAGGGTGCAGCACTAGCACTATTATTTCTTTTACATTTATGACAACAGCTAATTTGCAACCTGGAGGCGAGTGAGCGTAGCGAACGAGCTAACCTGAAGGCAAGTGAGCGTAGCGAACGAGCTAACCTGAAGGAAAGTGAGCGCAGCGAACGAGCTCCAACATACAGGTGAGTGAGCGTAGCGAACGAACTTCAACCAGGACGTGATTGAGCCATGCAAACGAGATCAGATAGTAAAAATAAAAGTAAGCCTACCGTTATAGGATCGACCGGCAGACACAGAGGTAATTTAACCTTTTATTGATTGTCATACCGATCCGGAACAACAAAAAACAACATAAAATGAAGCTATGTATAATAGTTTGGCCAGCATATCTTAAAATATGCAAACCAACTGCTGTTCTTTATATAAGAAGGTTTCAACTGAATATTATAAGATCCCCGTGCGTAGAACGGGTACACAGCTAGTCACGTAACTAAAATCCAATGGTGATTTACAGGATTTGCACTTAGGGCAGAAGTTTTAAACTCGTTCCTTAGTAGTGTGGTGATAAGTTTTAGAGGCATGAATGATTTTATTAGGGAACAGACTAAGGTTAAAATTGTGTACTGTAGTTAGAGGATTTTTTTTATGTATTTTTTATGGTGTCTGATAAACACTTTTATGGTAGCCATATTACTCAATTGAGGCGGGGAGAAACTTGCCGTACTTTATAAACTAATTATGAGTGAAGGACAAGAGTAGAATCGAGTGAAATGCCTTGAGTAGCTTTGTTCATGGCTAATATCACATGTTTTCTAAGCCTAGACAATCATCTAATACTTGAATACTTTTAATTGAAATGGCAACCATAAGTTTTTTTTAGGTATTTTAAGCCAAGTATGAATGGGGATGAGTGTAGAATGAGTGGTGCGATCTTGCAGTCTTGTTACTGACACAAATTCATAATTTAAAAAAAATGTCATATTCAAACAGACATATTTTTAAGACGCTAAGACCAACATTTTCGCTAGACAGGACTGTTAATAATTAGCCCATACAGCCAATGGCAGCTTAGGAACCTACAGTTTATAGTGGAATCCGAACCACATTTTTGCCTTGTAATTTACGATTTGGTCTAATAATCAGGATAGTACTGAGGATATTACTCACCAGTACCTTAATCCACACCAGGGAGTATGGCATCCACAGTGCATGCCTTATATATCCACAATAGGCCTACTTGACTTTCAAGTAGCTCCATCCATTTATTAAAGCCCAATAGTAAAGAGTCATTGGATCCAGTTTAAAGCCATCATACACTTTGTGGTTCTTCTCAAGGTTTTTAACCTTCAACCTTTTGATCGTTAAGTTAAGACAATTCCTGTAACCACCCAGCTACCCGGGTACATTGGTAATTTTCAATGAAATAAACCGATTTAAGACGCCATATTAAATTGAGCGTCTTCAGATCTAAATATTTTACTCAATGACTCTAGGTCATATCTACTCTATGTTAACTCATGACATTCCAGATCGTGATGGAGTACTGTGGTGCGGGCTCAGTATCAGACATCATGAGACTTCGGAAGAAAACACTGTCAGAGGAGGAGATTGCGACGATACTCTGCGACACACTAAAGGGTTTGGAGTATCTACACCTGAGGAGAAAGATACATCGCGACATCAAGGCGGGCAACATTCTGCTCAACACGGAGGGCCACGCTAAACTGGCTGACTTTGGTGTGGCAGGACAATTGACGGTAAATATGCGTTTGTAATGTTTAGTGTAGTCTCGTGCTAAAGTTTTGTGTGACCATCAATAGTTCTCATGTGACAAAAATTATAAAGTTACCCTATTACAGTTCTTCCTGATTTTTACTGTAGCAAACAAAAAATAGTGTGATTTCTAGTAATTTAGATATTATCATGTTTACTTTCTCTTTCTCCCCCCTATACAAAGAATATGGATAAACTATTGATTTTTTTTTTTTTCATTAAAACTCCAAAAACTGTATTTTTAAAATAACGCCCTAAACAATAATTATTGAAATTTAGCATGTTACATTCCTCTTAACTCTAAACGAAATGTTATAACCCTAAATACTGTAAAAATTACGGTTCAAAAGTTATAACTTCTTTTGCAATTTTTCCAATAAAAAAAATATTTGTTCCCACACATGATAAGAGTTGTTGACAAGCTAATAAGAGAGTGTCAGATTTATTAAAATGTTTAAATGTGCACAAAATAGTTCAAGTAGCTTTTAGTTATTCAGAAAAACAGTAAAAACACCAAACTAGAAATAAATAAGAATAAATTTTACGTCGTTCATTTTGTATAATCAAAGCTGTAAACAGTTTTTAGCATAACCAATCATGTATCCTGGTTGTTCAGTTATCCCATTGATATATTATAAAAAAAAAAAAAAAACACAAGCCAAATGTAGCACTGTTTCATAATTGTTTGCTTCATTTATTAAATATGATTGTTTGCAGGACACGATGGCCAAACGTAACACTGTGATAGGAACTCCGTTCTGGATGGCGCCAGAAGTTATCCAGGAGATCGGCTACGATTGTGTGGCGGATATGTGGAGCTTAGGTTTGTAGTTCTGTTTTGTAGCCACAAAGATATTATACAATTAGTCAACAAAAGTTGTTAGTAACAATACTATTGTAAGTAGGCTACTGTAATGACATTGATTGTAATTTTTTTAGTTTTGGTTCAGCAAAAAAAACTGTCTGTTCATTGCTGGCTTTACCAGGTATAAAATCAAAAGGATTATGGCCTGGTAAACTGGTTGAATTAACCTTACAGCTGGAAGTCTTTAAGTTAACATTTTAAGTCCCTTTTTTTAAGAGGGCCAGGCTTACAAGTGACCATGGGATTGCATCGCAGCTGGAACAGCTTATTGTGCACCCTTATTCACAGGTCCTCATTCTCCGTCAAATCCCAGGTCCTTGGTGAACCATGAGGTAACCTGTTCTTCCCTTTGATCTCCAGTCGATAGGCCAAGGGATCTCATACGCAGACCTTGTAGGGCTGGGCACATAAATAGCACGTGGAAGGCTGTCTCCTCCTCCCCTCCACGTTTCCTACAAAGTTTATCAATTGTTTCATTATAGTTTTTTTGTAGGAAATAAAGTTAATTTCTTTGTCTATTATTCTGTTTAAATGGTAAAACTTAACATAAAAATCTATTAATCTCATTAAGGCCATTAGAACACCTGTACCGTATCAAGGATTTACTAAGAGACACCTTCGTTATGTGTTTCTACTGTGGCTTGGAAATAATTTATCTCACTCTCATTTACAATAATTTTGTATTCTCTGTGTCTAACTTCACTAGTTTTATTTCATGGTTGTTTTCTGTGTACAACCCGTTTGTAACCTTCTACATTCTACTTATAGGGATCACAGCGCTAGAAATGGCGGAAGGCAAACCACCCTACGGAGACATTCACCCTATGAGAGCCATCTTCATGATCCCCACCAAACCACCTCCATCGTTCCGAGAGCCCGATCAGTGGTCGCCAGAATTTATAGACTTTGTCAGCCGATGTCTTGTCAAAAATCCTGAGGAAAGAGCGACTGCCAGTGAAATGCTTCATCACGAGTTTATAGGTTGGTTTGCAACTGTTGATTATAACTAGGTTGTAAGTCATAGAACAATGAGGGAGCGAGCTGGTCTAGTGGTTGGAGCGCGGGACTCCGGTTCCTGGGGTCCCGGGTTCAAACCCCGCCAAATCACCAATGGATTTTATCTAAGTGATATTGCCGTAACCCCTAGGTCTAGCCTGAAGTAATGTGAAAAACAATTCTAGGCTCATGACTAGCGTCCTAGTACAAAAAAAAAGACTGAACAATACTGTTTGTCAATTTGAAAGCTATTGTATTACTGACTGTGCTGGTTGAAAGTTTGGATAGCTCTAACAGAACTGTTTACAATTATCGAGTCAGTAGACAAGTCAATAATTAATAAATGGAAATGCCTTTAATGCTCTGAAAGTAATGAATTACCGAATTTCTGTAATGACTGTAACCACCAGATGTTGAAGTTTTGCGGAAGTATACTTAATGCATGCTCTTCTGAAACTGTCAATGCTGTAACTCTTTTACCAAACAGTGCAATTATCAAGTACTGATACGATAAGTTTACTCAACTGCATCACCTCAATGGTTCAGTTTAACCAATGCCAAAACAGCCATACCCCTCTTACTTACTCTATGTTTCTTGTTGCAGGAGCTGCCAAACAACCAACGATACTGAGTCAGATGATAGCCGAGGCTCGGGAGATCAGAGAAAACCAGAGCTGTCGGAACAACTCTACAAACGCGGCTGTGTCCAAACAGAACCACATGGAGTCGGTATGTTACTGTTCAACAACATTGCTAGCATTTGCTTGCTTAAAGCATCTAGAGAAAATTTTATATGGCCAAGAGAAGTTTAGGTGTACTAAATCCTAAGTAAGAAGATAATTGTTTGTTAGGCTAGGTTTAACCATTGAATTGAGATACTTAAGTAATTGCCACAATCTAGTCATTTAGATCATCTCTTCCAATAATTTTTACTTTGTCAATTGCAGTATTTTTAATGTATCTGAATTTGCCATTCCTAATGAGGGTTTATTGTATTTCAGGTTTATTTAACTAATATGTTTTATAAAATATGTTATACTATCTACATAGTTAATAGTGAGAATTGTATTTGTGGTGGCTAGGATGAGGACGAGGTGCACAACAAGACAATGGTAAACTACAGTGAAGTGGACAGTGGCACGTTGGTACCTGACAGAACACTGGTCAGCTCTCAGCTGGCCGAGGAGTTGGGCACTATGGTGATCAACAGCGACCCTGAGGACGAGTCTACCATGAAAAGTAAGCAAACATGTTAGATAAGTGAAACTCAGGGGTCCAACAGTGATTGATTTGTGTGTCACACTGGAGGAAAGCTGTTCAAAATATTCACCAGAGGCTTTTTTATATCCTTCCTTCACATGGATGCTAGGCTCCAGCCAAACGCCACTTAACACATTACTCCTGGCTACTGGAGGGCCATGGCACTATTATACAACAAAAGGCATTGGTGTAGGATTTAAGGCCTCAGGGACTGAAGCCTTACATTCTACCACTATACCAGGGTGTTCCCAGATGCCTCTGGGGCTAAAGTAGTACTGTTCGCAAAAGTGAATCAGCTGTACACTAAACAATTTTTTTACCTTAAAATTTTGCTTACGAGTGTGGTTACCGCGAGGGACGAAGTTAAGTGCGGGATTACCAAAGGAGTCCAGTAAATACGTTTTGGACGAGTTAAGTACGATATGTTTCACCATTACTACCATAACAATAGAAAACTGTCAAAATCTGTATTAAGTTCCTACCAATTTAATGACTTGAGAATTTAAATGACAGTTTAATGACCCTAAAGTTCCCCTATGTTATTTGTCTACTTCCCAGACCTCTTGTAGTTTTTCTTCCTGTTTCCTCTCTATTTACGAGTGATTACGAAATTATAAAGTTTTTATCTCTTTCAGGGCATGACACGGGACCAGGGGAATCTGGGAAAAAATACAGACCACTATTTCTAGATCATTTTGACAAGAAGGAAGCTGAGAGTATAAAAGTGAGTGATTTGCAATTCTTTTTTTACATTTTTTTTTTTTTTTTTTTTTTTGCTATTACTGTAAATGTGCACGTGTTTTTTATGGAGAAAGCTTGCTGGATTAAAAGTTTTTCACTAATGGCATTTGTCGAAGAGGGCAATTAAATACATAAATTTAACTTCTGTCCCGGTTATTCCCTGGTCTGGGCGTCGACTAGGCCTATTTAGCTAAGACTTCACAATTCCTCTTTATGTCCATTATTTGTTATTTTCTTTCTCTTCGCCTTGTCCCTCAGTCAAACTCTCTTTATCATATCTCATCCATCTCTGTCCAATCCCTTCTCTTAGGAATGCTCTTGTACTCAAGCTACTCTCAATCACTAGCTAATTCCATCCCACAATGTTATACTCAGAAGAATAGATTGAAATGTCTTTCCTTCTGCTTGTATTCCGCTCTATTCCCTCATTTGTGAATTCACCAAAATATTGCCCCACAAGTAAATTTAATTATAATACTAAATATGTTTCACACAAATAATTATGATTTTGCTTAGTATTATAATTTTAGAATTTGTTTCCTTTTACAGGGCAATGGACAGGCTCCTGTTACCAATATGGCCAACCACCACACCACGATTACTCCGGACCTCAACTCCAATGTACAGAACACCCAGCAGAACAACCAGGTTTGTTTTGAAATCTGCATTGGTAATTTTAACAGTTATAGGTTGTAATTTCAGTGGTGTTTCATAGTATTTAGGGTTGGTAATCTGTGTCTTTTAACATTTAGTTAGCTTGCCAAAATATTTAGAGCCTAGGTGCTGCTAATAGATACACAATGGTGGTAAAAAAAAAATAACACTGATATCTCAGATCGTTTGTACTAATATAATATTTTTTAGATGTTAGATGAATAAAGAATTGATTTTTCTTCAACCTACTTCATAAGTCTTGTTTGTGACTAAATTTCAGTAGTGTTTTGTTACCTTATATTGTGTATTTTCTTAGTGATGTAGCTGAATGCTATTCCTTAAAAAATGGGTTTTTACATTTTTTAGATTGTTTTATGGTGTCAGTTATACTAATGTAGTTTGATTCTGATTCAGCAGAACCACGAGGGTGTGGGGGTTGGTGTTGAAGAGAGACAGAGAGTGTTGGTAGCCATCGGAGGCGGCAACAGCATCATGGTTCCAACACAAGAGAACCAACCTAAGTTCCATTCAGCGTTTGTAGACGGAGATTTTGAATTTGTAAGTATAAAGGAGTTGATTCAGTACTCTCCCGATTATACAAGCGCCTCTTGTATAATAATAAAGTTATACTCTCCCGATTATACAAGCCCTCAGGTTATCCAAAGTTGTTTTTGGCCTAAATATATTTTGTTTTCAGTAGGAAAACAATAACTACTTTACTATAGAATGTTTTCTATTTAAAGAAATTCAAAGATAGCAATTAATTTGCGATTTATCGAGACAAATACAGTACTTGGAATAACCATTACGTTTTATTTTAACATTATAATGAACCGAAATAACCATAAAAATTAAAATCTCACGGAACTAGATTGGCCGGCTACGGATGGCAAACTGGACTGGGCCGTCTCCAGATCATAAACAATAGCATGTCGGTCTTTTTCATTACGATTTTTTGATGTAGACATGATTGTGTCAAGTTATAGATCAGGTCAAACTTAAACAAAATATAGGCTAATTTTATGCTTTTAAAACTAGAAAGATCCACCTTAGTTTTAAATTATTAATTTTTTTTACTTTAAAAACTGCTGAGTTATCTGACTGTAATTCTTTTAAATCTTAATTTAACGATGAATTAGTTTCTGTCATAACGAGTTAAATCAGCTCTATTGTTATTTTCAATGAATCACAGATGTTGATTCTATGTATAACCTGTTCACAGTTAAAGTTCCTGAGCTATGATGAACTGCAGCAAAGAATGACAAGTTTAGACTCAGAGATGGAGAGAGAAATCGATGAGTTGCGAAGACGTTACCAGACCAAACGGCAACCTATCCTGGATGCTATGGACCAAAAACGAAAACGGCAACAGAACTTCTGAATATTAGAATATAGAGAAACTTGCTCTGATTTTCATAAAAATAGGATAAAGGAATCTTTGGGTCGTAAGTTTGAGAATAACATTTGTGGCGATTCCACTGTTTTCTCAAGGTTTTGCTTTGCAGACGTGTCGTTAAAAACCATTTGCCATTCAGTATGGTTAGTCTTGGAAGGCAATCATTTCCAAGGCTTGTTAAGTCCAGCATAAGTTAAAATAAAATAGAACTAAAGTTAACACAGAGAAATGAGTGGTTCGAAAGATTAGACATGTATGTAATTTACTAAGATTTTGGTTTAGACTGGCTTTCTTAAAAGTTAAATTATTTAGGTTACCTAATTCAGGACCATATATTTATTCCTCATTTAAAATTAGGCATGTTTTATTTTATTTTTTGATTAAAATTAGTTGTAATAACCTCAGAACTGCAACATCGACTAATATGAGTTTTAAAGAACCTGTTAGATGGTATTGGTGTTTGGAACTACTGACGGATATTAGTCCCCATACAGTATTAGTCAAATGATTATTTAAAGTTTTTTTTTTTTTTTGTAAAGAGCACTTGGCTTAAGAATAATGTGTTAAGAACCAATGGATACTCAGCTAACTTGCATAACTTAGCAAACAATGTGTTCCAGGCCACAGAAAGCACACAAAAGTTAACAATGGAAGTTAGTTGTGGATCGATACTGCACTCAAAACATAATACTGAAAATACAATTTCAATCCACAACTTTAAAATTTATAAGTTTTGTGTACTGCTTAGTATTATTGCTTCCTTACTTTAAACGTATGGAATGATAATGAGTGTGTGCCAGTCTTCCCGTTTTAAATTTTACCTCTGTAACTTGTCTTAAAGTTACCAAGTTTACCATAGTGTTCACTGAACACTTGACTGTTTATGTTGCCATCAGTATTTCAGTTGAATTCATTCTATCTGCCTACATTACCTATAACAAGTTTTTACAGACTGCAAATCAAAGTATCAACACATTTTCCAGAATTATTTGTTTATTTTGTTTACTGTTACTTAACTTAAACCTACCATCAACATGAATAAGCATTTTTTAAGTAGGGTAAAAGTATGGTAATTATCTTAAACAAATGTTCAACTTGTACAGTGTTGGAAAGACCTGTTGTTTTGTTTCTCCCTAGGGAGTAAAAATTTGCTGTTTTAACTCTGATTCTAAGCAATGGCATGTATTGATTGTTTTAATCGGTTGTAGCTTAAAGTTGCATTCTTGTCAACAGTTCGGCAAATTGATAGTATAAGGTATACTAATACAATCGTAATTGACAAAATGATTGAAACACTTTCTAAACAGCTGATTATTTGCGTTGGCAAAATTGAAAAGAAATTAATAGTTGTTTTGAGACGTTATCTTTACATAAAACATATTTAATTTTGTGAATTAGTTTGCTTAAATAATGGTGCAATATTACAAAAAAATATAGTTCATCACACAGGCATAAAGTGTCTTCTCAGCCCTTGCTCATTATTCCGACCTACGCCGTAAAACTTGAGCTCGGATCAAAAAGAGTCACTTTACACTCTATTGATGAAATATACAATTAAGTAGTCTCTACAACTGTTATTAAGAATGATTAGAAATAGTATTCATACAGTTAAGTTAGTAAGTATAACATGAACGTATACATATAGTAAATTTACAATCTTTCCCCATTGCTAAAACTGTATACAATTTGACAAATGACAATATATTGTTTGTAATTTTTAACTTGCATGATTAAGTGTGCTGCATGGGTAGATTTTTCACCAAAGGCTAAAAATAGATTTTATACAACATATTAGTGCACAGAATAAATACATAACAGGTTGCATCTTTAGAGGCATTATAACAATATAAGGAATGGAGTAATGTAGTAAATTCTCCAGTATCATTAATAATCCATGGATTTGTCGTACAATTTTTGTGAGACGGACATTTGATTATAATCAAAACCTTTAAATTTTTAAACTTCATAAGAGTATTTCCTTACATATTTCTCTTCTGAGAAAACGTAATAGTGTATTGTTAGTTCTACATAATGCATAATCTTACTTCCAGACAATACTTTTTACAAATTAGAGTAAAGCATTCAGTATGTTGTTTTGTCAAAATGTGTGTGTATTAGAACTAGCTACTGCCTACAAGAATGTATTACCTCGATGAATTTACCATGATAGTTAGGTGTGATTTTAGATAGAGAGAGCTATGACACGTTGTAAGCTTAGCAGAATTTCCACCGTAACTCTTTGCCTTTGTGAGAGAAAGAATATTTTTTAATCAGCAGATAAATTTTATAGCACAGTTCAAAATCCCTATTTTTTTAGATCAATGTTGGTAAAATTAAAATTGATGTTAACATTTATGGCTTGTATGGACTTTTAGGATAGCATAAATAAAACTGTAAGAGTGCTAGATAAGCAATCAATAGTTACAACATTGTTTAGGATATCTTCTTAAATGGTGGGAGTTGGTGGTTTTCTATGATTTTATTTCCTTGCCAACTCAATTTGTTTGCCATTAATCCACACTAAAAATAAAATCTTGATATTTTTGTTCTCTCTAGATGTTACACTTGATCGAATAGGCCGATATGATTTCAGCATAATATACAGGTTAAGATAACTTTACCTGTGACAATCAAGAATTTTTAATTTAAATTTTATAGTCAGGGAAATTGTGTTGTTACCATGTTATTCCCACCATTAACAAGCTCTTGTTTATTCTTTACTGTAATTATCATGTAATTCTTAAGCTAATAAGTAGTTTATCATTGAGATAAGTATATGTTTTATAACAGTATGCTCTGTGAAAATTAAGAATATTTCCACATTTTTTTTAAATTGAGTCTGATACTTGGATATTATGACTTGTGGTTCTAATCGCCATTATTTATGTCTTGTTTCTCGCTTCTCTTTGGCCCCTTACACCTGAGACCCAAAGCAGCAACTTTTCTACGTAGCTCAGGTATTTTGCTCTGGTGCCCTTTGGAACATGGTTGCATCTTGTGTACATAGTTCCACATGTACAGTGTACATATATTTAGTATAATCGTAATATGATAAGACTGGGTAACTGATGCTAGGTTTATTTTTTACTACCACGAGACAGTGTAATTGTTGTTGGTCGAGTTACAAGTGAGAACTGTTTGTAAACTTAGTAGAATATCGCCCGATGTTGTTGCCATATTTTGCACCGAGAATCAAATTTTGATTGATGTAAAATTTATTTGATTTGTGATATAATATTTTGTATCTAATTAGCTATAAATTTTGTATTATATAGTTTTTATTTAACAATTTTGTAGAATCTGAATGTTTTTCATTTTCTGTTATTTATTTTAACTAGATGGATTAGACGTCTTAATTTGTTGGATTTTAATCGTCTTATTACTGTTTAAAGTAAAATTTACCTTTTTATTGTTGCTGTTTATTAATTTTGTAATAATAAATTGATCACCACCAGAAATTGATTTTATTACCTTACCTTTGATGATTTAAGTTACGTTAAGTTAAGCTAACAGTTATTTAAGTTTCCACCGTAAGACACAAATACTCCCCCACAGCAAACCTGCAGACTAAGCAGATTTCCATTGTCTTAATTTGTAATTAAATCCATTTAAATAAAACATTAGGTTTCACGAGTACCTAGGTTTGCTGCTACAAGGAAACTAATAAAGTGTGTTTTATAGTAAAATATTTAGTAATAGCTTAGTATTAAATAAATCAATTTGCCAAGTTAGATCAAAATATATCCATAAACAAATGAACTACAACATTTTTTACAATATTCTCCATAAAGCCACCCCACACACGGGCGAGCATGTTCGCGAACATGCTCGTGACGGTGTTGGCGACGAACATGCTCGCCCGTGTGTGGGATCCGTCGCGGCGAGCATGTTGGGCTCGGCGCTCGGCTCGTCGGACTTGGCGAGCCCGAACACGAACATGCTCGCCCGTCTGTGGGGACGACCATATGTTCGAGAGCATGTTCGCCGCTGCAACTTGGGTAGAGATAGGCTAAATGATTCCATCGATGTAGCCGCTACTATGATTCCAGTTGGACTCATTACAAGTAACCGTTCCGATTCCAAACGATTACTTCGTTACCGCCATTACTAAGTAGCTGCAATAGACAGTTTGCATTTGTAATAATCATGGTGTCTATACTCTGATGTAATCCAGTTACAGTAATAGATTTAGAATCAATGTTTACAGAAGCTAAATAAATATTTATTTGTGTTTGTAACGCAATAAATACGAATTTAAATTAGTTTCCAAAATAGAGGGTTCATCAATTATAATTTGTATATTACAGTATTACAGAAATGTGTACAATCAATTCTGTAGTAATTTGTCACAGTTAAATAATTCTAAGAAAGGCTAGAATAAGCAAAACTACGAGAAATATTATTGCACAACGATGGAATTTTAACCAACATTATTTTCAAACCATAGCGGATGAATTTAATCCGATACCTTAAGGCCTGACACACACAGTTGATTATTAGATCGGCCGTTTACAAAATCGGCCAAAAATAAATCGCCCCTGATTTGTGTCTAAGAAATAATGCGTATGTTGCAAAAAAACTAAATACTGTAATTGCAGCAAAAAAGCAGGAGTAGGCTAAATACACACAACTTGACTGTCACAGAGCACAAGAAAAGCAAGAATAGGCCTAGAAACCGCTACCGAGCGACGAGCATGTTCGCAAACGCTCGTCCGTCTCTTGGAAACGCCGAGCATGTTCGCCAACATGCTCGCCCGTGTATGGGGGGCTTAAGGATAACAGGGGAATTTTAAAATAAATTTTTTTTTGAATTTTCTCCGTTACCAATAACCGTACAAAAACACTTTGATGGACTAAATTATTTGTTTAAGCTCTTAAAAAGGTTTAGAGAGAAATTGGAAAATGTTATGTTTAGAGGGTCAAAAATGAGAAAACTAATTTTTACCCTAAAACCCCCTTTCCCATGGTCCGATCATGCTGGTTTGCGAACTCATTCAAGTTTATCCCGCCTTACACCTTTAAACCAAATTTCATCAAAATCGGACAAAAATTACCCAAGATATCACGTTCACGGACACATAATATATACAGGGTGTCCCGGAACTCTCTACCAAAATTTTAGAGCATTATTCCTGAGTAAAAAACATAAATACCATATTTAAACTGTCCGGAAATACAGAGCCGCCATTTTGTTTTTTCCACTTGTTAATTTTTTTCCTAAAACATACAAAATGGAAACTTTGCACAAACATTAATGACAACTAGAGTAGACAAAGCTACCAAAAAATTATGAAGATTTTTCAAATTCATAAAAAAAAATGGCAGCCATCTAAAATTTTGTTTCTTAAATAACTCAAAAACCGTTGATTTTAAGGCAATTTTTTACGAATCGATTGAAACCTTATCCTTAAGTTTCCATATCTCAGTTAATACTCGCCCAATCTTACAAAATAACGTGCCAATCGATTTGGAATTATATTGCCTTAAAAAAGTTATTTTAGAAAATTGTTTGTAAAATCAAAGATTTTTGAGTTATTTAAGAAACAAAATTTTAAATGACCGCACTTTTGTTTTATGAATTTGAAAAAAACTTGAAAAATGTTTTGGTAGCTTTGTCTAGTTGTCATAATTGTTTGTTCAAAGTTTCCATTTCGTAAGTTTATCCATTCTTTAGAAAGAAAGCATATTAACTCAGTGCAGTACCCTAAAATTATATTTTTTATTTTAAAATAAAATTTAATAAAATCATTTCAGGGTACTGAGTTAGCATGCTTTCTTTGATATTTATAATAGTAACCCTTTATTCAAACAATCGTGTGTATATATCTATATATAAATATATATCTAAATTTGAACAAATGGTGTTTTTAGCCTCTGGGGACATCAAAATGAAAAAGTAAATCGGTCCCGGGCCTAGGTCTTACCGTGCCCCTTACGGTAAAAGCTACTTCCTTATAGGGAAATTCACTAAAAGCTTAACACCAACACATCTAGAATCATAGCTATATTTTCCATGGGTTAAATATCCTCCCTAATGGCTTCCTCTTGACTATAATAGTCCAAGATGTACCAGTATTTTTGTTTGGTGTGATGATTGTCCAGAAACGCTAAGTGTGATTGAGTTGAGTATCAGCCATACGTTTTTTTTTTGTTGCTTACTTACGGGGAACCAATTTAAAATGTAAAAACCAAACCACTGTTAACTTTCACGTCTAAAATCAACGTTAAATACTGTTCTCAACTCTTAGCCATACAAATGACTTCTTACAGGTCGTCCGTATTAGTTGGGCCAGTCTTTTGAACAGCAGCTTGGATTAATTTCATATAGGTTGTACCTGCTGCCGGGAAGCACAGCAGCACTGTCTGAACAGCATTCAGTTTTATTATAAATAGTTATTTGTGTAACTAGTGGGCGAAGTGGCACTTTGTTGCACTCGAGAGAAATGTTTACACGCGAGTCATAGGCGAGTGTGGAAAGTTTCTCGAGTGCAGCAAAGGCAGTTTACACTCGTGTTACACATTATATTTTTCCTACAGTTACTATAAATCATATAAATAATTAGTCTTTCAAACACTGTACGAAACGTTTTTATGTTAGGTTGAATACAAACATTAAACAAATGATGGAACGCAACAGCTGATCGTAGTCGAGATATCTTTAAGTGTTGCCAACTTATTTTCAAGTGTACACGGATTAAGTGCATAATAAAAGCACACTATTTTGTGTTGTTTGGTTGGAATACTGGTGTGCGCCAAAGTAAGGCTTTCTGTACTATAATCTGTGCAAGGGAGCCGACTTTGTCAGGGTGACTGTAGGAAAATGTAATTTTTATGACTGCTAGTGCCAATTGGGGTAGTGACTAAGGCCGACATTTTCCTTAGACACAGCTGTTCATTAATAGCTACTTTTCACCAGCCTAGTATTACAGTGTTTTAGTTTCACTAACAAGACTACAAGATCGTGCCACTCATATCCATTCATACTTGGCCTAAAATACCTACTTTGTATAATCGCCATTTCAGTGAAAAGGTATTAAAGTAGTTGGATGGCTGTCAGGCTGAAAGGTTTTTAAAATTATTAATATATCAAGGATGATTTCCATCAGTAATATGCTAGTATCACACAACTGTGGGCAAAATAATAACACAAACATAAAAAGAGTTATTTAATCATTGGTGACAAAACTAATACATAATAGTACATCAATGTTATACATTGTTAATTACAAATAGAGATGATTGAAATGAAGGTGGGGGCCTAACTTGTGCTGGTCATGGTCCTAGCCATTCTTTAACAGTCTGCCTAAATACCAAGTTTAAGACATAAATGAGTATTAAGCTTAAAACAATAATTAAACACTTAAAACACCAACATACATTAAATTAAATTTGAGAACATATTAACAAACATTTTGAATACAAGTACAAAACAATTATTACTTTGTTATTGCATGCTCGTAGTCGATTCTACGACTTCACCCGATGCTGATTCTATAAAAGCCTTGTTGTTGTCGGTAAACAAATAACAATAACCTCAATCATCTCTAATTTAAAAAAATATTGTGGCATAGCCATAATAAATGCATCTAACTTAAATTAACGTATTGTCAAAAATAACAGTTTTATAAATATTCCTATCGAGTAGTGATTAGTTTTTGTTCTAAGATAAAATCTGAGTAGGTACAACACATAGCTAGCGGCCTTTTAGCTGCCGTCCACAAGGCTCACGTAAATGCAGAACTTCAAAAGGAATGTTAATAAATGCTAAAGTTATAGGGTTTTAAAATCGATAAATACCTGCTTTTGCCTAATTTATCTAATATAAATAGAGTTAAAAATACTACAACTAAATAATTCTTACATACAACTTTCATCCACTTAGTTCATCTAGTGAATGTGTGGTACGGCACAAGTGACAATGTAACAATAAATAAACAAACAAAACAGTGGAAGCTGCTGGAGCTGCTTGGTCATGATGGAGAGTGAGTGGACAGAGTCTTGCCTCAGTTTTAAGAGCTTTGACTGAATGGAAAAGGTGTCTTTATTCATTATAAAACTAATGTGACAAAATTCTGATTTGTTTTCACTCCGACAAATTTTTCTTCGGTGTCCGAAAGTCAGATCTGAACTTCCCACAGTCTCGGAAGGGTGTATGAAGTTGTGTATCTAATATAATCGTAGCTATGCTATATTAATATGAGTAAATATATATTGAGTAAATACGATTATATACATTTAATGGACTGTTGCCTACTGTCCAGTAAGTGTAGGCAAGTATGTACAGAGACAGAAGTAGCCTACAGGAAGAATCGTAACACGACACAAATATGTACAAGTCAATGCGATGGGCCGCTCTGTTTGTGCTATCGTCCGAGTCCGAGTGGTTTGTTACAAAAATACTCTTACAACGTTTTGAATACTGAGAAATAAATAAATTTTGTAAAAATTTCACAATCACAATAAATTCCAGAAAACTCTGAGTGAAATATAATCACAATTTTACTACACAATTTTCACTGGTAAATACAATCCATTACACATTAAAAGTGACGATTTTCTTATGTCACAAACGTCAAACGAGGACTTAACAAAAAAGTAGTCGGTATTTACATGCCACGACGAATAAGGTTAAGATAAACAAATGGGGAAAATATGTTAGAGAGCGCACCTACACAAGCTGTCTGGACGATGTGCGTTACTATACAGGTTAGTAGTCAACAGTTACGCAACTGGACGCGTAGCTGCGGACACAACGTAATAAATATAAAATCATGCACATTAGTTACCATGTAGTATCTCATCGCTGAGCCTGAATATAAATAAAATTATATGGCGAAATTCAGGCGTAAAACTCCCTGTTGGAATTCTTTGTGTACGAGTTAGCGGTGGGTGATCTCTTAGGCTCTTCTAGAGCGTACGAGCCCTCGTCTTTCTTGCGCATCCTGTAGACGATGAACATGACAACAAGGATGGCACACAGAAGTCCGACAACCGCACCTCCGATTACAGCTGCAACACAAAACAATCTTGTCATGTCCCAAGTGACATGTTCGGTAAATGTAAAAGTGTAACTATTTCTAAAAAAGAGAATCTTTAAAAAAATAAAAGTATCCCCGATTTTTAGAGTTGTAGTGAGATTAAAGATGGGGTTACTCATTGTAGTTCGATTTAGGATTGTTTTGTTGTCGTGTGCTCTGTTTCATAGGTAGGTACATCATGCAATGTAAATATTGTTTAACTTGTTATTAGTTTGTAAGAAAAATTGTATTATCTATGTGCTCAATGTACTCATTGACATAGCCAGATGCATTTGTGTAAATCTGGTAGGATAAATTACGAATTGGTTCACGGTATTGTGCCCCAAAAGTGAAATCAGCACTATTAAGACTTAGACTTATCTTTATATATGCTTTAGCTTTAACTCGAAGAAGCTAACACCTGTCACCTTCTGTTACCACAGTTGTAATGCTAGGATATGTCATGAAACTCATTAAGAGAAAACCTACTTCTACTATTTTATGTTTTTAAACTACTTAGAGAACATATATTATTTTATTTCCCATTAAAAAACAACTTGACTGAATTTTCTTTACTATGTATTAATTCATAATAAACGACTACGTAAGATAAGTATTGAGGTTATGAATTTGAACCTACCAGACATAGTGGTAGAGACACATAAATTGGAACTTAAATATAACAACTACAAGCTAACTGCACAACTGCTGGTGAGTCACTGTTTATCTTTGGTGACAATCAAGAGGATAACATTATCTGTCAACTCAAAACTGTCATTTGCATATCTAGTCTTTACTGTGGGAGTTAATAGTGTGTAAATTTTTTTTTTTTAATTAGCATTGTAAATTTGTTTATTAATTAGGCCTACTATGATTTATGAATTTGTCTGAAACCCCATAACCAAGTTGATAAAAAATTTAGAAGATTCTTTACATATCTCATAAATACACTTGTCTCACTTTTCTTTTCAGGTTATAAAGAAATTTTGTGCAGATTAAAAAATTGGTTTACACCCTAGATTAAATTATTGGGATGTTGTACTGTTAAAGAATGGTGTTGCCTTAACAAAAATTCAAAAAATTCAATTTGCAACATATTTTTATTAAATGTTTGTAAATTTGAAAACTACTGATAAGATGTGCTGGCGCATATTTTTGTTAGCACACATACCTTTTGCAAGCAACAAAATATTTCTCCTAATTTATTCCACAAACTGTACTAGTCCTTGAAATTACAACAAAACAAGTATCATCATTTCAGGATAAAAAGCAAACAACAGCATACATACAATTAACTTTAAGCGAATTTCCCATTTTGGGTTTTTCCCATTTTTGACCCAAAAAACATAAAATTTTGCAATTTCCTTCGAAACTATTTTGTAGAGCTTAAAAAAACAAATAATTTAGTATATTGAAGCGTTATAATGCGCCTAATGGTTACGGAGAAAATTCCAAAAAATTGTAAATTTAAAATTCCCATGTTATTCTTATGGAGAATAAGTAAACTGTTGTAGTTTGCTTGTTTATAAACATATTTTGCCCAAATTTGGAAAATGTTTTTATTTCTTACTAACTATTAACATTTTACATAAAAAACACTTTTACCCTCCCTGTTGCAGCAAACCTAAGTATGTTTTAAACTGATTCTATTTATATAGGGAATAAATGTGATATTTTTAAGGAGACATTTTAGTGTAAATCCATTCAGGGAAATGGAAATTCGCTTAGTCTGCAGGTTTGCTGCGGCGGGGGTATTTAATATTTTTTATCAGTTTGGGGAGTTGGGGGGGGGGGGGGGTAAGGTTAGTTGACATTTCATCTTTGCAATTCTCTAAAATAGTTTATAAATATGAAATAGGACCCATTGAAAAGGTAACAATGAATTGGTGTAACACTGTTAGGAAATAGACGACCTTGACCTAGTGGCTGATCACTGATAATAGAGACTCCATGGTCGGATTAATTCTGCCGTCACATTCATCAATATTTACTATTTTGCCTACTTACAATGTTAACCTATTCAAAACATACCACACGAGTTACATTCAACTAGTTGATTCCAATAATGCCAACTTAAGTTCACATTTCACTGAACCATAGGCCTACTGATAAGTGGGGCTTTCAACTGCACAATATAGCATTTCTCCTTTTACCAAAGGTCAATTTGTAACTGACTGTTTGAGGTAAAACAGACGCCAATAGTTATAGCTTCTTTAACACCTGTTGAAATATTCGTAGCAAGGATTGAATGATTGAATATTGTATTAACTTGCATTTTCAATCGTATTAGGAAATACTTAATATGATAGGTAATAGGAAATAAGATTGAGAACGTCAGTAAATGCAATATTCAACACCTGGATATAGATTATTTACAAGGTAACTTAACATACTATCTAGTATGTGTGGGCCAACAGTTTTTATGCTAACAGGTTGCTCTTTACTTTACAAAAGAAGGCGGTGAGGTTAATTTGTAGTGTGAATAGAAGAACACATTGTAAGCCCCTTTTTGTGGGTCTTAACATTCTCACATTTCCATCTTTGTATGTTTTGGCAAGTTTGTTATATGTAAAAGAAAACATTTCTCACTTTGAAAAGATATATGATGTGCACAACTACTGTACTAGATCAAAAGATAATCTGTCTACACTAAGGCATAAGTATACAGCCACTCAAAATAGTTTTGAGTACCAAGGTGTTAAAATGTACAATTTCTTGCCTGCATCCATCAAAAACCTGTGTGTTTTAAAATTCAAACATGCTATAAAAACTACTCTAACCCAGGCTTGCCTGTATAAACATGAAGAGTACTTTGGTTTAGAGTTTTAGATATTTTAGTTGCCAGAGCCATCTTGATTGTTTTGTTTTTATTTTGACGATTGTCATGAACTTTGTACATAGTTTTAACGACAATAAATCATTTCATTTCATTTCATTTCATAATCCATTGTTTACCTGCAAGAATACCAGGCTGTGCGAAGAATGAAGTTGCTCTTTCTTCATGCTTGGCGTTCATGATATAAACATCATTACCAGCAGCGTTGTTGTCGTCATTATTGTCGTTATCAGCATTATTATTGTGGTAGGGACTGCCGATTTCATTTTCATTTATCGAATGGACATTAGTCTGAAAGAAACAAAATTACTTTTATAAAGAGAAAACACCAACAAAATTTAATGTTAGCTTAATATAGCTTTATATCTAATCTAAATTGAGCTATATTAGCTCAATGAAATTTTTTTGTGGGTAGGGTACATCTGTTACAAAAAGCCTGTACAAAATGTTAAGACAATTTTTGCATGTGGACTCAATTTACTTACATATGCCAGAATCCCCTACTCCCTAAAATACAATGGAATATCCACAGGGTGGAAAAAGTCCTGGGACAGTTAAATATTTAAAAAAGTGATAATGATGATAAAGATAAAGATATAGCTTCAAAACTTGGTACACAGTTACTGGGCATTAAATCTTTTTTAAATTATTCAGTGATGTGCTACCTCCTCGGGGACAGCCCGCGGTAGGCAGGGGCGGCTCCAGAGGTGTTAAATATTTGGTAGATATTTAAAAATTATAAATAAATAAAGAAATTTAATTATATGTAAACAAATAAAAAGCATTCAAACTCATTATTTTCCATTTAAATTTTAAAATTCCCCCCTTTTTGCAGGGAAGCCCTCTCAAACCTCTTGTCCCCCGATCAAACTCCTTCTTGATCCTTGTCAGGCCTATCCAAACAAATTAGGCTATTCCTGAAGCCACCCCTGCCGCTAGGAGTCAGAAGAAAATATTAACTATAAGCACAGGTTGATATGCACATCAATTTAAAGGCCTTTACTAAAAGAATACAATGCAGCAAATTTCAACTTAAACGGTCAACCGAGTCAAAAATGGCAGCCGTTTAATACTTCTAGTGGACGGCCCTTGAGAAGGTATGCCTATAACATCAATGCAAATTCAATGCATCTTTTAATAGCTGTCATTTTTTACTCGATTGTCCAATTGAGTTCCTGTTTGCGGCATTGTATTTTACTAAGAAAGACCTTTTACTTGATGTGCATATCAACCTATGCTTTTGTTTAAGATTTTCTTCTAACTCCTAGCAGTCTGTCCCCCCAGGAGGTAGCACATCACTTAATAATGTGTTAAAATGATTTTTATAACTTTATTACTTTTTGTAATATTTAACTGTCCGAACTTGTTTTCACCCTGTTTATATTTAATACATTAAGGATTTTCCTGTTACATCGCCTATTTGAGATTAGGGGATTTTTTAGCCAATAGTCTGGGACATAAAGTCCGCCGGAATTCGACACTACCGAGAGGACACTTAGCCTATCAGTATGCGTTTTAACCACCTGACAAAAAAGAAACATCCCTTTTCCAGCCGTCAGAAAACAGTTTTTCCGTTTGAGGCTTCATTTATGATTCATGATCTAGGGCACCAGCAATTATTTCTAGAGTCCATTTTCAAAGGTCCAGTTCAAAGATGATTATGCTGACCAGCTTTCTTTATAACGGTTTAAATATTGAAGAATTGTAATTTAACAGCTGTTCCTGGAGTTTGATGTTTGTTTAACTACATTCAGCTTGTAAACAAGAGACTAAAAAGTTTATGAATATGTATTTTACGCTACTTTTTTGACAACTGTGACCTGATTGAAGTGGGTACATCACTCTTTATAGTGTATATCTAAAATCAAAAAATGTACTGTCAACCAGTAATTCACCTAATAACTTCTCCAAACAAAAATGATTTTAAAAAGGTAAAAAGGTCATCGCACTGGATTAATTTCGACTCGGAAACAAGTTATGGACAAATGCACAATTTGCGTAAAAGCATAATGGAGCAGGTCTGTGTCAACATTTATTAATTTTGTATGTGCATAGTCCGTAAATTTCCAATGAGTAGTAATACTAATCATTTGATAGCCAAGAGAACAATTGTCACAAAACACTGGATTTGAGATAAAAATACAATCAAGAAGCATGAGTAATTGATAACACTGACTCATTGCAAACAATAAACACTGTACCAATCTGGCCACACGTTACACTATCAAATTTGCATGTTACGAATACTAGGAAAAAATGAACTTTGTACTTTATATTTTATTTTGAATTCTTCTGATAAAATAATAAACACTGTACCAATCTGGCCACACGTTACACTATCAAATTTGCATGTTACGAATACTAGGAAAAAATTAACTTTGTACTTTATATTTTATTTTGAATTCTTCTGATAAAATAATAAACACTGTACCAATCTGGCCACACGTTACACTATCAAATTTGCATGTTACGAATACTAGGAAAAAATGAACTTTGTACTTTATATTTTATTTTGAATTCTTCTGATAAAATATACATCCTCAATGGACTTAGGAAACCATAAGATTTAATGAAGAATTTGTATTAGCTACCTGATACTTGAAACCCCCTATTTAATTCAATCTCGATAACCTTAGTTGAGTTCTGTAAATTGCATGTAACGGTATGGTATCTAAAGATGAAACCCAGTATTTTTTATCAACTCAAGAGTTAAAATCCTGAACAAAAACCTTGGTTAAATCTAAATTCATCAAATGACTGGGATTTCAAGTACAGTAATTGTTTTTAGCATATTTTAAAAATCTAACAGAATCAAAAAAGTAAAAAGAATTGGGTCTATGAGGGTAAATTAAAACAGTGGAAACATTTGGAAAAGTTGTATAAAGTTTCTTTTGGATTTTTTTAAATCTATGTTTGTTACTGGAGTGAAGTTTTAAAGCATTTATAGCTTAGTTTCTTAGGTGATGAACCGGTACCGCATCAAAAACTTACTCAGCTAAAAACCCCTCTCATTTAGTGTTTTAAATGCCATTGAGTTTACACTCGGGTAGGTGCCCATGTTGGCTTTCAACCCGGAACACATCACTACGATGTATCAGTTTGATATGAGACAAATATCAGAGCTTATCAGTTTGATATTAGATCACCAATGTAAACATTACAAGCCGGGTTACCTTACACAACACAGGTTATTTCTGGCCTCTGATCCGGCAATGTACACATCAACTACCTTTCAACAAAGGTTATTTTTGCTCTCCAATGCAAGCAACAGGGTAATAACACTTCTTTCCGGCCAGAGGCATATACAAAATAATTTTACTTAGTTTGTCATTTTTATGCACAACAAACAAATTATGCTTCCAACTAATACATTTTGGGCCAAAATAATTGTATTATTAGTATTTAATTGCAAATATATTATACTGAAGCCACAATAAATGACTGAATAATGTGTTAAAATTATTTAAATGCCCAGTGACTGTGTACCAAGCTTTTATCTACATTATTTTTTTGAAATATTTAACCATCCCAATCCGACTGTTTTATACAAAATATGCAGAAGATCTGAGACGTGTAATGTAATTAAGAAGTTATTTGTTTAGATATATTTTATGAGAAAATATAAACAATCTGAGCAAATTATGATCATTAAACGTACTCATCAGAATAACATTTGATTGGAAAATTCATGGTTAAATAAGGAGTTTAGAGTAAAAAATGGCTGAATAGGTTAGTAAATTGGCCCTAACAAAATCCAAAAACCTATGGAGATTAAAATATTTAGATACAATCTTATATGGGAAGTCAATTTTTAATCCATGTGTAGATGAAGAGACATGAATCAAACTGATAGCAGTAAAATTTTCAATCTTGTGAGAAACATACTTTCCCACTTATATGGAATTTCTTGGAGTGTTCGGACTCCTTATCTACATTGTATTTGCCTTATTTTAACTGTCAACTCTAATTTTAGTTTATCTTATTTTAATCTGTATTTCCTGTTATTGAAAAGTACATTAAAATTCAATTGTGAACAATTTTTATTAGTTTTCAAATGTAAGGTTTAGATTCAAAGGTTTGCAGAACACTCTCTTAACTGATCCTCAGGGGGGCCGTGCAGTTAAATAACCAACAAACTTAATTAAAATGGTCAACTATGTAACATTTTAAAAAACTGTGTACGTGCATATACAGTTTACTCTTGGTAATTCAAACATTCAATCGAACAAAACAAAAGCTCAGTCCCTAGATAATCTTTTGACATTTCAAAGTGTTACCGGATGCATTTTGAAACGCTTGATATTTTAAAGTTCTAGCAGAGAGCAGATCAATTTGGAATACAAAGTAATTTGACATTTAATTTGCAAAACTAGGCCTATATAATTTGTGAAGTGAAAGGTAAAACTCACACCACAGTTAAACATAGATACTTTATTAGCCAAGATCCCAAAAGTAAGTCTTCAAGCTCAAAACAACAATACAATAAAACAAACATCAAATATGCAACATATGATAACAATTATAAAAATACCAAACAGCACATCTTCTCTTTTCTCTTTTTTTAAGTTTGTTTATAAAAATCTGAATCACTGTATCTACGAGGTGGTTTTACACTTCTTTTAGGTCTGTCATTTTCATTGCTATTGTAATTATGTCCAGCATCAGTTTCAGTTCCTTGGTCTTCTTGGTATTGGTGTTCAAATCTATTTTCACCATTTTCAATAGGCCTATGCACAGCTATTATATGTCTCCTGTTCCTTCTGATCTTCCCTGCCTGTGTATTTATCAGGTAGGACCGAGGATGATTTGATTTATTCTCAACATGTCCATAACGTTTTAAATCTGGAATCCAAACTTTGTCATTTTGATCAAGCTGTGAGAGATCTCTTACACCTTTCCTTACATCGTAATTTCTCTTATTTCTTTCCTTGATTGAAAAATCCTTCTCTTTAAACTTTTGCAATCTTTCCCTTGTTACCTGTCTGAAGTTATTTATTGACGGTAATGTTGATCGGAGCTTCCGTGAATAAAGTAACTCTGCAGGTGAAAGACCAGACTCTAAGGGTGTATTTCTATATTCTAACAATCCAAGATTTGGATCACTACATTTCGTTAGAATCCGCTTCGCTATGTCAACTGCTTTTTCTGCTTCTCCGTTTGATTGTGGATACCTTGGGCTTGATGTCACTATACGGAAACCATATTCTTCAGCAAACTTTTTAAAATCCTGAGAAGTAAATTGCGGACCTCCATCAGCTCTTACCACATATGGTACTCCATGTCGAGCAAATATATTTTTCAATCTAGCAACCACAGCTCCAGTAGTCAATGCATCCACATAAACCAGTTCAAGAAATCTAGAATAGTAGTCTTGCACAACTAAATTGAAAACCTAAAACCTATTTAGGGGAATTGACCATAGAAGAGGTTGGAGGACAAAATCCTTGTAAAGTAAAACTTAATGTTAAGGGGCATGATATTTATTTTAAGTTAGACACTGGAGCAGATGTTTCTGTAATTGGATATGATCTTTGCAAGGAGTTAAAACTGGAAACGAGTGAAACAAGTAAAATATTATTTGGTCCGGGGAAAACTAAGTTGAAAGTGGTTGGTAAGATCGTTGCTACTTTAGTGTTTAGAAATAAATCTATTGTAGAAGATATTTACGTCATTGAGCAACAACCTACTCCACTTTTAAGTAGAAATGCAATGTTGAAATTAAATCTAATTCAGTTAAACATAGATACTTTATTAGCCAAGATCCCAAAAGTAAGTCTTCAAGCTCAAAACAACAATACAATAAAAACAAACATCAAATATGCAACATATGATAACAATTATAAAAATACCAAACAGCACAATTTGAAGGGATGGAAGTGAATTTATAGATTTATTCGTATAATAACAGGAAATTGTACATTGTAAGGCACAGTTTCTGGTTAGCAGTGTTTGCTCATTGGAAAAGCTGCTAAGTCTAGGCTTTTTACTGTATTAATATTAAGTTGGTTGCTGTATTTAATTAATTAAAGTTGCTAAGGGTAATACCATAGACTAACAAACACAAGTAGACTTCTCATCCCATTGTAAATTTTAAAGCTCGTATTTTGTGTATCGTTTATGTCCGATGACACTAATCGTTAGTATTGACAAAATTTAGCTTCTATTATTTGAGGGTTATTTCATAATTTGTACATTACTGTTTGGTTATATAGCTAGGGGACAAGTTATTGTTTACGATGAGATAGATTTAAATGGTCAAACGAAGTTTTAAATGACAGAAATAACAAGAAACAAATTGCAAACAAAACACGACCTCTAACGTGCATCCGACAGAACTAAAAATAAAATTGGCTTCAGCTGTTTCATAAGGATGAGAAATCTACTAAGGGAGTATCATGTTTTATATATGGTAGGCCTAATACTATATCTTCAACTACATTTGGTTTAATTTAACAAGTCAACTCACGTTATCAGTCCTCGTGATGGGAGGTTCCTTGACAGGTGGAGGGTCAGGCTTGTCAACGACAATGGTTCGGCCACCAACCGTGTTGCTTCCTGTAAACACACAACTTGTTAATATACAAAATATTGACCGAAACAGTAAACTATTCAGTCTTTAAACATTACTGTTCCTTAAGAGTGGGCAGTAGCAGTCGGCCATATTGGATTGATGCTCCATAAGAACAATGTAATCTTTTGAACCATATAGCGCCGTTATTTTTAAACATAGAACTACGTTTGATGTGTCATTGGAAAGAGAATACAATTCTACAGGGGGTTTGCTTTTTATTTTTTTGATTAAAGAAATATTAAAATAATTATAGCAAAAATACGCTTGTTTAAGTTTACAAATTTGTGGAGGATTTTCTAAAGGAATATTTGAAATTCGAAAAAGCAAACCCCCTACAAAATTTAATTATCTATCGAATAAAGTTTGTTTCAAGAAGATCCGACGTAAACTGTGCACGTGATATGGTTTAAGAAAATGCATGTTTTTGCTGCGCGTCGCGGCGGTATTTCGGCGTAGTAGTCTGGCAGATCTCCGTGAGATAGCAGCACGCTCGCGCATTTGGCGGGAGTTCAAATCAGGTTATTATGGTTCTACATTCATCATGCGCTGCTAATTTTATAGCTTTTTTTATTTAATGTGGAACAAATATTGTTACGAAATTATTGTTATGATTATTGTTGTCATAGTTATAGTTATTGAAAGAAAGGAAATGAACTGGGGACAGTAAGAAATGGCGTGGTGTTGAATACATTTTAAATTTGAATACACGTATAAAATATGTTATAAATTTATCAAATACTATTTCTTAGTTCTATACTGATATAAGTACAACACCAAAATGTGTACAATCATTATAAATGATATGCCAGAGCCTTCCTGTCCCACGCAATGATTTGAAACGAGATACAGTTTAGTAGAAATATAAAATCTTTAAATACAATATATACATTTAAGGCATTAAATTATATTCGTTTCATGTGATAACGGGCAAATTTCATAATTTAACTAATATTTACAGATGTATTTGAACGAATTAGTCTGCTGGTATAAAAAATTGTTCTATTTATAAAATAAAATTTTAAATGCCTAAAATTCAATTACATAATTTATAATTATAAAATCAAACTGTCATAACCTATCCAAACTATAAACTATAACGATAATGAAGAAATCGAATCAAAAAGTTTGTGCCTCCGGAGGTTTCGAGCCGGTAACCTTTAGAACGTTTCTCCGGTGCGATAACCACCACACCACCGAGACATGATGCGAGTCTGTGGGGAACGCATTCTCCTAAACCTCTAGGTCGATCACAGCATAGATAGCAACCCTACCCCCCACCTTGGCCGACGTCTCGGCCGTACACACTGTAACCACGAGACACATTGCACTCGCCCCACCCCTACACCTTGTATTTCTTATTTTCGCAAGTCACGTGATAATGTTGAAAAAACGCGCCAATTCCATCCTAGACATTATTGTGAACTGTGAGGTTATGTTCTAGGCTAGCAACCTATTTGGTCTGCTGTGTCCACAAGTCCAGTGACGTTTAGAGTTCCCTAGTAATAATTCGTAGTTCTACTTACTTACAAATGTAGAAAGTCATTTCGTGTGTTTCTTTTTATTTACGGGTGTGGTATTATAGGAAATAAAAAACGACCGTTGCGAAGAAAGGTGAAAAACAGAGGTGGTGAAAGGTTGGCTGAGTGGAGAGTATTGAGAGATTTTGGTGTTGTGGGAACTGGGAAGTAGAAAAAGAAAACTAAGTAGTGATGTTGATGAGCTGATTGCTGATGAGGCGATGAGTTACCTCTATGGCCCGGCGCATATTGAGACGCAGTCGGAGCAGCGCAGCGCAGCGTAGTGCAGCGCAGGGCAGTGTTTTGTAAACCACATGTTCGCTAGGAAACGCGCATATTATGGTGCAGCGCAGGGCAGTCCCGCACGTGGACTGCGCGCACATGTGGTCGAGTAACAAGTGTCTGTGCCGCATTGCTCACCTGCGCCAGGTTTACGCTTTACTAGTGTTTTGTGACGGATCTAGAGGATAATTAATAGAAATTGTGCATTTTTATCCAGTTTTTACGTTACCAGTCATAAAGTATTATATTGTCTGTGGTCATAGTAACAAATAGTAATTGCAAGAATGAAATTTGGGAGAAAATACGAAAAACATTAAACATTGCAAATTTTTTCGCCCTTTCTTTCTTGTTCTCTTGTGAAGAAGTGACAATAAATCTAGATCAGCACCTGAATCTGACTCAGAACTCAAATCCTAATATTTCACAACATGTTCACACATAATAAACTGTATCACTCCTAAACGAGAACTGCACGACACTGCTTCCCAATTTGCGATGTCAACTGTGCAACACAGACTTTTTGCCCAATTCCGCCTTGTGCTGTGCTGCACTGCCAGTATCGTGCCACACAGCTCAATACAATATGCGCCTGGGCTTTGTAGACAATTCCACGCTATCATCTGATCCTACTGACTGTTTGGGCAACTGTGATATTACCGGTCGTAGAATAGTTGACATTTGTTATTTAGTTGATCAATTTGTCCAACTAAGTTAACATGCGCCTCAATTCGGCTGTTCCCTCAGAAACCTGAAATTAGTTAGTGAAATAAAAAGAGGGCTTAGGAGTGGGTTTGTGTTTGATTGCAACATTTGCCACATCAAACAGACAATATGGAGTGAGCCTGAACCTCGGGAAAATGCAATGTCAATGGACATAAACAGTGCAGCAGTAGCCGGTTCTATTACCAATGGCGGAGGATTTGTCGCCTGAACGGCTGCTGTCTGCAATGAATGTTCGTACCATGAACCGGAAAACATATGACAAACATGAAGAACTAATTTCGAAAGGTTGGGAGGAAACTTGCCATTTGGAAACCAAAAGGTCTAAAAACTGTAAAAATTGATCGGGACGATGACTTTTGGGAAGTAAACATGAAAGAAAAACTTGAAACCTTTTATATGAAATGTTTACTTCCCGAACTTGTAAACTCACCTCACAATATTCATTTAGGCTAGGCCTATTCTATAAATGTTTAAAGTTAATAAGTTAACAAAGATATGCGAATTACAAAAGGTGTTTTATTGAAACAAATGAACAAACATGCAATGAAATTTAAAAGGCTTAACGTTATAATGAAAGGACTGACAATGGAGTGTGGGGGTTGAAATTAAAATGAAATAGAAGATAAGTTTTATAATAAATTTTAAGTATTATAAGAAATGTTGATAACCCAAGTAGCAGAAAAACGAGAAAAATTTGTTTTAATATCAATTTTAAACTTATATTAAAACTGTTATTAATATGAGTATAGTTGACAACCGGCAAAATTTAAAATAATTCAAAAATTGTTTTATAACTATATTGCAACAGTTTTACAACAATTTAAAAACTGTTTTGACAACAATTTTAAAATTGACTTTGCAACATGTTGAAAATTGTTTTCACATAGGACCAGCCATCCCATGGGCATATCCTAAACACGAAATAATAAAGATTTTGTGTGAAATGCATATATATCAGTTGAGCATTTTGATTAAATAGTTCATAAAAACAAATTTTGAGAAAAAACTAGAATCAAAATTATCTTCCCCAGCGGGTCTTGAACCCGGGACCTCCAAACTGTGAATTCCTTACCTTAGCACTGAACTATCTGTGGTTGTTGATAATTTATGTTTTCAATCGGTCAAAGAGGAGCGGACAGTTGCAATGGTTGCAATAAATACTTTTGATACTAAGATTATGTTTAGGCCTCAAGTTGTTGAATTGATTTTCTGGGAGTTGAGGAGGATACCGGTATTTGAATGTAGATGAATTAATTAACAATGCTAATGTTATTACAATTATTAAGATTAATTCATCTTCCCCCCTTAAATTGTTCAACTACAAAAAAATTGCTCAAATAACTGAGAAAAAAAAACAAAAATATTTGCATTATTATTATATGTTAAGCAGGTGTTCCATCACTGTATCTAGTATCACAACTATCACAATTAACGTCATCGGTAACTTATCACAAAAATCTGTAACTTATGCATTAAACAGATTGCAAATAACTTCATTCTGTGATGTTCTACAAGCCTAGTGTAAGTGTTTCACAAATTGTATGTTTGTCAAGTGTTGTTTTGGTTAGGCCTATGCCATCCACCATGATTGTAAAGTTGAACAGTATTTACGTTGGTATTTAGAAAACTTGATCTTCAACTAATGTTTCCAACATGTGTTGGATCCGATTTACCATTCATTAATGTAATTACTTAACTTGTTTCATTTTTTAGTAATCTCAGAATTGATAATGTTACACCATGTACATATATCAGATCAACTTAATTAAATATTATTCACCCTGTTTTTGCTTATTTTTCATGAGCATTGTTCCACTATTTTTCTTTCGTACAACACTTTTTTACTCTTCGCATTTTGCGCTAAACTTTCTCGTTTAGGAGCTGCATGATACAAAAAGTAGACCGGAAGTCATTTTTTCATAGGCTGTATCTCCTAAACTAGTGGGTTTATGGAATAAATATCACGAATAAAAAAGTTTTTAAATTGCATGTTCTATCCGAAAACATGATAAACTATAGGGTTTTAATAAGAATTTTCAATTATTGCTTTAGAAAATTTTGTATGATCCTTGTTCCACTTCAAAACTTTTGTTTGTAAACTGATTATATTCCCATAGCATTCTCTATGATATAAAATTGTAACAGGCTAAATAACCATCCTAGATAAATCCACTAACAACGAAGAGCAGTGAGCAAAATCGAGTGTTCTAAGTAAATAAGCGATGGAAGTGACTTTAGTGCACTCCGACACTCCGAGCAGGAGCAGGGTGGAATCGCCGTCCACTCTACTGACACAGTTCGTTCATCGCCAGTGCTAATGCGGCGTTGCCATACATTGGTTAGCGCCTGGCGAGGGTTCGGCAACACCGCGCCCGCGCCGTGAGTCACTTATCGATCGATACATGCCTGTGACGTCGAGACTGCCACGCACGTAGTTCAACAAATGTCCGCTCCACTCCACGCGCGCTAGTGTGCCAATTTCGGCCATTTCGGGATTTTGTTTTACTGGGACCCACTCTTAACGATACATATAATGGTTTAAGCAATAATAAAATGCTAAATATGAACAAGCATGTAAAAATGTTTTGGTCAATAGGATTCTTCATCTTGATATAAATTCAAAAAAACTCTCTCGTGGCATCTTTCCCTGAATTCAAATAGGTTAACAAACTACTGTAGACTTCATCCAAAAAATGTATTGTCAAATAAAATCAAAGGTGTATCAATGCTTAATTTATATACTATAAGCCTATAAGACAGCAAATGTAGACTACACATGCTAAATTATAACTCTTATTTTAATGTTTTTCGTAGAATAAATAATACCTAACTGACGATCAGCTTAAATAAGTGTACATTTGAGGCATGAAATTTCAGAAGATTTACGGTTAGTACCTAAGTTTTATTTCTTCCATTAGGCTTGGCTACTACATAAGATATTCATTATAAAGCTTCCTTGCTAAAAAAGTTATCCGTTATGACTTTTTTTAAAGCAGAACCTACTATTGTTTGGAGAAATCTCCCGAAAAGGCTATCATATCTCTCAGTAAACACTCATCTTTACCTTTAACTACACACCCTGGTGAGATGGCGATGTAGTGTCAACTAATCGGATTGTATGTTATTTAGAATAGAATGTACAACATATTATTTCTCTATGGTTTATTGTACATTGTTATAACTGTAATTGATCTTTTAAATTATAGTTTTCAAAGGTAAAATTGGTTAACTTAGTACAAGTATTTTAATTTCTTGTTTTTAATAGGAAACTGTATTGATTTTTTATATTTATGAAAACAGAGCATAGCAAATTGTTGGCAAATAAGGACATACTTGTTACTTGTTGGGTTTGTAATTGGGAAAATTATTTAATATTTTTTCCTGATTTGTATTTAATTTTGATTGTTTCTATAATCATTCTTGCTACCTACCACATATTCTACACCTTGAGTCCACAAGTTTATCTCCAATTATTCAACGTACCTGAGCCAGGATCGCTGCCACCATCTCCGTCCTCGTCATCAGGACCGAAGCCTGATCCACTAGACTCCAGGTCATATTTGATCTCCCGATTACCGGAGCCCTCTAACGCCTCGTCATCAATATAGATGTCATCTTTCGACGACGACGTAGGCTGCCAAAGCTGCTGTTTTGGAGGCTGTGATAGTTTTTTCTGTAAAGTAAATTTTATATATAGGCCTACTACAATAAAAACTAGGGGACTATTATAAGCCAACCATATTAGGGTAGTAATGCAACATGATTGTATAAAACATTGTAGCCTAAGAAGAAAACAATTACGTATTTTGAAAACAAGATATAAATTTGGCATGCTCATTACACTTGCTACACCGTTGGAGAAAACAAAAGGGCAAAAGAGAATTTATAATTCATTTTGGAACAATTAACCATGTAATAAAAAAACAACAAATACCTAACTTAAACGTTTTTCAGATCAAAACATAGATCACAAAGAAAATATTAAATTTCACTACGGTATATTTACTTTTATTTAGTAGGCTAAGTTACAACGCTGTTTTATATATATATATATATATATATATATTTTAAGTAAGGTTTATCAAATTTGTATGTAGGCTAAAAGGATGGACAGATTTATAAACTATTTAATCAATTTAACTAAGGACATAGTGAATGTGTGTTTCACAGAATAATAAATAGTCAATTAGTATGAGGAAATTCATCATTATATAAGAAGTCATTAAGGATTAATGACACCTTTGACCGTATCCTTTAGATAAACTAAGATTATTTGTCCATGTTTGTAAATTAAATACCCTAAGATAATGTACCAATTTCTAGTGACTATTTAATGATAATCAACGACAAATTATCAGCAAAAAACAAACAAAAAGTACAGTTAGCAGATTTTATGCAAAAGAAACAAGAAGACGTAACCATGATAAATAGCCAAAGCCAGTAGGCTGTATTATCATCATTCTTTTTTACTCTTATACCGGTACTATTGTTACAATATTTATTTCTTATTTAAACTTAGTACCAAGCATTAAAAATTAATAGGTACAACAACTTTTTTTTATTCCATCCATATTTCCCCTTACATTTATACTTTTTACACAGCTTAGTCTGCACAAGTTCTGCCCATGTAGACTTTTTCTTTCATTTTTGAACTGATGGTATTTTTCTTTTATTCTTTTTTTATCATCTTTTATTTATTAGTTATAACTTCTAGGCTGAGAAGTATGCATGAGCTAAGTTTATTTCTTGTAAAGAAATTAAGATAAAAATATCATGATATGCCTATGTATTTGTTACAGGCTATATTATTTAGGGGAAATAAATATGTATTTCATTTCATTAAAAAACACGGTTTGCGAGATACTAAGTAGACCTAAGGTAATGTATGCTAAGTAGGCCTATCTAAGTATGAGTAATGCTTGAAAATAGGTAAGCCTATTAAAGTGATTTTAATAAGTATAAAATTAAGCATATAGCCTATAGGCCCTACATTTTTTTCTCACACAGCGCACTAATATTTGCAAAATAAAAATGGCTTATGTTACCTTTTTGCGTCAAACGATCCGTGTGTAGTTAGTGCAACTACAGCTGTTACATGCCACTAGGGCACATCTTCAGGTTGTCGGTAGAACGTTAGATAAAAAAGCATTCATTCATAGATGAACTTGTCGAGATAAATATGTCTATATACACGAAATACACAAAACCCATTTAAATGATACGAATTTACAAACTTGGCCAATGTATTCGGCAGAATTTAGTAAGTAGCCTAATTTAGATCAGCGCAATCTGTAGTTGGCTCAGATCAACTACAACAATCATGATAAAAAAAGCTGGCAACAAATTTAACATGAGTATGGAATGTCCAGTTGTATTGATAGTCAAAGGTTCTACCGACAACCTGAGGATGTGCCCTAGTAGCGTGAAACAGCTGTAGTTGCACTAACTACACACGGATCGTTTGACGCAAAAAGGTAACATGAACCGTTTTTATATTGCAATTTACGATCCAGAGGCTTACCCACTATGTAATATTTGCACACATTGACTAAGATCAAAATAGACTAATTAATTAAGTTACAAAAAAAAGCAAGCCATCTCAAAAAACACCACTAAACCGTTAATTAAGTTAGTTAACGACTTCATGGGTTTAGGGGGGGGGGACTTTCTGCACTGAAATACGACTGGCCCGTCTTCCTTCCAATTTACAATGTGGCCCATAGGGTTGTACAGTCCCCTGTTCTAAGGCCTAAATCAACTTACTGTTTTGAGGAACACTTGCAAAGACCAATAAGTATTTAGGTACCGGTATAAGTTTTTAATATTTAGAGAATTATAAGTTAAGCATATTGTGTTAATATGCTTATGCAGTCAATCATAACTGAATGATATTTTAAGTGACATGAAATCTTGACATAGCCTGTGTTTAGGCCTATATTTTATATTGGCTGTTAGTATGCACAAGCCAGTGCATGGAATGTATCCAGCAAAGCAAGGGCCAGTAGGTAAAATTCAGTGGTGGGCACTATGACGCTCACAAGTATAGTGCAGGGAAGTTGTCGAAGCTTAAGACTTTAGGGCAAACGGAAAAGGTTTTATAACTGGGATGCTCTTGAAAAATTGAGGGTTTAGGCCTAAATAAGTTACAGGTTGGCTAAACATTTTCCTGTAAATGAATGTTGTCTGTATTCAAATTAACAAAATTCTAAGTTAAATGACACCTATATTTTAAACATAGATAAAGCATAGATAAACAAGAACAGGTTTGGTATGTAGGCCTAATAATTGCGTAAGTAGCCTATAGCTACAATGGTTAAAAATGTAGTTTGATAACTTATGTCCACTTACAGTTTTTTTCACGCTGAATCCGAAAAGGCAATAAGTTTTTGTTAGAAAGGTTCCTAAGTTAAGTGACCGAAGTACAATTTAATAACTAATAAAAACCTTTCAGTTTCATTGAGTGATTCATATGGTTGTAATTTGGACGACGTCCAAATTCTAGGGCAAATAACACTTGGAGTGGAGGAAGGTTTGTGGAGTGGAAACGGCTGTTAAGTCAGTGCAATATAACCTAAACATTACTTTCTTAATCTAACCTAACTTCAACACACTTAATAAGGTAAGTTACAGTCACAGATCAGCATAAAACCCGACCTACCTTCCCCACATGTCTAGGGTAAGAGCTAACTTAATTAAGTTAAACGTCTGCAAATGAATCCTTTAGAACGATTTGATTCCATGGCGCACGAAGTCGAGTATAAACATAGGCTATGTTAGCTATCCACAGTCCACATACGGACCCATCATACAACCACCATAAGCTATTACCATTCCTACCGCTCAATGAACCATTAGATTAGTAATCTTTAACTTAAGTTTTAACTTACAGCCACTTGATCTTTCCGACAAAAACTGATTGCATTTCCGAATTCAGGGTGCAAAATACCGTAAGTAGACATATCAAAATTACTTACCGTATATTTTTAACCATTTTAACTTTGCTACATAGGCCTAGGACGGAATAAGTAATTGCCAGAGGTTTATAAAGTTACAATGCAATGCTTTAGAACTTAAATCTTGCAACATTTATCATTTTGTAGGCACTAATTTAATCGATTTTGGTCAAAGATTAACTTATAAGTTAGTCTTAAGTTAAGTACGGTAGGCTAGGCCTAAGCTTATATCTCTAGGCATAACTTATGCTTAGGCTTCGTAAGATAGTTAAAGCAATAATTGATAATTAAGTTAAGTTATCTCATGATTGATAGTTTAAAGCAATGTTTTGGACCACAGCATGTGTACATCAACTTAGGCCTAGGCCTAGTAGCCTCCTAGGCCTAGATAAATGCTATCAAGTTAATCAAAAGGTCATAACGTATTAACATTTTATTAGCCTATTTACATTAAGCCCCAGTATCACAGCTGAAGCCATAAACAAAGGCTTGACAAAGCTTAATATGTAGTGCAATGAATAGTAACACGCATTTAATAACAAGGTTACAAATTTATATTCAGACGGTGAAGTGCACCTAAACCAACAATCTCTGCAGTGCACCACAGCATAAAGAAACATCAATGGAAAGTCAATGTACTGTATTTATTATGCCCAAATACTTTTGACTCCTCTATCACTAAGGTCAGAACATTGGCCGTTGTTTGATTTAGCTTGGTTTAACTGAGCTCTTTTGATTCCTTAAAGGAAATAACCACCTTTATTATTACAGCAATATACTGTTTGACATACAATACAAAAAAGGTTATGTAGAAAATTACTTACGTCTTCCGCTGTCGTATGTGCGATTCCAAGGAAAATTAAAATACAAAGTGATAAAAAGTTCAACCTTAAATGCATTCCAAATTGAGTTTAGTACCGAAGTACTAAATAGCTACAAAAGATTAGATTAATTTAAAACACTTCAAAACTAAACATAAACCTAACACACCTCAAAACATTGATCAATGAAAATTCTTTAGAGATTTGGTCGTGAAGTGAAGGCTGGGTACTGGGCACTACTTTATGCAATTGTATTAATGCGCAGCCACAGCCTGGTTGTCGAGAATCGGTTAATATTTCATCCGCACCGTTCTGGATTACTATAAGCAGTTCTTGGTTATTCTGTACCGACATAAATATCATTTTTATTCTGATTGTCAACTTTACATTTTATCACTTTTAATCGATTTACTTAAAATATGTTATAAAATATTAACCTTTACAAAAGTTGTTGTGTAAGTTGAAAACAGAAACCCTTGCCGACAGACCGCCACTTTCTTTTGTACCAAACATAAACAAGGTCTTGCTACTTTTTAAAGTCACCCTCTCATTATTATTAGGGATACTCTTATGTAGTGCCTAATTTATGAAAGTATATGCATGCACTCTAGAACCACTACCAACTCCCCAGGGTTATAAACCCTTCAGCAATTCTTATATAAGAAGTTTACCTTGCATAACGTGATAAATTTATTAAGTAGGTCTATCTTGTTAGTTTGTTTTCTACGGCAATGACATTTTTTATTCTGAAAAAGGGAACGGTCCAACCCCTTAGCATTGTTACTTACTGACGGCCTTTTTGTTTGACATCATCATTTAATTCATAGCACAATAACAAGTATGTAACTGAAAACGATCTCGTTTGGAATCGAACCAGCAACCTTCAGATTTGAAGGCGAAGATTCTAATTGTAACCCAGCATACGCACAGGCAGCACTTGCCTATGCCTGCTGATTTTCTTATAATAAATCAATTAAAGTAATGCAGAAATTTTCGTTTTAAATTTTAATCTTAGTTTATATTTTATAATTGTTTATGTATTTTAAAGGTGTTTTTTGTTCATGCTGTATAGTATATGGAAAATAAACAAATTATTTCATATCATTTATGTTCTAAAAACGGGTACCAAACGTGTGAAGTATATTGTATTGGTGTGGGTACTTAATTTAATTTGTTTGTCAAAAATGGCCAGCAGTAGTAGTCAACACCTACAAAAAAAAAACAAATAGTTTGGGGGATTCATTTAAAAGTTGCCCTGTGGTCTGCTATAAACAATAACAGGAGTTATATTTTTGCATCTTTAAATAAATAATTTATGGTACTGTATGGAAGCAATAATTTCCAAAACTAGAGCATTTGAAAATAGTAGGTACAGTAAGTATTGTACAATTCATTGCAGCATATGTACATTGTACAGCTCCTCTACCTGGTTGATGAGACTTATTTTTTTCTTCTCCTCATTGTGTTGATTGTCATTCCTTCTGGAGTCACCAGAGCGGAAACAGCCTCCTACTGCTGCACCCTGGACCCTGACAAGTCAGTTAGTCGAAGACCTTACAAGCAATTGACGTTGCTCAATCTTTCAAGGGTCAGGGTAGATGAGGGATAGTTGTTTGTAACACAGTCATAGTCTGTGGTTGTAATTGAGAACAATAGTAGTAGAGACATCATTAATTAGCTTTAATGCTGAAGTGCAAGTTTACAAGTGGTTTTTATTATTTTTTTGCTCATGTTATTATGATTGAAATTGAAATGTTATATATTATTAATTTTTAAAAACCGGGGAACATTCCTTAATTTTTTGTGGAAGTTAAAATATGAATTTAGTTTTTCCAATTCAGTCATCATTTTCCAATATGGTGGCCAACTTTGAAACACCCTCTATTTTATCATGTTTTCGGATAGAACTTGAGGTTTAAAAACTTTTTTATTCCTGAAATTTTGTATATAAAGCTACTCTTTTAGGAGTGACAGCCTAAGAAAAAATTACTTCTGGCGTACATTCAGCTTTATAGAAAAAATGTAAAGAAAAAAATGTTTTATTTGCATGTTTTATCGGAAATCGGATAAAATATAGGGTGTTCCATAAGAAATTTCAAAGTTAGCCGCCACATTGGAAAATGGCGGCTGAATTTCGAAAAACTAAATTCATATTTTTTATCAATCTGTGTAATTTTTCAAAGGTCGTAAAAATAACCATTCAATGCTGCAGAATAGTTGTTACAGCTGTTTACCTAGAAACCGTTAGTTGATTTTTCTATAGAGCTAAACCAAATATCTCACTTCATTTTACAATCATCACTTGGCTTATTTAATAACTAGAATGACATTTTCTTGGTCGAATGATTGATGGCTGTTGAGGCAATTGGCAACTGGTGGGCTAAAATCACAGGACTCACTCATAAATAAGTTACCGGAATCTATCCCCTTTTTAATCAAAATCCACACAGGGCAGACTACAGGGACTTTTAATCAGACTACAGGGCAGGTAGTCTATGTGGATGGGCAAACGCAAGGCTAAAAGAGGCCGCCAACATCTTAAAAAAAAAAAATTAGACACTAGCGCATTCTGTGACTGGCTCAAACCACTATCTTCTTTTTTAATGAAAACTGGTGACAGCTGGTGCATTTTGATGGGATGTCTTCTTCAGTATCCAATTGCCAATGCCGGTATAAAAATTTAGGCTGTTTATCATAAACTTTGTAATATTTTTTTATGCACATAAAATAACATATGACCTTGATCAATTACATCAATAAGACACTAATTTTGCAATAAAATTCCCCAGTAGTACCCTGACAAAATCAAAATAATTAAGATACAATTCGGATGCCCCGGCATACCGAACTTAACACTTGTTGTCGCTTTCTAATTGTTTAAATATACTATTTTTTACTTAAAACAGTAATTTGGCAGATTTAATTCGTCAACTACACACTTGAAATGATTGTGACAATGATTGTAATTGAATTCTTGTATATACAATATACTAACGAATAAAGATGTTTTGAATTGAATTGATCACCTCATTGCCTCCATTATTTTGACATTACAGTCCGAATGAAACATGGAGTAGTTGATTTTTTTCTGTGCAAGTTATATGGGTATTAGGTTAAGACTAGCATCTACTAGCTAGATCTAGCTGGTTTTCATCTGGAATTCACTATTGCTATCATTAAAAGATTCCCCTTACACGTAAATACTTCTTTGCCAGCCACCATTGAAAATGGCCTGACCTCATGGCAAAGAGCTGTTGAAGTTATTACTAGCATTGACTATTGGTTGTTGTATTAATAGTCAAAGCTACTAGACAATGTATTGTCTACTTTTAATGTATTGTCATATTATCTTAAGTCTTAAATTTTAATGTTATGGTAAATTAAACAAAAGATTAAGTGTCAACAAATTGTATTTTTTGACTACTTTAGGGACACAAAACATCGAGATATGCTTTAAGTCAAACATTGATTTCAATAACAATTAACTCAAAAAAGAGGGTTTTGGTTTTATTTCATAAGAGCTTTACCATCGGCATACGTTTAGGAAGTAATACAGATCTGAAGAGTAAAATCTCAACTTGAATTTTACATTATTTAAAAGCACAATAATTATAGCAGAATACTACTTGCACAATCATTTGTTTTACAAATTCATACATTTTAAGTGTTACAAAAAAATCATGACTAACTAATTACTGTATCTACCAAAACATAAGAATTTCTCCTCTTCTAATTGAAAAAAGTAAATAAATGCATAGTCCATCATAGGAACAGAGCAATGAACGCGTCTGGATTTTCTAAATATACTGTAAACTTTCTTACGGTACAGGATCAGAAACAGTAACCGTTTGTCCCTAGGTGTAAAGTTATGTGTATTGTCAACCAATAAAAATATTTTTTTTATTTCAATTTGGACAGTTTTATCCTTGACTATTAATCTGATCTAAATTGAAATCTTTTAGAACTCTACAGTCAAGTTTTTTTTTTTTACATAAGTTATATTAAATAAATTACTAAATGATTTTTAAGGTTAGTTTTTGAAGGAAAAAGCTCTTGATTTAGGAATACAATAAGGAAAAAGTAACGGTTACACAACTAATTCACCAAATAAAAGAGTTCTCGGCAGTTAATATCAAAGAGGACAGATAACCTCATAAACTTAAAGAAAATAGAATGTTTGTACAGCTGATGAAGCCCCCCGATTTTACTTTCTGGAGTCATTTTTGTTGGGTTAGTTGTGTATCTATTCTTTCTTCCTTAAATAGTTTTAAAGCTAAGAAAATCGCTAAATTAAATTTTGATTGCCTACACCAATTTATCTTTTAGGAAACTACATCGATGTCAGGACTAGACGATAACTTCGGGCGGCCGATAGCTCAACAAGAACCTCGAGACGTTTTCGTACATGAGGAATGTCACCATGGTAGCAGGAACTACGCGGGTTAGATTCGGGGCTAAACCTTTGTAAAACCCTCGCCATCCTTCGCCCCTGTAACCAACCAAAATTCCGATTTTACTCATTGTTTTTAACCTTTCTAAGCAAAGGATTCTATATCATGACTTTTTTTTAGAAGAGAGCACTTGTTATAGAACATAGAAGAAGAAATGGATACACAACTAACTCACCTAAGAAAGGAGTTATAGACAACTGATAGCATACAAAAGGTCGACAACACAGTCAATATCTTAATCCTATGCAAGAGTAGGAAATAGTAGAAACAGTTTTTTAAGTAGAATTTGTTTTAGAAGTAGTCAAATTCACTCAACTAGGTATTCAAGTAGGCCCTACTTTTGAAGAAGCCCCTCTGGTGAAAGAAATTTTAAGGTAGTTGTGTTGTAACTTTCCATATACTACGGTACCTATCATCACTAACTGGCTAGAGGCATTTTCTTAGGAGGGTTAACAATTTTCTATTCATCCCTTTCTATTTAGATTTGAAGATCCAAATTTCTGTAATGTATTTTTTTTCCAACTATAAAAAATTTGTAACTAAGCTTTTGGCCATTGTAGCTTCTTTAAGATTATTAAGACTTTAAAGCAGTGCTCGATATGTAAAAAATGAGGTGCCGGAAATATAACCCATTTAATGTGATGAGTACCTGTATTTATGCCAATATTTTTATCTTTCCGAAAGAGAGGTACCGGAACACCGTTCCGCCGCAAATCCAGTACTGGTTTTATGGATAATATTAAGCAAATATTGTATATTTACAGTCTATACGCTAGCAGAAATATTGTTATACAATTTGATTTCCGTATGTAACTAGTTGTTCCCAACAGTTAATTTTATGCCGCATTGTATGAATTTAAAAATCTATTAGCTCCGCCACAAAACATCATAAAATCAATGCTTTAGTAACGTTTCTTTATCACAATATTTTTTAGCTGCTACATTTCATAAACTGTAGACAAAATAAAATATAGAAATTGAGATCAGTGTTTTTTTTTTTTTTTTTTTTTTTTTTACTGATAAACATGTTTCTCTAGTTTAAAAGAGTTCCACTTTGCTCACTAGTTGAACAAAATAATAATGATTTCTTAAAAGTTTTCACATAAAAACTTTTTTTCTACACCTTATTTAGTTCAAACATATGTTTTGATCAAAGTTCTTCACAGTGTACGAATGTCGAATTTTGGATGGATTAAAAGTCGGATATGATAGTCCAAGTTCTCATGAAGACAATGAGTAAATATAAGACAACAGACGTAAGGCCTTGGATCTTAGCCATGTGCGAGACACGTGGTAAAGAAGAAATGAGCCAAATGGCTATTGTGAGAAAGCTGAACACAAAAGAAACTCTACATATTTAGAATTTATAAAAAATACTGATTTTCAAAAGAATTATAAACTATTTACTATTCTAAACTAAAACTACTGTTTAGTGTTTACTGTTTAGTCTTTCTTTGTGTTCAATTTTTTTTTCAAACCCCCAAGGTTCTTTTAGACAATATGTTTAACTTGATAACTTGATTTAACTTAAGGCTTTTGTATTTCTAAAGTGATGATTATTTATATTTATTGCTTTTTATCTTAGAAACTGACATTGCCATTGTAACACTTATAAAAAAAAACTTCCTGCAGGCCAGAATATTTTACTTCGGGTCGGGCCAGGTGAAAAAATGTTGACCCTTGGGTTTTGGGCAAAAATCGGGTTAATTCCACAGGCAGGCTTATTTATTTATAAAAATCATAATTTTATAAAATTTTGGTCCATAAAATATTAAACATTATATCCTGTGATTGCAAATTTTAAATGTCTACTGCAGTCACAGAACTTTAACTTTCACACAATCTTTGCAGATGCTTTCTGCGATAATATCTTAAAAATAAAAGCTCCGCTCAATAATCGAGCCGCTTCCACAACTCTTAATGACCGAACACAAGCTTTGCTCCATTATTTTTAGTATAGCAACCCAAATATTGTGGAGGCCCCGCAGACTCCTATTTTTCATAATTAATTATAATAAGAGGAAGAAATAAAATAACTAATGGGTTTGTGATACATTTAATGTAACACACAGAAGGTAGGTAGTGGACCAGCCACTGCATCACAGTCTTATTATATGTTACAATACTCACTTCTATACTCCCAACTATCACAACCGCACCACTAATAGAAAAGTAGCTCTGCACACACTGTCATTTATACAGCCCAGTGTGTCATGTAATTGTCAGTATTATTATAATGTATGTATTCCGTTTGAAAAATCCACAAACAAAATATTTGCTTTTTGACAACAAAAAGAAAAGTTAACGAGTAAAATATAGTCTTACATAATTTACAGAATAAAGCAAAAGTGATACGTTTCGCTAGAGAAATGTTTACAAAATAGCTTTTTCTAATTCTAATTGTGTTGCTGTTGCACATTCAGTTTAATTAACTTTAAATGTTTCAGTTAACTTTGGCTGATAACAATCCTATTTGATCTTAAAAGTAAAACAAAAATCAAGTCAACACAAGATATTTTACTAACTATTTGTTTTTGAGTATTTGAAGAGAGCAAAAAACCTGTGTTTGTTGTTGAATTATAAACTTACTTTGAGTATTTACTTATTTACAAAAATATGTTCTAATTTTTATCTTTATTAACTCTTTTATTTACTACCTAGACTTTTTTGCATCAATACACTCAACAATATTTACTATAGTCGGGACCACGACCATCTGCGGTTGGCAGCAGCCAATCACAAGACAAGGCTAGTGCGACGTTGCCATATCGCCCGTTGACAACACTTATTAAAATACTAAACAATATATTTCAAATCAGCTGTTATTATTAGATTTGGCAACACCGCACTGTCCTCATTGGCTTCTTCGAAGTCACGTGGTAAATAGGCTCCTCACTGGAAACTTTCGTGGTCCCGACTATCGGTAAATAATAATAGTAAAAAAAACTTCCAAGAATATTTTAAAGAGAAAATTAGTTATTTGTATTTAAAACGACCATGATAGCCTTTGTGAGATAATGTAGTAAAAGTTATTTACAAATTTGTTCTTTTATAAGTTAATCATGCATAGGGAAATCTATGTTGCAAAACTCAGTATGGTTATAACGTAACACTTACAATAGTCTTGAATAAACATTGTTACTGAGGTATGTTCTAAAGTTATGTTTCTCCCACTTTTGAACCTTGCACTGAGATATAATTAAGTTTTATATCTTCTAAATTCTCTACGGTGGTCACGATTGAAGGGCTCATTTAATCGAGATTGTTGAATCTAATGAAAGTAGTTTTGTAATTATTGTAATACATTGCTGTAGATTGGTTGTGCAGCAGTTCAGATTCATGGAAGGATACAAATTAAGTATTTAACATTATAGGAAGTTTAAAAAATACCACCAAGGACCATTTCTACCTGAACCTTTTTATGGAGAAACCAATGTACATAATTTATAAGAAAATAGAGAGGAATGAGATCAATATTTTAAGTGGAAAGTTAAGGATGAAATATCCAATTTGTCCTTAGAAAATTAAATTTATACTGTATTGTGCAAGATTTTGACCAATAAATTTAAAAAGCACTTTAGTGCCGAATATAAAGTTATTTATATCATGATAAACATCTAACAACAAATGTAAACACAGCAACATCCTGAGAGGGGTCTGATTCAAGCTTCCTACGATTATTTTTAGACATTAATAAATACAAAAATAAACATGTACTTAGTCTTTAAATATAAGTGGAAATCAATATCTTAAAAATATAACAAACCACTCAGCAATGTAACTAGTGTTTAAGACATGAACATATCCAACGTTTAAGCTTTTGCTAATAAACAATCGCTTCACTATAGATTACATAATAATGTGTTGATGTAACAAAATATCCATGGAAATAAAATAGCTGCCTTTTATTAAACACGCACAATTAATTTGATTATGATCTCTGAAAGAGGAAGACAAAAAAGGTTAGCTGCCACACCTTTTTTGATCACTTTAAAACTTGTTGGAAGATTAAGTAAACATCACATTTTCTTAATACAGTAGCACAAAAATTCTAACTGACAGTTAATTAAATCGTTATGATAACGGTTAATCTATAGAACTTGTGAAACAAAACCGACACTGCACTTTTGGAGGTAGTACCTATTCATTTAAATTCACATATTATGTCACAGGAAAGATTTTCTTTATTTTACAAAAGCATGCCTAATTAAAATTTTCAAAAACGGTTAGGATGATTCTGTATTGTTTAAAAAATAACTTTACAACTCGTAACATCAACTAAATTTATCAAGATATTGATCATACCTATAGCCGTAACAATACCAGCAAAAGCCCTTACCACCATTTTATTTTCTTAACCTACTCATGTCTTAAAAAAATAAAAGCTATGGTTGTAGATTTGTAGAACATGTTAAGGAGATACTAAAATCCATACAAATCAAATCAAATTGAATCAAACCTCTCAAAAGATAATAAAATTCATCATGCTAAATAATAAAGGTATATATTACATAATTTAATAATCAAACAGATAAGAGGCAATCATTACAACCTAACCTAAAGAGAGTTATTCGACAGTAGTTAAATCTCTGAGTAATTTTTATAAAGTTTTTACAACATGACAATGTTTCATAGCTTGTAGCGATGTTGAAATGCATAAGCAAGTACAGTATCAGCAAATAAGATCAACTGAGAATCAGTACTAATTAATCAAGCAATAATTTTATTAATTGATTTCAAGTTATGTTTTAAAAGTATCAAACGCAAGAGTGTAACTGAGTTGGTTTCTCTGTCTTTATACAAAGAATGGCTCATTGGGAGTGTTTCAAAATATTACGGCGTGTTAAATGTATAGTGTCCAAAATATACTAAAAAAAAATTAATCTCGTCTTTGGTATTGTGCCTCCAAGAGGGAATCCGCTACTCGGATATTACTGGTAGAAATGTCTGTAGGTGTTAAAATTGAAACAATATAACTAACACGGGTAATACACCTACAGGCATAACTATCAGTAATTTTTTTAAATCAGTATTTAATCACTTAAGCCGCTCGCACTACGACTACAACTCATGGGGCATTGAATAAACTACTAGGCTTTGGACTTTAATAAAATGTTCTTTCATTCTTGTTTCAGAAGAACAAAAGTGTCCAATAACATTACTTTTTTATATTTTGTGTAAAAGAAGTAAAAGTTGTAAATGAAGTAAGTACAACTCTGCTGTGGAGATTTCATATTCACAAATAGTTTAAATATTTACAAATAATTTAAATATGAACCCTCAGCAGTGTGGCAATTACTTTTTTGTTACTCACACTTTACTTTGAATGATAACCGATGTAGCCTATCAAATTATAATACAAAAATTTGAAAATTGGGGTGTGCAGAGTATAACTATAGATTAAACATACTCCTTTAGTATATTTCTCATCCTTATAGAACAGCTGAAGCCAATTTTATTGTTAGTTTTGTATGTTGCACTGTAGAGGTCGTGTTTTGTTTAAAATTTTTTTCTTGTTATTTCAGTCATTTAAAACCTTGTTTACCCAAATAAAACCATCTAATCATAAACAATAACTGGTCTCCTAACCAAATGGTAAGCATAAATTATAAAAATAACCCTAAAATAGATTCATTAAAATTTTGTCATTGGTTTTTTCAATTTTGAAAACAGGCTCCCCAAAATATTTCAAATCCGATTTTAAATTTGTGTCTCAGGGTAGTTCACGAATGTCTCGTTATTCTTCGATTACATTGCATTGCGTATACCTCATCATGTGACCACAGCTTATGGCAGGGCTTTTGTTGTTACCGCTTGTCGTCTGTGGAACGGCCTACCCCTACACATTAAGACCCTTGAAAAACGTTCCCAGTTTGTGGCGGCACTGAAAAAGCTCTATTTTGAGAAGATGGTCTCGGCTGGCGTGTCCTAGGGCTACTGTTACCTTGCGCGTTTGCTGATGCGTGTATGCGAGAGTGTGTGAATGTGTTTTTCTATTTGTTAAATTTTTATGTTTTTTTAGATATGTAGGTACTTGAATTGTTAAATATTTTATGTTTAATTAGATTAAGTTATCCCTATGTTACATTATTTATGTTATATTTTTAATGTCAGGTTAAGTGTAAGAAAGGGCCATGTGGCCCTAACTTTGCCTGAAAAAATAAAGGATTTTTCATTTCATTTCATTTCATTTCAAAATAATACAAAGGAAATTTCGTCTACACTAGTGATCAGTGTCGACGCACATGAACTAGACACGAAAAACGAGCTTCAAAATTTACAATGGGACGAGGAGTCTACTTGTGTTGGTTAGTCTATGGTAGTAGAGTGAGTCGCGAGCACCGCAATAACGGATATGATAGGCTTAGATTGTGGCAGAGTGGTGAAAGAGTCGCTTAAATACCTCCAGGAGACACAAACTATTGGGCTACAAAAAATATAAAAATAAAAAATAAAATATTGGGCACAAACTATAGTCAAAGTTCTTACTTTTTCACTAACGATGGTTTGCTGGATGGCAAGAACGTAAAATGTCAAAGCTTTTAAAATTTAAGAATGAATGATTCTTCAAAATATTTAGACAGTGTATGTACAAAAGCAGTTAATAATCTATAAACCAATGACGGGGGTTTTATTCTGTTTAGGGACAAAATACTTTATTTTTGTGAAATTTTACTAGAAAATTTTAATTGTACCAGACCTCAAGTGATTAGAGCATTATGTGTTAAAAAAAATTGTTTTGCCAGAAAACTAACATTTTTTTACGTTAGCCTCATGATGAATCCTAACATTGGTGAAACTTAACATGTCAACAAAAATGTTTTATTTTAGCAAATTTACCATTCTGGAATCATTAAATGAAAATCAAGTCCCAAATTATAGCTTAAGTAACAAGCCTATCCAATAATTTTGGGAAATGAGGAATTACTTAAGTTAAACCTACTGTACAGAAAAATAAGTTATTAAATATCTTTCGCTATCCAACTGAAGAAATTTTAATTGCTAATTATTTGAATCTCCAATACAACGTATCATCCGACACATTCTGAATAACCCAGCTGGGACTGAGATATCGCGTCAACGGGAGAAACAATTTTGATAGCACCGAGAGAATATTTACAAATTAACTATTTATATGACGAGTTAACTACTGTCCGTGAACTTTTCATAGATTAACAGGACTAGACATATATTGGGCATGACGTGGAGCAAGTATGGGAGAAGACCTTTGTAAAAGCCCCTCGTTCCTTCGTACCTCCAAGTCTGGTCCACGCAGTCCCACGTTCCCTTGTACACGCGGTGTTGGTCTTGTAGACGAGCTCGCACCACCTGGTACGGATATGTCACAGCCGCCGCAAACAGCTTGGAGAGAGCGGCGAAGGTCAGGTACTCGGCAGTGCCCTGTAACATACAGTCAACTGTAGCCTACGTGCAAAACAAATTAATGATATCTCTTTGTAATTACAAGACTGTATTGGGAATTCATATTCAATTCAATTTATGTATTCAATACAATCAAAATGACAAAGGGCATTTTAACACTAAGCTACATAAGCCTTATAAAAGGCTTGTCCGTAGCATTTCTTAATTTGACTTGTGTCTTTTTGATGCGTCACGTTGAGTCAGCCATAATTTAATAGTTTTCCCAACCTAAACAGTAACAAAATCGATAATTGATCATTATAGTTGATCAGATCTATTTTTGTCAGCTAATTACTGAACAGCTAATTAATAGAAAATTTACCAAATCAGTCTTTGGATTGAAACTAGGGTTTTTAAGTTCTTAGATAATAGTTTATTATGCTACAAGGACAGGAAGTAGCCCCAAAGCAGAACAATAATAACAATTGTCTTTATTTTTACCTACAAACTGATTGAAACCTATGAAGTATAGTATAAAAACGTCCATAAGTATTGATTATACAGTAGATATACTCCGGATATATACTGATTTAGTTTTTGTTGAATTGATATCTTCACGATACCAACTATTACGATGTAATTAATAAGTTCAATTATTTCTTTAAAGTTTTCAAATCCCTAACCTTGTCTATTTACGAAATTCTTAAAGACATATTTAGGAATACTTTGGATTCCCTAGTATATCACGGACATGTGACACAAAATGGCGTCACATTAAAGGTAAACTGCGAACCGATACTTGGAATCTATCGGGAAACCATAAATAAGAATATATTCAAGACTTTCAGTAACAAATATGAGAAGAGCTTAACCTCATTCAATATATATATTTCCAGCAACTTATTTATAATTTTTATCATTAGGTACTATAATACAGGCCGGACCAAAGTTCTGCTTGGTATATAATTGTCGCGGACACGAAACGCCGAGAAACGCGGGCCTGCGGACACATTTACGGAGTCATAACGACGATCGCGCCGTGGCCGCGATTATTGGACCGACGATCGTACCGTGACCACGAGTCATAACGACGATCGGGCTGTGACCGCGGAGTCATACCGACAGTCACGCCGTGACCGCGGAGTCATAACGACGATCGCGCCGTGACCGCGAAGTCCTACCGACGATCACGCTGTGACCACGAGTCATACCGACGATCACGCCGTGACCGCAGAGTCCTACCGACGATCGCGCCGTGACCGCGGAGTCATCCTGACGATCATGCCGTGATGGCGGAGTCATGCTGACGATCGAGCCGTGAACGCGAGTCATACCGACGATCGCGCCGTGACCGCGAGTCATGACGACGATCGCACCGTGACCGTGGAGTCATACCGACGATAACCCCGTGACCGCGGAGTCATACTGACGATCGCGCCGTGACCGTGGAGTCATACCGACGATAACCCCGTGACCGCGGAGTCCTACCGACGATCGCGCAGTAACCGCAGAGTCCTACCGATGATCGCGCCGTGACCGCGGAGTCATACTGACGATCATGCCGTGATGGCGGAGTCATGCTGACGATCAAGCCGTGACCGCGAGTCATACCGACGATCGCGCCGTGACCGCGAGTCATGACGACGATCGCACCGTGACCGTGGAGTCATACCGACGATAACCCCGTGACCGCGGAGTCATACTGACGATCGCGCCGTGACCGTGGAGTCATACTGACGATCATGCCGTGATGGCGGAGTCATGCTGACGATCGAGCCGTGACCGCGAGTCATACCGACGATCGCGCCGTGACCGCGAGTCATACCGACGATCGAGCCGTGACCGCGAGTCATGACGACGATCGCACCGTGACCGTGGAGTCATACCGACGATAACCCCGTGACCGCGGAGTCATACCAACGATCGCGCCGTGACTGCAAGTCATGACGACGATCGGCGCGACCATCAGTTCTACAGACGATCACCCCGTGACCCGCGAGTCACAAGTTTCTATAGGTACCTGTAAATTGTTACCCATTTTTTTGTTTTTATAGATCAGTGCCACAAATGGTAAAAATTGATTTCGTATGTCTTTTTTGGTAACTGCAATACAGTACTTTTTTATGCACAGAAAAAAATCCTGTCCCATCCCGTCCCAAAAATCGGGAAGGAAATAAAAATCCCGTCCCGTCCCGTACCGAACTAAAATTTCAATCCCGTCCATCCCTAGTGTGTTTATATAAAGAAACTATAGTACATTTAAAGTTTTACTTCTGAAGACCTTGTTAACACTTGTTAAGGTATGTGTATATTTAAAAAAAAGTAAATTTAAATAACCTGATTATGCCTACCCCTTAATAGTTTTTTATTTTTAGTTTTTTGTTTTAAAAGTAGGCTATACAAGTTATTGAAATTTACTTATTTTATTTAACTATATTACTAGTAGCCCTAAAGAGTGAATATATATATATATATATATAATACCGGTATATAAGTCATTATTTAGCTTTTTAGTTTTAGCGCTTGCGGACACATTTTGAGGTTTTCACAGGCCGTTGCAGACACGTAGGAACCATTCTGCTTTGGGGGGAAGTAGGTGTTTATGGTTCAAGCATGATAGTTCCCATGTGAGGGATTTCATGTGAGTACTGTAAACACCTTCCCGTTTACGTTTTGGCACACTTCCAGCAACAATAACACAGGAAAATTGAACTACAACCCATAAATACAATCACAACACAACACTGTTTAATATAACGTTATTATTTTAATACAATTTTAAAGAATTATTGTCAAATGTGTTTAAAATGTAGAGTTTTCCTTTCCAATATTTATTTGTGAAAGTGGAACTTGAGCCTGGCCAAACCTGTTGAATACTTTTTGTGAAGCTTCGTTTTGAATTAACTCATTTTTATTTTTATTTGTCTTTATCTACATGTTGTTCAAAGGTTTATTGCGGACATTTTCCATCACGAATGTAAAAAACAATACACAACGTTTCGGGATCTGGAATCTGATCCCGTCTTCAGGTGAAAAAAACTTAACTAACACATTACAACTAACAATACACAAACGCCCAACCTAAGTTGGAGGGTATGGCCATGGGGTCACCATTGTCACCTATCTTTGCCAACATCTTTATGGAGGAGTTTGAGCAAAAAGCTTTGGCTTCAGCTCAGCTCAAACCGAGGATATGGTGGAGATATGTCGATGACACTTTCGTGGTTTTCCCTCATGGAGATGATAAATTGAATGAGTTTTTAGAGCATCTTAATAGCGTTTCATCCTCCATAAAACTAACCATGGAGGTGGAATCACAAAACAAACTCCCCTTTTTGGATGTGTGCGTAGAAAAGCATTTGAACAGTCTTAGAACATCTGTTTATAGAAAAAAGACACACACAGGGCAGTATCTAAACTTTCAATCAAACCACCAAATTTCTGTCAAGGAGGGGGTTGCTTACTCTCTGTTTGACAGGGCTAAGAGCATTTGCTCCAATCAGGATGAGTTAAAGGATGAAATTAAGAAAGTAGAACAGGATTTGGCTAGTAACGGATACCCTCGATCCATTATAAACAAATGTAAGAAAGATAGGGCTACGCGTGAACCTTTACAAAATTGTAAGGAAAAGCTTGTCCACATGTCAATCCCGTATGTGTCAGGGCTGTCGGAAAAAATCAGAAGGGTTGCTAGGAAATTTAATGTGCAAACAGCGTTTAGGACACAAAACACACTTAGGCAGAGTCTCGTCAAAACAAAACCCAAAAATGACACTCAGGATACTAAAAACTGTGTTTACAGAATAAATTGCAATGATTGTTCCAGGCCTTACTATGGCGAGACAAAAAGACCGTTGAACATTAGAATCAAAGAACACAAGGAAAACACCAAAAAAGGTTTAGTGGAAAAATCTAAGATCGCTCATCATTGCTGGTCCGAAAATCATCGTATGAATTTTGAAGAGGCAAAAATTGTCCATAAGGAACCTCATTTTTTCAAACGTAAACTCATTGAAGCCTCATACATTAAATTAGCAGACCAACCAATCAGTCAGTCATCGGTTGAAATAAGGCCACTTTGGCTACCCATTTTGAACAAGGAACTAAAGGATAGGGAACTTAATTGTTCAATAAATAGGGAAATAACGAGTTCTCCTCAAAATTCGCACGTCATGTTAACTCGTAGTAAAACTCGTGATAGGAATAAACAGAATTAACACCCATCTTGCGGCATCGTACATCGCTCCGCCATTTTGTTGGTTTTACTTTTCCAGGGACCGGAAGCCATTTCTGTTAACTCCGTGTTTCCGATTGGTCAGCCATGTTGTTTCAGTCTCAATGGTGGAGTCATGGCGTACGGTGCTATTAGTGTTCCATTGTGTGAGTTTTTTACGTTAAACTTTTTATAGATTATAGTGATTTGTTATTAATTGCATGTTGTATCATGACTTGACTGCTATACAGTGCATATTTTTTGACTGCCACCCTCTGTAGTGTATTCCAACTTAGGTTGGGCGTTTGTGTATTGTTAGTTGTAATGTGTTAGTTAAGTTTTTTTCACCTGAAGACGGGATCAGATTCCAGATCCCGAAACGTTGTGTATTGTTTTTTACATTCGTGATGGAAAATGTCCGCAATAAACCTTTAAACAACATTAACTCACCATCACCAACAATGAACTTCAAACAAAGAATTTATCTACATATTTGAAATGTTAAATGTTTTTTGTAAGGGAACAATTTAAATCCTGCACTTTTTACTACATAGCATTGACCTTTTCGATAGATATTACCATTAATTGATGGCTGATGACGAATGGCATCAGAGTATGGAAACAATCTCGCTTGGAATCAAACCAGCGACCTTCAGATTTAAAGGCACCCCAGACTCATATTATACATGTTTCAAAAAGTGTCCTGCATCTCATGCAAGACCGAGATGGATGGCGAGCGGCTGATGGCGAGACCAAAAACCTTTTGGGTCGGAGTGGCTGCGTAGGTAAGGTAGGTATACAAAGAGTACTCACCATTTTTGCATCGATGGGCATGTGTCGAGATTTGTTGTACCAGTTCTTCATCTCCTCGTACGTCATAAACTGTAGAGCTCCGTGAGATACTCCGAGCATTCCTGGGATAAACCCCTGCGAACACAGCATGAGGTTAGAACATGTACTTGTAAATACTATATACGTAACAGTTAAAAAATCATTGCTGTTATTCAATTTCATTTCTAGGTATTGTGAAAATTTCAGCAAAAGTAACATGTAATATTTTTTTATGGTTTTAAATTAAATGGCGACCATACGAATGTAGGTATTTTTGTGTGAATTTTATGAGTGTAGGATGAGATCTTGTAGTCTAGTTACTGTCTAAGTCTGACATGTTCCTTAGACATGTAGCCCACTTGAACCCAAATCTTGGTTGGCTGACAATTTCATTGAATTGTTTAGTGTAAAATCAACATTTAGTTGGTAGTTTCATTGTTTTTTACAATTATTATTAGGGTTTTAACTAACTCTCTGAAATAAAAATCCAAGACTCTCTGAGAAATTTTGTTATAAGACGTTTGTATTTTATCCGTTAAAATAAAGAAAGTTACTTGAATTTCAGAATACTACTAGATGATCAGTAATAATTAATAGGCCTACGGGTAACTAAAATTATAAGTTTGGATAAAACTCACTGCACAGATAAAATAAGAAAGAAAAAATATGTCTAATTAAAATAAACGAATATCCTGATCTTTTATTCTTTAAAGCTACCTTTGAAGAAGCCCCGAAATGGACAAATTATCAGTTTAATTTGTAACTTTTATGTGTTCTATTAACCTCCTGAGACTCTTTATACAGCTGAGTTAGATGTGTATCCTCCCTTTCTCCTTAACAATAATTCTAAAGCCAAGTTGCTTTTTTTCCTTAAAAAAAACTATGATAATTTTGTATGATCTATAATCAGATTAGCAACCTTGTATAGTCCCCGAACACCCTCCGCTTTGTAGATCTTCTTGAGAGCGTCCACCATGCCGTAGTACTGCTGGTTACTGGACACGTCTATTTCCCGTCCATATTGTAGGCATAACCTGTAACATAAACAACAAATAAATTTGATTTGTAGAATTTGTTTTTTTTTGGCCCAATGAGAACAAGCTGTGACAAATAGGCTATTGCAATCCTATACTATCAGGGGAGCCTATAATACAAGTTGGTCATATGGCAAAGCGAGGGGGTTTAGAATCCGAGGTTCAAGGTACTAATCTTGCCAATCACGAAATAACGTGGAAAATACTAGGAAGCCTAGGTGGTGTGAGAAGGACATACAAAGTATATCAACATTAAACTAATTACAACAATACAGTAATTTATTTATAAATGTTAAATAAGTTTCAAAAGAAAAAAAATTAAGATAGCTTAGAGCTTGCCAAAAACACAAGCAATTCCAACAACTGATTTGATTGTTAAAATATTGTATATTTTTTTATGTACAGGTTAAGTGTAAGAAATGACAATTGGCCCAACTTTACCTGTGTAAATCAATAATTTTTCATTTAAATTTTTTTTCATTTCAATTTCAACCAAAAAGGATAAGATATTTAGAAATATTTCCCAGATTCAGCACACAAATTGAAAATAGTGGAGAATGAAATGTGGCCTAAAATGAAAGGGATAGACGATTAAAGACAAGGAATAATCAAGGCACAGCTAAATATTTTCCACAACAGTCAATACCAAAATGCCCAGGTTCTTTGGATGGTGATTGTGACTAGCCGAGAACCACTTTGAACGATCTTCAATTTACATTTAGCATATTAGTCCAAAAATATTCTTCGAAGGTTGCAAGGTTGTTTGATACTGTGTTATGAAAAGAAATGTTTAGAAACCAAATTTATATGGTTTTATTCAACTTAATAGTCAGCTACATTTTACATGAGAGAATTGCACAAAACTGTAAACATTACATACATAAACAAAACAGTCTTAAATAAAACAGCTGAATAAATATTTGACAGTACAAAAGGAATCATATTACATAACATTCACCCCATCTTTTTTTTAAATGTAATCCCTTAGATAGGTGGGAGGTCTTCGGACTCTAGTGGAACGACGCAGGTTTGTTTCTTCGTTATCCCTCACAGAAGTAGGGGTCACGGTCTCATGCAGAGGGGATGTTTCGATTTCAGATTGAATAGAGTTCCCAATTTCAGGTTGAAGCAGATTTGATTCACGTCTTAGGTCTTGAAGAGCAGGATCTAGTTCTTGACTGGGATTTTCCGAAGTCTCTGGCTCATCCTCTTGTTGGATAGCTTCAGGAGGAACAGCGAGATGTCGCACCGATACCAGAGCCTCTCTACCATCTCTATACTTGATGCGAGCATAGTCTGGATTAGCCTCTATCAGCTGAGCTTGTTCCACTAAAGGTTCATATTTGTTATTTCTTACATGCCTTCTCACTAATACTGGTCCTGGATTCATGAGCCATTGAGGTTGAGAGGTGCCATAAAATGATCGTCTCTGGTGTTTGAAAAGTCGTTCATGTGGGGTCTCATTCGTAGCTGTACATAGTAACGAGCGTATACAATGCAAAGCTTCTGGCAAAACATACTCCCACTGTTCTGTCTTCAGTCCCTTGTTTCTCAGAACAAGAGATACAGTCTTCCAAATCGTTCCATTATATCGCTCAGCTTGAGAATTACCTCGAGGGTTATAAGGTGAAGATCGGCTAGTGGCGATTCCTTTAGAGTGTAAGAAATCACTCAGTTCTTTTGACATGAAAGCAGAACCTTGGTCGGAGTGGACAAAAGCAGGCATACCAAAGATGGTGAAGATTGATGTAAGTGCTTTGATGACAGAAGATGCTGATGTGTCCGAGCAAGGAATAGCAAACGGATATCTTGAAAACTCATCAACAACCGTGAGTATGTATTTATTCCTTGTCACAGATGGTATTGGCCCCTTAAAATCAATGTTAAGTCTCTCGAAAGGAGCCATTGCATGGATGAGTGTTGATGGGGTTTTTTGGTAGAACCGAGGTTTCACTTCCGCACAAACAGAGCATGAAGCGGTCATTCGCCTGACATCTTCGATAGAGTAAGGGAGATTTTTACTTTTTAAGAAATGAACCATCCGTACTATTCCAGGATGCCCAATGTCACAATGAATTCTACGGAGTTTTTCGAAATCTCTACAAGAGATGGAAGATGAAACTCGTGAAAATGCATCTGCTACTACGTTTTCCTTGCCAGAACGGTACACTATGTCATAAGAGAAAGGTGCTAGTTCCAATCGCCACTTTAAAATCTTGTTGTTCTTAACCTTTCCCGCGTGTTTCTGATTGAACATATATGACACAGATTTCTGGTCTGTAATTAATTTAAACCGTCTTCCAATCAGGAAATGCCTCCATTTCTGTATTGAATCGAATATTGCGAGGGCCTCTTTTTCCACAGCAGGTAGATGTTGTTCACTCTTAGTTAGGGTTCTTGAAAAGAAACATATTGGCCTTCCAGCTTGTGAAAGGGTAGCCGCTATAGCTGATTCAGATGCATCTGTTTCTACAGTAAATGGAATATTCTCTTCAACTGCAGACATACTGGAGTTCGCTATTTCTTCTTTTAATGTCTTAAAGGCCAATATTTCTTTACTGCCTACTGGGAATGATTTGACTGTAGTAAGGCAATGAACCTTTTCAGAGAATTTAGGAATCCACTTTGCGTAATAGGACAACATGCCAAGAGCTCTTTTAAGGCTTGCATTATCAGTTGGAACAGGGAAATTCAAGAGTGATTGCAGGCGGTCAGGATCAGGACGCATGGACATGTTTTCTACAATGTACCCCAGAACTGGAATGCTGGTCAACGAAAACTTAGATTTTTCTTTGTTCAGGGTAAGATTATAGTTTTTAGTTGCTTCCATGAATCTCTGTAGGTTTTGATCGTGTTCTGCTTGGCTACGACCACAAATAGTTACATCGTCCAGATAAGCAAACGTGTCTAGTAGATTTTCATTTTCTATAATCTGATCAATAGTTCTTTGAAAACACGCCACACCATTAGTTACGCCGAAAGGAATTCGAGTGTATTGGTAAAGTCTCCCATTAGCTTCAAATGCAGTGAATGGTTTATCTTCATTCCGAATAGGTATTTGGTGATATGCCTCCTTCAGATCGATTGTACTGAACACTTTGTATTGAGCAAGCTTAGAGACAAATGATTCAATGTGAGGTAGAGGGTAGGCATCAAGCTGTGTGAATTTGTTGATGGTTTGAGAGTAGTCAATACAGAGACGTCTCTTGTGCCCATTGTTGACCACAATCACTTGTGCTCTCCAAGGTGATTTACTCGGTTCAATTATTCCTTCTGATATAAGCCTACTTACTTCACTTTTTATGAACTTACTATCATCTTCAGAGTAGCGGCGGGACTTGATGGCTACAGGCTTGACGTCATTAGTTAGATTATCAAACAGTGGTGGTGGTGATACTTTAGCCCTAAGTAGATTGCAAACATTGAAGGGTGGGCGTTTACCACCGAAATTCAGCTCCACAGCAGAATGTTGCCGAAGGATGTCATGTCCAATTACAACATCGGCACATAAATCAGTTAAGATGAGCAGCTTTGTCAGTGGGTATTCGTGGCCATCGCACACCATGTCAACAATACAGTGGCCAAGAGTTGATGAAACATGACTTGTTGATGCCATCGATATTTCATGCTTTGTTGGGTATTTAGAAATATTGAATCTTTTCACAGTAGCTTCAGATATAAAACTGTCGGAACTCCCAGTATCAATGAGTGCATCTACTGGTTTGCCGTTTAACATCAGTGACACTGTAGCTTTTGAAAGACATTTTTGTGAGGCAGCAACAAGAGAAGAAGACATTGAGTTTATTTCTGTCTTATCACTTTGAGTTGTTTTACCCTTAAATGTCCTACTTTGGTTGCGAGAATTGCAAACTGTTGCCCAATGGCCTTTCTTGTCACAAATATTACAAACTGAGTCTTTGGCAGGACAGTTGGCTCGAGAGTGTCGTGACCGTCCACAAAAGAAACATTTTTCTCTTCTTATCGAGGATAATTGGTGTGAAGACGAATCAGAAGCTGCCTGAGAAACATTTGTATCAGTAACATCAACATCTTTAGGAGTTGACTGAGATATAGAGTTACAAGGGCTTGAAATATATGAAACCGCCTGATTTTCAGCTGATTCCAAGGTAATGGCTTGATTATAAGCTTCTTCAAGAGTCAAAGTTAGATTTTCAAGAAGTCTTTGTCGAATGGACTGTGATATTAGTCCTCGAATGAAAGCGTCTCTTATGTACTCGTTGCGATTTTCATTAGCAGTGACAGATTTAAAGTTGCATGCTTTACTAAGTTCTTTTAGTTTTCGAAGATACTGATCAATATTTTCTCCAGGTTCCTGTCTTCTAGTGGCCAGTTGATGACGTGAATATACCTCATTAGTAGGCTTTATAAAGAGTTTGTCAAGAATATATATAGCTTCGGTATAAGAATCAGCCTCTGAGATTATTTCATGTATGTTGTAGTCCACAAAATTAGTTAGAAGTTTTAGTAGATCATCTTCTGCAGCACATATTTCTTCCACGAAATTCTTGAAAGTGGTTTTCCAATGTTTCCACTGACGATCAGAATGGGGATCATTAGGGTCTAAAGATAGGCGCTCCGGCTTGAAGAATTTATCCATTTAGATTTGTTGGAATAAACTTGAATAGAAAAGATAGAATACAACTTGTATAGAAGAACTTGTAATAATATAGTTAAAAGATTAAGTTGAATAAATTGTTATGAAAAGAAATGTTTAGAAACCAAATTTATATGGTTTTATTCAACTTAATAGTCAGCTACATTTTACATGAGAGAATTGCACAAAACTGTAAACATTACATACATAAACAAAACAGTCTTAAATAAAACAGCTGAATAAATATTTGACAGTACAAAAGGAATCATATTACATAACATACTGTACTTTAATACTTTCAATTGAAATGACGACCATACAAAGGTAGGTATTTTAAGCCTAGTAAGAATGGTGATGAGTGTAGGATGAGTGGTGCGCAATCTTGTAGTCTTGTTAGTGACTAAGGCTGAAATATTCCTTAGACACAGCTGTTATTGATAGCCCATACAGCCAATGGTAACTACAGGACCTTCAACTTATACAGTAGAGTCCCGCAAACTCGGCGCTCGATAACCCAGCAGTCTGGATAACTCGGCCATCACCTGGCTCAGAAAATTTGTGATTTTTTGAGTCTGAGTTAAACATGAACTCAAGCCAGCTCAAGTCAAATCATTCTCAGCTCGTACAAATGATTTGTTTTACTATATCTGATGACTTAATACTAACTTGTAATCCTACTAATATTATAAAAGAAGTAGTTAATAAGATTAAAAATTGTATTGTTCTTGTTTTTAACCCTAGTTCCCAATAACCCGGCATTTCACAAACTCGGCACCCTTACAGTCCACATTACGCCGAGTTTGCGGGACTCTACTGTAGTGGAATCCAAACCATATTTTTGCCTTGTGATTTAAATTATCAGGACAGTACTGCGGATAGTCGTAGTCCTCAGTGCGGGTGTTAATCTACACCTCATCAGCTTTTCAGAGGTCAAAAGATAATCTGACAATATGAAAAGAAACTATATTGGTCTAAAGAGTTATCACAGTCGTTGTTTACCTCGTCTTCACCACCCACACCGGGTTGGTCATGGCCAGAGTCAGTACTCCGGCCTCGGCTGCCGCTACCATGTGCATCGTCGGGCCCAACGGTGTTTTTGAGTTTCCACCTTGGATCCAGTTCTTGATAGAGTTATAACTGAAACATTTACAGCTTCTTCAGTTTATGAGGTTTAACAATATTTAAAGCATGACAGTGGCTTTTAAGGTTGAATTTTATGAACAAAATAATTTAAAGTTAGAATTGTTAGTTTAAAATTTTTTTAAGAAAAAAACTTTATTAGGCTACATGCAGTTTTCTCACTACGATAAAGAATTTAACCAAACTGAGCTCAGAAGATAAATATATATCTTTATTAAGTTTACCGGTTGTATAATTCAATAAGTCTTTATTTTTCTTGAGGCGGGCAAACTAGGCTGATGAGGCCATCCCTACTAAGTTAATGAAGCAATTTGACTGACAGCTACACCAAACTTGCTCAATAAATCTCCCCTCTTTTAATCTTATAGCCCCCTCATCACTTTTAATCAGAAGTTTGAGTAAAATTTTTGGGATGGATTCCTTACGGTAACAAATCAAAACAGTAAATAATTAATTTTGCCAAAGCACATTAAAAAATGAACAAGCAAGTGTATCTAGGTAATTTCTTCCATTTCAATAAATATATTATTGTTATTTACTACTAGTAAGGCTTTTTATGTGAATATAAGATATACTAGCTTGATGTTTCTCGACTGTTAGACTTTGGGCAGAGAGAATAACACAAGAAGAAAGTAGCCAAGAGTAGCTATGCCCTTGTCTTAGAGAGGAAAGTAATGTATAAAAACAACTACATTAAACAATAAATTAATCTTTTGTACAAAGCTCGTGAAGACCAGAGAAATGCAAATGATTTAAGTAGTATGGTTTAAACCACACCTACCGATGGTGTGATAAACATGTTTCATTGTAATAATCAAGTGAGTTATTTGTTCCAAGTGAGCACACCAAAATGTAAACTTGTTATGAAAAAAGTGGAACAGTTCAACAGTTTGGTGCTCTGACAACTGATAGGGATCAAGTTGTTTTATAGTTTAATTTTTTGCACGAGGGTTTATACAAACCCATCAGACAATTAATTGCATTACATAATTTTTTTCCTCAAATCAATGTAAAGTAAAGAATTCTTCTAACCTTGACATTTCTAATTTTTTGTTTATTTGAAAGACTGGTTTTAAAAGGTTAGAGCCAAACTAATTAATTTTTAATTTTCACAACATAATTTAATAAGGGTCTTTGAATTTGTTATAAGAAGCATTTCAGTTTTGTGCAACATTGGACTATTTTAATCAAATTTATTAGCTACTTGAGATCTATTTTACTTTGTAAAAACTTTAAAACTCGGTAAGGTACATAAAATCATTGTATTTTTTTTGTAGTTGTGGGTTTTAAATTATTTAATTTTTTATTCATGTCACATTTTAAAATAGTTTACAGAACTAACAATTTTATTAATTCCAAGATTATGAACGGGAAAACTATCAGCTTAGAGTTGAACGTAGGAGTTAAGTAGGGTCTAGAATAATGTGCCATTGAAACCTATTTTCCCACTTAGCTGTATTCAACTTAAAATAAATACAAGAAGACAATTTTGGAGTGAATTGTTATTGAAATGTGACACTATAACTGAACCAGACTGTACTTATGCTTCTTCTCTCGTCACAATAAAAACAACTTCAAGTGTGTTTCTGAAGTTCATAACATTATTTATCTTTGTTTTCATAACGGTAGAGGAATTTACCTTGACTTTTGATCTTAGTGGATTATTTAGCTTAATTTTCAAACCAGTCCAAAATTAGTTAGTGTTTGAAACCACCATAAATATTTGTCTCACCAGTTCAGAGGCAAGCCTCCTGAATGAGTATTTTAAACTTAGTACTGTACAGATCAAAATAAGGTTTAATGTTCATAAATAATAACCAAAAGGGATACTTTTGTTCTTTCTCTAAATCCATCCATTTCATCCCGTTCAATAACAAAATTGTGATAGTAAAATGAAAAAATGTTTTTGCTACACTACTGTGAAATGATCTGTTTTCTTTGCTTTTTAACCACCTGCCAAAAACCATTATTTCATTGTTTACTATGCGAAAGTAATGTTTACTATCTTTTTTGGTTTTTGCCGACGTAAACAAACAAATATTTGTTATTGTTTTATCAACTGTTTCAATTTTCAACAACTAAAGTAAATATTAAATTTAAATTGAAGGCATAACCTAAAAAAATGCTATGAGTTTTATAGTGAAGAAAATAATTATTCCTTGTAGTGTAGCGAAAAGTTAAGTTCAAAACACAAGTGAAAGTGGTTCTATACATATTCTTGACCATTTAAAGTGGTCTCAAATATGTAATGACTCATTTTTTACTCTTGTTATGAAATATACAATTTTTGTTCTACTCACAATGCGTTCACCCGCAATTATTAGCTTGTAATAAGTTTGCAATGCAAAAATGTAGGATTAAGCAGCAATTGTTGTTCAATTAGGCTAAACATTCAACTTTTAAATAGCTTAAATCAATTTATTCGATTTAATTAAAATGTATGATCATGACCATTTTCTTGAAAAATTATAGCAAAATGCCACAGACCTTGATTGACAAACGAATATTAAATAATTGTGACCACCAATTTATACAAGCGTCTTGCAAGTTACATTCAAAAACTTTATTTGCCTGAGTTTATTTTCAGTCTAAGTTTGCTTTTAATTGGATTACAACTACTGACTATAATTAGAATACAAAAATTGGAAGCATTGTTAATTGGTTGATTAGTCAGTTTCTGCTACGTCGTTGAATTAGTTAATAGTCAGTTGTTTAAAATATCTTATCAGCCAATGAGCTGGACAAGGTTCTAATACAACGATGCTTTTCTTTAATAAACAAATCTGTAAAACTCTGTAAAATAAAATGTATCCAGAAATAATAAGTCAAAATGCATAGGTTTTGGTTCATTTAAAAAATGATACTTTTGTCTTAATGGGCTTCCTCAGTTAAAGTTTAGTACAAGTGGTGTTTTTTTTAATATAGGCTATAAACGTTTTACATGCAGTGATTCATTTAATTAATATGAGTTTAACTTTTGATACACCGTAAAGTATATCTTTAAAATCAGTTTATTATTTTTAATTCATCCCATAATGAGTAGTCCATTGATGAAAATTACTTTCGGGTTATATTGAATCACGCTTAAATTTTGTACATAATTATGAAATGAAAAAGTCTCAAAATAGACCTCAAGTGGTTGAATATAAACATATACACAGTAAATTCAACAAGACAAACTCTCTATTAATTTCTTCAAACAAACATCAGATTCAACAGATTCATTATTAGTCTTCAGAACAATACACCTTGTCCGACACACTTCACAGTAAGTAAAATTCAGCGATTCTATTAGACTTACAACAAGAAATAAAATCCCCAAGCACTTCCGGATCCCCACACGTTTGGTGTGACCCCTTTGTAAAGACCTCTTAGGCCTTCTTGTTGAAAGATGGTGGTGACAGCGTTTCTTAACCCGTGGTATTGCGGCACAGGCGTCCGCCCATCGTTGACTGCAATAAAAATTGTCACCCAAAAATCCACAAAGCAATGGTTTACAGTTCTACATAATTGCACCATAGGTAACAATCATCATTAGTCCTGACATCAACAGTCAAATTTAGGTTGTCAGGGTTTGATGAAAGTCACAGCACCAAGACAACTACTGAAAGTGATTAAATATTATGAATCAGTTTTGTAGCCAAACACTGCAAACCTTTTTTCAGGACCTTCAATAAACATGATTTCATACATGTAATAAAACTACAACTAACACACTAGCTGCAATACAGGGTGTTTCAAAATAAATAGGCTACTAGGAGATTTTAGGAATAATGATTTACTGAATGAAACTTGTAGTTATAAATAATTATACATTTAAAAAGAGCACCTTACTTGATGTCAAAAAATAATATGTACAGCTACCTGATATGATGTTGATCCTACCTAAATATACAATTGAATTATTTTTACAGCCTACCAAGTATATACAGATTAATAAGCGTGGCCTACAGAATCTGACACCTACCATTGAGGGGTCAATGTTAGAAGCATTGATTTGGTTTTTTTTCATATTAAAATAAGTTTTTCCATCTTTAACAAGTTGAATTTATTTCTAAGATATAAACAAACATAAACAAACATTTATTTCCTAAATCAATCAACATAAAAAACAAATTTCATATTGTTATACTAATGTTAAACACAAATGGAACGCGAAGTGTTCACTATGTGGTGTAAGGTCTACAATTATTTACATGTCTGGAATATGTTCATCTATTTAACATAATAAGCATAGTTAAGTTACGTGTAGCCGCGTGGACAAAATTTTATGTTATGAGTAGCTGATTAATTGTAAAAACAGGTTTTTTTATAAAACCAACATAGACCAAGCCAAAATTGGTACACAACTCTTGAGAGGTGACTTCACAGAGTTTTCTTCAAGACGATTGTATTTAAGTCAAAAATTCTATTATTTCATGTGATAGGTACATGACTGCCGACTGGCAAATCGACAGTTGTAGTTAAGTAAAAATACCTCAATCACGACTTTTGATTCTATGTATCGTCATTGCACTCTTGAAAACCTCCACCTCACTACCCCTTACACTTAGCCTATTCGGAATGTTAAGGATCACATGAAATGGACATCACCACCGTTTAGGCATATCAACTCTTAAACCTGCATTTCCTGAAGTTAGGTCCTCGTGTCACCTCTTGTGTTTTGTTCTCTGTTATTATTTAATTGCTTATTATACTCTAATAACTTAAGTTTTTGATTTGTATTTAAGTCGTTAATCTGTATATACCTACATACGTATATATTTACACTGTTTGTCTATAGTTCTGTTACTCGGAAAGAACCCCTTGATCAGCTCTCATGAAAGGATTTAAATCAAGTAGGCTAATTTTTATTTGAAAGTGTTTAAAAACTCAAAACATATTTCTTTTGAAACACCCGTATATTGCAAATGAAACAGTTTAAGGATACAATAAATAGGCCTCTAGGCTAAATATATTAGTAGGAAGAGTGGTTCTCTTAATGTACAGTAGGCTAATCTATAATATAACAGAGTTAACTGCTTGAAAATGCACTTAAAATAAGATTAGATTACATTTCCTATAAGATATGATTAGATCACATGTTTACGTTGACACACCATGGTGCGTACGGTATTTTAAGAATATTAATAAAATAATTTGGACCTACTTTCTAAACAAGACCTTACATACCTGGAATATTATGTAAATTAGCATTTCTGGATAGAATTTAATAGATAGTAGGGCAGACTTATTTATTGGACAAATTATAAATTATAGTTTGTTGACAGTAAGGTGGGGAAGTGAAAAGCGAAAATACAGATTGTAGGCCTAGTCAAATTAAATATAGAAAAGGCTAAATTTTCATTAGAGGCTAAAAGCTGATCAATTAACCTACAAATTAATATCAACAAAATAAAGCAAACAGCTAGGGGATTTTAAGTTGAGTTTGTAGGTAAAAGATGTATAGGTAGCCTAATGACCCATTTTGAAGAAATTCCCGTTGGCCTATTTTCAATACTAGGCCTATTTTTTCCTATTATGAAAATATGACCCAAATTACAAATTGCTCACATGTAAGTATTTAAGTTCGGAAAGAGAGAAGGAAGTTATTGTATGCAAGCCATGACAAAAAAATAAGCCTGATGCTGCATAGGCAACAACGTTCACAGGCTGGAATAGTTCAAAAGGTTGGTTGTGGTACCTCCTGACTTAGTTTTACATTAATTAAATAATAGGCATAGTAGGCCTGGTTAAGGTTAAGTTAGTGTGCTCGTTTACTGCACAGATTTACCCCAGTTCAATCCTGAAGTAAGTCTGTAGCTGTTCGATGGTTTAAAACAGTATTCCAGCTGTTCACCTAAACTTTTATGACGACAACCAGGCTGTGTGTTTTTTAACATTTAACGGTTGCTCATTAGGGTTTTCTGTGAGCAATAACTCACTATCAGTTCATGACAAAGATTGTTGTAAATGCTAATAATTATTTGTTATTGCTCAGAGAGAGAGTACTGGATGCAGCTGTCCAGTATTATTAGGATTTTCACAAAGGCAGAGGATATGCATCCGGTAACCGGACGTGGATTAGGCGTCCAGCAGTTACCATCATAACCTAACCTAACTAACCAAACTTGCTGATGATGAAAAATTGAAGTTTAAATTCTGTTCATAAAATAAAATTATAAGTTAAATGTCTCAAATTCTAACAAAAGATGTACAGTTAAAAAGAAATGGCATTCTAAGCAAAATCTTTGACAAAAAGTGACTCCGATGGGATTTGATCTAAGTACCTACTGAACATCAGCCGAGTAGTCTATCCACTACACCACGAACACTGACGGCATTCCACAGAATAGTTGTGTTAATGGTGTTCCGAGCCCCCACAACCCGGTGACGTCACTGCCGGATGCCTAATCCACGTACGGTTACCGGACGTGTATCCTTTGTGTTTCATAAAAGGTAGGTACAGTTTTGCAAAGAACATTCGATATAGGCCTATTATCGGATAAAATAACTAAACTATTAAGTTAGTTTGATATAATATATTTTGTGTTTGATATCGTTTTCACATGATAGGCCCTATGATGTCAGGTGTTAAGATATGTATTGAATATGAATATTTTCAGCTATTATGACCATTTTGAACCACAAGGTCTTTTTAAGAAGATTGCTGGCGCAAGTTGGTAACTTACATCTCTAACCAAAAGTAAACCTATCACTGAGCAATAAAAATTGCAATAAGTTACAGTGATGTTTGTCATAAACTGACACTGAGCTTTTTCACCCAGAAATACCTAACGAGCAATCATTGTTAAAAAATGCTCAGCCTCACTGTGCTCGTTTGTGTTCGTTCCTATCTGGAATGAATAACTAAGTCCTACAATACAAAGATTAGATGCCTAAGTTATGACACATTTTTTATTAAGTCATGTTAGTTTGGTCATGGTTTGAACAGCACAATTTAAGAGCATTGACAAAACTTAAAAGTTTTAGGAAAATAACTTCCTCAACTCTTTCAAACCTAAGTTTAAACACCTGTTTCAAAATTTTTATCTTGCTATTTTCTACATAGGCTATTTTCTAACGCAGCGTCATTAGGACGTGGATTAGGCATCCGGCAGTTAGCCTACTGTCATAACCTAACCTAACCAACCAAACTTGCTGATGATGAAAAAATCGAATGAAGGTTAAATTCTGTTAATAAAATAAAATTAGGGCAGCCTATAAATGCCAAAAATTCTAGGTGTAACAAAAGATGTACAGTTAAATGGCATTCAGTTAAGTTACCGATAAGATTCGAACCAGAGACCACTCGCACAACAGCCGAGCAATCTATCCACTAAGTTACACCACAAACACCAATAGCTGTTCATCGTATCGATGTGGTAAAGGCGTTTCGGGCCCCTCACAACCCAGTGACGACACTGCCGGATGCCTAATCCACGTCCGGTTATCCTCTGTGATTTTTTAAGGCTAAAGGCTGAGCCTTGAGTTGATTGAACTGATTAAAGTTAAATTAAGTAAAAATATACCATAACTTAAATTGCAACCGATTTGGGGAGGGTGGGGGGTTCAGCAACACACAGACACGACTGCACCCTTAAATAGGTAACAAAGAAACTCCTCAACCAATTAAATTACCGTACTAAATTAGGCTAAGTTACCGTGATTTAAGCTAAGACATGAACAGTAGGAAACCTAAGGAAGATTAGGTAATAAAACTGAACGACATCTCACCTGCAAATCTTATTTTAATAAGATCCAATGGGTGAAGCAATAAAGTTGAAGTTACTCCTCCAGTTATACCTGCTATTAAATGTTCATATTTTACGTGTTTGAAAAGTGCCAGTTTTGAATTAGGGTTTACACTGTTCGTTTTGGCAGACGACATTGTAATAGGTTAGGAATGACCCTGGCTGTCACAATAACAATTTACTCAACTTCACTAAATATAACACAGCGAAAAATTGTTTATCCATTAAAATGATCAATGATGTAAATTAAATAGCAATGGTTGAAGTTTATACAGGAATGATTTCATGAAATGCCAATGTTAAATAGAGAAACTATTGCATCACTCACTCTAACAAAAAGACATGACATTACGGAAAGGCAGAATGGCAGATAGAAAGAATGCACATTGCAGACTGCAGAGAGTGAGTGAGGACTGAGAAAAGATGCAGGCAGAAGAAGGGAGAAAACGAAAAGCGGAGAATCAGAATCCAATCCGAATTGAATAATTCCAAAACCTCCGAAGCTCAAAAACAGCGTGGAGTCTCTTACCTTATAATGGCATAGCTTATAATCGGGAACTTGTTCCATGGCTTAAAATCTTAAAAATGTGGCATAGCTTACAATCAATTATAAACTATGCCACGCTTTCACGTAAAATTATATGCTATGCAACAATTTCTCTAAAACGTTCGGTGGTGGTGGTAATACTGAACTTATACTACATCTATCTATCTATATATTAATAGGCAAGCATGTTTCTTTAAAACCTTTTTTCTCAGCTCGTGTGATTAGCTATGTCCACACTCATGCGCTTTCAATTTCAATGTGCCTTTCAGCTTTCAATTCAATATTCAATTCAACATGCATCAACGCAAACAATCGCATGCGCCTTGAGGCATGCCTTTTAGCTGTCCACACTCATGCGCCACCATCCTCACTTTCTAGATACCTTTTCTTAATTCGGTTAAGACGTCAATATTCTGATAGGAGGGATGGTGCGGCAAATTGAGTGTCAATAAAAGTTCCAAACCGTAAGAAACTATATCGGATAATATAGATAAAGAAGTACTCAAGTATAGTACTCAAAATTTTCTAATTTTATTTTAATTTATTAATTCTCTTAATGTAATCTTAATCTATTCAATTTATTTTAATTTTGTTATTACTCCGTATGTCCCACTAACATAAATAAGAGCAACAATCTTCTATGAATTCTGAGGTTTCTTAGTTATTCAATATGCTTCAAACAACTGCAACACGGACGAGGGACGACTTGTCAAAAATGTAAAGCAGTTGCAAGTTGAAACGCACAGAAATCCAAGGCTGGTGGATTGTCTTGCGCTACGCTGTGCGCTATGGAATGGTGCCCCTTCCGACTCATTTCGTGCATGCCTTGAGGCAAGCGTCACTTGCGTCCATCTGCATCAAGGCATGCGTTAAGAGGCATGCGCTTGGCGCACACAAAAGCGCACGAGTGTGGACATAGCTAATCGTAGGGAAAATCTACGCATACCGTTGGAAAGCTATTTTCCTGTAGGTGTGCAGAATCCCTTTATAAATTTAAATAGGCTCAAAGATAAGCACAAAAAATGAGTTTAAAAATTTGAAAAAATTAACATGGATCTTATGCGTTGCTATGCTGGTTACGACATAACAACGAAATATAAACAGAAAATCAAAACAAATGGAGGAAACTCCAATCACTTGTTTTATTTACAGTGTGGGGTGAAAATAGATAAGTGAGTACATTATACATATTTTTGGTCGAGTTTCGACCACTGGACGACCTCTCGTCTATATATTAATAGGCAAGCATGTTTCTTTAAAACCTTTTTTCTCAGCTCGTGTGCATCGTAGGGAAAATCTACACATACTGTTAGAAAGCTATTTTCCTGTAGGTGTGCAGAATCCCTTTATAAATTAAAATAGGCTCAAAAATAAGCACAAAAAATGAATTTAAAATTATGAAAAATTTAACATGGATATTATGAGTTGCCATGCTGGTGACGAAATAAGAACGAAATATAAACAGAAAATTAAAACAAATGAAGGAAACTTCAATCACATGTTCTATTCAAAGTGTGGAATGAAAATAAAGAAGTCTGTACATTAAATATTTTTGGTCGAGTTTCGACCACTGGACGACCTCTAGTAATATTTTATAGGCCTATTAAATTTGTTTACCATATCCAACAAAATTTGGCTATAATTTTTTTAAGCACATACCGGGGGCACATACCAATGGCACTTTTACTTTTGGGGGAAACTTATGGTGGAAGGAAAAAACATCCTTCCACCATGGGGGAAACAACTATTTCAACCTTAAAATTGCGAAAAACGCTATAATTCAATGAGTTTTGGGGCTTGAAAACAAAATTTTTTTACTATGTTTTTTTTATTATTTAGTCCATTTCAAACACTTTTTCGGCAAATTATGCCGTTTTTTTTTACCCAGAAAACCAGGTTAGAAAAATCTTAAAAATAGCAAAGTGCCATAAATGACCCATGTTTGGTTAAACCAAATTAAATATAATCCAATCTAACTTAATTTAACCTAATCTAACCTATCCTAACATAATCCATGCTTTAGCAATTAAAGTGCCAAAAATTACCGATTTTGGGTAAGCCAAGGTTAGGTTAATATTAAGTTAATGACACATTTACTGGTCAAATGTGCCAATTAGAACGCCTTTCTCGATTTTCAATAAAATTGCGTTTTTCGGGGTGAAATAAGTTAGGTGTTTGCCGAAAAAGTAGTAGAGGAAAAAATAAGGGTTTGGAATGGCCCAAATAATGACAAAAATACCATTTACTTAAAGTAAAAAAAGTGTTTCAAGCTCCTTAAAAATACTAATTTCTAACATTTTTCTTGATTTTCAAACGCGATTTTCGCAGGGTGAAATATGCGTTTCCCCCAAAAGTGACAAAGGTAAAAAGTGCTTAAAATAGTCTAATTTTGGTAGATAAGGCAAAAACAATGCAATATGACATAATTAGTATAAGTTAATATTACCAAAACTGTGTAAATGGAACATTTTAAGTTTCACAGCTTATAATGGTCAAATAGTGGCACAGCTTATAATTCCGAGTTTGTTCAATAGCTTATAATCCTGATTTTTAGTCATAGCTTATAATTCTTATTTTGTGGCATATGAAGAGAATGCTGCATTCGCATTGTGAGAACGGCAACTGCCGCGCGCTTCAGCAAGAGCTAGGGCTATACTGTCAGTCAAATAAATCATCCATTCTACAGTTACAGTCAATAATGCCAAAGGATTATTTGCACAGGAAGGATTATTTTTCTTTAGCCTGTCAAAAATTTGCTGCTAACCTGCGATGATGGTTAGCCGGACTTTGGTGTGAAAGGAACACAGGTTTAATTCCTGGCACATCCACAAAACACGTACCAGTTTGAACAGCTTTAGATAAAGGGTTTGTGTGCTCTATTCAATGACTCTTCTGAAAAATGCCTCCAATGTAGTTAACAAAAACAAAACTGTTGAGAGCATTCCTTTTTAATTTAACCTACATATTTATTTATTTATTTATTTATTTATCGTTTCAACGGCTGACGCCAATACATAGATGATTAGATTGAGATACAATTTAAGGAACTAACAAGAAGCAAATGTTGTACAGTTCAGAACAGTAACAAGCTACGAGATAACAATAAATACAACAATAAAAACAAAAACAACAATAAATAGCAACAATAAATACAAGTTGACAAACAGGCGAAATTCACAATAATGATTTACTAATTTGAGAAAATTATGTGATACAACATTTGAGTGCAAAAACAGAACAATAATAATGCATGAACAAACCAAGCAAAGAACAACCCAAACATATCAGAAAATGTGAGAAGAATACTGCCATACAATTAACAAAACCAGAAAGGGCAGTAGAAGAATTTGCATAAACAGAGAGGCACAGGCACAAAACACAGAAAGATCTTCACTTCACCACTTCGAAATCACCACACATTTCTTGAAGGTAGCCAGCGACATATTAAAGAGGTCAATATCTTCAGGTAGAGCATTTACGAGACGTTGGGCTCTAGGCAGTGGGCTGAAGAGATGGTAGTTGGTGCTGAGATGCTCACGAGAGAAGAGATCCTTGGATCTTGAAGATCTACCTGCCCTGAAGTTCAGAAGTTTGAGAAGTCCGGGACAGTCGATGAAGCCATTGACCAGTTTGTAAATGAGCAAGATGTCCTGGATCTCACGTCTGGACTCCAAAGGAAGGATTTGAAGGGCCTTGGAGATTTCTTGGATGGGTACCTCTCTGTAGTTGTAGCCCAACCTCACACCGACCACTCTCAAGAAGTGATTAACAACCATTTGAAGTTCGGTCTTGAGATAGTCCTGGTGAGGTGACCAAACACAACAGCCAAACTCTAGGTGTGGCAATACGAAGGCCAGGAACAGGGTTTTGAGTAGAGTAACGTCTTGGAAATATTTGGAGCTTCGAAGAACAAAACCCAGGGCTTGAAGGGCTTTTCTGCAACTAGAGGTAATGTGACGTTCCCATGACAGGGAGGAGGTTAAGGTCACACCTAAATCCCTCACTTCATTAACCCTTGCAAGATTAGATTGACCCAGGCTATATACGAACTGAGACTGAGACTTCTTCTTACTAAACGATATGGCTACACACTTTTTAATGTTTAGATCCATGTGGTTTGAGAGACACCAGTTCTGGACGGCATCGAGACTACGTTGGAGGAGAAGGCAGTCTTCGTGGCTTCTAATGGTACGGTATATCTTCAGGTCATCAGCAAATAGAAGGCAATGGTTACCTACGTGGGTCACAAGGTCATTTATGAAGATGTTGAAAAGTGGTGGACCGAGGTGTGAGCCCTGGGGAACACCAGATGTGGGAAAAAATTCGTGAGATAAAGAACCAAGAAACTTAACTTGGACGGGGCGGTTTGCAAGGTAGGACCGGAACCAAGATAGCATTTTCCCAGTTACACCAGCAGCTTGGAGCTTGGTGAGGAGGAGCGGATGGTTTACCCTGTCAAACGCCTTAGCAAAGTCAAGATAAATTGCATCCACTTGCAAGCGATCTTGAAAGGCATCAAGGATGTCAGCTTGCATTACCAAAAGATTGGTGGTAATTGAGCGTCCGGTAGAAAATCCATGCTGCAGTGGAGAGAGATACGGCTTGATGGCAAAATTCAGTCTTTTGAGGATCAACTTTTCAAAGATTTTGGAGAGTGTATTCAAGATAGCTATAGGTCTGTAGTTGCGGACGTCTAGAGTAGGACCAGATTTGTGAATGGGTAAGATGTAAGCACTCTTCAGGGCATCAGGAAACACACCCGAGGCTAAAGAGTGGTTAAACAGAACTAAAATAACAGGAGCTAGTACATCAGCACTTGATTTGAGAACATTAGGCGGTATGTTGTCAGGGCCGCAACCCTTAGATCCATCCAGGTTCCTGAGGCAGTCGACAACTTCCCCAAGCTGAAGCGAGCAGGAAGAGAGGACATCTGAAGCTCCCACATCAAGTGGAGGATTATAGGCATGATCGTTGGTGTAGACCGACGAGAAGAAGTCAGCGAAGAAGTTGGATATTATATCAGGATGCTCCGATGAATGATCATCATACTTGAAGGTTCTAGGCTGATCATCAGAAGATTTAAGGTTCCTCACAAAACCCCAGAAAGACTTAGGATTGCCCATTATATTGGCTTGAATAAACTGCAAGTAGTTTTTGTAGCAGATTCCAGAGAGTTGTTTGCATTCAGCTCTGACACGTGCAAACTTGACGTAATCATTATCCTTTAGGGACGTCTTAAAAGCCTTGTGAAGGATTTTCTTCTCGATCACCAGCTCACGCAACTGGGGTGTGAACCAGACGGGAAAGGGAGACTTGGCAATATTTTTCATGGGAGTATGACGCAAAACTATGGTACTGACTGTACTGCAGAAGCTATTAAACAAAGCATTGGTATCTGACTCAGGGTCAAACCAACTAAAATCATGTGACTGAAGTTCCAAATGAATAGCAGGTAGATCGCTTTGACTGAAGTTTGGTCGGAAAATAGGAGCTCTGTCAGAGATTTTTTGAGGCAAAGCCAGAAAAAAAGAGAGAGTCAGAGATTTTTTGTTTTTTTATTTAGGTACAGCGTATTAACACTTTCAATTTGTAACTGAATTTTTAAATCTATTACCTACCTATGTATTTTTTTGGCTGGTCATGATTTGTGTTTGACTACTTTAAATATTATATTCTTTGATGGGTTTTGGTATTGGTGTATGGTATTTGTATTTTAGTTCCAACACTTAGTGTACCTGTTCCTCGAATTCCGAGCAATTGCTAAGTATTACAGGCACGAATAACAGTCATAATTTCTGGTGGCTTTAAAAAGATTTGATTCAAAGATTATGGAAATACTCAAGATGTACATAAAAGATCTATATAATCATCATTCCTTGTAAATAACTTATCATTTTTCAACAGCTGATCATGTTTTTAGTATTTTCTACAAATGTTTCACACTCATAGCCGCATTAAGTTGTCCATAATAATAACAATGATAAATAATAATAATAAAAAAACATTATTTCTATTTCTTCTCCTTGGTGGTGTTCTTTGACTTTCCTATGTTTCCATAGTTTGCAAATCAGCTTTTTCATAGTGATTACTAAGAAATGCAGCACAGTGATGATTCAGTTTACTTTTTAGTATATCAAATTATCCAGGCTCTCTTGCTTTTTTCCATTGTAATATTTACGCAAACCCAAATCAAATAGTAAATATTTAATTTCAACCAAGTAAGTAAATGTTTGTAGCAAACTATTAACCCTTCCCGGCCGGGCAAAATCGTGACATAATGCAGGAAAAAATTATAGGAAAAAATAACAATTAATTTTCCTTATTTGTGTTTTGTTTTACAAGTATACATAAAATAAACACAATGGAACACTTTATATTGTCAAAATAATTTTTTACTTGTTTTTAACTAGCCTATGCGGATATATCCGCTAGCCGTCTGCGGATGAGTAAAAAAGCAGCGGATATATCCTTAACCCGTCTTTGAAGATATAAACAAGACAACGTTAGGCAATAAAGAACTATATGTAAACAATAAATAAAGACAACGTAGTGTTGAGCAGTAGTGTGCAATAGTGTAATTGTTACAAAAAACCTGCTTGCGTATTAAATAGCCTAAGTATATAGATTATGATTAAGCAATGACAACAACAGTATTGTTAGTACTGCCTATTCTTGCTCTAGTGAGAAGGTAAAAGTCTTTCTCAAGAGAAGTTTTAGTCTTAACAATGTGTCTTATTTTAATTTTGCATGATCAGAAAATAGTCAAAATGCATATTCGATCAATCAAGAAGACTTTTACATTATGGGTTGAAATAAACAAAATTAAAATAACAATTTTATTTATTACTTAATAAACTTAAAGTATTACAATTATTTACAAACCCCTGCGAACATTCGTGCAATGTTGCCATTGCCTGCTGAACACCTCATCACATTCAATAAAAAAATATCACATACACAATCAATAATATCCACAGTTGAAACAAATTACTATTAACATATTTCAAAGGGACATTTACAGATAGGACTGTTTCTAATAATGTGAGTAGTAGAGGTGGCGAATCTGGAGGTTGTGATAGCTGTTTTACGAGACTAGAGGTCGTTTAAGCATTGGCCGCCTCGTAGTATTTGGACTGCTTCTGTTTCAACACCGCCTGGACACACTTTGCCATCGTTGACGACGCTCGACTGATTGGATCAGTCATGTAGAAGTCTTCCAACTCTTTCTGTTTTACATCTAACGGTTTACTGTCCAATTTGACACCCGCAAGCTGAAAAAATGAATTAAAATAATCCCTTATGCATTTAAGATTTTATAAAACCACTAGCTGTGTACCCGTTCTACGCACGGGGATCTTATAATATTCAGTTGAAACCTTCTTATATAACGAACAGCAGTTGGTTTGCATATTTTAAGATATGCTGGCCAAACTATTATACATAGCTTCATTTTATGTTGTTTTTTGTTGTTCCGGATCGGTATGACAATCAATAAAAGGTTAAATTACCTCTGTGTCTGCCGGTCGATCCTATAACGGTAGGCTTACTTTTATTTTTACTATCTGATCTCGTTTGCATGGCTCAATCACGTCCTGGTTGAAGTTCGTTCGCTACGCTCACTCACCTGTATGTTGGAGCTCGTTCGCTGCGCTCACTTTCCTTCAGGTTAGCTCGTTCGCTACGCTCACTTGCCTTCAGGTTAGCTCGTTCGCTACGCTCACTCGCCTCCAGGTTGCAAATTAGCTGTTGTCATAAATGTAAAAGAAATAATAGTGCTAGTGCTGCACCCTGTTGGTAATCCTTGTAACTTTAATGCTATTGAACATCACAGAACAGAACCAACTTGTTTAATTGAAACAGCTGTTAAGATTCAATAATTTCATTTCTCATAAGGTTAACATGGGCTTCCAGAAATTCCACGTCAAAAATCGACAAAAACTTGATTTTCAAGGGTTTACTGTTAAATATCTAACTGTCTCATATTCGATGAAATACGTCTAAAACCATCTCATATATGTATAGTATTTGGAAAATAAGTTTCAGGCGGGACAGTGCTATAGTTATTGAGGAGTAGTTGTAATAAAGTGCGTATTTTAGCGTTACCAAGAGAATGACAGATAGACAGACAGACAGACAGACAGACAGACAGACAGAAATTGAGATAAGGTTTGATTCGGTTTCTCTGACCTATGAAATGTAAAAATAACCAAAAAGTTCATTATTCTAAGCAATGTACAGACAAAACTCTAATTTTATTTATATAGATAGATGATCTAAAAAAACAAACTAGTCATGTTAAAGGTTGAGGGAACTCTTGTTGTAGACATCACCTAAGTAATTGAATGTTCTAGACTGTAATAAATGATTTTCTGTTATTGCCAATTGGCGATATTCTACTACAAGATTGTGTGGAGTAATTAAACTATGCACAACTACCACCATTAAATCATGAAGAATTGAACATAATTATTTTAAGTTCAGTACATACAAGTTTTGTGGAAAGGTTCACACAAAGTAATCAATCAAATGTAGTGATTACCTTGGCGAGTTCGGAGGCTTGTTTGAAGTAGTTCGCATCTTCTGCCTCACCGTATCTTGTGAGGTTGGGGGAGACCTCCTCTAGTCTTGCTCTTATTTCGTTCAATGTGTCGTAAGGCAACTTGTAGCCCAAAATCTGCAAAAATAAATAAATTCAATAAAGAAATGTAAGTGAGGGGTGTTTGATTATGTTAGTTGTTCATGAAAAAAATAACTCTGTCACTACAATCAAAACAAAATAAAATACAAAACTTGGAATATTCCAGAAGTCTCAGAATCAGGATCTTACCATTGTCATTTGTCAACATTACATTGATATAGACGATGTCAAAGAACATGGGAAATACAGTAATATGAAAGAAAAGAGTACCATGCACCATTTAGTATAATACTACATCATTTTAACAAATGTTGAATGTTAGATTCGTGTTTGCTTATTTGTGTGCCTGTGACAGTTATGTAATTAGAGTCGGGACCACCTAAGTTTGCAGTTGGTGGCAGCCAATCACAAGACAAGGCTAGTGCGACGTTGCCACATCACCCGTTGACAACACTAATTAAAATATACTAAGCAATATTTTTAAATCAGCTGGTATTATTAGATTTGGCAACACCGCCGGGTTCTCATTGGTTCATTCAAAACCATACGGTAAATAGGCTCCTCCCTCAACTGCAAACTTACATGGTCCCGACTCTAGTGTTTATGCTACTCTGAAGTTGCCACATTTATGGTAAAACATGGTCAACTGACTTCTACAAGAAGTTAGATTACATGAAAAGGCAAAATAGTACTGTCATATTAGTCATTTGTAGTGTAATTCACAGGCATCAACATGGAATTTAATGTTCTTGTCTATATCAAGTTTCATATTTTCTCCAACAATTAATCTGTTTCAAGTGACAAATATTTGAAGTCCAGCTCCCGGTTGCATTTGTGAAAGCTGGCCAGCTATTGGGACTCTCGTTTGTCTACAGACATCACTTTAGGTAGGCCTAATGGATTTTTGAATTTTTTTAATATTGTATTTTTATTTCCAAGCTTGCCACTACAATTACACTACTACATTATTTACAATGGGATGAGAAGTCTACTTGTGTTGGTTAGTCTATGTTTAATAAATCAAATCAAATATATTTATTTCCATTCGGTACAATAAAGTACAATAGGATAGGTCAGATTGCATTTTACAAATTGTCATGAAGCAAATTAAAGTAGATGTAAATATAAAATTAAACTTAAATTGTACAATATATAGAACAAAACAACTAAACAAACAATTTCTCCTTCAAGCTGGCCTGGAACATCAATAACAGATAAAATATAAAATAATTTCTGATAACATCATATCATAATAAAAACAGTCTACTATACCAGAGTTTACCACCTAGTATTTATAAATTTAATATTTTGAATTTTTATCTGTAAAAGTTTTCTAAAAAATAGTGAGTCCATTACATCGTTTTTGGTAAAGATGGCTTTAGGTCAGGGTTTTAAAGGATTTTTTTTTATATTGGAGCTGCTGTTAGTCGGATCAATTACAAAATCCTTAGAAACTCTTGAGTTTATTATAAAACGCCTACAGCCCCACACTGACAGTACTAGTTGGTTTACCTCAGACAAGGCTCGGATGATCTTCCAGTCCTCGCGTGCCAGGCCCGGAGGTGTCACAGCCACCAGTGTCTGCTGAGCTCGTCCCTCTGTGTTGACGTAGGACGCTTGTTTCTCCGTGTAAGCGGCTGCAGGCAACACAGCGTCTGCCATGCTGGCTCCCAGGTCTCCGTGGTGACCCTGCAATGAGCAGAGGTTAGTGACACCATCTGGGAGGCGGGCTTTGGACTACAAAGTCCTAGGTTCGGATGGATTCAGCTAAGTGATGGACATGCCCTTTAGACCTAGCCTGAAGTAATGTGCAGGTTTCAGACTGGAGCCAAGAGTCCTAAAGTGTGCAGAAAGGACATAAGGTAAAAATATTGAGTTTATATTATTTAGAGGGTCACTGTGGACTTTTTCCATTATGATTAGAAGAAAAAAAATGTTTCAGGATCTGGAATCCAAACCCATACTTACAAGAAAGTAACCAGAACATTGATTAGTAAACAAACCTGCCAATGTTTGAAAACCACACAGAGGTAGAGTAGTCAAAACAAGAAACAATTTTTTTAAATTAGTACGGAGGGTGGAGTGGTGGTGGGGGGGGGGGGGTGAGGAAAGTTAGGATTCCAGTTCCTTAAATGTGAAAACTTTCCTTTTTAATCACTGTTATTAAAAACTCAGCAATAGCCTCCTAAATAATAAAAAATTAAAATAAAAATCACCAAAATTGAACTATAAACAAAGAATTGAAGTTAACATCCATCCCACCCATGCTAATTTTTAAATGTTCCTTAAACATAATCTGTAGACTATTGCCAACTTTCTCAACTGCATAGCTAAATACTGCAGTGTCCCACCTGGTAGATGACGAATGTTTCCTTGGGAAGGTCGGAGCGTGTGATGGCGCCTTCGTCAGCCCCGAGCAGGAACAAGACCCGTGGAGGGTTGTTGCGTATCTCCGCTACCCCAGGGTGGTAGCCGAGGTCCAGTGCTGCCACCTGGGAGGCTACTTGGTGTAGCACATTCAATACCTTCCAGTTAGCTCCAGCCTGCAACAATCCAGATGCATGTTAATGTTCTTACAACTAAATATAGTGAAAGGAAACTTTATCAACTTTAAGGCTGGGAAAAATATCCTTCCAACCAACAATTGAATTTTGTAAACAATTAAATTTAAAGGAATTTGATAGAAGATAAAAGAGCATATATATGATGGACTTATGTGGTAAAAAATGACTTGTAATAGAGACCCAACACCAAAACTTGAAACTGAGAGTTGGGGCTTCACATTAATGGTATCTAATGTCTAAATTTAGTACAGTAGACTCCCTCTTATCCGGACACCTTTTAACAGTTTAACCGGACTAGATTGGCAGGAAGTGGGCAGTACTGAAACGTCTGTTCTCGTAGGAAAGATTTGAGACCAGTGATCACGTGTCTTAATACAATGCTCTCCTAAATTTAAGTAGAATATTACAGTAAACAGTCCGTTTTAACGAGTTTTTGGGGACATCAATTTAGACGGAAACCCCGTTATCCGGACTGGCCTCGGTCCCGAGGAGTCCGGATAAGAGGGAGTCTACTGTAATTCTTTATTTTGACACAACTGAGCCATTAATAGTTTTATTGGAGTACTTAAAGAAATTTATCAACCTCAAAGACTAGAAGAGAATTTATCTGCAATAATGGGCAATTCACATATCAACTATTTCTTCCTCCATTGTTTATTTTGAAATAATAATTGTGAGCAGATTTAATAACGTGTTTACAAAACCAGATAGTTCCCTATTGTTATAAAAAAATAGTTAAAAATAGATGCTATGAAATTATCGGGACAAAACTAGCCAATATCAACACCATACATGCGTTCTTGAAAGTAATTCTTTGACTATCGATACAACTATACATTCCATTACTATCTCAAAATTTTTGCCAGTTTTCAATCAAAATCGTCGTAGTTGATGTGAGCCACCGAAAGATTGTATTGATCTAAACTACTAATTTCTGTCGAATTTGAATGTACAACCTTTTTCCAAGTCAAATTAATGGAATGACTTATTGTGAGCTATAGCAACTGTTATGACCTATCAACAAGCAACAAAAAAATAAGGTAACAATTATAATTTTAGACACTAGCACATTCTGTGACTGGTTCACACAACTAAGTTCTTTTTTTAACAAAAATTTGCAACAGCTGGTCCATATAGGTGGAATGTCAACTTAAGTAGGCCTATCCAATAGTCAATGGTAAAACACACATTATATCAGGCTACAATTGTACAAAAGTATTGACAGTGACTCACGTCTGTTTTAGCAGCCAGTGACTGTGCCAGTTGTTGCGCCAGCGCCAGCAATGCTGCACCGTCGGGCCTGGTGAGCTGTTGAGCTCCCACCACTATCATTGGTCGTTTGGCTGCAGCTAAGGTTCGACTGAACTCATGACTACCATTAAGCAACTTCTCCAGCACTGATGGTGAATCTCCCAAGTGGGTGTAGTCATAGGTCAGGTTCACCTGGAAACATACCAAAAATCAGAAAAGGAAGACATAAAGGTTTAGTTAGGACTTAGGAAACATTTTTACCGTATTTTGATATTTTTGAAAAAAAAAATCCAGCTCTTAAATTACTTAGTGCAATATTTCAATTTGTATGTATCTGTAGCCTAACTTAACAATTGGACGTGGTCTATAACTGTATTATTGTTCAATCGACCAAATAAAGAATCTTTTATCTTGTATCTTAGTTGCAATATTAGCTGAACCCTCAAATATTTGAAATGATCGACAAGCAATAATTAGACAATGTTCTACTAAATTAACCAATAAAATTACAATAGCCAGTGCTTGATTTGTTAAAAATGAGGTGCTGAAACTGTAACCTATTTAATGTGATTATTATTTATGCCAATATTTTCATCTTCCCGAAAGAGAGATACTGGAACGCTGTTCTGCAGCAAATCGAGCACTGAGAATAGCTATTTGTGTGTTAAGAGCACAAAGTATATCATTGCCGCTCGAGAACTGCAGATGGCCGCATGAAGCTTTAGCTCAGTGTGGCCATCCGTTTCGAGAGCAGCTGACTGTTTGTGCTCATAATATTAACAAGATTTTCCAAACACCACAATTAACTTATCATAACACACAGATTAACGTTTTAGGTTTAGAGAGAAAGGGCTTATTGCCTGAGAATGGGTGTGAGAAAGGATAGGATAAGCAGGCTTACCTTAAGAAATGTAGGCATCCCATTTCATTCACTACAGAACACAGGAGAAAACACAAAAAAAAAACACTGGATATTTCGAGGCCACTGGCCCCTTTCTCAACATGGAGAGTCACACTAGATATTTAGAGTCTTTCACTCAGTGTTCTGTAGTGAATGAAGTGTGATGCCTACATTTCTTAAGGTAAGCCTGCTTATCCTATCCTTTCTCACACCTATTCTCAGATTAGTTTTAGTTTTATACAAAATGTAATTTAGGATATGTTATTTGCTTACCGGATATTAGTGTTTCTTTTAGAAACACGAGAATGAATAAAGCGGAAATGTGTTATTTTGCATAGTGTTTACAGGAGTGGCTATCTAATCATTTCCATGCAGTGATAGGAAAAATATCTTTTCCTACAGTCACCCGACAAAGTTGGCTTCCTTGTACTGTTTATAGTACAGAAAGCTGCTAATTGCTGCATATTTATACTTTGCCGTACGGTTTATACTTTGCCGTACGGTTTATACTTTGCCGCACATCAGGATTCCAACGAAACAACACAAAACAGCGTGGTTCTATTACGCACGTAATCCGTGTACGCTTGGAAATAGGTTGGCAACACTTAAAGATAAAAATTCTACGAGCAGCTGATTGACTATTATAACTACGATTTAACCTGTCATTTCGTGTTTATAGTTTCGGTATTTCTGAACTTTCTGGACTTTTCTTCTAAACGTTTTTAAAACATTCCTACGATCTTAATAAACAAGAAAATACCTTTAAAGCATTTTTTTAGGCGCGGAAACCACTTCAAATTACAAAAAAATACGGAACTATATTCTCAAAACGGAGCACATAGCACATTTCTTGCCGAGGAAAAATAGCGGAGTGATACGGACCACGGGTACTACTTTCTCTAGGGCACCATTTGTGTTGCCAGCTGAACCTAAAAACGTGTTGTATAGTGTTTGGAAGACTAATTATTTAAATGCTTTATAGTGACTGTAGGAAAAATATAATGTGTAACACGAGTGAAAAAGGCCTTTGCTGCACTCGAGATCATTCGAGTAAACATTGCTCTCATGTGCAGCAAAGTGCCACTTTCACCACTAGTTACACAAATAACTATTACCTAGCTACCTTACTATGAAATCACACTGTGTTCCCAAGTGAGATACATTTCTTTTAGAGATAAATCTTATTTTAGCCAAAAAACATGACAGTGCTTAATATATCAAAAAAGGATTTGGAATTATGTTAATAAACAACAAACATCAATAATCATACCTTGGGTCCAATCAGGGCCACATTTGCTTCATTGTGAACATAAGCTTTGCGAATCCTTGAATTGAAGAGGGGAGCCTCAAACCTTGGATTGGTTCCGATAAGTAGAATCCAGTCAGCCTCTTCTACACCTGTTGGCACAAACAACTAGTCAGGCTATTTGACAAGAAAATATAAACAAAGCACAAATGTCAACTTTAGTAAATTGTAGTAATGTTTTAACAAAATGTAAGCTAATCTGGGAACTATTATGATTTTGAGATATCTCCTAGCTTTTTAGTTCTGAGTAGTTATAGAAAAGCCTTAGAATTATAAATGTTATAGTATGACAAACTAGTTTTATCAGGTTGTTTCGGCAAAGGAGATGGAGTTCAATTAGCCTATGTACTGTAATTTATCTTTGACTTGTGTTTTTGCAGCATGTAAAACTTTATTGACGTATCCAAATGCATGTACATGTCTAACGGAATAAAATATTGATTCTTGTTCTTGATTCTTCTAGCTACCTGCTCGAGACTGCTTGAGTCCAGAAGCTAATAGATACACAAAACACAAGTCAAAACGCTTGAAACATAACACTTATATTTCCTAATAAAGGACTTCTTCAATGAGTATGTTGAAGAGATGTGTCGATTAAAGTTAAAATCTCAAATTGGCCACTTGGCTTTTCTTCGAATCAGTTACCTATCTCAAAGATTTTAGAGGTTCATCTTGATTCACTATATGGATGAATTTGAAAAATATTACATAGAGGTTTCTTTTTGATTATATTTGACTTTTTTATCGTATATTATTCAGTGATACTTTTCTTGGGAGTGGTAGTTAGTTGCATATAGATTAGAAGGGATAGTACAAAAATGAAGATTAAGGAAGTTATGACATGAGAGAAGAAGGAATTCCTGGTGAAATGGAGTCGACGTTGATATGGAGGAGGAGACTGAAAGCAAGACACAAAAGACAGATAATTGATAAATGTAGAGAAAAGAACAGTGGAGGAAGAGAAACAGTGGAAGAAATGAAAGAAGATGGAGAGGTTTCTTTAAAGTCCAGACTGTGATACAAATTCAAAATAAACATCAACAGAATGGTAGATCTATTGAGACACCGACTCACCAGCAATCTTGTTGTTGAGTAAGTAGTTACTGCGCAGGTCAGTGCCTGAGCCATCAGTGGGGAAGCCTTGCTCCGTACACAGCTGTTCAGAGCCGAGCCTGTTGACCAAGTCTTTGAGTGCTATCAAAGCCTCTGCGTCCGCCAAACCTCCCGCGACCACACCCACACTGTCTCCAGCACTCTGTACATTACCAACAAGTGTTTAACCAGAATATCCTAAATCTTTAAAAGTAAGATAGTGTCAAAACCACATTTTTAATGACTCTTTAAATTATTGGAAATTGGTAGAAAGGAAGATGCAATGTATGCACAGCTTAAAAAATGTCAACAAACAGATTAATTAATTTAACGTCCATACAAGTTGGAAATACTATGAAGAACTAGAACTATACTAGCAAAGAAAGAAAAAAGTTGCAGATAGAAGAAGTCAATAAGAATCACAAATTGGTCCAAAAAAGTAAATTAACTTGGTTAGGAAGAGTTTTTGTCAGTACCTAATTTGGAACAGTATGTCTATCTGACCGACTTTTTTGTAAAAAAATCACAATTGTGATGGAATGACATTCTCTTATCAGTGAGTGATCTTTTCAATTTTGTACACATTGAAGTAGTAGCAATAAATACAAATCAATGTACAGCTCCAACTTCTTATTACAGTAGTTTCTGCAAACCATTTTTTCTCAGTGAAAAAAAAAACACATTGTTTTATGAACAGAAATTTTGGAACCAATAACCCAACTGTAATTTTTGTCACATTGTTGATGATGCTGAGTTTTGCGTCTAATTAGTAACTTTTCATGATTTGCAATACAACCCTGTCTTTGAGTTGGAAGGAACAGAGATAAAAAATATGTATGTAAAAAGAATTGAAACTTTAAACATCATGTTAAAATACCTAGTATTACTGCAGTACTAATGTTATACCTTACACTGACATAAACTGGTCGATGTTCTCATTGTGGTACAAACCTTGAGAGTTTTGGCAACAGCTACCAGAGCGTCTTCCCACTCCACAGCTACCAACTCTCCAGCAGAGTTCTTTAGCATGGGAGTGATAAGCCTCTGTCGCTTCAGCCCATCGTATGAAAACCTCGACTTGTCTGACAACCACTCCTCGTTGATATCCTGCAGAATAAACCATGTGTAAACAAACAATTAAAATTAAAACATCTTTCAGTTTTGTGTTTGTGTAAGAAGAATCTATAGATCAATTGAAAGTTGGGAAGGTTAATTGAACTTTCTTTGGATAAGTGGCTTAGGTAGCTACGATGAAACAGGTTTAATTAGTATTTCTGTGTGGCAAAGGAAGTTCTTGTATGGTAGACCGTAGCTAATCCTGAGATGTTTGATACTCGAGTCCTACTATAAATTAATAAAATATCTCAGACTACTAAGACCATTTACAAATAGAGTCAACATTTTTTTAAAGCAACCTAAATCGGCTGTTTGATATCCTCCAGGGATTTTTTTACTAAAAACCTGAATTAAACTTGGAACTCGAATGTTCACCTACATTTGATATTTTTAACTGTTCAAACTATCAGTGCCATCCCAATTATACTATCTAAGCTAAATTTGTAAGCTGAGCATTTCAAGTCAAGCAGAGTCGCTCATTTTGTAACAAAACTTTGGTTTAAATTTATATCTTCTCATTTTTCTTGATTAGCCTATATAGGCTAAACCCTCTAAATCTGCATTACAATGTAAAAAAGTATATTTCATGATTGAAATAAATTACCGGTATTTAAAATTCTTCTTCATCATTATGCTGTAATTTAATTTTCACTTTGTTACCTACAATCATGTGCCCAAAAAACAAAGTCAATTGTTTCAAATATCATTAAGTTTAAATATCGTTCTTTTTGACGGCGGAGCTGAATCTCAGAACATGTTCATTTACCTACTCGGTGAACCCAAATTTAAAGAACTAAACTAACAGACCAGTTTTCCTGGGGTGTATCACACTACAGTAGGTACTTTAAAAAGATCAACTTTGCTATACAACCTCTTTGTACAATACATTTTGACCAAGAGAAGCTCAAACAGGCAAACATTAGCTTTCATACGATACTGAAAGCTTAACCTGATTGGTGGAATTGGACCAGATTGGGTCTTAGTTCACCTTTACAATTTTCATGAAACTGAGGTCTAACATGTCATAAGTTTTTGCCTTGTAACCTTAGAGGATCCCATTACATCTACATTACTTACTCCAATGTTGCTTTTGAATATTCTCCATTTAACCTTTCAAAAATTTTCAGAAACAAATTCAAGTAAATGATACATGGACAATTGCTCAGTTAAAATCAAATTGAATGATTTAACTTTTAATCACTCACATCGTTGACTCTGGGCAGAATCCGCATGACCTCGCCTGTGCGTGTGGACACTATGATGTTGCTGCCGACCGCGTCCAGCACGTCAATGCTCTCTGTCTTGCGGGTCTCCCAAGGACGAGCCGTGAAGCTGTACGGCTTGGAGGTGAGTGCTCCCACGGGGCACAAGTCAATGATGTTGCCGGAGAGCTCGGAGAGGAACATTTTCTCAATGTACGTGCCCACCTGGAAACGTTAAAGTTGGTGTTGGTTGTATCATAGGCAAAACCTCTTGGAATTATTTTTTTTCATATATCTGGACATGAAGCACATCACCAAGAAATGAAGATGCAAACATTCAACTATAAATTGATTTGTTCTATAACGTAAAAATATTTTGTATGCCTTCATTTTGGGCCAATGGGAATGTTTGTGGGTAAAACTTGTGTTTTTTTTTTTTTAGAAATTGCTATCTGAAATTGATTAGAACTTAACAAATCTGTGAATTGCACTAACATAAAATGTAATAAAACAGCCGTAGCCTTAAGTGAGCTTACAAGATACTTTGGGATTCTTTATGTCCAACCATTACTATTTTTATATTTCTTCCGAGCTCTCTAAAAGGAACTTGACTGTTGACTGTACATAGCAGTCCGTCTTTAAAAAAATTAAAGTAAAGCACCTAGGAAGATAATAGTAGAAAACTTAGGAAGACGATCTGTACTGTGATATCTAAGTCATAGCAGAACATTCCTAGAATATGTTGTTATTCAGTACAATGTTAAGTATACTAGTCTGAGTTTACCTGCATGTCTGACCCTCTGCCGGTAGTTCCAAGGTCGTCGATGCCAGCGACTTCTGAGGCGAACCTGATGCAACGAGTGCAGTGGATACACCGAGTCATGATGGTCTTCACCAACGGACCAATGTCTTTGTCCTCCACAGCCCTGAATACAGACACAACACAATTAATATAACATCAATGGCATTAAAAAACAATTTTCAGACAACCTAATAGCTCAAAGACAAATATTTACTAGGTCTAGAATTATTTTCCTCACTTTAAAATCAAACCAGCAACATTTGGATTCAAAGGTGAGCTCCCAAACCACTCAATTACTCAAAATATGAATAAGATATATGTGGTAGATGTTTAAAGGGTGAAAAATACCAAGCAACAAAATTGTCAAGTTTTTAACTCAAACAAATCATTAGAATTGAAAGAAGCAGATACCACTGGTTCCATAGCATGATAAATACTGTTGATGAACCTATACACTTGTAAGTTGTAATGTTGTTTTAATTTATGGATTCATACCTAACATGTACGATTTTTCATCAGTCACTATTTCCTTAGCTAAGATAACACCGAAAATGTTAACTGATTATTTCTATGGTTTATGAGGGCATGATCAGTGATTTTGAACATGTTAAGATCCCAAAATGTTGTTTTATGGATGTATACCTACTAAAAATATTAACACAAAAAGATTTTTAATTTATTCATTAATTACTTGAATGTGTAATGTGTAATTCATGTGGAATCAGTAACTCAATAACTATCTACACTTTTGTTACTGAAATTCAATACAAAATTATAAAAATTACAAATATATCTTTTTTTAACAGATATTTATTTCAAAAATCTACATACACTGTAGTTCACACAATACTAACCAATAAGTTTTTGATAGTATTTAAAGGTATCACTTTTTGAACTAACATTGGGCGATTTTCTTGTGCGTTCGAAATTTGTCGCTAAAATTGCAGCCATGTACATATTTTTGTCTATTTTAATGTAGGTTGTCTTCCTGGTAGCTAAAAGCATGTAGTCGGGAACAAAAGTCTTGCCTTGTTTAAGAGCATCTAAACCAAAATAATGAAAAGCACCAGCTTCAAAAGTCAAACCTTCGTTTCCTATTTTTACTTCCATTTCACCTTCCAAAATCATCACAAAATAATCAGCAGGGGTTCCCAGATTATAGATGATATCTTGACCCTCTACTGTTAAGTATATATCCAAGTTTAGTAGAGTTCGAAGAACTTTTGGGGATATAAAAGAGTTTGAGAACACTTCTAGCCCAGAGAAAAAGTTAAAAATAGCCAACTTCAAATTAACAGATGGTTTAATAGGTTTTGGCATCTTTTTATACAATTTGGCCATATCAAGCTCTGTTTCCAGTTTTCTTTTGATTCGATTGTCGGAGTATTTGTCTGTTTCATCATTAATTTCCATCTGAAGAATCTCTTCTATAACATCTTCAAAAGTGACCAAACCAATTACATTTCTAATTTCTCTCACAGTGCTATCGTCTTCTCGTTCGCTAGTGTGCATTCTAGTAAGAGTTCGCTTATTTCTGGTATCTAGAATAAATACCATATGGCTTCGGCTGTCTTTGAATATTTCAAGCAGTTTGTCGACTGTTGTACCTTTTGGAACATAGTGGCATTTAAGTTTACCATTTTTAACCATAACTTTTACAGGAACTCTGTCTTCTGGATCTAGTAATGCTAAATCTTTAGTCAACAAAATGTACTGAATGTTGGAACTATCCCCCACATAAATGGGGATACGTGAATAGCCCGATGCTAAAATCAAAGAAACAGTCTCAAAATCCAAAACAGCAGTGATAGGTAGCTTAAACACGTCGTTTAACATTGTCATGATGTCTTCTACTGTTTTACCACTTAACCTCAAGGTGCCGGAGATAATATTCACCTCATCTGTTGCAAGTTGTGATAATGTTAGAAGTTCTTGCAGTCTATCTTTGCTGTAAGTCCCTAGCAGAGACTCTTTACCTAACAACTTGTCCAACAATTTCCCCAGAGGGTAAGATATCGGAGCTGTTACAAACATACAAGCTTTTGTAATATATATAGTGTTTGCTCCTACAAACAGTGGGTATGTTGTGCAAACAGACTGCGGAAGAATCTCACAAAGTAGTACAATGATGACTGTAGTCAACAGTACAGTTATCCAATCGGAGAAAAACTGATTAGCAATGACTGTAGAAACAGCATTGCACAATGTTGCTGTAATTAATATACTGCAAAGTAGGTAATTTCCACAACGACGGACTGGCAGTATTATCTTGGCATACCTTTTCTCTTTTGCGGTCCCAGCATCTTTCAGCAACTCCAACTCTATCGGGTTCAGGGTGAAAAGTCCGATGTTCAAACCGGACATTATGCATGATAGCGTATATGACACCAAAAGAATCAAAGCATATACAATTGGGGTGAAAAAAGGTTGATAAACAAAAAATTCCAAACCACCATCATTCTTGAATGCCCAGTTTTCACCTTCATGTTTGGTGCAGATGTAATATTGAATCTCAGCAAAAGTGTTGCCAACATCAGGTGTGGTGAACGAGACGAGTGCTACGTTGCGGCCTGTGTTTTCCTCCACTTGAAAGTCTATTGGAAATACTTTATCACAGATTTTATCATGAGTATAGCCTAAGCTCATTTCTGAAGAAAGATTTCTTCCGTATACATAAAGTTCTTGACGTTCGTTAGCGACAAAGATCGGGATTCCTTTTGAAAACTGAAGTGACTGACCAGCTTGTTCACATTTGGCTGTCGAGATACCCATCAAATCATAATAATCCAATGCTGTTTGAGCAACAACTGGCATAAATTGAAATGAAACCATTTCGTGAAGTTTTGTAATTTTTATAAATTTTAAACTGTTAAATAACAATTATTCAAGGTTAGAAACTTAGAAGATAGTAATTTATATATTATTATTATAATGTAAATAAATTGTGCAGCTTATTTTGACAGCAGTGATACAATACATTGATACTAATGCAGTATAAGGACTGCATTGGTTAACATATGTTTAGAAAAAGGCAGAGCATTGAGTTAAATATAATATGTAGGAAACTGTGAAACTCATAATAGTATTAAAACCTGAAAAATATAATTATCCATTTAATGAACCAGGGGGAACTCGTAATTGATGTTATAGCCTATGCAATTAAAATCTATTCATTCCATGCAGATTATAATGGACCATTTACGATATATACTGGCTCAAACCCATACTAAAATTTTTCAAAAGAATACTATAAAACACCAAATTTCTCTCAAACTCTGGTTATAAATTCCACTTATTCCGAGCTATTAAATTTGTTACACTATATTTAAATGGGTGTGGCAAAATCTAAATTTCTTCCCAAGCCATTTCCTGTTTGAGAACAGTAGTTTTTAACCTATGGTTGTTTTTTTTTTTTTCTGAAAAATGCTAAACAGTACATCCAAGTTTACATCAGTTTTCAAATAAATTGTTAAAACATATTTTGTCACCTCAAGCCTAACATTATGTTGTGAACTCTGTTATAATTGAGACTTTTAAAAATGCTGTAAATATATGTATACAAATCCTTCTGGGAAAAAATATCTGTTGACAACGATGACAATTTTTGACAAAACTAGCGTTCTTTGTATTGTCTTTGGACTTTTGTTTTAAACACTCATTGTAAATTCTGATGTAAACACGTCTTTAGGCGTGTACAAACCATTGACAAACACAATTCTTTGACTAACAATTTTAAGGTACATGGTAATGGCAAATGTTATTTTTATTAGACCTAAGAAAAATAACAGTTTTGTATGGAAATGTATACTACTAAAATATTTCACAAAGTAACATAAGGGACGGATTAGGAAGTTGTTGGAGTCTTTAAAGTCTAAAGTGAGACTTCTGTTTTTAAACATTTAAATCCTGTTTAGAGCCTACCTTGACTAAAAACTTTGTTTTACCTCCGCCAATCAGCTAAAAAGTTGTAAAAACATTTGAGCTGGTTGACAAAGGTAAATAAGATTTTTTAGTTACATTATAGCTCAGAGGCTAAAACATGGATTTTAAGCCTATATTAAGCTGTAAACATTCTATATAGAAGGCAAAAAAGAATAAGACTCTTAAGCAAGAACTACTTCCGCTAAAAGTCATATGATTTTTCACAAATCTACAAACCTTTTTCCTGAGAATTCAATATCGGTGAAGCGGCTGCGATCGCTGCCAAACGCCATGCTCTGGTCCTGCAAGTCGCACTCCCCTCCCTGGTCACAGATGGGGCAGTCCAACGGGTGATTGACCAACAAAAACTCCATCACACCCTCACGAGCCTTCCTCGTCATGTCCGAGTTAGTTTTCACCCTCCAGCCCTTCATGACGGGCATCGCGCAGGCTGCCACTGGCTGTTAATAGAATTGCAAAGTGTCATATAGAAATACAAGAAAGACATTTAGTCCACCCAAGTGCCTGAGTCAGTGTCAAACGACTAACACACACAAAGTAGACTTCTCATCCCATTGTATTTATTTATTTTTTTTTTTTTTTTTGTCTAGTTCATGTACATTGGGCGCTAGTGTCAAAAACATTTTCTTTCTATTATTTAGGCCTATTTTGATTTGTGCTTTACTGTTTGGTTATAACTAGGGGACGAGTAATTATTATGATTAGACAGATCGTATTATTTAGCTAAACAAGGTTTTAAATGGCTGAAATAACAAGAAACAAATTGTAAATAAAATGTGACCTCTGCAGTACACCGTACAGAACTAACAATAAAATTGTCGTCAGCTATTTCATAAAAAATTAGAAATCTACTAAGGGAGTATGTTTCATCTATTGGTCAAACGTTCTAGTCAGCTTTTAAAGTAAAAAAAAAGCTGGGTAACCAGATTAATAAGATTCCAGCTTACTTTGGGAGTTGGTTTCCAACTTTCAAATTAAGGAATATGTAAATTATTGATTTTAGCTAGTAAGCGCACATAGAGTGAAAAATAGAGATAATCTTGGTTGTTCCATCACACAAGTATTCATATCCGTATTATTATAAGGCATTTCAACTAATTTACAAACAATTAAACTAAATAAACCTATACCATAGGAAAATAAGATCATCTTACAATCGCGACAACATTCTTGATTATTTTCTGTGATCATGACAAGGGCCGTAATCATTTCTTGTAATTCCGGCAAAATTTGTGATGATTTTCTATGATTGTGGCAACGTCCATTGTTCGTGACTCATGTTTTTCAAATGCCTTAAAAAAAGAGAAAAACTGTGATTTTGGCTATTATTCGAGCATTTAAATTTCCTCGTTCTTTATAAAATTCTTATACATTTCGCAGAATTTTTCTAGTCGTAAAAATTCATGTACAATTCCCGGTTTTCAGGTCAGCTGAACTGTCCCGAGGAAGTCCCAAACTTTACACTTAACCTGTTATACAAGCATTGTGACATTAACTGTTCCATAATTCTAGTTTTAAGAATAACCAGGCAAAGAAATTGTCAACAATCTGTTTACGCTAGGCTACCTTAGGTGATTTCTCCACTTCCACGAGGCACATTCGACAGTTACCAGCGACAGACAACCTCTCATGGTAGCAGAACCTGGGGATCTCCACTCCCACCATGGCAGCTGCCTAAAAACAGTCATAAAGGTGGCTTTATTTTAACACTTTTAATTTTATTGAAATTTCACATAATTGGTGTCTTTAAATGAGTTGTTCTTAAAAGATATTAAACTTTTTATATGAAATGTAAAATTCATTAGACCTAACTAAACCAGTGATATATACCAAGTTAAACAAGTAAAAAATACAAATTAAAATCGAAAGTTCTGAAGAAATATTCTTACCTGCAATACTGTTGTGCCTGGATCAACCAAAACTCGCTTGTCATCAATGAAAACTTCTAACTTTTCCGGAGCACTTGTAGATGTGGATCTGGCGGAAAAGGTTACCCTGATGAGGGGCAAAGCCCTGCTTAGCTGTAAACGTAACATCTGAAACCACATTTTTATTGTAAATGTTCATTAAAATTAGACACAACAAACATACGTTTTTGAAATTGAAAAGGTTACATGAAAAATACAAATATTATAAACAAAAAGGGTTCAAAAGGGTTATAGGATTTTAAAGTAATTAAAATGAAGGGAACAGGAGACAGGAGAGATAAACAGGAGAGGGCAGACACTGAAATTGAGTTCCGCCCGATGTCACCTTATTTTGCTCGCAGGCCTACTCTTTTTTCAAAGATTTGACCTAGTTATCAATGACACGTTTTACTTAAAGGTCTGGGACAAAGCATTGAATAAGTTGCAAATATTATAAATGTATCATAGGCCTAAGTTTAGGCCACTTTGTTTTTGGACAACTCAAAAAATATGACTGACTAGCAACAGTGCCCGTTGTGGTTAAATACAATGGTCTCTAGTAAAATAATGGTTATGAAATCCATACACCACTTTACTCACTGATATTAATGGTACACATAACATTATAATCACACATTTAACATAAGGAACACACTTGAAACATAAATGCAAATTGTTAACAACAACATTTAATCAAAGAGAAATTAATTTGATAACAATATAATAATAAGCTGTTGAATTATTAACACATGTTTTGCATGATTAGATTATGCGTACTGGTTAACCAATTATTGCCATCTATGTAAATAATTGGTTTTTTCTTTTCCGAGTCGGGTTAGCTCTTCTACCCGACCGGTTTTTTTATAATTTTGGCCTTAAACTAAAGGTATGGACGTACCGCAGATTTGCCATCAAGTATCGGCATTCAATTTGACGTATATTTCGAGTAATGCACAAACTGCCTCCCTGTACATTTCTTATGGGAGTTAAATTTGGTTTTTTCGTGTTCAATGTTTCGCAGGCGGGCGATGGTTTAAGGGGGGGGCTCTTGTACCTGCCCGATTTTCATAATTTTGGTCTTAAAATAAAGCTATGCAAGCACATATTTGTCATCTAGCATCATCATTAATTTATCTAATGTATTACTCGACGAAAGAATTTTTTTCTCTTCAATTAAAGATGTATTCCAGCAGTTCTAATTACATTATATATTTTGGTCTAAAAACCTTAAGTGAAATACCAGCTTTTATTTGAGCTATTGATTATTAAGATCGGACTACCTAAATCACACTGCTGAATCACGAATCAACGATAAATACAATCGTTTTAGTGCCTATCTGCAATCAATGATACGTAACTCTATTTTTATTTAAGTTATTTTATATGTCTTGGTCTTAAAATACTTCAAAGGCTTTCACTTGAGATATTGATAGTTTTAATCAGTTAAGTTCAAGATACAGTATCGCTGTATCAGAAAATATAAATTTGATTATATCTTGGATATGGAATTTAATTTTAGATACATTTACTTATTTCTAATTACGTTATTCTATTTGTTTTGACCTAAGAACCTTCATTGAAATACCAGCTTCCATTTCATTAAAGCACACAGCTAAATCACGACCAACACAAATTGTTCAAAAAATGGAGTTATTTATCATCGATTTATAGCCAAACGATCTTTCTTGCAACCTCAACAGTACTTTCATAATTATTTGCAAATCTTCACAGATTAGGCTACCCAATGACCTATTAATTAATAAAATCGGTTCAGTAGAACTGTAGATTTAATAGTACAAAGTTTAAAAACAACATCTTTCATTCAGTATTTTCTCACTACTATAAACCTGGAGGCTGCTTAACGTTTTTGCAAATAACTTTGAAACGGCGAGGAAATCGACCGAATTGGAAAATGATATTCTGAAAGAGAATAAAATTTCCTACTAATGACTATTGTGAATTTCCTGAATATACTCAATAAAGGCAGCCAAAAGTTGGCTACAAATATAAAAATGAAAATATAAACCTGGAATAAAAGGAGTTTTAAATGTATTATTTTTATTTTTTATTTTTTTACCTTAAATACCTAATAAAATCCAACTTTCATAATTATTTGCAAATCTACACAAATTAGGCTTTCCAACGACCCATTAAGTAACAAAATCGGTCAGGTAGAAGTCTAGATTTAGTTGTACAAAGTTTAACAAAAATATATCTAATTCAGTATTTTCTCACCACTATAAATTTGGAGATCACTTAGATTATTGCCAATATCTTTTAAATCGAGGGGAAATCGACCAAAGTGAACGTGATATTCTGAAAGAGAATAAAATTTACTACAAATAACTACTATGCAATTCTTGAAAATACTTAATAAAGGCAGCCAAAAGCTGGCTACAAATAGAATCTTGAAAACAGAAACTTGAAAAACCCAGTTTTTAATGTATTTTTGTTATTTATAATTTTTCACCACAAATATTTAATAAAATCACAATTTTATAATTATTTGCAAATCTACATGGGTTGGGCTTTCTAATGACCCATTAATTAACAAAATCGGTGCAGTAGAAGTCTAGATTTAGTTGTACAAAGTTTAACAAAAATATCCTAAACTCAATATTTTCTCATTACTATAAATTCGGAGGTTGCTTAGCTTTTTTGCAAATAACTTTTAAATGGTGAGGAAATCGACCAAAGTGGAAGGTGATATTCTGAAAGATAATAAAATTTCCTTCAAATTGATACCATGCACTTCTTGGAAATACTAAGAAAGACAGCCAAAAGTCGCACACAAATAAAAAGTGCGAAAAACACACTTTTTAATGTATTTCTTATGGAAAACATGTTTTGTTTTCATAAATCACCATAAATCATGACAAAAACAAACTTTCATAATTATTTGCAAATCTACGCGCATTAAGCTTTCCAACGACACATTAATTAATAAAATCGGTCCAGTAGAACTCTAGATTTAGTTGTACAAAGATTTTTAAAACTGAATTATATATAGAATAGATCTTATGGAAAACATGTTTTGTTTTCATAAATCACCATAAATCATGACAAAAACAAACTTTCATAATTATTTGCAAATCTACGCGCATTAAGCTTTCCAACGACACATTAATTAATAAAATCGGTCCAGTAGAACTCTAGATTTAGTTGTACAAAGATTTTTAAAACTGAATTATATATAGAATAGATGTTTAGTCAAGTTGTCTTTGTGTTTTTAGTAGGCTATTCCTATTATAAATGTCTTTGTTCTTAACAGTCTATCTGTAATTCTCATCACTTGATCATATGTAATATGTAATAATTGTCAACCTATTCAGTGAAAATTATAGTTTAAGTTTTAGACAAAGGCCTACATTCTGAAACTAGGCCCTACTTCACTTTAAGCCTAAACTAGTTCGGCCGCTTAGAAAGCGACCTCCTCCAGCATTGGTTTAGCATTAGCGCGCAGGTCGTTTTCTAAGCGGCCGAACTATAGTGGGTTTCCTGCTAGGGCTCATTTAACACCATCACTGCTGCTCTTTACTTTTTTAGTTTGATGGTTCTCTACGGTACGAGTTTTTCGTTCTGGTTGTCTCTTTAAGTCCAGTTAATGACTTTTTACCTTTTCTTTTTCATTTTCATTTTATACTTTTTACACCCAGGGGATTATGAAAAAGTTTTATAACGCTGTAATGACCCGAGTCAACATTGCCACTAAACATCAAGTCACAAACTTCTTCACCAGAATTGATATCATAAGTCACAATTAATCCAGCAATTTTCCTGAGTACTCAAAATAAATAGTTAGGGTATCGTTCACTGATACATTTTAGTTCCATGTATCCAGAGTACTCACCATCTCGAGAAAGTAAAATTTGGTAATGCTGAACGTCAACCACAATCTTGCATAAGATACATCACCTACGTTAACATTTTTGTATGCTTCTCACTCATTAGCAATTTTCTGTACAACTTTCAAGCAGATTTTCCTATTTTTGTTCTGGTGTCCGTAGAGAATTTAAATGATTTGATCGAAACAAAGTTTCCGTCCCCTACTATTATTATTAGGCTATTTCAAATTCCATACTCAAGCTTTTTAAAACTTAATTGCAACATTCCTTCAGATCACTTCCCAGAAAAACTAACACATTATTCAGTTATTTAAGTAGGTAGTTGCAAAAAAGATTGTGGTATAAAAAACAGGGTGTCCACAAAAAATTTGTCATTAATTTTTATGACTTTCCATGACTATCCATGACCATTTACCATTGATTTCCATGACTCACGAACTTTACACGCAAATTATAATATAACATACACACACAAATAATACTGCCTGGACATGTTATTTTGCAGAAAATACTGAAATATGTAATAACAGATAACAATGGAGTACAATAGGTACAACAATAAACTAAAACAAACCGAAAACTCATAAAATAATACAACTGTAATAAATTGAATTGTCAAACATTTGTGAAAAATCCTGAAAAATGCTACAACAGTCCGGGTTACAGCTGACTAGAGCATTGAATGGTCCCCTCAAATCCATCCATAATTGGAAATTTCCATGACTTTCCATGACTTCTTGCCTGTTTCCCTGACTTTCCATGACCAAAATTTTTTTCCATGACTTTCCATGACTATCCCTGACTTTCCAGAATGTGGACACCCTGAAAAAGTTACCTAGGCCTAAGACAGTTTTCCTTGTTTGAAATCGCGTGTTCATAAACGGGAACTCCTAGATTAATAATTACATACTGAAAGTGAGGTTATAAATAAATATGATGACAAATATTTCAACGCAAAAAAAAATTAAACAGCTGACTATGATTCATACTTAGGCTATAACTGAACTTAATATTCTTCAATAAGAATTGTATTGACCCGACATTTGAAGGGCTGTAGGTCGTAAACCTTAGAAAACACGAAAATGTTTCAGAAATTCGAAATTCAGCATATCTACGCATTATCCCTTTAAATTTGACACATACAACTGTGTATTCAAGATTAATACCTACATCAACTAAGTGCTATAGTGCAATAGTGCTAATTCACCCCTAAGAGGGCAATGTTGTAATAAAACATAATAGGATTCCTTTAGAACAGTATGCATTTCGTGTAGGCCTAGACTAAATTTGTTTTAGGCTAGGTACTCTACCCAATTAAACGTGAATGTGTTACATTGATCCACAAAAATAAGAGTAAGTATAAATCCTGTATATCGGTTTATTTGACTTTCATCTCATGTAAAAATATTCATTCTGGCCTATTAGACGTAATAGGCCTAACTTAAATGGAAATTTAGCCTACACCACCTTTTTTCAGTTGGTTCAGTTTGGCAAATTAATTTAAATATTACACCTAGCAATTATTTAACACTTTGCACTGAATAAAACATTTTAAAAGCTGTAACTGGTGATAGCCACATTGAATTAAGTAAAAATAATAGGAACATACTTACTTTGATTAGCAACACAATTCAATAATATCAAAGGAAGGTCGCCATTGACCACATAAAACATATGTTTTTGTAGCAAAGCAAGCGAAGCAGACTAGACTCGGTGTGATGTCTGCAAAATGTTGCTGAGTCTGGAGACAGTTTTTAGATTATTGTACCTAAAAAAAATATCCCAATCCAAGTGTGATTGATTATAAGGTGTTGTTTATTGCATCGTCTAGATTGGATTATCATAGATTTAAAAATCTGATATTGTGTACATATATGATTTTTCCATCCGTATTCCCTTTATACAAGGAATTAGACGGGTCAGAAATAATCTAGGGACATACCGTACATATAATTTTGCTACTTTTTCATGTTTTCAGAAGGCGTGCAGCAAACCAGAGAGAGACTCACTAGTCACATGTGATGTTAAATGTTAAAAAGACATTAATGTGATGTCTGCAAATTTAATGTTTGCAGAATGCTGAGTCTCTGGAGACAGTTTAGATGATCGCACATAAAAAACTATTCCATGTGTAATTGATTATAAAGTGTTGTTTATTGCATCGTCTTGATTGGATTATTATATATTTAAAAATCTCATATTGCGTACACATATGGTTTTTCCATCCGTAGTCATTTGATACAATTAGTCGGGTCAAAAGTAATCTAGTGACATACATATAATTTTGCTACCTTTTTCAGGTTTTCAGAACAGAAGCTAACTTCCCACCTGGGGCCTATTGCATAAAACTACAAGTTACAGCTTGTAACTTGTAATTGACATTAGATTTGCATTGGGCGATCAGCTGATTTACTAATAATATTAGTTTGTACTTTATTATGAAATGGGCCCCAGAAGTAAACTTCCACCATGGTGGGGTCCCAGATTATCGACATTCCAAATTATCGACACTGAAATAGTCATATCTTGTCGACAGTGTCGGTCATATGAGATGCCAGTTTTTAGATGCAATGTCGGTTATTTGGGATGTCGACAAGATGCGACACAGTTGTTATGTAAGTTTTCACTTTTTATCGACACTGGAATGTCGACAAACAAAACAGATCGACAAAGAGTGGGAGATCCAAATTGAAGGCGAACCTTACTTGCTGAACAGCTCAGTTGAGTAATAATTATGAATCTACAATGAGAGTCGCTCCTTTCGAATCAGACTGTAATAATTCATTTTCGATCAGTTTAAATATGGTTGTCGATCATATGGAACCCACCAAACCACCCTTCAGAAGTGCCTCCCCTGTCATAGTGTTAATGTCATAGAAACTTGATTTCACCTTCTTTTACTACGGTCCTAAATTTTAAGGGATCTTATTTGATTTTATTTTTTTATTGGAACGGCCCAAACATCTGGTTGTCAAGCACTATATGACTGATCTTATGTGAGATTATTCAATATTATATTAGTCATATTATATATTATATATTATATATTATAATATAATATATATAATCTGATGATTTAAAGGTGTTGGGGTCTGTCACAGTTAAAAATTAAGTGGTGTAGCGGTAGGGTAGCCATCTCTAGGGGGTTATTAAAAATGTTTACCAATTAATCAATTTGTTTATTTTTGTGAGTAAGCCTACAATTATATATTTTTTTAATTTTGTAAGCAAGCTTAGTTCTAACAATCTGTGTTTACTCCCTATGACTGTTTGCACAGTTACTCTCTCTTATATATCATATCAAACTATGCTAAGAATTTCATTGTACAGTAGCTATGACATTTTCATTAGTATATTCAATGGTTTTATTCAAGTTCTATAGCAAAACAAGTTTTGATTCTGTATCAGTTGGCAGGCCTTATTTTAACGAAAATAGAAGGCGCCAAAACAAACAAACAAAGTAAAGTCAACACAACAAAGATTGGATTTTGGATAATTTGTATTGAAATTGAGGAGATGAATAAGGTTATTGTTAAGATAACTTCTGTTTATTGAATGGTTTAATATTATTAACACGACGAAATGACAACTGAACTATGCTACATTTATATTATGACTCTTTAATACAGTTAATCAATCACTGGTTAAATTGTTTCACACCATATGAGTAATGAAGAGTTATTTGAAAATTAGTTATTTACTCATAACAAGAAAGAACTTTGAGACATAGACACTCAATTTACATAATGTGAGGATTGAGAACTTGTTTATGAGCACTTGCATGACATTTTGTGAAAAGCCTGCATAGTGTCATTTGTTTACTGTTACTGTTTTATTGTATTTCAATACCATGACAACTTATGATGGAGTTGAAACTTGATGAACTGCCGCCTAAGGTTTCAGAGTTTCTCTATAGAGGTAAAGTGTTTTTTCGTATTGGTATTGGTTACTACATTTAGGTTTTTAATTTGATCCAATTATGCTAGAATAACTTGATGCTGTTTAATATTTAGAGCCTCTTGTCAGTTATTGCAGGTTCCAGGCTGTACACCCAACGATTCAAGTTCTCTATGTAAGGAGACAGTTTTGGTACACTGTATACTTCCATATCTGTTGGCACAAACATCCGAATTAAAATATCGATCGATATATCGATTAGGCCTATTCGATATATCGTTTGGTTAGTTAGGTAAGGTTAACCTAGCCTAAGTAACTAACCAAACGATATATCGAATTCAACCATTGAATACCTAATCTATATTACTTATTTGGTTGTTTGTGCCAACAGATATGGAAGTGTAAATACCCGACAATTTACCATTTGTCATTGAGCTATGAATTAATGGTGCTATCTAACTTAGGCCTATCAAAAAGGTCTTTAGAAGTAACAAGACCAGGGTTAAGACTGTTTCCCTTTCAAAATGTATAAAAATGTCATTGGCATCAAACAGGCCTACTCACACTTTAAAGACAGTTTTCCAGAAGTAACAATGAAGGTCTAACGCTTTTGATTATACTCACAGGCCACTAAGAGTGTCTGAAAAACTGTTGCTTCGGGCTATCACTTAATTATTTCTATGCAACAAAATTTTATTTTAATCAATAGCCGTAAATTATTCATTAATTTAATGCTTCTTATGTAAATACTGCAAATAAATAATAATTTAATAACCTATGATTGGTTTTTATTCAATGGTCTATACGACCATGGCTGGTTGGAGAAGCCTAAAGCCACGTTTACACCGGAGTTTGGAACATGAGTTGCAAACAGAAATTGCAAACATCTCTAAAAACGCGCATTTTTAGACGAAACATTGCTGTTGCAATCAGTTTTTCAGTGTTTGCAACAGAAATTTTTGTTTCCACTTGAAGTCGGTAAAGATCATAGGGAGTTGCAAACCTTTGTTTGCAACACTAGTTTCGGTCACTATGAGCTGTTGAAACACGAAACAGAAACATTTCTCCGCCATCCCCTACGCTGCCACCTCCGCTCTCACTCACATGATCACTCACACCACCCTGTGTCACGACTCAGTGTTATTAACCCTGTCTAGTGTCTGGACTGCTACTAGCTACCTCATGTTTGTTGTGACTTATCTCGTGTCGTGCGAGTTGTGAGTGATGGAAAATCTACTGAGTGAGATGGAGTGGGGAGATTACAATATTATTAAGTTAATTAGCTTGTACAGAGAACAGCAAGTGCTGTGGAATCAAACTATGTCTGACTATAAAAACTAAAACAAGAAAAACTATGCGTGGAATGACATTTCACGGGAAATGAACTTAACCCTCCCAGTGTTACTTGACGAAAATTCGACAAGCAGCACACTTTGTGTAGTGTTACTTGTCGATTTTTCGACACGCAGACATCGTTTACGGCGAAGGCTCTATGACTGACTGAATCAAATTGAACTGGATCGAGTTAGGTATCGTTCTTTCCGTAATATTCTAAGCTTTCTCCAGAGGTCTGTCTCAGCGCTGTACGTTCTCTGAGCCGATCGTTAATTGTAGCAGACAGCTGACGTGCGTGTCGCGTGTATTTGTAAACAGCAGCGGTTAACCTCGGACCGATGACTGATGTGTTTTATTACGTTTATCATTGTTTTAGTGTTAAAAATCAAAAGTAGTGATATACGTGTTGCATTTTAAGAAGATTTAAGTGGTTTTGAAGTGTTGGTTGATGATCCTGAAGAAGTAGGTAGTGATATTGATGTAAATTATCAGCCAGATTCCTAGCTATGGTTAGGCTATGCATTCTTAGCTAAACGCTATGTACTCAAATCTGTTTTTTGCCCATAACTTATTTATTTGCAAATCTACTTCCTTATATTATTATATATTTGTAATCCTCATAAAATTTAGAACAAAGTGGCTATTTTCAAATATTTATAGGCCTATAATTTATACAATTTCATTGAGCGCAAACTTATTTTTTTTTTTTTTTATTTTCGAAATTAATATTTTTTTTTACCTAAAAATTTTTTTTTTGAAAAAAATGTTCCTTATGTTTTATATATAATATTGAAGCCCATGATTTTCCAAACAAAATGGTATATAGAACATTAGAATTAACATTGTTTTAAGCTTCTCAGATCCGTTTTAATAAAACCTTGCAAATGCGCCAAAAATAGGTGGACATTAAGGCCTAAACTATGGACACTCGGAGGGTTAAGCGAGACAGAGGTCCAAAATAAAATGAGGAACCGAGGAACCTCATAATTGAATTTAACAGAGAATCTAATAAGGGCAAAAAGTTTGGATCAGGGGCCGACGATGGGAAAACCAAGTGGAAGTTTTTTTTTCAATCAATGATGAATCATAATCAAGGTCGAAAGTATTCCAAACATTTTCATTAAACATGGAAACAAAACCATGAAATAAAAATTGCAAACTTTTATTTGAAACTACTGTTTTGCAACTGCTGTTTGTAATAAAAGTTTGCAACTTTTTGTTTGAAAACCCGGTGTAAAAGCGGCTTGACAAAAGTAAAACGTTCTCTGGTACCGTTAATCAATATCTAATTTTTACTGGTACGCTATCTAAAATATATTTTTTGCAGCTGGACTAGTAACATGTACTGCAATCCTTGACACATCCAGATGTGACCTTCTCTCGCTGGGAACCTTTACTGCAGAGGATGTCAACCAGATTTATTTGCTTGCTGCTAAACAAATGCGAGCAAGAGAATTTATTTCAGGTAATATTCCAAGAAGGTAGGCTACTATGAAAATCTCCCTTTTACTAATTGCGGGGATTAGGAAAAAGATCTGTAACCAACTGTCATAGAGAAATAATTAGCTTATGAAGAATGTAAGACATACACATTCATCCATCATTAATCTTTGGTTTGTAACATGTCTAAATAGGGTTACTAAGTACACATTCCAGAAAAAATACCAAAAACTAAAATTTAAAACTTAACTGTGCTGAAAAAAGGCTAAGTTTATACCGCAAGTAAAAATCATATTTAACTGAGTAAAACCTCCATATTTTTTACTTGAAAGGTGAAATTTTTCTATTACTTTTAGTAATGAAGGAATGTTGCCTTTTTCATATTTAATTTATGGACTAGGCCAATTTGAATTTAGATTAAAGAGCCTATAGGCCCACACTATGCTGTCGAGGACTTGATAGACTATACATCCAGGATGTTTTAAATAATCGTATTATGAACATATTAATGAATTAATAAATGTATTATTAGTATACTTGCAATTGCATTAAAAAAATGTTTTTAGGAGGTCAATTAACAAACTCAAGTATACCTGGAAGATGGGGTCATCTGAGCACAGGGTGTACTGCTTTGGACCAACTGCTGGGAGGAGGTCTGGTCACAAGAGGGGTCACAGAGTTGGCAGGTCACAGTGGAGCAGGCAAGACACAACTGTGTCTACAACTGTCACTGACATGTCAACTGCCTCAGGATAATGGAGGCCTCAATGCTGGTAAGTTAGGCAATAGTCACGTCAATGGAGGTCTCAATGCTGGTAAGTTAGGCAATAGTAACGTTAATGGAGGTTGCAATGTGGTAAGTTATGCAATAGTCACGTTAATGGAGGTCTCTATGCTGGTAAGTTAGGCAATAGTCACGTTAATGGACGTCGCAATGTGGTAAGTTAGGCAATAGTCACGTTAATGGAGGTCGCAATGCTGGTAAGTTTGGCAATAGTCACGTTAATGGAGGCCCCAATGCTGGTAAGTTAGGCAATAGTCACGTTAATGGAAGTCTCAATGCTGGTAAGTTAGGCAATAGTCACGTTAATGGAGGTCTCTATGCTTGTAAGTTAGGCAATAGTAAGGTTAATGGAGGTCGCAATGTGTTAAGTTAGGCAATAGTCACGTTAATGGAGGTCTCTGTGCTGGTAAGTTAGGCAATAGTCACGTTAATGGAGGTCCCAATGTGGTAAGTTAGGCAATAGTCACGTTAATGGAGATCGCAATGTGGTAAGTCAGGCAATAATAACGTTAATGGAGGTTGCAATGTGGTAAGTTCGGCAATAGTAACGTTAATGGAGGTCGCAATGTGGTAAGTTAGGTAATAGTCACGTTAATGGAGGTCTCTATGCTGGTAAGTTAGGCAATAGTCACGTTAAAAGTAAGACTTCAATGGTCACTAAAACCAAAAACTAGGTCTTCTGTGTATACAGCTGTTTTGGCCTCGTTGCAGACAGCCGTCCTCAGAACAGTTCATTAAGGATTTCAGGCCCTTCTCAAGAGAAGGGTTTAATGTTTAATGTTTAATTTAATGTTTCTCATGACAACAAAAAAAACTTTCAAACCATAGCCTACTCTTCAGTCTATTAGTTTGTCGGCCATTTGCGAGCTACAATTAAATTATGTCAAGACATAGGCTAGAAGAACACAGACTAAATACAGTATTGTCTAGTTGGTTTCAAAATGTTTTGTACATTTGTCTTTACAACAAAGCACTGTAGATGTGCTGTAAAAATTAATTAACTGTAACCTCTTATAGAATAGGCCTAACTATAAACTGAAATACCAAAAAGTGAGCATTTTTTGCAGCTTTTAAGAACAAGTTTGTTTACAGGAGCAGTTTTTATTTGTACTGAAGATAGATTTCCATCCGTGAGGCTCAACGAACTGATCAAGACATTTCCTGGTGCTAGAAGGTTTAAGAACATAACATTTGGAAGTAACATTTTTGTTGAACACATCGCCGATGCTGTAAGTATCCTCATTATGTAGCTTGTGATTTTTACTCAGGTTTATTCATAGCGATGCTTATCAGCAATTAAAATGTTACTAAATCAGTTGTTATTTATATTTTCTTAAAACTGTTTGGCCCTTTTTTATAATTCAACCATACAATATTAGATACTCTCTTGTTTGGTGACATCAAGACTGATCCCTTATTCAAACTATAAAATGCCTAGCCTTTAAAATGTTGATGGAGAATTTAAGGGATACGTTTCAAAACAACACATTATGTATGCTTAATGAATAAGCCACAGTATTATACTAAATAATAAAGAAATGCAGCAATAATGTCATTTCATAGTCAGCAGGCTTTGTACATGGGCTTTTTGTAAAACCTGTTGGAAAAAAATATGTTACTGTTATTATAGTATAAACAACGTTACTTTGTGAAATACTAACGAGCCAATTGGAAAACCAGAAAAAACAGGGAGTGCCTAAGCTTTGAAGACTGGGAAATTTGGAATAACCGCAATAGCCTTTGTTTGAGAGTCCATTCTTTAACTGTGTTCTGTCGGTTCTCTTTGAGGTTGTTGTGTACTAAATTGTGATCGCAAGAGATTATCTTATTGGTGTTATATGATCACTCTTTTTTTGTGATCCTGGGAGCAATAAATTACCAATTAGAGTTGAGAAATCACATTGTTTAATATTTTTAAAAGGCATTTCTGGCTAATTAAATATCTTCATTTTAAAAATAGTTGTTTAGCTTCCGAAATACTGTATTATACTTAAAAAGGTTTACAATACCTGCATATAGTAATCCTTTGTTGCTGAATTTTGGCAACTAGTTTCATTGACAATCAGACTTTACCTCAGCCCGGTCACGATCGATTGTCAATGTCCCTTCGTGTTTTTCGTGTTCTTTTTTAATGTGTGTCTGTTCCGTGTTATCGTGTTTTGTATATGTTTTATTTATTGAACTCTGTTTGTTAACGACCTTCGAATGAAGTGATTACTTGACACCTTGAGGCCTGAAGATGGTTCAGAAGAACCGAAACTAGTTGCCAAAATTCAGCAACAAAGGATTACTATATGCAGGTATTGTGAACCATTTTAAGTAATTGAACAGCATTCGATCCCTATTAGTTTGGATGCTTGACTCGGGTGTAGGCGTACTAGTTTACTTACATGTTTGGTCCAGTTGGAGCTGCAGCAGTGTGTGGGCACGAGGCTGCCGCAGTTGCTGAGACAACAACGTATCGGCCTTGTTGTGGTAGACTCTGTAGCAGCCATATACAGAGCTGACTACACACACGCTGAGATGGTACAGAGGGCGAGGGATCTGAGGACTCTGGCTCGTCAACTACACTCACTGGCCAACACTCACCACATTGCGGTTGTGTGCATAAATCAGGTCAGGTGGTCATTTTAAAACTCTCCCCGTTATTGTTTATGTATTTTTTAAATTTTTAATTCAAAGTGAACATTTTTGTGTGTGTTTCTTTACCCATTTATATCTTGTCACGAATGATCATTACTACATTTCACAGTGAGGTAGCCATACTGCAAACACAACAGACTGTTGCTTTAGGGCTAGAGTTGCCGTTTGCTTTTCGAGGCACTCTTCCCGGTCGTCTTGATAGTGATATGGTGGCTCAGGTCGGTGCACGGAGTGTAGCGTTGTGGTCTTTCTCCATAGGTGCAAGTTTGATTCCCATACGTGTGCAATCCATATTAAGTTTACTTATGTTAGGCTTAGTCGGTGGGAGAGCTCACCTGAAATATATGAGAACATTTTTTTATTATTTTTTTTTTTTTTTGAGGATGAAGATGAGGATTTTTTCTTTTTTTGTTTTTATCTTGCAAAAAATAACCTGAAAAAAATAATTAATTTATTTTGGTGGGTTAGTACTAAGTATTTTTTGTATGTTTCAGTGAATGGGAATTTTGGTTGATGTTATTTAAAAATTATCACGGGTTTTGTTTTCTCGTGACAACAAAAAAAACTTTCAAACCATAGCCTACTCTTCAGTCTATTAGTTTGTCGGCCATTTGCGAGCTACAACACCCTCCATCTTTTAGCGAGTTTCACTATAGGGAAGTACCGGTAGCTAGTAGGTGGCACGCTAAGACCTAGGCCCCGGACCGATATACTTTTTCATTTTGATGTTCCTACTTACTAGAGGCCAAAACACTATTTGTTTAAATTTTTATATATGTAAACTAGCTGACCCGGCGAACTTCGTATCGCCTAAGTTATAGGTTTCCCCTAAGACAGACCGATGGAAAGAAAGTACCGTTACGTTTAATTTTAAAGATGATCTCGTTCGCATCGCTCAATCACGTCCTGGTTGAAGTTCGTTCGCTACGCTCACTCACCTTTGGGTTGGAGCTCGTTCGCTACGCTCACTCATCTTTAGGTTGGAGCTCGTTCGCTGCGCTCACTTGCCTTCAGGTTAGCTCGTTCGCTACGCTAACTCGCCTCCAGGTTGAAGTTCGTTCGCTACGCTCACTCACCTTTGGGTTGGAGCTCGTTCGCTACGCTCACTCACCTTTAGGTTGGAGCTCGTTCGCTGCGCTCACTTGCCTTCAGGTTAGCTCGTTCGCTACGCTAACTCGCCTCCAGGTTGAAGTTCGTTCGCTACGCTCACTCACCTTTTGGTTGCAAATTAGCTGTTGTCATAAATGTAAAAGAAATAATAGTGCTGCACCCTGTTGGTAATCCTTGTAACTTTAATGCTATTGAACATCATAGAACAGAACCAACTTGTTTAATTGAAACAGCTGTTAAGATTCATTAATTCCATTTCTCATAAGGTTAACATGGGAAACTCCAGAGCCACTGGGGCGGAGCCCTTTTAAGAATTTCGAAACGGGAAATAGTTTACGTCCGATTCGCATACCTACAGAATTTACACACCAAATTTCATAACGATCGGTGAAGTCGTTCCGGAGGAGTTTGCAGACAAACACTGTGACACGAGAATTTTATATATTAGATATACTTCTGTGAATATGATAACTTGAGTAATTTTTGCCTGATTTTGATGGAATTTGGCTTGAAGGTGTAGGGTGAGATAAACTTGAATGAGTTTGCAAACCAGCATGATCGGAGTATGGGATCAGGGTGTTATGGGGGGTTTATGGGGTAAAAATTGGTCACAGCATAACATTTCAAAATTTCTCTTTACACTATTGAGGATATTGGTTACAGAGGAAATTGAGAATTAGAAATTCCAATGTTATTCTTATGGAGAATTCAGTAAACTGTTGTAGTTTGTTTGTTTATGGATATAAATTTTGTTCAAACTTATTTTGGCAAATTTATTTATTTAAACTAAGCTATTCATATTTTACTAAAAACACTTTATTACCCTCCCTGTAGCAGCAAACCTAGGGATTTAATTTAAAATACAATACTGGTAAATGGAAATTCACTTAGTCTGCAGGTTTGCTGCGGCGGGGGTACTTTGGTTATTTATAATGTATAGTAACAGTTGGATTATTCACGTTGACAGGTTTCTGATGTCCGGAGGGGAGAACACAGTGTGACTGTGCCTGCCCTGGGACTAGCCTGGGCCAACTTGGTCACCTGTCGTCTGCAGATGTTCCGCAACTATGAGTTCCGACGGCTGCAAGTTGTCTTCTCCCCTCAGCTGCCACAAAGCTACTGTCAGTACAAGATTGCAGCAGCAGGGGTCCAGGGGATACTTCCTGTTGTGTACTCTCAGTAGAACTAGGGAGCGTTCTGTTGAGTAATAATGGTTCCTATTCTGTGATTTGTAAAGAAAAATAAAAACGTCTTTACTTATTTCTTTCGTAAGGAAATAAAACTACCTTATTTCCTTATTTAATTGATAATTCCATCAAGTATTAAATCACCTCACACCTCTATGTAATACAATTTAAATATTCCATACAGGTGTGAATATAACAAAAAGTTGCCCCCTGGTGGGGTTTGAAAATGAAATTTAATTAAATTTAATCAGACAACTGAGGACTAAATCACAGAGCTGCGCAGTGGAAATAAAGATGTTAAGTGTGGGCCCTGTAATTAAATACCCCAGAAATCCGATTTATAGACCGTGAGAGGTCTGATATGTCCTCCTGTAAATACCTTCAATGATCTTATAGTGTAACACCCCTTAAAATGTAATAAAATGTTAACCAATACTCTGAATGCAAAACGTACTCTTGTTGAAATTCTATTAAATATGGCAATGATTCAGTAGTAATGAAATGGTAATACCAAACACTGATTGAACTAATATGTAATAATTTATATAATGATAGACAATTGACTGATATTGTATTTTATTGCAATTGTTCGGTTAAGCCGATTACCTTGACAAAGACCAACACAGGAGAATTAATAAAATTGTTGAAAGAATAAGATTTGTATATTGTCACTCAAATATTTACAGCTGTTACAAGTATCAATGATAATTCAAGGGTTTTTTGTTCTACTGACACTTCATGTAAACAATGGAGAGTATTGATTGAGATTTTGGACCTTCCTTTGTTTTCTTAAAATGTTGATAGCAGAGCCTCGGGAACCTAGGTTTGATTTATTTAATCTATTTTTTAGGCTATTAGGCTTCCCAAATTTGTGTATATATTAACAACTGGCCAGCTGACTTAAATATGCAAAGGGGCTATTCGTAGTTCTGTGTATAACACACCTTATTGCTCAGTGGCAAACTGGGCCAAATCGACTACTGAGTCGATTGTTTAATTTGTGTTAATAAAATGACTTTTGGCGTTAATGGAAGCCTATCCTTATAGCCTGTCTTGAATCCTACCCTTCAACCGGGACAATGCTCTGGTTCAAAACTGAATTTGATACACAATCAAACACTCTCAGATCTCTATATATACTTCAGAAATGATTTAAATCCAAATATTTAAGAAAGAACAAAGTTGTAACAGTTTTACGTTACTGACAGATGATGATAGAATTTGACTTTACACAGCACACAAAATTAATATCACAGATAAACATTGCTCTTAAAAATTAATATACCATTTCAAATCAATTTAATAAATAGTTTTCAATTTGACTAAGATCACTATTATGACTTATACTCTTTGTATGACATGATAAAATTCAATTAAACATTTTTATCCTGAATTGTGACCATGTGCTCAAGGTATACCAAACGAAATATGAAATATTCAAACCAAACAGGACACGATTTATAACTTGTAAAACTAGTGGTACATGTGAAAAAATGTGGCAGATTGGCATGACTATTTTAATATTAAAACACAAATAACACAATACATTTACTTACGTACACATGTCGACACATTCACATTCACGCTGACGAAAGATTCACACGGACGAAACATTTAAAAACTGACTCGTGGTGATTTGTGACTTTTGTCTGACCGAGCGGGATATCACAACACGGTTTTTTCTGGTGTAGGACTTATTAATTCTTGTTTTTCGAGCTGGCGTTTAATGATTCAATTGAAAATACCATCACGACGATCCACGATTCGCTAGAAACTGACATTTGCTATCGATATGATGCATGTACGAATTTTCATCACGAACGCGAACAAACAATCCGGCATCTCAACTGTCTCGACTTAATACTAATAAAACACACCCCCAATTGCAATTCGGCGAAATTTTTACAATTGCGATCATTTGATGCACGTACAATTTTCGCCCGAACGCGAATTTCCCGAGCTACGAATGAAGATATTAATAAAATCGTCCTACACCAGCGACAAACGCGACTTTACATGTTGATTTTGCGAGCACTGAACCACGAGAGACGACGAGACGTTTGCACACAGCACGGCTCCCAACGGTTTTCCAGTCCTTGGATGTTTGTATCCTCCTTCCGCGTTACGTCATGGTTGGATGACTTGTCCATTGCCTGGCGCGGATTTTAAATCTGTTGATTTTAAATCGGCACAGATTTACATCCTAAGTTACTATTATTGCAGTTTGTTGATGAAATGTTTCACTTCAACAAATAATTAACTTTAAAAGAGTTTATAATGTTTATATAAATCGACCAAATGTCTTAGTAGAAATTAAAAATAAAAGAATGTTGTCTATTGTCTAATTATGTCTCCCAAGTTAAAATTGGATGGCCTATAGTTGTAGTAGGACAGGTTACTGACCTTTTCGTTCTATTTCTTAAGAAGTTTTTAAGAATCTTATCATTTACACACAAAAAAAAAGTCATGTAAACCGCTTTTTGAAACATATAGAATTTTAACAATGCCTTCACTTTATAGTCGGAGAAATATAGGATATGACCTTAAACAAATTGCAATAAAACGTTTTATGGTTTTATTTTGTAGAGTTGGGTTTGCAAAATGACATACTAAAAGTTGCCAAAAATCGGTGCACGAGAAAACCACTAAAATCACAATTTAAAATGGCGGCTTTTTCCAACATTGGACAAATTAAAAAAACATATTTCACATGCATTTGTTATGCACATTTTTCGAGATATTGACTTGGGACCACCACCTGTATTTATTGGGTGGTTAGTACTTCATTTTGATAGGTAACATGTTTTTGGCCGCCATCTTGGATCCGCCATATTGAACATAGATAATTTTTTTTCAATGTAATGATAGTGTTGTGACACATCATTACCAACTACATTTTTACACCGATTTCAATGCCGAAATCCGTTTTTAAATATCTTTATTCATTTAGAAGATATATTCAAACAAAAACTCTCCACCATACATTTCTTATGGACGTTTCGTAGTTTTATAATTGTTTTAAAATTATTTTTTTTATATCTCCAGTTCTTATTGACGCTTGTAGTTCGTTCTAGGCTTAAAATATTCAGTAATGTAAGGGCTTTCATTTGAGCTCTTGATCATTAAAATCAGACGAGTTAAAGACCAGCTACGAACCTCAGAACAATATTAAATTTAACTTTTTAGAAATATATTTTTATTAAAAGATTTATAACTCGGGTTGTTAATACGTCTCCAAGTTCTTTCTGGTCTCAAATTACTCAGTGAATGTTTAGCTTTGATTTTATTAATCACTAAACAAAATCTGACAATTTTAAAATGAGTCATGGTTCTTAATTCAACATTAAAATGTATTTATTGTGCAATTTGTCTTTAGTTAAAGACGTATATCCCCAATTCTAAATAACTCCCAAAACTCTTTATAGTCTTAAATAATTCGCCAAATTATTGACTTTTATTTTAGCTATGGATTACTTTCCGGGAGTTATTAGGGTTTGGGATATTTGTCCTTAACCAAAGACAAATTGCACAATAAATACATTTTAATGTTGAATTAAGAACCATGACTCATTTTAAAATTGTCAGATTTTGTTTAGTGATTAATAAAATCAAAGCTAAACATTCACTGAGTAATTTGAGACCAGAAAGAACTTGGAGACGTATTAACAACCCGAGTTATAAATCTTTTAATAAAAATATATTTCTAAATAGTTAAATTTAATATTGTTCTGAGGTTCGTAGCTGGTCTTTAACTCGTCTGATTTTAATGATCAAGAGCTCAAATGAAAGCCCTTACATTACTGAATATTTTAAGCCTAGAACGAACTACAAGCGTCAATAAGAACTGGAGATATAAAAAAAATAATTTTAAAACAATTATAAAACTACGAAACGTCCATAAGAAATGTATGGTGGAGAGTTTTTGTTTGAATATATCTTCTAAATGAATAAAGATATTTAAAAACGGATTTCGGCATTGAAATCGGTGTAAAAATGTAGTTGGTAATGATGTGTCACAACACTATCATTACATTGAAAAAAAATTATCTATGTCCAATATAGCAGATCCAAGATGGCGGCCAAAAACATGTTCCCTATCAAAATGAAGTACTAACCACCCAATAAATACAGGCGGTGGTCCCAAGTCAATATCTCAAAAAATGTGCATAACAAATGCATGTGAAATATGTTTTTTTTTTATTTGTCCAATGTTGGAAAAAGCCGCCATTTTAAATTGTGATTTTAGTGGTTTTCTCGTGCACCGATTGTTGGCAACTTTTAGTATGTCATTCTGCAAACCCAACTCTACAAAATGAAACCATAAAACGTTTTCTTGCAATTTTTTTAACGATCCCTATGTAAGTTTGTTTAGTTTGCTTGGACTATTACATTTATAAAATTCTGGTATACTTTAAGAGTAATCCACAATTATTTATAAAAAATCAATTTATTCATCACTACCCAACACGTTCAAAAAATAATTTGCAGTATCCAAGACATCGGCTATGTGTTTACGAAAGATCACCGTACTATATGAGTCTGAGGCTTTACAACGGTTTACCTGCTCATTTTAAAAACATCAATAATATTATAAAGTTTAAGAAAGAATTCAAATTATTCCTTATAAAAAAGAAATACTATACAATAGAAGAGTATTTAAATGATTGTTTTTTAAAAAGTGACTAGTTTAATTTTAATTCTTAGATTTAGTTTTTCATTTTTGTTAGCTAAGAAATGACAATGTCATCTGTTTCACCAGCTTTGCTGGAAATGTGAAATGTTTTATGACAATAAAGTGATATTATTATTATTATTATTATTATTGTTAGGGTTACCAAAGTGTCCAAATTTTCAACCATCTTTCACAAACCCGGGCACACCATCACTGTCTGAGACATCGCCGTGATTTTTGCAGACGCATTTCACAATAGACAAAACACTGCGATCGTAAAAGCTCAGCTCAAGCTCAATTTTATTTTATAACTTGGTGCGATCCCTCAAGCTTGTAGTTTAGGCTTTGCTTGGCTTGAAAATCAATCCGCTCACACACCTCCATAACTAACATAAGTTTTTTCAAATTTTTGTACTACTGAACAATTAATTATCGTGGCACCTGCGACGTCCCCCAAAGCTGCCCCTTCTAAGGCGCCGGGAACGGTCGCCCCACCCACGCGACGGCCCTGCTTAGTTGTGCTTAGAGTCCTAAACCTGACTACTGTATACTAACTTGATAGAATTACTTGTGGAAAGAAAAATGCAGCATTTAGATGTAATTGAATATCTGCTGTTTATTAGGTTATGATATCTGTAATTATCTCTCATTTATATCATCTATTATTTTTAATGGTAAAAGGAAAATAAACAGTAATTTTTTCCAACAATATGAATATAATTAACTGACACCTGTATACCCTTAAACTTCTAAATTACAAAAATATGTACAAAACTCAATAATCATAACACAACCACAGCATATAATAGATGAGTGAACGAAGTGAACGAATCTATGTATCGTGTTCGTGTCTAGCGGAGTCGGAGAAAAGTTGTCCACTTGTGTGTGTCTGTGTGTTCGCACCAAAAACTCAAGAACCGTCGCACTTATAGCGTTCAAATTTTGCACAAATAATTATGACACGACTGGGAAGACCTCATTAAAATTCTAGACGATTCCGCTCAGTAGTAATTATAAAATACTTAAAAAACATTTTTAAATTTGTCCCATAAGAATAACATTAGGAGCTACCTTCTTCTTCTTTGTATTTGTTTACGTTTTGCGACCAAAAATTTTGTTGTCTACTTAAGACAGAGAGAACGACTTTTACTCTAAGCTCTTTCATTCATGGAGTAAACAGTTTGGCGTCTATGAATATATATCATTATAATTTCACAGCTTTCAGAATAATGTTATTTAAGCTAATTAAATTTCACAACTTTCAGAATAATAAATTGAACTTAACAATATTAGTCGGCAGTTATATACCTTTTATGTGCAGTATTAAAATTCACCTTTAAATTAAAAGTATATAGGTATGTTTGTATTTAGAACAAAGCAGCTTTTTACATTATTCAATTTAATGTTGGCATTGAATATTAAATATTCAAAGATGTTAGTATATTTTTAAAATGCAATGCGAAGGGGGGGGGGGGAAACAGGTCCCCGACGTAGAGGAAGCGGAAAGGTGAGCAGTGAAAAGAAAGGAGTACGGAAACCCTTTATGACTAACGTATCGGTAATACTTAAGGGAGAGAAATAGGTACACGATGTAGGAAGTGGTGAAGGAAGTAGTCAATGTGAGCAGTCCGGAGTGTGGGAAGCCTTTGTGACCATTAGAATAATGTATCTGCAATTCTAAAAATGCTATGGGAAGGGAGGGAAATAGGTCCACGACACTTAGGAAGTGGTGAAGGAAGTAGTCAAGGCGAGCAGTCCGGAGTGTGGGAACCATTTGTGGCAGTTAGATTAATGTATCTGCCATAATAAAATGCTATAGGAAGGGAGGGAAACAGGTCCACGACGTAGGAAGCGGTAAAGGAAGTAGTCAAGGCGAGCAGTCCGGAGTGTAGAAACCCTTTGTGGCAGTTAGAATAGTGTAACTGCAATACTAAAATGCTATAGGAAGGGAAGGAAACAGGTCCACGACGTAGGAAGCGGTGATGGAAGTAGTCAAGGCGAGCAGTCCGGAGTGTTGAAACTCTTTGTGACAGTTAGAATAATATACCTGCAATACTAAAATGCTATAGAAAGGGAGGGAAACAGGTCCACGACGTAGGAAGTGGTAGTGGAAGTAGTCGAGGTGAGCATTCTGGAGTTTAGAAACCCTTTGTGACAGTTAGATTAGTGTAACTGCAATTCTAAAATGCTATGGGAAGGGAGGGAAACAGGTCCACGACGTAGGAAGTGGTAATGGAAGTAGTCAAGGCGAGCATTCTGGAGTGTAGAAACCCTTTGTGACAGTTAGATTAATGTAACTGCAATATTAAAATGCTATAGGAAGGGAGGGAAACAGGTCCACGACGTAGGAAGTGGTAATGGAAGTAGTCGAGGCGAGCGTTCTGGAGTGTAAAAACCCTTTGTGACAGTTAGATTAGTGTAATTGCAATACTAAAATGCTATGGGAAGGGAGGGAAACAGGTCCACGACGTAGGAAGCGGTGATGGAAGTAGTCGAGGCGAGCAGTCCAGAGTGTTAAAAACCCTTTATGACAGTTAGTTTAGAAACCCTTTGTGACAGTTAGATTAGTGAAACTGCAATTCTAAAATGCTATGGGAAGGAAGGGAAACAGGTCCACGACGTAGGAAGCGGTGATGGAAGTAGTCAAAGGCGAGCAGTCCGGAGTAGGCAAGGAGGGAAATGGTAGTGGAAGTAGTCGAGGCGAGCATTCTGGAGTTTAGAAACCCTTTGAGACAGTTAGATTAGTGTAACTGCAATTCTAAAATGCTATAAGAAGGGAGGGAAACAGGACCACGACGTAGGAAGTGGTAATGGAAGTAGTCGAGGCGAGCGTTCTGGAGTGTAGAAAAACTTTGTGACTGTTAGATTAATGTAACTACAATTCTATAATGTTATGGGAAGGGAGGGAAACAGGTCCACGACGTAGGAAGCGGTGATGGAAGTAGTCGAGGCGAGCAGTCCGGAGTGTAGAAACCCTTTGTGACAGTTAGATTAATATACCTACAATACTAAAATGCTATAGGAAGGAAGGGAAACAGGTCCACGACGTAGGAAGTGGTAATGGAAGTAGTCGAGGCGAGCATTCTGGAGTGTAGAAACCCTTTGTGACAGTTAGATTAGTGTAACTGCAATACTAAAATGCTATGGGAAGGGAGGGAAACAGGTCCACGACGTAGGAAGCGGTGATGGATGTAGTCAAGGTGAACAGTCCGGAGTGTGGGAACCCTTTGTGAAAGTTAAATTAATCTATTTGAAATTCTAAAATGCTATAGGAAGGGAGGGAAACAGGTCTACGACGTAGGAAGTGGTGAAGGAAGTAGTCCAGGCGAGCATTCCGGAGTGTAGAAACCCTCAGTGATGATTAGAATAATGTTCAGTGTCTGCAATTCTAAAAATGCCATGGGAAGGGAGGGAAACAGGTCCACGACGTAGGAAGTGGTGAAGGGAGTAGTCAAGGCGAGGAGTCCGGAGTGTGGGAACCCTTTGTGACAGTTAGATTAATGTATCTGCAATACTAAAATGCTATGAGCAGAGAGGGAAACAGGTCCACGAGTAGGAAGTGGTGAAGGAAGTAGTCAAGGTGAACAGTCCAGAGTGTGGGAACTCTTTGTGATTAACTCTTTGTGATGGGAACTCTTTGACAGTTAGATTGATGTATCTGCAATAATAAAATGCTATGAGAAGAGAGAGAAACAGGAAATACATTACGTATATTACCAATGACTTTGGTTAATTAATGGACGAGAAGTTAGGATTTTTGTTGACTGAGATTTGGTTTTTTTTTTAAGAGGTTGGCACTGGCAGCCTCTTTTAACCTTGCATTTGCCTGTCCACATAGACTAAGCGCCCGTGCGTGGATCGTTTACAGCAAAGCAAGGGGTGAGCCGGTACAGGACAAAGGTGAACTGAAATTTAGTGGCTGTGACTAGGATCCGAACCCACGACATCGCTGCCTTGGGCCCGAAGTCCGCGTGACGCTACCGACTGAGCCACCGACTCACCATTATTTGCCCCGACTCATGGGTTGATTTGCCGATACAAATAACATTTTTGTGTTCACCAGTGACACCGGTAAGTATGCTAGGTGTGGGTGGACTCTTTCATTATTGCGCTCATGTTCACTCATCCCGTTACGCGCAGAACAAGCGTACTACTAGTATAAATATATATATAAACAGTAGTATTGCCCTCATAGATACCTCAATGATTATAACTTGGTTAGAAGTAATTAATTATTCAATAGCATTGAGTAATTGAAATTTACAGGGACAAAATTGTAAATACAGGAGTCATTAATGAAAGACTACTAGAAGAGAGCATTGTATACAAAATCTAACATCAGTCTAAAAATTTCTAAATCAGTTTTTTTAATAGGACTATCAAACGTTAAAGGTACTTTGTTTGATACATGAAAGAACTGCATATCACAGATGTGGCAAGTCATATAGTTTTGATTTCTCCAGTGCAATGGCCACAACATGATGGCGAAAACAAGTGAGCAGATGAAGTAACGGCTACAGCGGCTCCCATCACGGCGCTGTAAGCAGCGTCCGCGTTCTCCAACTCTGGTACGGGATGTTTCAATAGCTGCAGGCAAAAAAAATCACGTATCAGTGCATGTTTTAACTTGAGGTTTACAATTAAAAAAGATTAAGTTCTCAAAATTTAATTTATGTTTTAACAGATCACAGTTTTTGCGAGTAAGGGTTTACTAAAAAGGAGTAAAAATAATGCTTGACTTGCACAAATTCTCTCTCCTTATAGTATTTTATACAACTAAATGGCCTAAGATTGCATTTAATGTTTTAAACAGTTAAGCAAAATAATTAAATGGATATACTATTTTTTCAATAACATTTAACTGTCATACAGCTACTTTGGGCTTACTTTATACTTTTTTTGGGCTATGCTACTTTTTGTATTAACTTCAATAGGTCTTCTGACACTTATCGATTTGGGTATTTTTACTTATTCGTCTTAGAACCACAAATAAAATATGTTAGGGTCATTTTAGAGAATTTTGGTTTTTTCTTAAGATGATTTTCAGTAATGCCTCTTACAAGCTCCAGTCGAAGCCAAGCAAACTAGCTGAAATCTGACACCATCACCGTATTCTTTACTTCCCTAACTACTATTTCAGCCGGCCGTCACACAGAAGCGATGATAAGTTTGATTGTAGTGATGGATATAAAATCTATGCTCCAACCAAGTGTTAATCGTATTCTGTGACTACATTTCTAAAATCCAATAGGTCAATCCCTACATTGCCAGTTGGTGGATGTGAATGGGGAAAAGTGTTATGCGTAGAAACAATTTGCTTTGACTTAATTGTAGAAAAACTACACTTAAGTCAAAGCAAAAAAAGTTTACGCATCCAATCATGGACAGATAGAACTTTGAAATTTTTGTATTATGTTTGTAATAAATATATTTTATTCACTTTGTGTGCAGGGAGAAGCAAAATAGTATATTTCGTACCTAGGGCCGAAAATGAGGTTTTGCCGGCTAGAGATAGTTTTTAAGTTCAAGACGAAGTCGAGAACTTAAAACGATCGAGAGCTGCAAAATCATTTCGGTCTGTGGTACGAACGCTATTTTTCACCACATTATACCCTAATACCACTATATAGCACAATAAAAATGCACACTGATACTCAACACAACTACATCTTTAAGGTTATGTTAAGAAATAATTTGAGCAATCAGCAAAAATAATAATAAAGAGTTGCTAAGCAGCGGTGACAATAAAACAATTCTATTGCAATGCTATGGATACTGATTGTGTATTTAATATGCATTAATGTTTTAAGAAAGTAAGCGGACAGCTGATTTTGCAGCCCTAGGGATGTAAAAACCTGCTCTGTCCCCAAATACGATGACAGCTGGCATGGCCAGCAAAACGTAACTTTCAGCCACCAATTAACGTATGTAAAACAGCTAAAAACATCATAGTGTGGTGAAAAACCAATTTTGATCCACATAAATTACATCAGCCTATTCAGATAAACTGACAAGTATTATCGTTTGAGTAGGCCTACCTCCAAAGCTACCGTCTCTGCAGCTGTGTTGGCAGGTCCTAGGTGGCTCAGGTCCGCTGGCTTGGACGGGACGATACCGTTGCCTAGCAACTGAAGCCTCACCACAGCACTCAACTGCATGTTCACCTGGACAACACAACTGAGCTGACACAAGCATATGCAATTACTCAATAACTCAGCATTCATCTCCGTACACTATTAAAAGCTTCGGTTCAAAGCTTTTGGCAAACAACTCTTTCTTTAAATCTAATTGGATATGATCCTGTATTTACATTCTGGAAGTCCTCACTTTCCTAAAGTCAAATTATTCTAACTTTCACTCCGAAACCACCCACTCATATCTGCTTCGCAATAACTTCAATGTGAGAATTCAAGCCCAGTTATTGGGTCTTTGAACGCCAAACACTAGGGAGGAAATGACATTTCGGGTGGATTTTCAGTGTTTTTCTTCCTTTAGCCTAGCCTAAATCAGCTGAAATACTTATCTCTACTGTATGCATGGGCGTCCACCTAATCTTTTTATATGGGGGCTGGCAGGACCGGTGGTACGGAATAATCCCTAGTGCACAGGATGCTGGTGAATGTTTAACATTTAGGTTCAAATGTTTGATTGGTGGCACACTGCCGTCTGCACCATGAAGGGGCAAACTGACTCAACAAATTTTGACTAAGTTCTCTTCATTCTGTGGCGGTGTGACTTGATCCATTTGAAACAACTTTAAGCGATCGAAGTGTAGTATAACGGCACAGACCCCTTTGGACATTTTTGTACCTAAATTTGTTTTGTCAATTTATTGTTTTATGCATAGCCTAATTTTTTAAATAAAAAAACCTACCCTCTAAGGGTTTTTTTTAAAACCCTCATAGGTTGTTCCTCATAATACAGTATTTTATCATCAATCTGTAACCGTCTAACTCTATTTTTTATTTTACAGTTCAATTTTCCATTTTATACAAGAGCACTGGTCTGATAATAATTGTTTTATACATTTAACTTTTATTTGTTTTTACTCCACAATCTGAAAAAAAAATTTAACGTGGGGTCTCATGGGGGGGCTTGAGTCCATATGGATGGATGCCAATGACTATGCTAATTTGTGCTAAATATAAAAATTACCAACAAATAAGTTTCAAAAGTTTAAATGAATAGGTTAAATTTCTACATAGTAACTTAAGTTAAGAGAGATTTTTAATATTTACAAAAAAATTGTCCTTGTGTTAGAATGACATAATTTTAATAAAAAAAAAACTGAAATCCAAAATATTATGATGCATAGTACACAATAATATACTGTTTGACCTAAACTTCTTGACATACATATATATGATTCTGCTTACCTCACTCAAATCAAGAACATTGGTACTGTTGAGTTTGTGGATACCACTTCGGAGAGACGTGACATCAAAATTGTCACACAAAACACACAAATCTCTGTAACATTCAAATAGACGTACTAAATAAAATTATTTAATTTTACTTTACATGTACACAAATCAATTACTGTACTAATATCGTATGAATTAGGATAGTTTTACTATGAATGAAAATACAAGGGGTGCCGTACCCGAATTGTACATTTTAATAGGTAGAGTTCAAAACTGTGATTACCAACCTCAATCAGGTTACATTACAATTGTCACTTAAGTTATTATTCATATTTAATAACTGCTTCCTCTCTTGATTACCATTTGACTGTGGATTTTAACACCAAAGATGACAATAATGTCTTCATCCCCAGAGGAAGATCTTCAGGATTTTGCCGAGTTCGCAAAGTATGATTAATTCTGTTACCGTGGCATTTGTCAAAGATTTTCTAAGATTGAGGAAGACCATGATAATGTTCCCACAACCGTGGGAGTCGTTATTTTGCCATGATCTGGAGGATGACGATTAATGTTTCCGTGATTCCGAAAGCAATGATGATGGTTCCGTAACTGCAGGGGATAAACAAGATTTGTTGTCGCGGTTGCGGGAAACAGTGATGATCTCCATACGACCATTGAAAATAGTCATGATATTACCCCGATAACATTGTCAATTGTCACCTATAGGTGACGGCACGGTCAGATTAAGCGAGGAGTCAAATTAACCAAAGTCTGGGGTTTAGTGTATTTTTTACATTAAAAACATTTTTATCATGCATCAATACAGTTATAGGCCTATTGAGAATACTTTTTACTTTAAATAAGATTGGAGTGACTGAAAACTACTTTAAGGAAAGCTTACAACAGTTTTTGCAAAAATATTTAATGGAGCTAGGGTTTTTACTTAATAATCTTTAAATGTAACTAAACTCAAACAATACTTTATACTCACTTGTGTGTGCTAACAAGGTACTCTCTCACTCTCCGTCGTTCTTCCAATATATTTTTGGTCATGTCTTGAAGATCCTGCACTCTACGGGTCAAGAGTGCTTTCCACTTGGCCAATTCTTCAACCATGATACTAAAAAATATGGATAAAATTTAGTAATAGAATAAATGTTTTCTGGCCTAAGTACTAGTTACATTTTGGCCTACGGTTATTTAACATTTATTATCATTTAATTACCTAGACCCCTACCTTTCATCCAAAACAACAATGTATTGGTAGAAATATGTTGTTAAATACTGTACCTACTTATTTTAGCAATTTTCACTCCCATTTTGTTGTATGCCATAATGCTCTGGGGATATAGTAGTCTAGATTCTATCCATGTGTTTTGCTTTGCAAAGTAAAGCCTTTGACTATTTAGTCAATGGTAAAACAGTAAGGATTTTGGCCAATTTAGCTAAAAATCAGGATGACTGTAAGCAAGGTTTAACTATAATATAATATAATATGACCGTCAATTGCATTTATATTTCAAAATCTTGTACTTGTAAAGGAAAACCAGAGCGATTTTAAATGTTTTGACAAAGTTCATGGTTATGTGACAGGTGGCCGAATGAAAAAACAAAAATGCGCTACGAATAAATAATTTATTAAACCCAACTTATAACAAAACAATAATAATGTATTTAGCTTCCAACTTGCTGTATGGAATCTATTTATGTTTAGTTTACAAATACAACACGAATAAGTTATTGGGGAACATAGCCTCCCGAGGAGGCTATGGGGAAAGGCGACGCAACTTTAACTTTACATTACCGACCGAGCCGAATTTTGAATTTAGACTAACTAGACCGAGTGCTCCCTGTCCATCACCCAGAGTTAGGCGTGGAGGGGAACCAGCCAATCACGTTGCGGCTATGCCGCGTGACGTCAGTGCAAACACTGGACGGTGCTGCCGCGTAACAATCACTCAGGGCATTAGGCAAACTGTAGCTACGCATTAACTGGATTTCATGAGCGACTTGCTGAGCTGTATCAGCAAATTCCAGCCATGCGCGGTACACTTTCCGAGAACGTTGGCCCGGCCCAGCACTGAGCCACGCTGACGGAATATTCCATGGTGAGGCAACTGGCTGACACAAAAAGCTGGGAGGTTAACAGTCCAATATTACAGACCCTCTTTTTATATTTGAAATAAAGCAAAGCTTTTGTGACGGTACTGACAGGGTTTCCTGAGGGTGTAACAAAAACCTCCCCAACTGATATGTAATCTGGAATAAATCCATATATGGAATATATCGTATTTATGTAATATGGTCTGGGAATTTTTGGGGCCGTCACAGTTATAACACTAAAAGGGCATAAGATATTGTCCCACCCTCTTCTAGATTGCGGAAAACAATAGTCAGCCACAGATTAAGTGTTTTAATAAATTGCCACATTAGATCAGAAACCTTGAAATCCAACCATTTTTAAAAAGGAACTGTCAAGCTGGTTTATAACTAAAGTTGTCTATTCTCTTAATGATTTTTTTATACATTTTAATTTAATCTTTTATGAGCTTTGATCCAGTGATGTTTTAGTGATTAGTTGTAATCAATTTATTGAATTTTTCTTCTGTTTAAATTGATTTGTTGCTGAATGTTATTTCTTTGTTATGTTTTATTCTGTTGTACATCAGTTAGTCTGACAAGTATTAATTATACTATTTTCTTTTATACTACAGATTACTGTGCTTGTGTTCTTTGACATTGTCTACAGCAATGTTATGTTGACAAATGACAATAAATGGATTCTGAATCTATGTAAAATAAACTAATTTAAACAGGATTCAGTAAAGATTCATTTGGACTAAAGAGACTTGACTGTAGTAGGCCTACAGTTGTAGCTTCTTTGTCAATAGCTTACCTGCTTGCCAGGAATTTGCTCCGCCAGACTTCACACTGGCCTGCTAGCCACTCTGTTTGTTCCTGGTGCGTATTTAATTTCTGCGCTGAGTTCAGCAATGCCCGAGCAAGATGCAGCTTGTCCTCAGTCAGAATGTGGACTCTAGTTTCCATATCTTCCCCCACCGAGGCAACAAGTAGATTTTTCAAGTCACCATTCACCTTCAAATCAAAATATTTTTGTTTTTATTAAGAGATTTTTTTAACTTAAGGTTCATTTTTATATGTTACAAAACTGTATTCTAAGCAGAATGTAGAAGCCAGTTTTATTTTAAAATATTTAATTACCATGTATGCTTCAACAACGAAAAAGGCCGCTGCCGTGGATATAGAAACAATAAATATACATACCTGAATTTGAAACTTCAACTGATTTTCAAGCTGCATGTTTTCTTTTCTTAAACGGTCAATTTCTTTTTCATACTGTTCGTTATTTGACTCTAACAAATGGGTACTCTGAACACAGGAGTCCGCTGTTTGAAGGCAGTCAGTTTCAAGGTTTTGTTCCAACACTGGCAGTGAGCCTGTGGACATTTTCTTTGATTTCTTTTTGTGCATTTTCTTTTCTTGGGGAACCATGGGGTTTACTGCACATTTGTAAGGCTCATAAGGAACAAATTTAGGTTCTTTACCATGCAATTTAATTGCATTTTGATCATGTTTGGGAGGCTTGACAATGATCGGTGCTGGTCTCAGCTGAACGATTTTCCCAGTAATTTTTGGAGGTTGAGGCATGAAGTTTTGAAAATCTTCAGGAATGTAAATTAACTTATCTCGTAAACATTCAGCCTTTTTAACTGTAGTTTTCTTGTCTATACTTATTTCTGAACTTGTTGGTTCATCAGTATTTTCCATTCCATCTCCCTCAGTCCTTTTGCTGCAAGTGGGTTCTTGGAAAGATTTCTCCATTGAGTGATAATGTATTTCAGCAAAATCTGAAATGAGTACATATACTTTCAACTTCAATTGATTTCTCGGCACCAAAAGTAAAGAAACTGTCACCATACTATTGATTTATTTGCTGATGAGCCAATTTACGCCAACAATTTATGGCCAATAAAGAGTTCTGACCCAACACACCATTATTCACTTTATTTCAATGAGTAGGCATACACAACAATGTGATACAAAGGAGACAAACCCATTAATTACAACACTTGTTGTTCACAAAAAGAAGTCTGATTAAAAAGCAAATGAAAATTTATTTTTAGTATGCATTGGAGATTTTAGGATGTAGAGTTTTTTTGTGAGGATTTAAATTCTGATCACAATTAATTAGGCTATATTTTGACCTAAATTCAATTAAAGGTAAGTTAATCTAAGTAAATTCAATTTAGAATTATTTTTTTATGTAGAACACATTTGGATAAAACTGTGCCAATCAATGTTAATTTTATACCCAACGTTAATGAAAATGTCTTCTTTAATGTGGTAGTTGAGATAATGTGGAGAGAAGTCAAAAATGCTGGGGGAAATATGAGATCTATGATGTTTGCAGATGACATAATGCTATGGGAGAGAGATGAAGGGGAGTTACAAGACAACTGATATAGCCTATGGACAGAGGTTGTAAGAGAGAGAGAGAGAGAGAGAGAGAGAGAGAGAGAGAGAGAGAGAGAGAGAGAGAGAGAGAGAGGATTGCAAATAAGTAAGGAAAAGAGCAAAGGTGATTGGAAGGGATGGAGAGTTGGAACAACCTTTAAAAGTGGAGGGGAACCGCTTGGGTTAGTTGAAATTACATAGGCTTACCGATAGTTACCAATGGTGCAGATGTTTGAAATGTAACAGAGAGGGAATGGAGTAGGGTTCAGGCAGGGAAAATGATATTTGTAAAAGTTATTAAAGGGAAAACAAGATTGGATAGGAATAAAGAGTTAAAAGTTTGAGACGAGTAGACGAGTAGTTTGGCCACTTAAGAAGAACGGAAAATAGAATCCCCCCGAAAATGAGTGAGCTTCACAAGAACGGAAGACGACCAAAAGGGTAGACCTCGAAGAAGCTGGATAAGAGGAGTGCATTCACAGTATGTGGAGGAAGAGGAATTGTGGAGGGACAGAAGAAGATGGAGAGGCCTAGTGAACACCCAGACCCGGAGATAACCGGAACGGAAGAGCATATGTATGTACGAAAAGGATAGGTAACATTGTATCAAACCGACCATGAGTCAATAAACTAGGCCTACTCTCACTGTAGCTGGTCACCAGATCAGGTAGCCTACCTCATGTCTTTAGAAAGCAGATATGATTAGTAGCTTAGCTTCAAGAAAAAAAAAATGACTGCAAACCCATGCAGCCTATGTTTTAAGCAACAGTTGCATTGGTCAATGCAAAAATCACCCTTGGAGATAAGCTCAGAACTACAATAGACTCCCTCTTATCCGGACTCCTTGGGACCGAGGCCAGTCCGGATAACGGTTTTCCGGTTAAACTGACGTCCCCAAAAAAAAACTCGTTAAAACGGAACGTTTAAATTACTGTGATATTCAACTTAAATTTAGGAGGAGCACTGTATTCAGACACGTGATCACTGGACTTAAATCTTTCCCACGAAAACGGTAGTTTCAGTACCGCCCACTTCCTGCCGATCTAGTCCGGTTAAACCAATGTGCTGATAAAAATTTTCTGGTTAAAGAGATGTAATTTCCACCGAGTGTAGTCCGGTTAAACCGGGAGAGTTGTCCGGATAAGAGGGAGTCTAAAGAAGGTACTATGCTAAGGTGTTGGATTTACGGGACCAGTATTGTTATCACAGTTTAAGATATAGCCTCTCAAGCCAGGATAAAGACAAGCTAGACTAAGGGGCAAAATCCTACCTAGGCCTAGCTCAAGTCTTAGAGTGCCACTCATGAGGAGTATAAACCTATTTAGGTAGCCTAGCCTACTTTGGCATTATTTGGAGTTCACCCTTATAGGCCTACAGCACTCTGCGGCGGTTATGTTAGGTTGGGTTATCATAAATAGAAAGTATGAATCATCTGTTATCAGTATGTATCCAAAGTACCCCTATTAACTTAATCGTACAGCTCGGTGGGAGCGGGGCCCATTTAAGAAAACAGTAGGCCTACCCTAGACAGCTCGGGTGGACATTGATGGGTCTGGTTTTGGGTAGACTTCCATATCTGTTGGCAAAAACAACCGAATGAAAATATTGATTATTGGATTGTGTAATTTGATATATCTTTTGGTGAGTTTTAGGTTAACCTAACCTAACTAACCAATTATGATATATCAAATAATCAATATTTTCATTTGATTGTTTGTGACAAAAGATACGGAAGTCTACCCCTAGGTTCGGGTAAGTTGCATATTTGATCACGCCTTTTGCTTCTTTTTATTTCTTCAAGTGTATTTTCAATTAGGCCTAGGCCTTAACATAGGCTATATGAAAAAGAAAGGTTAAATCGATAAATAATTCATGGACGTAAAATAAACAATTGTTAAAATTCTTGAAAATGTTTTGTGAGACCTTCCCTTCATGTAGCCTAGGCCTATCCCTAGACTATCAAACCGAGAAATGGGCTGCACTTTACTTGACGTCCTACACTCATTCGAATGAAAATATCGATCGATATATCGATTAATCGATTGCTTCATTCGATATATCGTTTGGTTAGTTAGGTAAGGTTAACCTAACCTAACTAACCAAACGATATATCGAATGAAAGAATCTAATGAAAATATCGAATCGAAAAAACCAATCGAATGAGTGTAGGACGTCAAGTAAAGTGCAGCCGAGAAATGAATACTAGCCTAGTCTAGCCTTAGGTCAACTTATCGATAGTAGGCTACTAAATGAAATAAAATAGTATGGAATTAGGCAACTATGTTCATATATATAAGGATGTGATATACTCTACATCGAAACCTATCCTGTAAAATGACAGATAATCCAATTATGCTAGCGTGAATACAATCATAATAGGATAGTAAAGTAAGTTAGTTTGTGATTTTATACAAAAGAGTATTTACCCAGATTCTCGTTCATATTTTCTGTTATCAATTAGAAATAGGCGAAATTGATTAAGATGCAGTTAAAAAACAATACATTCAATCATGCCATTGCCACATCACAACAGCTCAGTTCATTCATATAAATTATTTAATTTAAAGTACTGTATTGTATTGAGGTGAAAAATGAAAGTTATTTTATCGTCGTCGTCGTCGTCTGCATTTTTGTATATTTATTTACCAGTATGATAGGTACTATCGCGGTGCGACACACGGGAGGGACTAAGGCTAACATATCTTGTAGGGTTAGCGTTCGCCGCTAGAACCGCTAAGTTGAAAAAATTAATAACTTTTTAATTATAAAATATTGTTTTAAAATTATAAAATAAATTTTTAGTTTTTAAAATAAAACTGTCATAACATAACCTAACCAACCAGTGATAATATAAAAACTGTATAAGATAAAAATCTAATTAATGATTACTTATAATTTTTAATTAATTATTAAATTAATTTTAAAATTTAGTATCATAAAATTAAACTGTCATAACCTAACCTAACCAACCAAACTTGCTGATATAAAAATTTTTTGACAAAAAGTTAATGCTACCAGCGGGATTCGAACCCGGAACCTCTTGAACACCAAATCGATACGCTACTATCTATGCCACGAACGCCGCTGATAACTCATTGTTTCGTTACGGTAATCGTGTTGCCTCAGGCCTCAAGAGTAGCCATTAGCCACTAGAGATATAACATCACTACACTTTTAGCCTTAGTCCCTCCCGTGTGCCCATTCCGGTACCATCGTACTATGGTACTATGAGCACAATTTGTTTTTCAGGATTAATTTTGCCAACAGTGTCATTTATAGAGGCTTCTGATTTGACTATAACGAAGGTTTAGTGAATGCAAAATTATTTTTGTTCATAGAATAAAATTATAAATGCCTCAAAAACAATTTTATATTTTTTTATTATGAAATTAAACCGTCATAACCTAACCAAACCAACCAAACGTGCTGACAATGATAAAAATCTAATGATTAATCGAAAAATAGTTCTGTTCATAAAATAAAATTATAAATGCCTCAAATCCTATTTTATAATTTTTTATTCTAAAATTAAACTATCATAACCTAACCAAACTAACCAGACTTGCTAATAATGAAAAATCAAATGAAGGCTTAACCGAAAAAAATATTTCTGTTCATAAAATAAAACTATAAATGGGTCAAATTCAATTTCATAATGTTTTAATTATGAAATTAAACCGTCATAACCTAACCAAACCAACCAAACTTGTTGATAATGAAAAAAGTTCAATACAAAAAAAATAGTACTACTGGTGAGATTCGACCCCGGGTCCTTCGGGTCTGACTTAGGGGAGGTACAAATGAGGCATTTAGTTCAAAATTCCTCCGTGAACAGCGCTGTAGTAGAGAGCACTTTGGCAATGAAGGTTTACTAATCGCAAAAATAGTTGTGTTCATAAAATAAAATTATAAATGCCTCAAATTCAATTTTACTATTTTTCAATTATAAAATTTAACTATCATAACCTAACCAAACTTGCTGATAAAGAAATAATATAACAAAAGTTTAGTAATCGGAAAAATAATTCTGTTTATTAAATAAAACTAGAAATTGCTCAATTAAAATTTTATAATGACTTAATAATAAAATTAAACTGTAATAACCAAACCAAACCAACCAAACTTGCTGATAATAAAAAAATCTTGGACAAAAAGATAGTGCTACCAGCGGGATTCGAACCCGGGACCTTCAGTATATCAGCCCGGCACGCTAACCAATAGACCACCGAGGCCGATGGCTGGTGAATATTATTTTGTTACGGTAATGGCGTTCCCTCAGCTAATAAGAAGCCCTCAGCTGTCATCGTAGCCTCTTCTATACCTCCCCTGAGTAAATACCGGGTCCTTCGGATCATCAGCCCATCACTCTATCCACTACACCAGCGAGGCCGTTGGTATCAACCGTATCGTCGCGGTAATGATGTTCCCTCAGCCAATCAGAAGCCTCAAAATAATACTGTAGGCAACACTAATCCTGAAATAAAAATTCAGCGTACCATGATAGTAAGCCCCGTTCACACGGGGCGAGTTTACAAGCTACACGCCCGCTTTTTTACACGCAGCTAGTAAAATAGCTCAGTGTGAACGACGTACTCGCTCAAAAGCTGCTTGTAAAAAAGCTCTGGAAAAAGTTGACGCTGCCGCTACTTTACACGCCAACTCGCCAGCGTTTGAGCGAGTAGGCGTGTAAAGTAGCCCAGTGTGAACACAGTTGCTTGTGCTTGTGCGCTTGTTACTTAAAGATGTTGGAGGATTTGGTTCAAGCCAGCTACTGAGCGAGTGGAAAAAGCGTCGTGTGAACGACTACAAGCGCACTCGCCGACTCGCCGGCGTCTTTCTCCACGTCGGCGAGTTGGCGAGTGGACAAGCTCCGTGTGAACGAATAACAAGCACACTCGCCAAATCGCCGGCTTCTTACACGCTGGCGTGTAGCTTGTAAACTCGCCCCGTGTGAACGAGGCTGTAGACAACAACAAACCACTCCTGACAAACCTGATCTGAAACAATGTGAGTGACTGTAGTAGTCATAGATTCATGCCATGCTCATGGTTACAGCATATTATGCCTTATTGGTTATAGTAACATAAGACCACTGAGCTGTTATAATCTATGTATATCAATACATAGGACAAGCAATGATTAAAACAGACAATGTAATTTGGTTGAAAAGTTTTGAAATAAATTTAACAAGAAACGGAACTAAAACGCTTGCCTACGTTTACGGCCAAGCATTAATTCAACTCTGATCGTTTTGAATTAGCTGTAAACATAAATGAATCTGAAACTGAAATCTGAATCCGATCCGAATATGACCGCCGGCGCCGACTAAACTCCTGTCCTGTCCTGTGATTATAAAGTTCAGCTCGCTCGCTCCGCTCAGTCAGCAATGGCTGACACAGAATTATTATTGAAAATGTAAATGTTTGATGCTATGGTATATTTTGAAGTGCAGTGTTTATCGTGATGTTATGTTGTAATTGTGTTAAAGAATTGTTGCCATCACTATTATGATATGATTCTGAGATTTTTTACTGGACCGTTTTGACCATTAATAGGAAACAAAAATTTCCGTGAATAATATCGCATCCTATTCCTAGGCCTACATTGAAAATGGCGTCTGAAAAGGAATCTCCCTGTCAGGATTACTGTGCTAATGATCCGAATTTTGCCATAATTTGTTCATTTTTCGACCGTTTTGCCATCACTTGTGGTATTACGTATCCTACATTTGCTGAACTTCAAGAAATGATTGAAAACACCCAAGATGGTATGTAAAAACGTAATAGTTTAAGTTAATGCAGGCCTAAGTTACTCTGCCCTTTTTTTTATTTATCCAAAGCAATTAATTAATTAGGGGTGGCTGAGTAAAGTTCGCACTTCTATGCTTAAGTTAGTAAACAGGTAAAGGACTTGTTTTGTTTTTTTAGCTTGGTGTCCTTATAAGTTGGGCTTAGGCTAAGTTAAATGAGTGATTTGTTTAATATAAACTTAAGTTAGACCTTAAGTTACTTCAACTGGATAATAGGGATCAAGGGGGGTTTAAGCCGCGTTTACACCGGAGTTTGAAACACGAGTTGCAAACAGAAATTGCAAACATCTCTATAAACGCACATTTTTAGACAAAACATTTCGCTGTTGCAAACAGTTTTTCAGTGTTTGCAACAGAAATTTCTGTTTCCACTTGAAGTCGGTAAAGATCAAAGGAGTTGCAAACTCTTTGTTTGCAACACTAGTATCGGTCAATATGAGCCGTTGAAACATGAATCAGAAACATTTCTCCGCCATCCCCTACGCTACCACCTCCACTCTCACTCACGTGATCACTCGCACCACCCTGTGTTTCGACTCAGTGTTAAATTAATCGGAAAAATGCTGTTTGACTGTCAATGAATTAACACTAACCTCTAATGACAAGGTCGTCTAATTTAAAAATAACAGTAACGTCTCATGTGAATTACCTCAGTAAAAGGGTTATAATTGAGTCCTTATAATCTTTAAAAATGAATAATAATTTTAATTTGATGATTTATACATTTACCGATGTTCACCCAGCATCGTCTCGGCCTACGTTACTTTGACAACACGACACACGCCACCAGGGCTAAAATAACATCCTTGACATCCTCGGAAGGACTGATCCGAGAAACCAGAACGAGGCGAGTCATAAACAAGGTCAAAATTATTTCAAACAATTTCATGAAACATGGAAACAAATCATGAAATAAAATTGCAAACATTTATTTGAAACTAAGTACTGTTGTTTGCAATAAAAGTTTGCCACTTTTTGTTTGAAACTCCGGTGTAAACGCGGCTTTATCAAGGAATGCCTAGCCACCTAGCCTATGCCTAGGCCTATAGTGCATTTTTTTAAAAATTAACTTTATGCTTAATAGGCCGTCCACATATTACGTAACGCTTAAGGACGGAAAGAGGATTTTGGCTTAGCACAGCTTAGCTTACAGATGAGGTGGAGGGGGTTTTCAAGATCATTTGGTAGGCCCAACGCATTTAAAATCTTTTTTTCAAAAAACCAAAATGATCAAGTTATATTTTATAAACAGTCTTTTTAGTAAAAATGTTCATAAGTTATGCCTATTTTAATATAATTTAAGTTAGGCTTCTGGAACTGACGTTCCTTCTAGTTCCTAACGTAAACGTCTTACCAACTCCTAGCTCTGATAAGGTAAACAGCCCGGTAATTATTTGATATTTCTACAATATCGTGTAATTTTTAGATGTCTACTTACAGTATTTTTCACGCTGAATCCAAAAATCGGAGGGATTCCTAAGTGGCCGTACAGTTAAATAATTAACATTAAGCTTCAGTTTTGTTGATTTATTAACATATTTATGGTATGGACGAGTCTAAGTTCTAGTGGCGCCTAACACTAAAAGGGGTGGAAGGTTTGTTTAGTGGAAACAGCTGTCAGTTGTTTACATTCGATACTAAACAGACAAAACCACACACGACGCCATGAGAGAAAAATCAGAGTTAGGCCTACAATATGCAATAACTAGATTTTTAAAAGAAAATGGACTTTGGTGCTGTTTAGAAAATAAAATAAATCAACTACGATACATAAACTATTAATCACATCAACATAAATTATAAAACGAAATAGAATTTATTCACGTAAAATATCAGTACCGTAAACCGGGGCTACTTTGACTCGCGGGGCTACAATGATAAAACTTTTGTTTTTACCTAAAATATTTTTTTTAAATTTTAGTTTTAGTAGTAACCATGGTAACTTAGGCCTATATATTAAAATCTTCCTTATAACATTGGTATAATCATATTTTCACACTCACTCAAAAATATATATAAGTTTATTCTTTGTTATATTTAATCATGAATTGATTTTTTTGCGAAAAAAAACGTCCCCGAACTTTTGTATGCACAACCTACCCACTTTTATCAATTTTTTTTTGGAATATATTAATGAATAGTTCATCTATCTGGGATGATAAAAATACATATTAATATAAATTGTTAAGTACCCTAAGGGAAAAAATTTTTTTTTTAACTGTCCAAGGTTTTTACTTCCAGGGGCTACTTTGACACTCTTTATTTTATTGGTTTATGTTCACTAACATGGTTAGTGGTGAAGTATATAAAAAAGGCACGTCAACTTCAGCCAGATAATAGGCCTAAGTATTGATTATCATAATAAGGTTTGTGAGGTCCGATTTATTAGAAAAGTAACCGACACAGAACAAGTTTTTAAGTGGCCGGATTAGGCCTACGTTGATGAAGACCATGTTCCATATGATGACATCATAAACATTTTAAGTGAGCCTTCCCTGAACAGAAGAGGACATGTTGTGTTCAAACACAAGTTCCAGGGACTAAACATCCGATAAAATCACGAGCATCGTTCAGCAGACCAGACGTCTGAAAGGGAGTTGCGACCCTTGCTTCTGGGGCACCATTTCACGGCTACGACAAAATACAATACAAGACGTACTTACATACTATTACTAATTTTTACCTTAAATTCTAGTCTTTTTTACACTAAAAACTAGTTTTGTTGGCACATTAATCCTTTGCTTTAGGTTGGATATGATTTTTTTTAAAAACCTTTGTAAAGTTCGGAAATCTCGGAACGGCATTTTAAAAAACCTGTCGTAGATCAAAAACTATAAAAAGTAGAATAACCAGAGTCATGCCAAAATAATCATAATAAACCCAGCTTTCAATAGAAGTATCAAAGTAACCCCTTTAACCAGTGGTTACATTGTGACAAGGCATTAAAGTTCATTATATAAAGTAGCCCCTTTTTGCCAAAGTATTTAATATAGATTTTTTTCAAATGTAGCACTCAAAAGAACTAACTGAAATGCACAATTTGGAATTTTTCTCATGGTCCTATCTCTTAAAACAAAAAAGTTACAGCCAAAAATAAAAAAAGTTTTATAAAGTAGCCCCGTTTGACGGTAATAGAAGCTAGGCCACTGCCGACACGATCGTCCTCATTCCAATCCTCAACGTCTGTTAATGAACGTGCCATAGTGCATAATCCCATAGTATACGATCCCATTGTGCCTAAAAGTGAAAACGTGCCACAGTGCATAATTTCCTGTATCATCAACTAAGTTAATAAATGATGTTACATTTAATCTAATCTAATCTAACCTAACCCAACCCAACCTTAATATTAATGTTTAAATCACATTTTATGTCAGAAATGGCATGTGAGGAAGATAGGTCGGACTTTATGCGGATTCTTGACTGTATTGTCCTTTGAAGTGAGGTTAGATTAGGTAAGTTAAAGGTTAGGTTATAATGAACCGACTCATTAATTTATGCAAAAACAGTCTGGAAGTAGGCCTAGCATAAATTAATGAGTCGGTTAATTATAAAACCTAACACCTTCCTAATCTAACCTCACTTCAAAACACTTAATACAGTCACGAATCCGCATAAAACCCGACCTACCTTCCTCACATGCCTAAATAAGAACTGATTATTTGGTTTCAAAACAAATTGATTTCATTTCGCATTAAGTCTAGCATAAACAGCTGTTTGCTCACTAAACCTTGCTCACTCAGTCTACAGTCCACGATATATCAAATATTTGCCAAATACTGGCAGGTTAAGGATAAATCTTCAATAAATTCTTTTTGAATGGGAGAAGACAATAACTTATCATTATGGGACTGATTTTATCTAAACATAGGCCTACACATTTCTAGAATAAAAAGAAAACACATAACCCTCTGAGCGTCACTCGTCGCGACACACTAATCGACGCGCGAACATCGTTTACGGCAAAGGCTCTATGACTGACTGAATCGGATTGAGCTGGATCGAGTTAGGTATCGTTCTTTTCGTTATATTCTAAGCTTTCTCCAGAGGTCTGTCTCAGCGCTGTATGTTCTCCGAGCCGATCGTAATTGTAGCAGACAGCTGACGTGCGTATTTGTAAATAGCTAGGTTACCCTCGGACCGATGACTGATGTGTTTTATTACGTTTATCATTGTTTTAGTGTTAAAAATCAAAAGTAGTGATACTATACGTGGTGCATTATAAGAAGATTTAAGTGATTTTGAAGGGCTGGTTGATGATCCTGAAGAAGTAGGTAGTGATATTGATGTAAATTATCAGCCAGATTCCTAGCTATGGTTAGGCTATGCATTCTTACAGGGTGTCCACATTCTGGAAAGTCAGGGATAGCCATGGAAAGTCATGGAAAAAAATTTTGGTCATTGAAAGTCAGGGAAATAGGCAAGAAGTCATGGAAAGTCATGGAAATTTCCAATTATGGATGGATTTGAGGGGACCATTCAATGCTCTAGTTGGCCGTAACCCCGACTGTTGTAGCATTTTTCAGGATTTTTCACAAATTTTCGACAATTCAATTTATTACAGTTTTATTATTTTATGAGTTTTCGGTTTGTTTTGGTTCATTGTTGTACCTATTGTACTCCATTGTTATCTGTTATTACATATTTCAGTATTTTCTGCAAAATAACATGTCCAGGCAGTATTATTTGTGTGTGTATGTTATATTATAATTTGCGTGTAAAGTTCGTGAGTCATGGAAATCAATGGTAAATGGTCATGGATAGTCATGGAAAGTCATGGAAATTAATGACAAAATTTTTGTGGACACCCTGTCTTAGCTAAACGCTATGTACTGAAATCTGTTTTTTGCCCATAACTTATTTATTTGCAAATCTACTTCCTTATATTATTATATATTTGTAATCCTCATAAAATTTTGAACAAAGTGGCCATTTTCAAATATTTATAGGCCTATAATTTATACAATTTCATTGAGCGCAAACTTATTTTTATTTTTTTTTTCCAAAATATTTTTTTTTACCTAAAATTTTTTTTTTGAAACAAATGTTCCTTATGTTTTATGTATAATATTGAAGCCCATGATTTTCCAAACAAAATGGTATATAGAACAGTAGAATTAACATTGTTTTAAGCTTCTCAGATCGGTTTTAATAAAACCTTGCAAATGCGCCAAAAATAGGCGGACATTAAGGCCTAAACTATGGACACTCGGAGGGTTAATCAAAATATTCCTCAAAATAAATTTTATATAGGCCTAGGCTTAAGAAAGATATTTTAAAGGTATTCCTTTTCCTAATTCCGGCACGACATAACCCTAATTCCGTTATCCGCCGTCCTAATACCGGCACCCTGAAGGCCTAAAACCTTGTAAGCTAAGTGTAAAAAGCATATATTGGCCAAATAAATTATATTGACAAGATTTGATCAGATACAACACAAAACAAGTTTTAAAGTTTCTTTACAAAATTTCATGTAATGTAAACCTCATCATGCAGACATTCCACCTGATCCCAGCTTAGGGTGGATGCCATTCCTAATCATTAGTGGGAATACTGGGAATGCAATTACCTCATCCAAACATTCCACCTTACCCCAGCTTAGGGTGCAATCCATTCCTAAGTTAGTCATTGGTGGTACCTAATGCAATGACCTCATGCAAAAATTCCACCAAAATATCATTAATTACTCAGTAAGTACGGTATAATATCACAATGCTTTTGTCCCGTTTTTGGATCTGATTTTCTCTATTCGAGCCATATTACTAAGACTCTGGTTATTGATCCAGGCACTGCTGCTACCTTTGGGTGTTTCAGTGAACTACGTCCACTATTGGGGTAACGCAGAACAATCACCACTGGCTGCTCTTTTGTGATTCGTCTTACTGAGATATTTCAATGCCAATAGCAATCGCTGATTCAGTCGGGGCTCCGCCGCCATTGGCGAGCGCCTGTTTAAAGGTTTTCAGCGCTCAATGTGTTAAGAACATAAATATAAATAAAGACCTTTGGTTTACATAAGTTAGTGCCTATAATTTTTATAAATATTTTTCAACACTGTGTTATTTTTCTAAAAATTAAACCAGAATTACAGTTTGATGGGATACTGAATGAAACATAGCCTAAAATAAAAATCCCCATAGACCCTACCTAAACATATTTTTCCTTAATTCTACAAGATTTCCTGAAAATTTTAGTTAAAGTTCCATTATGATATTATAAATACTTACTGAGTAATGATTTTTTTGCCAAAACATAAAATAAAAAATAAAAAACCAAGTATAGCTGATGAACAAGGAGCCGAGAGGTACAAAGTCCACCGTCCGACTGCCTCTCGCATCGCAGTCATGACCTTCATCTGTAACTGTGCGGTCGGACATTTAAGTTTTTGTCGGTAGGCCTACTCGGTTTTATTCATAAAACGTCCACGTTTGTATATAATATGTGTCCATGTTTTGTATTTAAACTCGTGACGACCTTTTCAAAGTAATGTTCTTGTACAAGATCTGATGATGAAGACTTAGTCTTCGAAACGCGTTATCCGTAAGGACTACAGTAACAGGATCACTCTGGCTGTACTCAGGTAAATTTATACCTTTTATAGAAGGTCTAAATCCCGGAAGGTCTAAAAGTATACAGTCAATGCAGAAAACGCACCCACTGATACTGTTTTAGACCTTGCAAGATTTAGACCTTGGGCACACAACCTATATTTTGTAAATAGGCCCTAAATGTTTATAAAATGAGAGTTGCCAAAGGTCTAAGTCCCGGATGGTCTAAAAATGCGAGTCCTGGAAGATCTAAAAATTTCTGAAGGTCCAAGTCCCAGAAGGTCTAAAATGCGAGTCCTGGAAGGTCTAAAAATGTGGGCATTACGTCGCCAGAGTTGAAGGCTATACACACAGTCAATAACAGAACAGCTTGTAGAGTTGTAATTATTCTCAGTGATAGTTTTACCAACCCTCACGTCTATTATTTTGCTAGCTCGTTATTACGACTATGATGGAGATTTTAAAATTAAAATAATCTCCATTTATATTATACAGAATATAATAATTGATATAACAAGAAACAAACTATTGACGTAAATAATAATAAATGTGTTATATTATTTTCAGTTCCACCGGAACTCATTGATTTGCATGTCAAACTGTTGAGAAAGATCCGAAGATCTGTTGCAACAGAAAAATGGGAGAAAGCATTAATCAAGTTTTGCCATTCATATCTATGTAATGAAGAAGGCTGGGAACTAGAGCGTTGTGGTTACAAAAAATGCAAAGTCTCAATCAGACTAAAAATACTAAAGGTAAGAACTTAGTAGAAAATTATTGAATCATTTACAGTAGGCCTACAGCTGCTTTTAGCCCAGTCAATGAATGCAATAAAACACCCTTTTTCGCAACTAAATGGTGGAAAGCTGGATTTTTTATATCTGATAGAACCACATGAGAGGTGTATTTTCCCAAAAGTCCCCACTTCTACCCCTTGAGCTATCCCCCCACCCCCCTCCAAACCTAGAAATTGCAGTGTTTTACTTAATTGGTCATAATTTGAATACTATGTAAGCTATCGAGCTGCAAATTGTTTTGTTTTATTTCTGATAAGTTTTTCTACAACTTTTTTATTTATAACATTTTTCTAAAACCAATACTTAGGGAGATATAAAATTTAAACTTCGTTAAAAGCTTTGTTTCAGAGTGCAAAATATAGTTTTTCTCTATGTATACTTTTAAATAGAAATAATACGCAAATATGGTCTGTACAAAAGTTTTAGTACGTTTTTCAAGGTTTACAAATATATTATTGGTTAGTCATCTACGTGACCGGGTGAAGAGCTGGGCGTCGGCAAAGAGAGCGCGTGCAGGCTAGTTGAACACCTCTGCGCTGCGTCATCGCATCTAGCCCATCCAATAAACGCACAAACTGCCTTTTTTCGTAGCTAAATAGTGGAAAGCTGAGTTTGTTATATGTGATGGAACCACTTAAGACGTGTATTTTCAAAAGGTTGCCGATTCTCCCCCTTGAGATTTTCCCCCCAACACCCTCCAAACCTGGTAATTACAGTCGTTCACTTTACTGGATATAATTCAAATTCTATACATGCCATCGTAGTGAAATTCGATTTGTATTATTTATTAGTTTATCTACAACTTTTGTACTATAGATTTTTTTATAAAACTATATCTAAAGAGATATAACATTTTAACTTTTTTTATAATGTTTAAGAATCAAGAATCAAGAACTTTATTGTCATTGACCTTTTACAAGGAATAGACATAGTCAAAACTAAAACTATAAAAACTATAAAAAATACAGTAGGGTAGTGGGTTCTATATTAAAAATCAATGTCAACATTAGAAAGTAAATATTCTGTTATACAATAAAATGGATTTTTGATGAGCCACTCAAACATTTTTGACTTAAACCTATTAAAAGGAACCAGTTTGGCTGCCAGACCTAATTTATTAAAAAACCGTATACAATTTATTTTATGGCAGTTATGTGTTTTGGCCAATCTATGGACAGGGATTTCTAGATTGGATTTGCCTCTTGTATTGTAAGAGTGTATACTATCTCTACAAGTGAATTGATGTAGATAAGCTTTAGTGTAGAGGAGTATGTGAAAAATATACAAATTTACTACAGTCAAAATTTTAAGGTTTATAAAAAGAAGTCTACAGCTATCCACAGGGCCAACCCCACAGATTGTTTGTATAACTTTTTTTTGCAATTAAAGAATTTCATGGGTATGGGGGGAGTGTCCCCAAAGTATAATCCCGTAAGAAATATGCGATTGAAAAAAACCAAAATAAGTAGTCCGAAGGTATTAATTACTAACAAAATCTCTGAGTTTCCAAATTAGATAATTTACTCTGGAAATTTTTTTACATGTGATTTCTATGTGTTCTTGCCAATTTAATTTTGAATCAATTTGGAATCCTAACAATTTTACTGATTTTAATTCATTATCAAGTGGGGATAGACTCAAAAGAATTCTCTGTGTTTTTTCTTGATTACACATCAATTTATTTGAGGAAAACCAATTTAGTGCTGACGTTATTGATTCATTAGTAATAAAATCAAGCTCATGGATATCTCTATGTGTTGCAATCAAAGTTGTGTCATCAGCATACACAACAGTGTCTACATCAACATTCTGCGGCAGGTCGTTTATCGAGATTAAAAACAAGAAGGGTCCCAAAACTGAGCCCTGTGGAACACCTACTTCAACCAATCTTAAGTCAGAATGACTGCCTCCAACAGATACATACTGTTTTCTATTGGTTAAATAGGATCTTAAAATGTTTAAAGTTTCACCTGTAATACCGTAAAATTCAAGTTTTTTGAATAAAATATTAAAAGGTACAGAGTCAAATGCTTTTGTAAGATCAAATAAAGTTAATGAAACAGTTTCTTTATTTTCAAATGCATTTAAAGATTTATTAACTACTTCTAAGACAGCTGCAGTTGTTGATTTACCCTCACGGAATCCAAACTGTGAATTTGTCAATAAATTGTTGTTTTCAAAATATTCATTAATTTGTTTATGCATGAGACATTCAAAAATTTTGGAAAAGATTGTCACTATTGAAATAGGACGATAATTACTAGGAAGATTTTTATCGCCTTTTTTATATACTGGAGTAATTTTAGAAATTTTGAGAAGGTCAGAGAAATAACCAATTTTCAGACATTGATTAATACAAAAAGCCAGAGGTTCACTTATGAAATGAATTATTTGTTTGATGCTGTAATTTGAAAACCAGTAATGATCCATAGTTTTTGAATTGGAAAAGTTAGCTACAACATTGTTAACCTCTTGCCATGATACCTCCCTCCATTGGAAATGTAATTGTCCTATAGGGGGAGTCCCCAACAACTCATGCGCAGGTGTGTTGGTGAGAGGAATTTTGTTTTCTAGCTCATTAACACATTCAATAAAATAGTTATTTAGATTATCAGCATCCAAAACCTCAGATTTAGTTGATGTAGGAGAAAATTCATGTGATATAACTTCCCAAGCAGCCTTGCACCTGTTGGGGGCCTTATCAATATACCTTTCAAAAGCTTGCTTTTTGGCTAATTTTATTTCACGATTGTAGGCCTTTTTACAATCAATGTAGGTTCTATAGGCATTTTCCAAATTATTTGAATTATGTTTGAGTAAGCTCTTATAAATAGAATGACTTAAACAAGCATTTTTTCCCTAAGTTTCCTTAACTTCTCATTATACCATTTAAGTTTTCCTTTCTTATGTCTATTGTTTTGTTTACACTTAACTAATGGGGAACTGCAATGCCACAAAGATACTATTCTCTTAAAAAAATTATCAAATAGTTGTTTCTCATTTATTCTACCCATTTTATAGTCCATTATCATTTCCCATTTCTCTTGTACCAATTGATCAACAAAGTATTTAATATTACTTTCATTTTGCCTTCGTATTATTTTTTTTGTTCCTCCTGTTGAGTTGTTACATTGTTTTATAGTTTTCTGTAAAAAATCTAATATTAAAGGTTCATGGTCTGCAAAACAACCTCCTACTGTATTTATGTTATATAAATCTGATGAAAAGTTTACAATTATATTATCTATGCATGATTTTCCCCTAGTTGGTTTTTTATTTGTACAAACTAAATTTAGACTTCGCAACAGATTGGCAAATTCAATAAATGACTTTTTTTCCATTTTTATCATTTCTATGTTAAAATCCCCTACAATAGCAACAAATTTAAATGACTTTAACAGCTTTTTTACAGCAAAATTTTCCAGAAACAACCCAATATCACCATTAGGAGATCTGTAAACACTTAAAACTATAAGATCATAATCAATTACTTTGATACAGCTAAATTCACAATGAAGCTCAATGCAAAATAAGCTAACATCTATTTTGGTGAATGTTAACCCTTCTCTTAAAAATATTCCTACCCCACCATTTTTTATACTTTTCCTACACATGATATCTGCAGCAATAAAATCTTTAGGGACAAAGAATTAAACTTCCAGCTCCTCTAGCCAATGTTCAGACACACTTATTACATGCACTTGCTCTATGGCACAAAAATGTTCTAATTCTAATATTTTGTTCCTAATAGACTGGATATTGACCTGTAAAATTTTTAAGTATTCTTGATTTGCATTGTTATTTGTTTTAGCATTATTATTTACAGTACAATCAAAATCATCCATACTTACAGCTAATGTATTATTTATTTCGCTATTTCTAAAAAAACTTCCTCGATTTGTTCACCTAACATAATACTATTTACAGTGGTATTTTCTATATTAATTTGACATTTCGATTTACAGGCTTCCTTAATATTTACAGGCTTCCTTAGTTTATGTTTTAGAGTACACAATTTTGTTTTACCCTCTATATATTTTTTCCAAATAAAATACGCAAAATGTGTCAGAAACAAAATTTTAGTATGTTTCTTAAGGTTAATAAATTTATTTGGTCAGTCCTCTGAACAAACTGATGTAGTGTGGGCGTCGGCAAAGAGAGCGCGTGCAGGCTTCTTCAAAGCATCTGCACAGCGCAGCACCGCCCGTCGATGCATCATAAGGACCGGCACTGCTAAATTCTCAACTCTTTCCTTCCTACTTTTTAGGAACAACCATAACAATCCTTTACTACCAAAACAATCTGAAGCACTTCGCGGTCAGTAAAAAGTTTTCGTCGACCCACTAATCCTTGATACAAACTGTGTACTATCATTGATATGTCCCTCTCTTCACCCTTCCCGCTAGCAAGGGTTAGATTTCTGCTCTGCCACGAGTTGTAAGCGTGTGTTAAAATAATATCACGAACAACGTAGAAAACGGTCGGTAATATTTATAAGCCATTTTTAATCATGTTAAGGAATACAAATTAAAACCAGTCAATGTTAAAACTCACTTTTTTATTAAGTCTACATAAAGGAGATTTTAAAACAAGTAATAAGCGCCTTCATCTTTATTAGCGATGTTAAACGTTTGCATAATGTCTACCACAAACCAATAAAGAACTATTATGCTCACTCATTTTTAAGATAACATGAAAACAATCAAACATTAGAGAACAGAACGTCACCAAGATTCAGAGTATAGAGTCTCTAAAAATGATTGATCTCGACCACGTATTAGTGCCGTAAATCAGATTCGTAATACATTGCTGTTAACTATTACGACAAAACACAATTTGATTGACACATCTACACAATATGATGAGAAAGGAAATTTGAATAATCTGCCTGTATGTATCCCGTAAATAGTCTTGCCTGCATGTATGGGGACACAAATATAGTTTTTTTTTATTTTTATTTTTTTACTTATTTATAACTTTTGGATATATGCCTTATTACATTAATTAATTGGAAAGTAAATTAGAGAAAATGCGTCTAACCGCCTAACATTTAAAACATAAATTTGCACTTCCAGTGTTACTCACAAGACTGTAAATATACATAAAAGATGGCAAGTGGTGGTAGATTTCGATTCGACACTACAATCATCCCCAGACCCATAGGCGAATTGGGTCATCTCATCATTGGGTTCAGTATGTTTCTTACCCAGCTTTATGTAATGTAAAATATGTATCCATGTAGATTATTGTCAATAGGTGTAGTCGTTGACAGATATAATTAAATAAATTATTATTTAAAATTATTATATAAAACATCCGTTCGTCAAAGATGAAGAAATTAAGTATTACGAGTATTGCAAGTTTAAGTAAGTAGGTAGCCTATAGATTAATTTACCTGAACCAAAACTGGTTATAAAAAAGTAAATGATTGGGTTCCATCTAAATAATAATTATTGTTTTTGCAGTTCACGGTTAAGCTTGGATACAGATTGGTTTGGTAGTAAAGTACAAAGTACAAAGTCTTAGGATTTGTATACAACCTTTGAGAACTTATCGATGTTGGTGCCTATGACGCAATGTATCAACGGGCGGTGCTGCGCTGTGCGGATGCTTTGAAGAAGCCTGCACGCGCTCTCTTTGCCAACGCCCCACACATCAGTTCGTTCAGATGTCTAACCAAGTAGGCCTATATATTCATAAACCTTAAAAAACATACTAAAATTTTTGTTTGAAACATTTTGCGTATTTTAATTGGGAAAAATATATAGAGGGTAAAACAAAATCGTTTACTCTAAAACATAAACATTATAAAAAAAAGTTAAAATGTTATATCTCTTTTGATATAGTTTTATAAGAAAATCTATAGTACAAAAAATGTATTTAAACTAATTATAAATAATACAAATCGAATTTCACTACGATGGCATGTATAGAATTTGAATTATATCCAGTAAAGTGAACGACTGTAATTACCAGGTTTGAAGGGTGTTGGGGGGAAAAGCTCAAGGGGGAGAATCGGCTACTTTTTGAAAATACACGTCTTAAGTGGTTCCATCACATATAACAAACTCAGCTTTTCACTATTTATCTACGAAAAAATGCAGTTTGTGCGTTTATTGGCTGGGCTAGATGCGATGACGCAGCGCAGAGGTGTTCAACTAGCCCGCACGCGCTCTCTTTGCCGACGCCCAGCTCTTCACCCGGTCACGCAGATGACTAACCAATAATATATTTATAAACCTTGAAAAACGTACTAAAACTTTTGTCTGAACCATATTTGCGTATTATTTCTATTTAAAAGTATACATCGAGGAAAACAATATTTTGCACTCTGAAACAAAGCTTTTAACGAAGTTTAAATTTTATATCTCCCTAAGTATTGGTTTTAGAAAAATGTTATAACTACAAAAGTTGTAGGAAAACTAATTAGAAATAAAACAAAACAAATTGCAGCTCAATAGCTAACATAGTATTCGAAATATGATCAATTAAGTAAAACACTGCAATTTCTAGGTTTGGAGGGGGGTGGGGGGGAAAGCTCAAGGGGTAGAAGTGGGGACTTTTGGGAAAATATACCTCCCATGTGGGTCTATCACATATAAAAAATCCAGCTTTCCACCATTTAGTTGTGATAAAAAACATTTATTGACTGGGCTATTTTGCCAAATATTAAAGGTTTTTAGTAACTAACTGTAGTTTTAATCATAAAAAGTGTACTACCGTACACCTATTGTCAAAGAAGTCAAACTTGGTTTTGTACTTTATAATGTTAATGCAGTTTTTGCTGCACTTTAGTTAAAAAATAAAAATAATCTATAACATAGATTTTACAAACTTTGTTGTGTATAGAGCTCTAGTTTAGTTTTAACATTTTCTGAAACTTATTGTTATTGAGTTTCAAAATTTCAGCATATAGGCTAATAAAATTCTCTGAAAAACTTAATTTAGGCCTAAATACAATGCTAATATAAACGTTTGTAACAGTTTAATATAGTCTAGGCTAACTATTTTAAAGACCGGTGATGGGCGGTTATGTTATAAAAGAAGCAGTCTTCATTCAGATGTAGTTTTATTTTGCATGGTATGCATGTCATTTAAAAGGAAAAATAATAAACAATGTTATTTTAATTAATAAAAAGCCGGTACTCTAGCCCCATCTTCAAATTCACTAAGGGTCCTCCACTTCTTTCTTGTCCTCCTTAGACACATGCTGCTGGCCCTTATTGTCGCACATATGGTTTTTACTCTTATCCAGTTCACCACTAAACTGTAAGGTTTCTTCCATTTTTCTGTTAGTCGTTCTGCCATTTCATCCACAGAAGTGATGAGTGGGGTGAAAGAAGCATTTCTTGTTTCTGTTAGTGTTAAGTATTTTCTCTTCTTCTCTATTTCTGCATTCTCCAATACTTGTATGTATGGGAGGTTCAAGTACTATGGAGCATCAGTGTCAACGACACATACATCAAATAATGCTTCCATCTGAACCTCCCAAACACCCCTACAAGCCAAGTCTGCTTTCAGTGCAGCATCTAATGACCCTTGCTCAGAGTTCTGTGGTTCTCGAACACAGTTTCCCCATGCATCCAAGAGTATCGCTTACTTTGTTCATGTCTTCTTAAATGGTAACCCACCTGTGCTACATTTAGGGGCATGTTTCATACTGAAGTTTTTACCACAGCCTTCGCATGAAAAGGGGAGGTGTATTATACTGGTAATTGGTTGTTCTAATGTTGGATTTTTTTAACAAAAAAACTTGCCTCTTCCCCGCTTTCTATTATTTTTATGCATTTTTTGCAAGTTAGTGGATCAATGGATTAAAAAAACTCCAGCATAGTCTACCAGTAATTTGCGTATTGGTAGGAACTCGCCCAAGACTGCTAGGTTGCTAATGTTTGTCTCCAATTAAGCAGTAGTCTCCTTTACTGCCTGGACCTTTTTTATCTTCCATCTTTTGTAAACTGGGCTCACCGGATGTTTATGAGGCACATACATTTAAAGTAGTGGGTTTTAAGTGCATCAGCCTGCAAATTGCAACAATCTTCTATGTTTAGAACCTCGTGTGAATAATTTAATCATGTTTCAGACTCTCTTAGACGCACAGTTTGATCTAAACAGCAAGTTTAAGAATGACATAAACAAGTTGACGCCAGAAGAGCTAAGGTTAGAGCCGCTTGGCAGAGACAAGGTGGGTCAGTCGTACTGGTGTCAGTTTGACTCTGCTGCTAACGTCAGGGTTTACAAAGAGGACCAGGACGAGGAAACTTGGGCTTTGGTGGCAAAGTAAGTAACACAATACCATAGAAAACATTTAAAATATTTTATCCTGTGTATTTAAAGAGCGTTTCAGCATTTGCAGTCTGAATAAACAATACAATACACAATACAAAATAGTCTGAGAACTCTACAAACACAAATGTAGACCATATTTTTGTATTACAGTAAACATTTACAATATTTTACAGCGTCAATATGCTTATCTGAATAAGGTAAAATTTAGATTTTAGTAAAATTAATAATTTGCAATAAAAGTGGACATCTTTTCACTTGTGTTTTGATATTTTTCAGAGATCGGGAAGGGCTGGTTGGTCTCATTACACAATTGTCTTCTGGTGAAGAACTGCTTGAACTGGAACTGATAAACGAAGACAGTAATAGCCAGGAGGTTGAAAAACCTATCATCGATACTGGACAAGTTGAACAATCAACGAGTGAGGAGAACACGGTTGACAGTGTTGCCTCCAAAAATGAACTTCCAGTCAAGGAAGAAAGTAGTTGTATCAATGGAATTTCCAAAAGTGATGTTTCAAATGTTGCTAATCCACAGAAAGAAGTTTTAGAAGACACAAAGAGTGAAACCAAAGTTAAAATTGACAATGGTGAACTTTCAGATCAAACAAACAAGTGCACTGCTAATCCACAGAAAGAAGTTTTAGAAGACACAAAGTGTGAAATCAAAGTTAAAGTCGACAATGATGAAGTTTCAGATCAAACAATCAGGTGCACAGATGTCTCTCTTGATAATAATCATGAAGTGACAACCATTAATGGAAATGATCACAAAGATGAAGTAGAGCCCGAAAAGATAATAGATAAAGGTTGTCTTTTAGAAAATAAAAAAGATATAAACCAAGCTGATTCAATATCTGCCTTAAAGACTGAAAATTATGTTGGCAATGAAAATAATATAAGTCAGCTGCCCACTAAAACTTCTGATGAAGTAAAAAATGTTGCAGAGGAAATCAAACAGAGATCCCTTTTCAAATCTACCAGTTCTCCGTTATTCAAAGGTAAAATTGGAAAATCTTCAGGTTCAAAGTTGGATCAAATTTTCAGTCGTAAATTGGAGCAGAGTAGCTTAAATTCTATCGGTAAAGTTGGCAATGTTGAAGATGGTAAAGAAACAAGTTTACATCTCAAAACTTTAGTTGATGACGATTCATGTAGTCAAAGTTCGGTTTTGAGTAATGTTAATGAGCAAGAAAGCAACTCTATCAGCAAAGAATTACAAGTTAAAAGAAAAGCGGATGAACTCTGTGAGGAGCCTAGTAAAAAACAATGTTTAGAAGAATTTAAACCTGAATTGGAACCTGAAGTTGGGGAAGAAATTGAAGAACCTGTAATGATAATAAAAGGTGAAGGTTCAGGTCAGGAATGTGATACAGGGAATCCGGGCAAAGATAGCGAAGAAGAAGTCGGCACACAAAATATGAATAAAACTGCCTCCAATAAAAGTGAAATAACACAAAAAAATGAACCTAGTGATAATAGTTTTACTGAAGATATTTTACTTGAAAAGAGTTTGAACAATGGCATATCTAGTGATAATGGCAAGTTGGATGAATTCTCACAGATTAAAGTTACAGATAGTACTCATAACAATCTAGAGATCACAAAAAAGGATGGTAATCTGTGTGATATATCTAAACCCACTCAAGGCGAAAATACATTAGAAAATTTTGAATTAACAAATACTGATAAATCAGAGCTTGAGATGAACAAGTCCATTGAAGAACAGATGTCTGACCTTACGGGTGAAGGTCTTTCTCCCAAGGGAGTACCTGAGTGCCAGAGAAATACAGATAATAAGAAGGAAACTGGCATTGAAGTCAATTCTAAAACATCTGAAAAATTAACAAGGAGAAAGTCATTAGACTCAACTGATGATGTAGACACTGAATCAATTCCTCCGGAAGCTAAAAAAACAAAAGTAGAAAAAGACTGCAACGATATTTTTGGTACAGATGACAGCATGCCTTACTCAACTGAAGAAAAAAAGTTGGATGACAAAAGAGGTAATTTAAATGATAGAGTGCCTGAGCTAAAGGTTACCAATGATTTTGTAGACAAAGAAACACAAGATAAAAGTAAATCAAGTGAAAACGATGATCCTGAGGACCTGTTAACAAAGTCAAACATTAAAGGAAATGTTTTTGAAAGTCAAAAGGAAGCTAATAGTAAACCTGTTGATGACATTAAAGCGTCTGTAGGAAAGGAAATCACTAGTGTTGAAAACAAGAGTTTGCCAAAGAAGGATGAAGATAGTTTAGAACGTAATGAAAAAATCAATACTTATGATCCAGATGGCAAAGTAGAGTCCAATGAAAATTATTCTGTAGAAGACAATTTAAAGAAAATTGACCGGTCCAAAGAGAAAGATGCAGAAAGTAATGTTGATGAAACTACTTCAAAATCAAAAATTAAAGAAAGTAAAATTGAGTTGGAAAGTGAGGTGAAATCTGATAGCACAATATCTAGTAACCCTACTAAAGAAAGGATTAATGATGAGGGGAGTACCTCAATAAATCCTTTGAGTGAACAATCTGAGGTTCAGGAGAAAGATGAAAAAGTTCCTAGTGATAATAAAGCTCCAAAATGTGCGTCTGAGTCTGTAAAGAAAGATGAAAATAAAGATTGTGATATTAAGAGTGAAAATGAAGCTCAAAGCGATTCCTCAACAAAAGACAATGATGGAACTGCTAAAAAAAAGAAGACTCCAGTAAAAAAATCTCCCAAACCAAGAAGAAAAGTATTTACCCCAAAATCCAGAAAAAGGGCGAATAAAAATAAACCAACAAAAGATGAATCTGAAAATAGTTCTGTTCCTGGAGATAAAAATAGTCCACAGAAACTTGATTTGGAAGAAAAGGGTAATCAAATAGAAAAATCGAAAGACGAAGGGGATCTTTCTGAAAAGAAAGAAACCAAAGCAAAACCAATTTCAGGGAGGAAGAGAAGGAATAGCCACAAAAATGTCAACACAGAAAAAGAATCTGAAGAAGATCTAGCCTCTGACAAGAAAGCTAATACTGAAGAGGATGATGAAGAAATCGGAGGAAAACGTAGAAAAGTCAAAGGTGTGTATTACCATTGACTATTAGATACTGAAGTAGTCATGAAGTAGTCATATGGACCAGCTGTCGCAAATTTTTATTAAAAAAGAACAAAGTTGTGTGAGCCAGTCACAGAATGTGCTTGGGTCTTAAATTATATTTTCTACCATATATTTGTTGCTGACTAAGTTGATGGGTCACAACAGTTGCTTTAGCTCACAATAAGTCACGCTATTTGTTTAAATTGGTACTAAAGTTTGTGTATTCAACGAATATTAGTAATTTAGATCAGCACTATCTGTCGGTGGCTCACTTCAACTGCTACGATTTTGATTTTAAAACTGGTGACAACTTTAACATGTGGAATGACTAGATTACTTGATGTAAACTGATTAGTTAGGATTTTTTGAAAAGTGATATAGTTCAGCTAGAGCTTATGTAGTAAAATTAAAGTCCAGGGGCCAACAGATACACAATAAAATAACACAAAACATAACACTGTTATTTCGTCCTGAAGTTTCTTCAGTAGAGAAGATAGGTTGAAGAGAAATGACTAATGAACAACTGATAAATTAGTAATAGTAGTCTTACTTTTTCATCACAGAAAAACATCTAGACTCAGAGCTACTATTTAGAAAGCAATATAATTTATTTTTTCAATTAATGCAATTTAACATAGTTACATACATTTTTGTTACCAGTTTTTGTATTATTTTTAACTTATAAACATGAGCTAAAGTTGTTGGTACGGTATTTATAATACATAGTATTTATTTAATGTGTTGATAAAGTGTTGTAAGTGTGCTTTGCCTAAAATTTTACAGCCCTAATCTAGTGCAATCTGTTCTAGGCAATGTGATTTGTTTTTTTACCTGTGACTACATTTATTTTATTTTATTTTTTATTTTTTTTTGTAGGAAAGAGAGCTCCAAATAAAAGCTTGCGTAAGGGTGTAGAAGAGAAAAGAAATTGCAAATCCAGTAGTGAAGAAGAGAACCACAGTGATGATAATAAAGACACAGAACTCAAGAAATCGTTTAAAGAATCCAAAACTTCACCTGCTGCTAAGAAAAATCTAACAGCAAAAACTGCCAAAAGTAACCAAGGGAAAGGAAAACAAAATGTTAAATCTAATTTGAAATCAAAGAAAGATGATGCCAGTAAAATTACAGATGAAGATGTCAATGACGAGGATGATGACAAGTCTGATGAATCTACTGAAAAGAAACCGAAGAAGTCAAAGGGACGAAACAGTAAGTTTTATGTATTTTACTACTAGGCCTACTTTTTCTTCTTATCAGTATGTTCCTTGTGCATTCTTTTATTTTGCAGCTACTTACACAAGTAATTTAACTGCATTAAAAACTATAAAACGCAACACAATTCAATGAAAACAGATGAAGCTCCTACAAACCATTTTTTCACTATCCTTGCTGTATCTTGTTTGCTTTTTCACTCTGAGATCTTCTAGTGTGGCTTTTGCAGTTACTTTTTGCTCTTTCCATGTAAGAATCATAAATCTTTATTCATCTTAAGATTATATTGAATATTATTGACAAAATAGAAGTGATATCTTTCTCCCTTCAGAGAATTGGTCACTTGTGTCCAAATAGATGCCTGAAACACTCGATCCCGCATTTATATTTTTATTTTGGTTGTTGGGCGCTTAGTGCGGTTTGTTACAAACATGAAAACAGTTTTTGGATTTAGTATAACAATACAGTCTACTCTTGGTAATGAAAACATTCGACAAATCAAAATGTTTGATAATTCAAAATAAAAGCTCAGTCCCTAGAGAGTCTTGTTATTCCAAAGTTTTACCATGCATTTTGATACACTCTGTATCTCAAAGTCCAGGCAGAGGGCAGGTCGATTTGGAACACGCAGTAATACAAAGTTTAATCGGCAGAACTCTATAATTCAAAGGGACGGAGGTGAATGGTTTATTCCAGTCATAACCAGAAACTAAACATCCTGTCATGCACAGTAGCTTTGTTGTGTTCAGTAGGAGCAGTAATCGTCTGGTTGGCAGTGTTTGCTCGCCCAGGTGTTATAATGGGACATCCAGTCATATCTTGTTACTAATCGGTCAAACAAAAAAGGCTTGAATTACAACTTAATTGTTCAATGAGTAGCATTAAATAAGCATACCAAATCAAAATATTAAAAATATCTTGTTCCTTGACAGTTATTTGGTACACAACATCCTCATTTGTCAAACAGGAAATTTCAAAACTGTCCACCAAAAATGACCTCAAAGCTGCAGCTGCTTAACCAAGGCATCATACAAAATTACAAAATGAACCTTAAATATAAAATAAATGATTTTTTTTTAATTTGAATGGTTTTTTTCCTCCCAATAAATCAAACCTCTTGATAATTCAAATTTATTTGCTTGACCCTCCTATTTCGATTTACCATGAGTCTACTGTATAAAAAAATCTGTTGGATAAACCTATAAAATAAAAAATCCCAATTATTCTATTATGCATAACAACCTTATGTTACATTAATTAAAATAATAAGACAAAATTGCTAATACAAAATCTGTGTTGCAGGTAGAGCATTTTCAGGTATCAATTTAGATATTGATCTGAATGATACAAGCCGTTCTGTCAGACAGTCAAGTCGCATCGCACAAATTAAAATTAAAGAACAAGCAGATCACAAACATGGGGACGACCACCATCAGAATGCTGATAAACCAGGGAAGAAAAATAAAAAGAAAAAGGTAGGCCTACTGTTAAGTTGTTGTTAATTATTTGTGTAAAGCTCTTCATGATGGGGCTTGGGAATGGACATTTATAGATACTGTAGCTCTGTTAAAACTTTTTACCTAATAACCCAGTCAAGCTTGTTTTACTTATTTTCCTATACATCTCAATGAACAAATTTAGTAATTTATTGGTTCTCATTGTTGTATCTTTATCATGTTTTTTTCTCTTTTCATTCTGTTATATCCTACTCTTTGTGTAACATTAAAATAGTTCTTGACAACAGCCAACAAATGACAATTTTATATACCTGTTCAATAAAAAACTAACCTAAGTTAATTCAATTTCTGTTTTACTTTCTTCTGTTATTTTGGGAAAATGTTTGAAAGATGTGAAACATAGATTGCAGCTTGTTAAGGTATCCTAAATGAATACGTTTAGGTTATATTAATCCGTAAACAGAATTTAGTAGTATAAATAAGAAATATTGATTGAACATTGATTATATACTCTATTTCAAAGAAATAGGCTTTCCCGTATTCTACCTCAGTCAGACATCAATGTTAAATTATTACAGTGGAAACATTTTTTATAGTAGGCTATAACAAATCTTATTAGCAAAGTTCTTACATTCCTCCCTTATTTTGAATTTTTTTTTATAAAATGCTGAAATTTTTTTTTAGGATGACAACGAAGAGGCAATCAAGGGAACTCCCAAAAAAAAGAAGAAAACTAAGGTAATTTTTTTATTGTTTTGTTGTATGTTGCTGTTTACTACTTGATATCTTTTACATTTTAAGCCGTAGCAACAGAAATTACCAAATGTCTATAAGATGGGATTTGCATGTATGTTGATTGTTGATATTCATAGCTAAAATTTGTACTAGGCTACATTTTTACTACGTTAGGTATTTAATTTGGAGTTCAGTGGCTTTAGCTCGGGGATCCATGGTTGAGTGAAAATTTAAAAACGTACGTTTTCAGGAAAAGCACTTTGCAAATTTTTTCCCCCTTTTTTCAAAACTGTTATTATTATTTTTATTTTATTAACATTTGAAGTTTCATAAAATGTCCATGGTAACGCAATATCTTTGGTATTTTTTTTTAAAAAGAGCATCTTTAGTGGAAAAACACAAAATCCTGTTACGACCATAACAGACGTTTAAATGAATATTAAAAATAGTTAATATTATTTTTATAACTATGTTTTGCTATAAACTAATTTACTTTTATGACCATTATACAATAAAAAGGTCACTGAGCTTTTGGTATATTTGGTCATTCTAGAAAAAAATAAAAAAACTCAAAAAATTGAAAAAAAAGCCAATAAAATCTTTTTAAGTTTGTATAACTCCGAAAAAACTTACCTGAGACCCGAAAAATCGTTATGTTTGTATAGAGGTGTGCTTCTTTTGTGTATAAAACATTGAAATATGACGATATTTTAATTTTTGAAATTTTTATGATAGAAATCATAAACGTGATGGTCAGGGACAAGCGGTACGGTCGTGAATTTTCTGAAATAATCTAAATCTTTCTAAACAATCCTTCAATTATACTGTTAGTTATAATAAAAATAAGGGTTTAAATTGAACTAAACTGTTCAAATTACAATTATATTAAAGTTATTGTCACGACCAAACACACTATAATCCATAAGGCTGGATTGGTCGTGAAAAAACCCGCGATGGTCGTGAAACTTTGGTCGTGAAATTACGTGTTATTTGGCTCTGTTCTGGCGGTAGCCCTGCACCTCATGTTTGAGGATACAAAGTGGACTTCTAGGTTAATCTAGCAATTGAAATATCGTATAAACAAAAATTAACACCATGTCTACTTCATCGAATGACTACGTACGGTCATGGTCACACCAAAATTACAATTACAAAAAACACAATCTTTCCTTTATTAATCTTGTAATTCCTCCTTTCAACTCGAAACGACCGGCACTTTAATCCTGACGTACACCCCGAACTAGTCTCTAAAACCAACTGACTCCATCGACGCCAGGCTTGCCACTGTCGTGCTCCAAAGTTGAAAATTTTTCCCAAATGGTCGTGACGCCAAATCGAGGGACAGACTTATTTTGTCATGGTAGTCAGTTTGCAATGACAATAAAATTATAATATGCTCCTTTTTTGTAAGTTTAATAACCATTGATGACATAAAAATATGGCTTTATATATTTCGGCATGAATAATTAGTCTCAAAACAGCTTGAAAGTTGGGAAATGTACCCTAGGGACACGTCATGGTCGTGAATTTCGAGACTTTAAAATTACGTAAAAAATGCCTAGAACCTATTTAAAACCAAATAAATGTGTGTAACATGTTGCCCCCGTCCCAAAAAATATTAAAACACATAATAATAAACTACAAATCCAGTATCTACGAAGTAAAAGGCCAGGGACATGAAAATGTTTTTAAATTTTCACTCGGTTATATTCATTCAGCAGAAAACAATTTTAAGTCAAGCTAAATAAACAAAAGTTTTTATTCTTTAAAACATACACTCTAAATGGTCTAAAATAACCATTGCTAAGCATGTGGTATTTATTGTACGTGACGGGAATAGGTGAATAGCAACAACTACTGTTGATTGCTGTAAGTAGAAAATGAATAGCAGACAGTAACTTAGTATTTAGTAAAAGTGCTTATGGACATAAAAGCAGTGAGACAATTTGAAAAGGATTAAGATTTAAATTTTCTCTTTGAGTCTTTCTTATAACCAGATCTTCAATTATTGTTGAATTTTAAAAGACGTTTGACTTTTCATTCTCAGCCATTAGTTTACTTATTTTTTTGATTTTTTTTAGCCTGCTTATTTATTTAAAAGTACATGTTCCAGAAAGAAAGTGATGACGATGTTCCTGAGGACGAACCCTTATCTGAGAGGAAGAAAAGGAGGAGGAAGAAGAGAAAGCATCCAGTAAAAGCATTTAATGAACGTGATCCCTGGAAATCTTCTTCTGGATCAAGGTGGGATGCAATCTGTTAGTTTTAGTTTAATATTGTTGTCATAACACATTTTTGGAAGATGAGTAGTGACAAAACCAACTCATAACGATATTTTTGAAGGTTGATGCCTGTAAAATATGTATTTTTGATTTCACAGCTACCATGATTTGTTCTGGTTCATCATTTCAGGATTTAGACATAAATTAGCATACATTCTTTTAGCTAGCCAATAGCAACATATTGTGCATACCACTCTTGAATATTGTTTAGCATAAAAAATATTTATATTTTCTTATGGAAAATATTTACGTTAATCGTAATGTCAAAATTACTTGCTTTGCTGCTGTGTTGAAGGAAATACTGTAGCAGGAAGAAGAGGAATTAATATAATTAAAAGAGAAAGGAATCTGAAAATAGTTTTTTTCAATTAGTGGTGGACTTAACTTAATATTTTGTTAAATATAACCTACTTTAATAATTTTACAAAGGGCACAAGGGTCTATACTCTAAACATTGCTAAAGACATTCCTTCCAACCCCAACCTTCCTGGGTTAGAAATACTGTCAGTTTCAGTTAAAAATTACAATTTTATGTTAAGGGAACAATTTTAATATTTGTTGTGCCAGGATGTCTCTCTCCCATCCAGGTAAGCCTCGCTACCAAAACCCTTAATTACTATTATGTATGTAACAGTTCTGCTGAAGAAGAAGAAGAAGACCATTTTGATGACATTGTGGAGGAGGATGAAGAGCTTCCTTTGCCAGTGAAGTCTGATCACGAATTTTCTCCTGAGTCGGATTTGGAAGCAGACGAAGAGTGGAAACCAGTTCGAAGGGCAAGAACAGCTCAGAAAGGTATTTATTTATGTTGAAATATTAATTTAAAATAGTTTTAGGTTGGAAGTGTTAGTTGACAATTTTTTATAGATATAACAAGTTTATACTGAGCTACTGTAGAAATATTGCGGTCATCTCCCACATACGTGAAGAATACTGATTATTTTTGAGATTTTTTAGAGTAATTGAAAATTTAATGGAGACACAGTCAAGACAAAAGACTCTGAGGGACATAAAATGATAAACTTTAAAAATCTCTTGTTCACTGAGTGTTTGAGGTGGTTCCATTAGTTGAAGAGAAAAACAATTTGATAGAGGTAGTTTTTTAATACAAAAAAAGTGCTCACAGAAAATTAGTTTTTTTTAGAAAGTTAGAACTACAGCTTAAGATGTGCTATGCCACATAACATAAAAGATAGCTAAAACCCTAGTCGTTTGTGGGATATCCTTTAACATTTTTTCATTGAAAAATATATGTACAAAACCTGATTGTGTGACAGTCTAAAAGAGAAAGTGATTGAATGAATGAAAATACTTATTTATTGAGGCGAACAATTAGGACCACATGGTCCTTTCTTACAGTTAACCTCATAAATCTAAATATAAACTATACAATGATTTTCTTAACAAACAATGATTTTAAATTCGAAACCAAATATAACTAAAAACTAAAATAATAGAATCGTAATCCCTAAACATCACATTCACTCTCTGCCACACCTAGGCCTAACGCACGCCATCCCGCCAATCCACGGTCATCCGATCAAGGTAGTATGCTTTCAGCGCCGCCGTCAGTCTGGAACGGGATTCTAAGTACCTGATGGAGTTGGGTAGGGAATTCCAAAGGCGGCATGCTGTTACTGTAAAAGATTTATTAAAAACAGTTGTTTTGTGGTGAGGAATTTGCAGAGTTGATGAGCCAGAGCGAGTATTTCTTGCACCTCTATCGTTCAAAAATCTAAAATTGTTCGTAAGATAGTTTGGAATTTTGAGATTGATTGGCGAATGAGTTAAATTAAGATTCGTAGGTATGTCTCCAACATCAGACAGTTTTAAAAGAGAAGAATGAATATAATACGGTGTGACGTGATCATCTCGTCGAAGATCATATACAAATCTAATATAATACAATAGTTTTGAGCTCGTTGCAATTTTGTTGCCAAAGCATCATTAACTACGGTATTACAGTAATTGAAGTGGGGAAACACTAGTGCCTTGATCAGTAAAAGTCTAATGTGAAATGGTATAAGTCTTTGCATCTTCTTCAGTGTGTGAATGGCGGCAAACACCCTTTTACAGGTGTTAACCACCGTGTCAGTCCAGTCTAGTGTATTGTGTATCGTCAAACCAAGACTTTTAACTTTGTCTTGGTATGGCAATACAGTACCGTTAACAGTAATGTTGGATAAAATGTTTTGGTCAAGTCTGTTGATTTGTCGTGCGTGGCCAATGATTGAGATAAGATAAGATAAGCATGGCCAATGTGCGTGATAAGATTGAGGGCAGACAAATTCTAAAGCGAACTAGCCTTGGCTTATGCATATTTTAAAGGCCAGTTTAGTTTAATATAATTTCTTGCAGTCAAAGAGCCAACTGAGGAGACGGAGGAGAGTTCTAAGGACTTGGATGACTTTGCATGTGAGAAGTGTGGCAAAAAGGATCACCCTGAGTGGATATTGTTGTGTGACACTTGTAACCTCGGCTGGCATGCGTCCTGTCTACGGCCTTCACTCATGTTGGTGCCAGAAGGAGACTGGCACTGCCCTCCCTGTCAACATGTAAGTAGGCCGATGTTACGAAGGATGGGTAATTTTCTTTGTCGGTAATTTTGTCCTAAATATCCATTTGCAATGGTACAGACTATTTGTTCTGTAGTTAAGTTGTGGACTGCAATGCAACAAGTATAGTAGAAATAGAAACATTAAAACTTTTTACCATCCCTTACTTTTGAGACCAATTATAATTGGAGATGTCGTTTAGTCTCTTTAACAAATCTTGACCACCTCAGTCAACTTTCTTACCCCTATATCTGATATCACTTCTTTTCACCACCTTGCTTCAGTTCCATGTCGCCACTCAATATTTATCTCAGTTGGCACTCTCCTATTCAATACCACCTGATTTTACAACTATTTCACCTATTATCTCTGTACGGTCGTACAATTTTATGATTTTTTTTTTACATAACATCTAAATATTTAATTAATATTACTGGTATCTGTGTTTGAAATACTTAAGATTCTGAAAACACATCACACATTTAATTATTCTAAATTTTAAAATTCAAAACCACTTTTTAAAGATAAATTATTTTCTAATCCGATGGTATTCCACAGGCAACGTTGGTGAAGAAGTTGCAAGAAACATTGAGAATCTATGACAAGGATACCAAGCGGAGGGAGAACGAGGAGTTGAGACGGAAGCGGCTGGCGTACGTGGGCATCAGCCTGGACAACGTGTTACCTGGTAACGCTCACCCACCCAAGGAGAAGCCCAGTGGTAGTGAGAGTTCCGAGAGCTCAGCGTCTCGGTCTGATTCGGAGTCAGAGTACTCAGATGAGCCTGTTTACCAGCTGCGACAGCGGCGCTCAGGCACCACCAGCTACCGCTTCAACGAGTACGACGAACTCATCAACTCTGCAATACGGGTCAGTGTAGTATTTGTAAATTGTATAGTTACTTCTCGCCGTGTATGAAGTATATCAAGTGTAGATTAATTTGTTTGTCAGTAGTATTGTGAGGTCAAAGTAGATTTAACACATATTGAGTGCGGGCCAGTCACCCAGGACCGGCCGCCGAACTCGCTCCCAGGCCAGCCCGGTCACCTGTGCCCGGCCAGGTCGCTCTTAAATGAATCACTCTGTGTGGCGCAACCTGTGGAAAGGACCGGAGTTATTACGTGTGCGTTGCTAGCATTACATAACCTATACTGTGTGTGTTTTCCCGAGACCGGTAAATTCCCACTTGCACAATTTATTGATTTAGGACATTTATCGACCTATTTCTTTTGTGTTTTTGTTTCTTATACGTCACAAAAATATATTTTATGGTTATTTTAGTTTATGTGCCTTTTAATATGGATGAACTCCCCAATACCAAATTGTTATCAGGAGTTCCATGATTCACTGTTAATGAAATAAACACAGGTTGGGAGGGAGGAAGGGGTTGTATTTATATAATTGTTAATATTAGTGATAGTGCCATCCAACATTTTTAGTGTGAAAAACAGTGTTTGTGAGACCAAAAATTGAGTATTTCCATCATGATGCCCACAAACGAAATTGCGTGGGCCGACCCGGTCACCAGTGACTGGCGATTTTGGACGCCATTTTTATTGGGAAAAACTGCTCAACACTATTTCCAACCTAGATGCTCACATCTGGTAATAGAAATTAAGATTTTATATTAAAAAAATTTTCAGGCCCTTGGGAAGGACCCACTGATATATTTACCTCATTCAATGTGTTAAATAAAAAAATTAAGTATATAAAATAAATAAAAATATAAATAAATATAAAAAAATTGTATATACCTGCATTTCCAGTTGATAACCAAGAGTTTGCGGGTAAAAATTGGAGCACATTAAATAGTTGATATCACCCCACTTTTCAGGATTCTCTATGGAGAAAATTTGTTTGATTAGGGGGATGTCTAGGCAACAGTTTTCTTAAATTCTGAATGTTGGAAAAACTTTGTTGCAACATGTTAGCTCGAATTGAAGCAGATCGTTTGGCATTCATTAGATGAATCACGTTTATCAGTTAAAACTGATGCAGGTGAACCTTGACGCAAATAGAGATATTTAAAATTAGTTTCTAACGTGTTTAAACAACTCTAAGATGTAGGCCTAACTAGAATTACTCGAATTTAAGCATAACGTTTCCTCGGCGTTATGTATCATACTATGTGGCTCATTGAGCCGCACGGGTTCTCTAGTGTAGATTAATTAATACTCATGGAAAGCTGGTTCCCATTTCTACCCTTCAAAAAGCTACAGAGTCTTCATGATTGCAGGCAAACACTGTATATTATGTCTTCTATTAAGATCAATACATTTGAAATCAATTGTATTTTGACGCAGGAGGAGGTGGAGGGTAGTGGTGGTGTTTTACCAGCTCCTGTTGCTACAACTGACGCAGTGTTGCCGAAGGACGGAGAAGGAACGCCACAGACCAATCAGAGTAGCGCTGAAATCAATGGCGAGGAGGTTAAGGCAAATGCTACAACCGATGTAAGTTTATGAACTAATTTAGTATCTTGGAGTTTGGCCTCTAGGGTGCAGAGCAATTATTTTAGGATTATCATGGTTGCGCTTAAAATGAAATCTATTAACTTGTGATGGTATGCTCTTTATTTTATTCTTGGTATTGAAATTTTGAGCTTCTGTATAGCCACAGTAATCTCTTTGATCAGCTGTTAAAACGTTTATTCTTTATTGTCTTATATGTTTTTATAAAAAAAGTTTAAATAATTACTTTTACATTGTTCCTCCAAGGGATTATATTTTATTTCAGACGAATGTCATTCCTTTAGCAAAAATTAAACAGAAACCAAACTGCATTTAGTTGGCCGTTGTTTGTAGTTTGTAGTGTTGACTCTATGTGGTTTAAAGATTTACTAGCTGCTGTACCCGTACTTCGCAACGGGAAAAAATCAGTTTCATAATCATTGAAATAGATTTTGAATAAATAAGCCATCATAAAGTTTAAGATTAAAATAAACCTGTGTAATATATATATATATATTTTTTTTTTGGATCAGCTGTCTGAAATTGTGAAATAGGCATTTGACAGTTCTGGTTGTTTACATTTAAATGTCAAAGCAAAGGTAAACATTGTGAATTTTCTCATGCTTCCATGGAGACCAATTTTTAATATTTAATTTCTGACAACAGCTGGAGTTTCATAACAATGTTTGTTTCCCATGTTAATCTTATGGAGAAATACGAAACTTTAAAGGGCCCCAGGGCCTCATTCTCTAATTATTTCCCTAAAAAGAAAAGTTCCCTGCACAACTTCACGTTACGCTCTTTCAAATGACACCAAAAACATGCCAATCGGTTCAGTAGTTTCGGAGGAGTAATTGTCACAAAAAAACCTAACATATAGGCCTAGATTGTTATTATTTTTCTTCAGTGGTTAGTTAAATGTAAGTTTCAAGGCATTTCGGAATCTTGATTTATGCATCATCTTGGTGGGGAAAATAGATCATTACAAAGTGGATAGCAACAGGAAACTCAATAGCTGAGAAAAATTAATATTTAGGGCGCAGTGAGAATTTAAAGACACTAGCTGGCGTACTGTCCTTGGTTCTGATCAAGTTAAGATGACAAAGTGGTTCGATCCTTTCTCTTTTATTGCGATTTGTTTTTTTCTTCTTATTTACGGTTTAAATTTGGACTGATATCTTAACATTTATTGTTTCCATAATTATTGTGTTATCCAGCGCCATCTGGTTGTGTTCTAAACATGTAATTTACCACGTTCTTTCTCCACTTAAATACACGGTTAGATTCCATAAATTGTAACTTCTATTTTGCTTATCAATGATGGAAAATGTCCTCAACAATCTTTCAACATGTACTCACAGTAAAAATGATCTTCCCCAGACTACTATGTTACTGATTTTACAGATTAAAGAAAAAGAGGAGAAACCAAAAAAGAAAAGAGAGGAAAGTGATGAGGAGTCGTCTGATGATGATGACAGCAAGAATGAAGATGATGAAGACGAATTTCCAAGAGTGGTGCCCAAAAGAACAACTCTGTCCCGGCCGGGCCGCAAGAAACACCGCAAACTCAATAGTCTGGACGATCCTAGTGATGATGATGACGACGACGAGGACTTCAAAGGCTCCAGGTAGGAATTGGAATTTTTCATTTTACTTGATAAAGTTAACTTGTTACTTGGAATTTAAACAAGTATCACTTAATGCACAGTAACATTGAAATGTTACTTTTTAATATTCAGCTGATACTTTTCAACCATTAAAGTAAACATAAACATTTTTTTGTTTTCTTGCTTAAAAATTGCTATTTAGAAATTTTGACAGTTCAGAGATTCAGTTAATGTACAATCAGCTAGTTGGTGCAAGAATGTAATTACAGTGCAACCTCGATGGAACGACCTCGATTCCAAATGGACCAAAAGTAGAATTTGTTATTTTGATTAATTTGTTAGAGGTTAGGTGAGCTGAAAATTAGCTAAATCAAGATTCACAGACTATTTTGTTTACATTTAACCTTGTTAAATCACGTGAAATCGTATACAGTATTCTACACACAAAGTAAGTAAAGTTAAAAGCTAACTTTACAACCAGTCAATAAATTGAAATTTCTGGGTACCAAAAGTAGATATGGCAACACCTGTTTTTCTTAATCCCCACTCAAGGTGTAATATAAACTTTCCGCGGGCACTGATTATACTTGTCTACTCATATACTGATCATAGTATTGTTGAATGCAACTGAATAAAGCCACAAGGGTGGACTTTGTTGCAGCAAAGGACACAGCTAGAGAAGAGTTTCTGTTAAATACCAAATATTTGAAGGGTGATTGCTGTTAAAGGCCTGAAAGATCATCTACAATAGATCAATCAATTATTTTAATATAGATGAGAATTCCATCCATATATTCATAGATCAACTAAAAGCACTTCAAGTGGTAGATTAACACTACGTTTCTTACTAGTTAAAATTTGTTTAAAGTTAATTTTAATCGCTGTCTACAGTTCGGAAGAGGAAGAAGAAGAAGATGAGGATGATGACAGTGATGAGTCTGGTGGCGGAAGACGAAAGTCTAGGAGAGGTAACATGGAGCCTGTCAGACGATCCTCAAGAGCACGGAAATCCCGCTTTGACAAGGAATTCAGTAAGTTGATGGTGGCTTTAAATAATAAACATAACGTTAGCAAAAGATGATATTTTTGTAGAATATACAAAATACTCCCTAATTATGTTCATAATAACTTTTAATACACACCAGTCTAGGCTCCAATTAACAGACAATAAGTGTACTGTTCTTAGTCATTGTAAATGAGTCTCTCCCTTTTAACTCCTATTCATTTGATTAGATCCTATCTTTTTCGTGTTCTATGGTTTCGTCCTTCACCCAATCAGTTTTGCCAACCCTCATAAAATGACGTCACTAATCATCATATCCACAGACCAAGTGACGTACATATGCGACAGACATCCCTGTAGACCACTGCAGAAAATTCAGGGCTTTCAAATAGACCGTTACGATGACACAAGCTTTTTAATTACATTGGACACCGACGCATATATGAGATGTCAGTCTATTTTAATGTGACGAGCTGTTGCGACAGCCTGTGGGTAGAAAACGGCCGTCGCATAAGTGCGTCGCTGGTCCATATGAATAAAAAATGTAATATTGCAGTAGCGAACGTGTAAAAAAAATTACATTTAGATTCAATATTTGGGTCTCAATTTTCTGGGATTTAGATTAGACTATTTGTATTGTCTAGGCCTATATAGGTACATTCAAAATAACAACTTGTAACTTAAGTTTCACATGTAATTCTAGGCATTTCTCTTGTCTAACCTACGCTGATCCACATTTCCACATTTACCTACAAAAATCTGTGTTTTTTATTAAATTGTTTGATTTACAGTTAGTTGTGAGTTCAATTTAATTTTAGGGGAAAAAATAACAGATGATGTATTTTGTTGTTGATTTAGTAATCAATTGATTAAAATAGCTCATTAAATTTTTTTTGCAGTTAACGATGACAGTGAAGAGAGTGATGCTCCGAGAAGCAAGAAAAGTAAGAAGCTATGGAGTGACTCTGGAAGTGAATCAGACGACTCGACCTGGGGTAGACGGAAGAAAAAGTAAATATATTTTTTAACAAGATAAACCTAAACGACTCTCTTCATAAGTTTCTCCCAATTTGACACCCACCTTCCAAAGGTTGCTGTGGTTTGAAATATCCTTTTCTTACATTAAACTCACAATTAATTGTGCTTTAAAAAGTGTAAAAATGTAGACATTAAGTTTTTCTGATATGAAATGAAAATTTTAACAGTTGTGTCATCAACAGCACTGAAAAATATTTCTCTAACAGTTGCCCAAGATGTTTAGTTAGAGATTGCAGATTTCCAACTTTCTTCTGACGTTGTTTAATGACCGAGACATTTGCCAGACTCACAATAAAAGCTTTAGATCACTTCTAACTTGAAGTGTTAATTTAGGATTTTACCCATTATAATAGGCCTAACCAAAAAGTGAAGTAAGTACTTTTTAGTAGTTTTGATGCCACCCAACAGTTTATCGGTAGTTAATTGGTTGTAAGTCTGCAACAAATTAATTTAAAACGATTCACCAGTTCAAGCCCATTTCTTTTTTCAAAAATGTATTAAAGCTATTTCACTACAATCGTGATATGGTGTTTTCCAGGAAAGGTTTTAATTCATCGCGAGGGAGAAAATTCCAAAAAAGTAAAAAATTTACAATTGAGGATGAGTTGTCTGATATAGAATCTTCCAAAACGCCAAAAAAGAAACGCCAGAGAAAAGTAAGTATTCATCACAGATAACTGTTTTTGTTTTGAATGTGCAGTACAATATTTTAATGTCCTTTCTAACAAAACAAATAAGACTTATCTGAAGGAATATTTGATTTCACTACAGTTGAATATAACAGTTGATTTTTTGAGGCTGCTGTAACGGATATACCTCCCTTTGAAGTTAGAATATGTCTTCCCAAACAAATATTTTCTTTTCAAATAAAATCATATTACACTGACGAAATCACGGAAGTGTTTAGCTACAAAAGATCCACCAATACGATTTTAATACTATTTAAAGGTTCTTCCAAAGGAAGAGATACCATATTACATACTAATAATAACTCCGATATACACAGTATAGTAGTATAGTAACTCCGACGTACAGTATAGGATATATTTTAATCATTGAATGATCAACCAAATTTCGCAACTAACGCAATTAATATCATTATTGTTTTTACACTTATTACTCTTTAAACAATACTAAATGCTCAAAATATGTATATATTTCACCCAATTTATCACAGTTAGATGAATTAACGTAAGCCTTGAAAGTAACCGTTGATTTCGACGGGTTTCACCTAGCACTATATAAAAGGCTATATATTATACTAGCTGTAGGCCTACCTGCGGGCTTTACCCCGTTTAACTTCACAAGTGAGCTCGTTCGCATGGCTCAATCACATCCTGGTTGAAGTTTGTTCGCTACGCTCACTCACCATTAGGTTGTAGCTCGTTCGCTCCGCTCACTTGCCTTCAAGTTAGCTCGTTCGCTACGCTAACTCGCTTCCAGGTTGAAGTTCGTTCGCTACGCTCACTCACCTTTTGGTTGCAAATTGGCTATAGTCATAAATAAAAAAAAAAAAATAATAGTGCTGCACCCTGTTGGTAATCCTTGTAACTTTAATTCTATTGAACATCATAGAACAGAACCAACTTGTTTAATTGAAACAGCTGTTAAGAAATTCCTTTTAAATATGAAAAATCATAAGGTTAACAGGGAAACTCCAGAGCCACTGGGGCGGAGCCCGAAAGCCCGATCAGAATAAAAACTACTTAGTTTTCCTATTTAATGCCCAAAGAATCGGTGTACCGAATTTCAGCCTCCTAGGTAAATGGGAAGTGGGAGAATTAGTGATGAGTGAGTGAGTGAGTCAGTCAGTGAGGGCTTTGCCTTTTATATATATAGAAGATTATACTTTAAATATCTTAAAACGTCCAATATCAAGCCCTAGAAGTGAAGTTGTTGATCCTAGATTGTACATTACTAATAGTTATAGTAAAAATCTGTTTATTCACAGATAAAATATGGAGGATTAGATGACTTGGCAGTTGAGGAATTACCTTCCAGAAGAACTCGTGGGAAAAAAATTAACTACGTAGAAGTTTTAGGAACGGATTCTGATGAGGTAGGTATCCAAAATGAAATCCTACATTGACATTTTTGAGTTGTACCAAGATCTAAATTTCACCTTAGTTTTATGACTTGTTTTTTTCTTAACCTTATTATTTGCATAAGTTAATGTTATCAGTTTGGAAAACGTTCAGTCAATTGTAAAAAGCAACCAACATATTGAAATGTAGAAACAGTTTACAATGCATAAAATAGATTTGTTCTTCTTAAAAGTGTAAAAAAGTACTATTGATGGCATTAGTAACTGAACACCCTGTGAATTTTTCTTAGTTGTGAAGAGAGTATAGATTAGGTCTAAAAATTTTGTAACTTAAACAAAATGGAAAAGTGTTTGCCTGGTTGATTTACTTGGTTTATACAAGTGATCCATCTTTTGGTTCATAATGGAGTGGCCTCTAGATCATCTGAATAAACTAATATAGGTTTAAACTAGCAGAGTACCCATCCTTTGTACGGGATTGGCATATATGTATAAAATGCTTATTGCATTTATACTCAAGCATTGCGTTTACAATAGGAGAGGACACCGTTTGATAACATTTCCTTCTTTAAATTTACAGTTTACTATAGTATTACACATCTACCATAGCCATAATGTTCTACCACTTCAGCTAAACCATTAGAGAAAGATAAATTATTAAAGATTCGCAAAATATCACAAATTATTCATGAAATTTGAAATTAAAGACATAAACATAACTGTAAACAATCCAACTTTGACAGTTCTCATTGCGTATCACGGTTTTTTGTTGCTGTTGGTTCAAATTAGCTGTTTTCATAAATAAAAAAATAATAGTGCTGCACTCTGTTGATAAATCTTAATAACTTTTAATGCTTTTGCATATCATAGAACCAACTGTTTCAGTTGAAACAGCTGATTAAATTCTTTAATTCCTTTTGAATATGAATACTCATAAGGTTAACATGGGAAACTACAGAGCCACTGGGGCGGAGCCCGAAAGGATTTTTGAGAAAAGAATATGCCTATATGTTAATCGGGAATAAGAGCTATCATCATGCCAAATTTCAGCCGAATCCGTCCAGTAGTTAATGCGTAATTGAACTTCAAACAAACAAACACACAAACTTTCACATTTATAATATTAGTAAGATTACCTGTTTTCTGTCAAAATAATCAGTTTGGTAGTATGATGACTATAGTTCGGCCGCTTAGAAAACGACCTAAATGCTAATGCTAAACCAATGCTGGAGGAGGTCACTTTCTAAGCGGCCGACCTATACATCATGCTTTTTTTCATGCTTTTTTTAAATAGCACATCTTCAGGTCCTTTGTTTATATTTTTGACGAACTCCACATGAGGGATTAGCAAGACATTCTGGACCTGAAGATGTGCTATTTTTAAAAAGCATGAAACAGCTGTAGTCAAACTACCAAACTGATCGTTTTGACAGAAAACAGGTAATTTAAACCTATATTACTTTTGGTTCACTTCTGCTTACCGTCTTAACCTACGCTCAGTTTTGGTGTCAGTTTGAAAGAGTGATAATTCAGTTAGGTAGCAGTCAATTTCCAGAACCCAAGCATACTGAATATCTGTTACTTAATTTTAAATTGTTTTTGTTTTGAACAGGATATTCAGAAGACCAAGAGTTTTAAGAAAGCTGTTATTGAGGATGATGATGAGTTTGATGCTGAAAAAGAAAAACAAGAAACTTCAGGTAAATGTTTGCTAAGTGATGATATTGTGTTGTAACATAACATGTTGTAACTCCTAATGTCCCGTCAGTACACTATTTTTTGTTATTTAACAGCAGTACACTATTTTTTTTAATTGAAAACCACATGTTAGTTGATGTAGGTTTGTCAAAAACATAAATGTATTCTACTCTGCATTTATCTAATAATTTACTGAGTGATCAACTTGTGTTTTTTTTCATAGAATTTTGCTTTTAGTTTACAAAATATATTAGTTTTCTATCCTTAATCGTTTATGTAGTACCATTGAGTAGTATACCAAGTCTTAACAATCTTGACTGTGTTGGTTTCTTTTTCAACATTTTTAATGAGATTTCAGGATTTCTTCCTTTCTATTTGTACATACATAACCTGTTCAATGTAAATTATTCAGTACACAAAGAATAGGATACGCTTCTCTCCATGCACAGCTTTAAAAAATTTAAAAATTTAATAAAAGATTTACTAAGCTTAACAATTTAAAAAAATCTAAACTATTATGCATACCGTTTTCTGTGATACTTTAAAATTATAGAACGTTTGCCTGGCTTGGATAAAGTAGCCTAAAACAGTTAATTAATAATTACTGTTGTTGTAACTTGTGTTGGATGTAATTTGTTTGTACTAAAATTCTTATTCTGACTTAGTAGTTTTATTCAACTTTTTGTTGTTAGCTGGCAGAAGAAAAAGATTTGGTAAGTTTAGAAAAGTAAAGTTAAAAAAAAAACCATACAAACTGACAGTTAGGCTAACCGATTAGCGGTCCTTCCAAAAAGTTATAATTATTGTTAAACTATTTAATTCCTTTTCTAAATAAATATCATTGTTTTAAACTTTCACATTTCTATTAGATTCATTTGAGATGTTTTGAACAAAACTCATTGCCTGTAACAATTTATTTTTAATGTAAAACTAGCCGACCCGTGCAAACTGCCCTTGACCATCTGCTAAAATTCCGCTCATCGTTTGGTTAAGTGCATTTTGTTAATAGAATCACAGTGTCAAAGGCTTTTTATTTGAAATATGTAGCTTGCAATTTTTTGTTTTAATGTGATTTTAGTTTGACTGTCAATTTAGTTTTTGTCATTGTAAATTAAGTAATTGGTTCCTGTCCTGATCATTTTTTTCCTCTTTCAACTTTGACATGGTCACACTTATGGATAAAGGATGATAGGTAACAGTTCAAATTATTACAATTTTACCTTTTAGGCATCATATTAATATTAATTTGAAGATAATTTGTTAATAATTTTTAGGTGAAGAAGAAGAGTCAGCAAATGAAGAAAAGAGTTCAGAAGAAGACAATGATGAATCAGAAGAGGATGACAAGGAACTTAAAAACCAAGATAAAATCATTCAAAATAAAGAGAGTGAGAACCACCTGAAAACAGACGAAAAGGAGGTGGCAAAACCACTGAATATACCTTCAAATAATGTGTCGCCTCCCAAAGTAACTGCTCCTAAAGTAACTCCTCCTAAAGTTGCTCCTGCGAAAGCGGTAAATAAAGGTAAACCACCTGGCAGGAGGGGAAGACCTCCTAAAGCCATGATAGCTCCTCCTCCTGAACGTCTCATCTCTGAGGATGAGCAATACAAAGCTGTAGTGAGCAAAGTTGCAACAATCGGACACAACATGAGTGACATCAGCGTAGCCAAAGCCGTCAATGTCAGCGATTACCCTCAGAAGTTTTCGGAAACAAAAGACTTTATGGAACCACCTCAACCTGTAACTCCCATCAAGATTCCAAATAGTTCTTTTGATCCTAAATTGGTGAAACGTAATCCTCCCATAAAAATACGTTCTGGAGTTCCAGTAAATGCGGGAGTAAAGAGTCCCACGTTAGGAAGTCCTACAAGTGATATGTCGATGTTCTCGGTTAAATCTCCAAACTCTGGATCTCTGTCTTCCCCCCCAGATGGTTCTCAGCTTCAAATGCAACGAAATATAATGCCTTTGAATTCCACAACTGCGAGGAAATCCATTAATGTTCCACTCACAAATGTGAAGACTGAAGTTCGAGGTGACGAGGAAGATTTAGACGATGAAGATCTAATGGATGAGATTGAAGAGGAAGAAGAGGAGGAAGATGAAGATGACTCGGAGGATGATGTTTTAGAAGAAGGTGAAATACCTAAGAAAGTGGCAAGGCGAATGGCTCGAATGGAAGAGAAACTGGAGAAGAGGAAGATGGCAAAGCAGATGGAGAAGTTAAAATCTGTACAGACAGGAGCAGTGACGATACAGTCAGTCAGTCCAGGAGCTGCTCAGCCTGCCACGGACCAGAAGCCCACCCCTACAACACAACCTACGCAACCTCTGTTAAGGTAAATTCAGTACAGATTTGTTACGATCAGCATAGAATAAAATAAACAAATATTTTGTCATTTCTTAAATGTGTTAGGTTACCATGAAGGTACAGCTCGTGATATCTAAGCTGGCACTTGGCCGATCGCTACTAGTATCTAGTTCAAAAACATTATGTCCCGTCATGCGGGTTGCATCAACTGTCCTCACGACCCATATGAAGGCGCTCAAGTCCATAATACAGGGGGGTCAACCCCATAAGGCAGCAGAAATGTTTGCAGTCCGGTCTTTTCCCTACCTCCACCCTTCTCCCGCCTACACTGCCCGAGTTGTACTAAGAATATGAGAATACAAACTTTTCAGCTATTTTGCAGAGGGGGATGGGTGGATTCAAATGTTTTTGCAAAAATTCAGTTAGACTCACCTCTAAAAAACAGTAAACTGGTATTTTGGTACTCAAATTTTTTTAGAAACCTAAATTAAAGCCAACCGGTATAACATAAAAATTCTATTCAATTCATGGGGGAATAAGTATCCTTATATGAAAAAGCCTGCAGAAAGTTAGAAATATCCGCAATACAGGACCGCGTTGTTGCGTTTCCTCTGCAAAGGCGTTCTTATTTAATTAATTATTTGCATGTAAATACTGCTTTAATTGTTTTCTAATTTTTTGTTGTAACATTGCAAATGAAAAGAAGTTTTGTTAAGTGTAAGCAGTGTGAGACATGTTTTACTACTAACATAGCCAAAACAAGTCACTCAAAAATCATTCTAAAAATAACACAAGTCTGAAAAATTGTAACTTGATACTAAACTAGTAAGACTGGTGTTTTAGACTGATAAATTTGGTATTTGTTTAGGCCTGAAGCTATGTATACCTTGTAGTTTGTAGGTCTGATTCTATCCTCTCATTTTATCAATGTAAACCAATTTAAAGTTTCAGTATAATTCTTTGAATGTTTTTATTTGTTTACACCAAAACATCTTTATTTGTAAAATCAATATTATAAAATAGGTAACATGCTTAACAATATGATTCTGCTGGCAAAATTTATGAAATAGGCAAGTATATCAGCTCACTGACATTTCCATCAATACAGGTTCTTCTAATGTATGATTGAAAATAAATATTTTTTCACCAAAAATTCATATGTTTGAATAGGCTTAATACCACGTCAACAAAAATTTGCATTGTGTGGTAAATTTTAATAATTGTAACTCCATTGACAAGTATGACTAGAAAAATTCTGTATTACTTCGAATCGAGTTGCATCGATTCAAGTTGAAAATCTTTTGAATCGACTCGTTGATGATGAATGTGTAAAATCTTATTAGTAACAAACCGACTTGCAATAATAACTTATTTTCAACAATCCAATGTATTTCAGAGTGGTGTCTCCCCTGAAGCTGATGGCTAACCCTCCTGGACCACTCCAGTCAACTTTTATGAACCCTGGATTGGGTCCCAGAATGCCAATAGGATCACCACCTCCCTCCGCTCGAATGCCTATGGGGATGAGGCCACCACAGCCTAGTAATATGCCTACTGGTGGGGAGGTGGCCTCGAGGAAGGGTCGTGGGAGAGGGAAGAAAGGAGAGAAGGAGGAGATGATGGTGCCTTCAGGAGGAAGCGTCATCCGAGGAATGCTTCAGCAGCCCCAGTCCTACCCTCCGTCTCACTACCAACAGCAGTACCCACCAAGGATACCATACAATCCCCAACAGAGGATGCCCAGGCCTCCCTTCCACCCGGGTCACCCGCACCCAATGGACCCGTCACCCTCTGGTGGGGGTCCCATCAATGTAAAACAAGAACCTGGAGCCCACCCGGTCAGCAGTCCCATGCACATACCGAACAAACCACCGTCGTCTGCACCACCACAGCCGTATCATCCGCAGCACAGGTTCGACACCAGGCCGCCAGGTTACCCTCCTCGACCACAGTACGGCAGCTATCCTCCCCCGCCTGTGTCCAGTAGCGGGTACGGACATTACGGCAGCTATCCCCCACCACCTCCTGCGAGAGAAGACTATGTCGCTCCTCCACAGCCGCAACCACAGTACAATGAACAGTTCAGCGAACAACCGACTCCCCCTCCTACCACCCCTCAGACTAGTAAACCCTACAATGAGGAGGAAGGCAGTGGAGAGTTCGGTGGCCTCGTCTCGTACTTCTCCAGCCAGCGAGAGGAGGACATCGACACATAGTTTAAGTGGCACCGGCCCTTTAGAGGGCATCAGACTGACTACAGTTAATATAAAATAAGACGCAACTTATTTCTAAAATATATTTTTTTGAATCAAAATTCATTTTCCTAGTTAAGTTAATTTTTTCCTTCAAATTGCTTGTAAATAACTATCGATAGTCTTGGTCAGTATTTAACCATTTGGTAGGACTCTACAGCTTAAAGCGTCCATCTATTGTAATTTATATTTGTGAACACTGGGTGCTCGACCAGTTTTTATTCTGGGAAGTTGATCTATGTATTATGTGATGATAATTAAATATTTATGGTAGACTTAGTGTTAGGTGTTTTGTATTATGTTTTGTATAGAGATCACATGTACATAGATGTATATAGATACTTGTAGGTAATATATAAATTTTCAGTGAATGCTTTATTGTAAAACTAAAATAAAAATATTTATAGGTAAAAAGCTGTAGGTGTAAACCTGTTTTGTTTTTTATCACTATATGTTTGCTTATTTTATTTTCTTGTTTAAATTTTTGTATGATTATTGATTATTTATATTTTTGATTTTGTTATATTTGTATATAAACTTTGATTTTAAATGTTTTTTTATATTACAAATGCATGACGGAATAAAAAATAAACAATCTATGTTGTTTAAAATAATAATATTGCCAGATTTTTATCAAAATTAAATGTATGTTCTGATTTAATATAACACTCATAATTTTGGGTCTAATTTAGTAAAATTCATATTAGAATCAGAAAACTGCTAAAAGAAGATTACACAATAATAATAAAGTTTAAATAATCAAACTATTCTCAATCTTTTCCTTTAAGTGGTGAAAAAAACTTTTTCTTCCCACCTGTACTTTTTTACTGTCTGACAAACCCCTTTGACTCATCAGAGTCATTTATTTACTGATAAATCTGTGATTAATTAATAAATTACATTCATATGTTAAATTTAAAAAGTAAAAACCAAATGAAAGAAAGTTAAGCTAATATCTTCAGGCAAAAGTTCTTGAGGTTATGTATTTTCAGGTTGGTGCTAACAGACTTACTCTTTAAAATCTCTTAGCCATGTCATGTGCAACACGAAAATTAGTCCATACAAACTTAGCATTTTTCACCACTCAGTACAGAAAGTAGCTGTTTTCGATGACTGCCGATACTAAACAATACAATTCTTTCCTGAGCTCTTATTATAGCGAGAGAAAAACTATCATCTTATTTTCCCTTGCTTCTCAACCAGTCATCTGTTTTTGCTCTATGCACACTAGTGTTTCTTTACAATCTATATTTATGAGTAGTTTTTACTGTTTGACGATATAAATGTAAACAGAAATAGGCGTAAACTGGTATTGTGTTTTGATGAAAAGTATAGTTTGTTACTTGTACCGAAAGTGATTTTCCAGCACTTGATCCTATTATTCTTGTCCTCGGATCACCTCGCATGTGAAATTTGGTGTTCCTGTGTTCGATTTTGCCTCAAAGTGGCTCCAGGCATGCACCATTCGCCAAGCACCGAACAACGACTCGCCGAATCGCGAGTAGTGTGGATAGGTGTTTGTCTATTTGGCAAGCAGCAAACATTCGTGCTCGTGTTTTCCCATTCATTATCGATATTTTTGCACACAACAAAGTGAACGAATATTTTTGCTATTCCCGAAACAACAGTCTACTCGTTAATTGATGTATAGCAAGAAATCTAGATTGCCGAACGTCAAATATTTGGTGCCTTGCGAATGGCGCATGTCTGGAGCCGGTTTAACAATTAAAACTTGAGAACCCACCAGAAAATGTCACATTCGGTACTTAGGTTTTGTCAAACTGAAAGCAAACATAAGGAGCTGAGGTCATAGGATCAAGTAAAACCTACTTTCTGTCACATAAATGTGCAGACTTAAAATTACACATATTTTAGAAAATTAACCACATTATTCACTGTGTTGTAAAGTATTATCTACTGTGTAATTTAGTTTAAATTGATAACCCGTAAATTTGAAGCAAAGTCCAGAGTTATTAAAACATCACTTAATTTAAGACTGTATTAAAAAAATAGCAAGCTAGTTTGTTCATAGAAACTTGCCATCACTGCCGCAGTTTGGTAAATAGTTAAATCTACTCTAATTTAAATAATGTGTACATTGACAAATATGTTACAGATAAACAAATGCAAGTACTTGGGTGGCTCTGAAAATGTTAAAATACTGTCTGTGGTTTTATGATCTGACGGTAGCCAATGTTATAGTGATTAATGTGAATGTTGCTAGTTTTATTATAACAAATGTGCTAGTTATTGGTAATTATTTAAACCTCACGTTTAGTGCTACAAATTGACTTATACTATACTAAATTTTCAAATTGAGCATCTAATTTTCAACAATTCTTTACAAGATGATGGTTTACTTAACTAAAACTGGTTATTAGCTATACATTTTTGTTTTCTAGTATCAGGTTGACTTTATAGAAACGTAACCAGTGTTTGGACCATACTTTTAAATAAACCCGCAAATTCCACAGACTATTTAGTATTTATACAAGGTTGACACACAGGGATGGTTGCCTTTAATGAGATGAGTGGGACTTTGGCGTTGTCCTGTAATCCAGCTACTTGGAGGTTACGAATTGTGGATATTTATTCCCTGGTGTGGATTAACGTCCACACTAGTGAGTACTGACTATCCACAGTAATATCCTGATAATTAGACCAATTCGTAAATTACTAGGCAAAAATGTGGTTCAGATTCCACTATAAACTGTAGAGATGACATTTGCTATAAGGGCTATTAATTAACAGTCCTGTCTAAGTAACATGTCGGGCTTAGTCAGTAACAAGACTACAAGATCGCGCCACTCATCTCCATTCATACTTGGGTACCTTCATACAGTCGCCACTTCAATTAAAAGTAAAGTATTAAAGTGAAGTGTGGAATGGATGTGATGATAGCTTTGTTGCTGAACAAAATCACCTGATTCTTTAACTCCCTATTGTCCATTACAGCTGCAGCTGGGTCCAGTTTAGAACCATAAAAAACTTCTGACTTTTTTCAGGATCATTAGTAGGCAAGCACTATAACCACTCAGCTATCTAGCTAGTAATAAAAATAGAAACATAAATAAACTAAGTTTGATTAGAATAAACCATAAATATCAGTTTGCTACAGCACAGAGTACATTCAGCGCAGAGCATATTTTGTGCAAGAACCAAAAATCTTTTTCCACAGAATATGTTTGGTTCAGTGTGCTTAAAAATTGAGATATTTAACCACATTTTGTTGTCACCAAATTGCCATTTCATTAGTTCAATACAATCCTTAATTTGGCTTTTAACTTTTTTTTTTGCAAGCTTGATTGTAAAGCTGTGTTATATCATAGATAAAAACATACTCCATTAATATAGGCTAATTATTGTGTTTGTATAATTTGACTGTATAATAACCCTATTCAAACACAAGCAATTTTGTTCAATTTTGCTCCATCCATCTACTTCATGTAATTTGACATCAGTTATAAACTGCAGTTCCAAGTTTTATCAAAAGTTTTTTTAATTTTCTATTATTATTTTTTTTAGTTGTTTATATTTTAGTTAAAATTAATGAGATCTGCATTTATAGGTACTAATTAGTTAAAAAACAGTTTCCTGAATGAATGTTATTGTTTAATTAGGTTGAATATGTAGGGTTAGTACAAATGTTAATTATTGTTGAACTATTTTTAAAAAAATCTTAGAACTGGGTGTTTTTATAATTTGTAATATTATCTAAAGCTTGGTTTAAACTAAAGACAAAACTAGTTCAAAACTCATCTTTAGCCTTACCGGAATACTTTTCTTAACCACTCAACTTTTTAATAATTTCTGTTTTATATTTTTTCAACTATATAACTTAATTAGGAATTAATGTAAATAAGTGTTGTGATAAAGTCTATTGTTCAATGTTAGTGTTCTATTTATTTTCTAAATGCAATACTATTTTACTTAAAATGTCCATATACATAATAAGTCTGTATAGCCAAATCTTTTTTCACTTAATCGCTATATTTTGTTATTGTAAAAAGGTACATTGGATATCTGATTGCTTTAATCACTTGTGTATTAAATTTGTTTATATTCAAATAGAAAAAGATAGTTGTCATTTTTACCCATTCTGTTTACCAATTATATTAAAATTAATAATTAAATATCAAGTTCATATATGCAGTCATAACGAGTCTCTGGCATTGTTTATTTAGGGGAATGGCCAATAGTAGTAAATAAATTAAACATTTTATACCAATCTCATAATTATTACTGTTAATTTACATTACATACTGTGAAAAAAGTTAACTTTCAAAAATGTAACCCAAGCCAAAATGTGTTGTTTATTTTCTGGTAAAGCAGGACCAATCAATCCTAACATCAACCTATGAAGGACTAGGGATGTCCTAATACAAGTTTGCAACACATGTTTTACACTATAGTTTACAACAATCAAAAAACTGTTTTGATGTTTTCAACGAATTATTTGTTATACCGGTACTGTGTTTTCAACAGTCAGTTCAGTGTCAACTGTTTAGACATTATTGTCTTCCACAAGAAATCAGGAAATGTCAAAATGTGTTGTAAACATGATTTGTTTTAAATCGCATCGACATCAGAGTTTGCAACATTTTATTAAAGTCATAAACATTTAGTTGTAAACACAGCTTTACCCATTAACTAGACCAATATGTGGCCAGATGTACCAATATCATACATTGACCCCTTTCTGCTTTAGGACTATTCTCTTTTGCGTCCTCTTCCGGCTATGAACCAAGGGTATAGGGTAGGGGGTTAAATTTATTAAAATAACTAGCAGAGTACCCGTCCTTCGTATGGGGTTGGCATATAAATAAAAATGCTTATTGCAGTTATACTCAAGCTCTGCGTTTGCAATGGGGGAGGACACAGTTTGATAAAATTTGGTTCATTAAATTTACGTATGCTATAGAATAACACATCTACCATAGCCATAATGTTCTACCACTGCTCCGAAACAATAGAAAGAAAGAAATTATCAAACATTCGCACAATATCACAAATTATTCATTAAATTAAATACCCCCGCTGCAGCAAACCTGCAGACTAAGCGAATTTCCATTAATTAAATCTTTTTAAATAACATTAGGTTAACAGTACCTACATTTTCTGCTACAGGAAGGCTAATAAAGTGTGTTTTATAGTAAAATATTTATAGCTTAGTATAAAATATCCCCGCCGCAGCAAACCGGCAGACTTAGTGAATTTCCATTTGCATGATGGATTTACACTAAAATGTCTCCTTAAAAATATCACATTTATTCCCTGTTTAGATGGGATTAGTTTAACGATAACTTAGGTTTGCTGCAACAGGGAGGGAAAAAGTGTTTTTGTTGTAAAATGTTAACTAGTGTACCTGTTGCTTGAATTCGAGTAATTGCGAAGCATTTCAGGCGTTATTTTAAAACGAATAACAGTCATAATTTCCGATGACTATAAGAGTTGACTCAAAGATTATGGAAATACTCAAGATGTACACAGCAGTTAGATATAATCAATTTTTTTTGTAAATAGGCTATCTTATCTTTTTTTAAAAGCTTACCTTGTTTTTTAGTGTTTTCTACAAATTTTCCCCACTCATATCCGCATTAGGTTGTCTATAATAACGATTATAAATGAAAAAAAACATTATTTATATTTCTTCTATTGTTGGTTGTGTTCTATGACTTTCCTGTTTCCGTTTGCAAATCGGCTCTTTCAATTATTGCTCAAGAAATGTAGCACAGTGTTAATTCAGTTTTATTTTTAGTATATCAAATTGTCCAGTATTTCTCACTTTTTTCCATTGTAATTTTAAAAATTACACCAACCAAGTATCGTACAGATGCAATACGCCAAAGAATATCGTGCAATCTCCAAGAAGTGGTAAAAAAGGCAGAAACCAGCCCCCATACAATAGATATAAGTTAACTCCATAAGAAATAATTTTAAGAGTTACTGTGATATTAGGATTTTCCACTGATTTGTATCCCAGTATGGATCATAAACATAAACAAATGACGTTGTTGGCCCGAATCCTATACTAATAGCATTGAATATAATTTTGGCAGTTCCATCTAAGCAGTGTTAAATCATGTTTATTTTCGGGCCAAAAACGTCATTTGTTTATGTTTATGATCCATACCGATACCGGTATTTTTCTACTAATCGTGAAACTATCTAATCCTAATCATCATAGACTATGCTATAACCATCGAACTCTAGTAATAATAAACGGTATCAGCATTCTGACACATACTTTCTCCCATAAGTTTGTCAAAAACCTTTACCATATGTAAGTGGTGAGAGTAAATATACGCAAATGGGATTTGCACAATTTTGTTAAAAATTTAAAGGACTATAACATGCTAAATTTTTATCAAAATCGTTCGGGCCATTTTTGGGAAAATCCGATTTTTCTGTTATTTTATGGGGGTTTTATGGGAAAATGACATAATTTACAATAACCGTAATTTTTACAGAAATGGGATTTGTACCATTTTGTTCAGAATATAAAGGACTATAACATACTAAATGTTTATCAAAATCGTTCAGGCCATTTTTAGGAAAATCATATTTTTCCGATATTTTATGGGGTTTTATGGGAAAATCCCCATTAAAAATAAAAATTTCTAAAAAATAAAAAAAAACTATAAAACTGTAAGGACTATAACATACTATGTTAAATCAAAACCGGATTTTTTTTCTAAAACCCTTTTTTTTGTTAATTTATGGGGTTTTTATGGGAAAATAACATATTTGACCATAACTTTTGAACCGTAATTTTTACAGATATGGGATTTGTACCATTTTATTCAGAATTTAAAGGGCTACAACATACTAAATTTTTATGAAAATCGTTCGGGCCATTTTTGAGAAAATCCGATTTTTCCGGTTTTTTATGGGTTTTTATGGGAAAATTGCCATTAAAAATAAAAATTTCAAAAAAATGAAAAAAAAACACCTGGAGATACCATGGATTAGAACCTACATACCAAATTTCATCGAAATCGGACTGCAGGTGTGGTCTCTAGCTCTGTACACATCCAGACACACACACACACACACACACACACACACACACACACACACACACAGACATCACTTCGAAAACCACTTTTTTGGGTCCAGGGGGACCCAAAACGAATATATCCACTCAAACTCGAAAATTTTGACGAAAACAATACTTTCTCCATATACTATGGTATAGGGGGAGAAAGTAATAGAGATCGATGACTATAACTAAGGCCACACTAAAAAAAGTTTTTTTAATGCGGCCTTGCTATAACTCGTTCCCTAGTTATATCATAGATTAAACATACTCCCTTAATCTATGGTTTATTTGTAGTTTAAAAACTCTTTTAGAATTTCCACAGAACTTTCCTACTAAGAATGGAACATGATAGGATGTTGATGAATGTTAAAAATATGGTCTTAGTTAGCTTACTATAAGAAGAGAAGTTTTTTTTTATGATTCTGAAATCGTAAAACCTTAAACGCATTAAGGATTTTTTTTAAGGGATCAAATTCCGTCATGCTTGAGAATCATTCCTTAAATATAAAATATTGACGTAATACCATAGATTAAACAGTTTAATCTATGGTAATACGCTAGAATGCTCTCCATGTTTTGATATTTGCAAACCAATTAAAAATCAAATATGTAAGAACATATTGTGTCAACTTTATTTGTAGTTTAAGAATATAAACTAACACTCATTGTCAAACAAAAATAGATTTTTAATTTTTTTTTATATTGGTAATATGTTTTGTTACCTGATTACCTCATCTTCGTGTTTGACCAGCCAGAGCCGGATAGACAGCGTCAAACATTTAAAAGTAAAACTTTCTTCAGTAAAACATATATTTACAACTTAAGCTTTAGTTAGATGATTTGAAGGTCTGGAGGGCCAATCCGCCAACTCCATAATAGCCGGCTTCTCAAGCAATATGTCATGGGAGACAATGTCGAAGGCTTCCGACAAGTTGCAAAGGACCAGAGCCATTAACTGTCCATTTTCAAAGGAGTCCAGTGGGCTATCGGTACAGTACCTCACTGATCAAGAGGAGACGAGTGCTGTTGTTGTTGATCTCGAATTCCAAAAAAAAACGTGTTGGGAGGCTGTAAAATAGTGATTTACTTCAAAATGGTCGACAATCTGTCTCTGTAAAATATTCTCTACAATCTTCCCTTCAGTCGGGATTATTGAGATTGGTCGATAACTTGAGGTAGGGTTTGCGTCCACCTTTTTGGAAATAGGTATATAGTCTTGGCTGGAGATTTTAAGGCAGTCTGGGAAAATTCCCACCCTCAGATACCTGTTTATCACCTAAGACAGAGGCAGCGATATTTCATTAAGAGCCTTATTATGCGCGGTCACTCGGGTGGCTGGTGACCGCGACTGCTCAGTTGCTTGGGGTGGCCACAGGTGTGGCTAGGGTTAGTGACAAGTGTGGTGAGGTCACTCGTCGGACCGAATTCTACACAGACTTGCATACAGTTTCTCAGTGCGAATGACGTAGTCGTCAAGTGAAGAAACTAAAATAAATTATTTACTTATAATTATTTAAATAATCGGAAATCTTATAATAATTTTTCTGTAAAAGGTATTGTTTAAAATTTTGAAATACTGTTAATTTCTTTGAAATTAGGGGGTAGACTGTTTTAAAGCCTTAATCCCATACTATATCCATGATGAAATATTTATTTTATTTTTACCTCAGTGACGTAAACGTAGACGAAACAAAAGTATTGGAACATCCGTTACTAAAAGTAAGACCTTAAAAAAGAGTATTTTTCACACTTTATAAAATTATTTAAGGGCATGACAATTAAGTTTTTGGGATGACAAAACGTTCTTTTGATAACCTTTATTTAGGAAGAATGGAAGGCGACTCATCCGTATCCCACAAGAATGTTAATAATTTCATTTCAGCTAAGGAGAGGCTAGCAATCACCTTAAATATAACAGTTTTGATTTAATTATAACAGTTTTATAATCATAATTAATACAATACTACCCCTAGTATTTATTAATAT